AAGTGTGAATGAATTTTGATTATTTATGCTGTTTCGAGATACTCATATCAATTACTGCAGATTCTGATGTTGAGGTGGATGTGCGGTCATTCTCAGCAAATTGGGACCCCATCTCATTATTTGCTGATGAAGAACTCGAAGACCAAGAAGACTGTGAGAGTGTCACTGCAGGGTTCGAAGATATGGAGTCCTTTGACATTGATCATCCATTGACTGGTCAGAAATGCCACTGTTCGCAGGCAAGTAGTAGCTCTTTAGCTACCATTGACACAGATGGTGCACCTCTCCTGAAGGCTCAGAAGGTTGTCGATCACAAGGGATGTGCGCAGCGTAAGGACTTTGCGAGGGATGTTGAAGATGTTATCAAGACTGCCTCAGATATCTTCCGAGTATTCCTCATTGTGCATTGTAGATTTCCGATCAATGCACTTACTAATGATTGGATTCTGAACATCTGGGCTAGGGCGTGTGAATCAGAGGATATTCACTATGCCATCACCAATGAGCTGTATGTGATGGTATGTTGTTATTCCGATACTGAGCTATGCTAACACTAGCACCTTTTCAGATCATTTGATGTGCTATGGGCTTCCGTAGCAACTTGAAGCTGACCATGCACCATGTTATTGATCAGACATTCAAGTTCAGGTCTGACGAAGATGCAACCAGGTACAACATCAACTATTACAATGCCCTTATGGATGACCATGCATACATATACCTGGTGAGTACAAGTTTGTACAGTGTTACATTTTGTATTGACATATCGATTCTATTCAGGTCAATGAACTTCGCAAATGTGCTGGTTGTCATGCTGGAGCCTACGAACACCCCAGTATCAGCCTGTTCTTCAAGTTCAACTGGTTCAACACCCTTCAGGGCCTTGGAATTCAATTTTCAGATGACTTTGGTTTGCATATATCTATTCTGGCAATTGCTTTTGTATGTGCGATGGTGAGCTATCTAACATCTCTCTGTGATCGACACTATTCATGCCACCTACAACATCTTTTAGATTAGATCTGGTATTGAAGAATGGTCCACTGGACAATGGGTCAACTTGAAGTTCTCAGAGTCCACATGGAAGAAAGTCTATTTCGAGCACCTCAATGCACTGAAGAATATAAAAGATATTTGGAGTAACGAAGACTTTAACGCATTTACATGCTCTCTGCTTAATAATGCAAGGTTTGCACTTTCAAACTCCTATATGTTGCATGCTCACTTAGGTTAATTAGGAAACACTGCAGTGCTCCTGCAATAGGTGAGGATGACGATGAATGGAATAGTACTGCCATACCAAGGAGTGCCCTTGAGGCTGAGTATCACCTTCATCAACAACACAAGCTTATAAGTAGCAACATGGATCCGAAGAAGACCAATGTGCATAATGTGACTGATGAAGTCATTGATGAAGAAGTTGGTGAAGGCCAAGATGTGAGGTCAGAAGGGCAGGATAATTTTGACGATGATGGCAACGGTAATGGTGATGGTGAATTGACTAATAGTCATACTAGTGAGGGCAATGAGGACAACATTGAGGACGGTGATGGTGATGGTGAGGGGAAAGATGATGGAGAGGAAGGGGAGGAGGATGGCGATGGCATGCAGTGGTTTGAAGGTGAGACAGACTTGGTTGAGGATTGGAAGAGGGAAGATGAGCTGGAGGGTGAACTGACAGTGGGTGAACTCGAATATGATAGTACTTGATGTCTTTGTATATAGTCTAAATACTATTCTGAATGTAGTTTCTCACAGCTTCACCAAGAATCCAGTTATAGTTTTGGTGGTCATGGGTCAGTGTATTGCAGCATGGATGTCTGCATACCTTACAGTATATACTGTATAACTTAGAAATTTATATACTGGTCAGTACTGCTATATACCGTCATATACTGTACTGTGAGTGAAGTAGACTGCTATATTTCAGGGGGATGTATATTATGGATATATGTGGTATATCACACTTATGCCACTACATACATGGTGTGTTTTTTCCAGATGCTGTATCAGCTGTCCAGAACTCATGTCATTGTGCATCTAGGGTACTACATTCCAGTGAACACTGTGATTGTACCGAATATCTGGTAAGTGTCTTTCCCGCCTTTGAATTGCATTTGGAATCCATCCCATGACACAGGGTATTATCTCAAGCTGTGAAAGATTCTAGCTGATTCTATCCTGATCACTTTCTCAGTGAGGACAAGATGCCAAACCCTAATGAGTACATATATGGGTTTGGATGATGGTAAGTTGACGCCAACACCTTTCTCTCTCAATCGCATTTATTTGTCTTATGGTCATTTCCCCATGTCCTCTGTAGCATGTGTCCTGATCGCCATCTTGCCGATCAGTTTACATTTTTGCTCACTGTGAACATCCTAGCTTTCTTCAATGTCGATCATCCAAAACAATGTCAGGAGGGCCTGTACATGCCTTCCAATGTGGCTTTCACATGAGGATTAATAAGGTATGGTCACTTTCTGAGTTATCTTTCATGGTATTAATTGAACTCATGCTCCTATGACTCTAGTATACTGAAGCCATTTGCGTGTGACTTCAGACCCCAGTCAGAGGTACATGCAGATACCGTTGCAGCCATGGTAGCTGAATGATAGGTCTGATACCCCTTTCATATTTCTTTGTTCTTACCATAGTGATTTTGATTTATCCATTTGCCGGGTTGACATTATGATGTCACTACATCATAATTAATTTGAGTTTAAATAGGATTTTCACAAGTCTAATTGCCAAGTGTCAAAATGCCCAAGTGAGAGGATCCACACTTGCAGCTTTCCAGCCAAGTGTGACAATCATTGTCCGCTCCAGCGGCACACCAGTATGAGCAGGCTTGGAGCACCTTACCTAGCAAGTGGGTGTAGGAGAGTGGCCTTGCTGCCCTTTCTCTCGTACGTCCATTGTACTTGCTAGGTGAGCCATTGACTGTTCTCCTCGCACCCTTTCATCTTGTACTGATGTTCATATCATCTTACTAGATACTTGAATGATCGTAGCCCCATTTTCTCTTACAATTGTTATAAACTCCCATCTTAGCTTCTATCAATAAAGGCAGCTCCTATGTCACACAATGAAGAACAGTCGAATGTTGAATCAGAGAGATGTACACCTGTTGAGGTCTCAGCAAATAATCCCAGAAATACTCTCAGAGCAGTCTGCATGGACATCATTCAGAGATATGAATGAAAGGAAGTCAGCAAAATGGCTGCAATTGTCAGACTTAGTGTCACCTTGCATGACTACTCCATTGAGCAACAAACCACTCTCAACTTCACGACTCTTACATCCTACCTCAACATGCTCAATAAAATCAACTGAGAAGACATGCGCACAGCATCATCAGAAGATCAGCAGTGTGAAGAAGAGTCTCACTGAGTGGTTAGGGGTAGAGACCAGAGTCGAGACTCTAGTGTCAGAACCTCCAGATGGTTGAGTAGTAGAAGTCATTCACCAGGCTCAGGATCAACTGAACTGAGCTATCAACGGAAGAGAGAAAATCCACTCTGATATGCCTGGACCGTCACTAATGTCATCCAAGGAAGTCAGTTGTCCAAATCACTCCGACGCTCACTCGAACTTCTTCGTGAATATGCTATCGACCCCAAAGGAGTGAAGTCAGACTTGCTCAACTCGGCAAGTGCCCCAGAATTCCCAGATGCAGAATGAACAAATGTCCTTGCTGGAAAGGTTATTGACCTTGACCATGTGTTCACAGGTTGTTACTCCATTGGAGGAGATGAATGCAAGATCAGACACCTTGGCAACCTCGAAGTGTCTTATCGACTGCCTACAGCCTCTCAAAAAATCAGAAACTTTGGCAATTGGGTCTTTGCATGGGCCAAAACTGTTGAAGCAACTTCTTATGCCTTCCCCGATCATTACTCAGAACTTGTATCCTATGGGCAGTATCTCACAGGAATCTTCAGAGTCATTGACATCGACTTCTACTCACGTGTTCTTGACTTCAACTGAGCCATTCGCAAAAGAGTTGCATCATGATGTGACCTCCTTCTCACTGATACTACTCACTTTAATGACCTCTATACCATGTGCATCGACTCATGTGGTGCGCGGGTCACTGAAGAGAAAACCCAATCTTCCAGATCTACAAGAGAGCACTGGCAAAAGGAGCCATGCAACAACTGGAATGCAGGACTCTGCATGCATTAAGCTTCCTCCTGCAGATACAGGCATGTCTGCACAGGATGCTGAGCCTCTGGACACACCATTGTTGACTGCACTAAAGATGTGCGCAAGTGACAAGGTGTCAAAGTATCTTGACATCATGTGTCCACGATATTTGTATGGCCTCATATGGAATGATCCTTCCAAACCCTCCATTTGCACTGCCTCTTCAATTTCTCTCACTCATGATCCACTTCCCGATGTTCCCCCTCATGTTCAAAATGATCCTATCATCAATGATACACTTCGTGCACACTCTTCGCTCTTCAAAGTTGTAATCCCTATTGACATTGATCACTTTCAGTACCTTCTACGAGAACACCCTAATCAACCTTTTGTCTTATCTGTTTGTCAATTGCTTCATGAAGGTTTCTGGCCATGGGTGGTAACCAACAGCAATGTTTTACAATATCCTCTCACTTGGGATGTGGCTAAACCCCCATCTACCCTGCTCGAAGAAGGACAATTCTTAAGAGAGCAGCATGATGAAGAACTTGAGAAGGAGAGATTTTCAGAAGGGTTCGGTCCCAATCTTTTCCCCGCTATGTACAGCATGCCTATCCATGCAGTCTCTAAACTGCATTCAGACAAATTGCAACTGCATTCAGACAAATTGCAACTCATTACGAACCACAGTGCGACACAATACTCCCTCAACTCTATGATACCACATGAATCTATTCGTGGTGTCATATTAGATGGGATTTCTGCACTCAGTGAATGTCTTCTTCATTACAGGTGCATTCACAGAAACTCCAAGTCTTTAGTCCTCTGAAAGTCAGACATTTCCCAGGCTTACCAACATATGCCAATGTCCCCATACTGGCAACTCAAACAGGTCACCACTGTTGATGGAATCCGTTACATTGACTGCTGTAATGTCTTCGGTGGGTGAGGCTCAATGCGCATTTGGACTGCCTTTGACTCCCTCATCCTCTGGATTGCCCTTGTACTGCTGCACATTGATCAATTCAATTATGTTGATGACAACTTCAGGTTTGAAGAAGAGGGTTGCATTGAACTTTATCAACCATACAATGCTTATTCTCCTTCAAACCAGACAAAACTACTTCACTTATGGGATGACATCAACCTTCCTCATGAATGTCGCAAACAAGAGTATGGACACACACTCACAATTATTGGTTTTCAAGTTGATCCCAACCTCATGACTGTCACACTTCCTTCTGAAAGCCTCACGAAACTCATTCGCTCAGTTGAAGATTTCCTCGTTACTTTCACCACATCCCGACGGCACACTCTCACTGAATTTCAGCAACTTACCAGCTACATCAACTGGTCTTTCAACATCTTTCCCCTCTTAAAGCCAGCATTATCCAATATGTATGCCAAAATGTCAGGCAAGACCCACTGTCATGCTGGCATTTATCTCAACTGTGCCATCACTTCTGACCTGCAATGGTTTCTTCATCATGTTCACAATTTCGATGGTATTCATCTATTTCAAACCTTGGCCTGGAGCCCATCGGATCTTATCGAGGACTCTCATCGCGATGAATTTGCACTAGTCGATGCCTCCAGTTCCAGTATCGGTCTCTACTTTCCCTGGAGTCACCTTGGGTTTTGGTCAGAGCTTCCATGCCATACACCCACCAGCACCATCTATTTCTTTGAAGCTCTTGCCATTTGTGCTGCCATTCATCGCATCCACTTCTGGCGCACAGCATCTCACTTTGTACAATGTCTTGCAATTCTCTCAGATAACACCAATGCCGTTCATGCTTTCAACACATTGAAAGTCACGCCACCTTACAACCCCATCCTCACCTCCGCTATTGATATCATGATCGAAGGCTGTCTACAGGTCCGTGTAGATCATATCAATGGCGAGGACAATCAAATCTCCGATACACTCTCCCGGGGCCAACTAGACCAAGCACGTCTTCTCAATCCCAAAATCACAATTCTTCACTTTACACCCCCTCGGGATGCATTGGGGGCAGTCAAAAAATGAACTTCATTCCTGTGCGGTCCCAGCAACCGAAATGGTTGCCTTGGACCACTGAGCATTTAGTCCATGAATGCTCCATTGCGCTATCCCATGCACTTGCCAAAGGCACCAAGAATTCCTACAACTCCGCACTTAATTCATATCTTGAATTCTGTTCAATTCATGAATTTCCCGTCGAACCCACCCAGGATACACTATCCTTCTATATCGTCTTCATGTCTCATCACATCGAGCCACGTTCTGTTGACAGTTACCTCCGATCTGGTATTTGCAGTTCTCTCGAAGAATTCTTTCCTCATATCCGCCGCCTCCGGTCCTCCGCACTCGTCTCCAGAACCCTCAGAGGCTGCAAACGTCTCCGCAGTACTCCAATCAGGCAGAAGCGAGCTCTCACACCTGCCGACTTGCAATCCGTTGCACAGGCCTTAGCAGGCAATGACAACTACGACGATCTTCTATTTCTCGCTCAGCTCTTCACCGGCTTTCACGCGCTCATGCGACTGGGAGAACTCGTTTGGCCAGACAATGTGAATTTGCGAGAATTCCGCAAATTGTCTTTGCGTCACTCTGTCACCATCACTGATGACTCCTGCTCTTTCCTCCTCCCTGCCAATAAATCCGACCCTTTCTTTGAGGGAAACTGCATTCTCCTGCTTCATAATGCCAATGCAGTCTAGTGCTGCGGGGTTAACCGCCCAGTTTTGTACCGGGGTACTAAGTCGTGTTAATAACACATGTTTATAACTGGTTTATAACTTGGTCCATTGTACACGCGATGTTATTAACCTCAAGGAAAACCTGGCAAGCGAGAGGCCGATTTGCACAAAAGGAAGCCTCGGATCAAGGGAAAACCTCTGTACAAAGGATTTTTTTTCTCCCTGCCTTCTTCCGAGACATTTCACTCTAAAATCAATCTCGTTGTAGTACCTAGTATAAATACAGAGACCTGTGTATTGCTTCGATGTGTTCAATTTCCCCTCATCGACATGGACCATGTTATATTACCCCTCGAACGTGATCTGGTGAAGCTCTTCACCATTGAAGAAATGAAAACACACCTACAAACATTGCGAAGCCTGTTGCAAGGTCTGCCCAAAGCCCTACCTGTAGGTGGGCATGCCTATTGCTTTGAGATGTATGCTCCTAGTGATGAGGATGTCAATGACTTCGGTGCTGATGGTGCCCTGAACCATGACCTTGAAACTACGTTCTGTCCTAAGGGTCGAGCTGATGGGACAATCATTCTGGAGGAACGCGGTCCCGGATTAGTTGCTGTATGCGATGTTCTACGCGACTACATTGAAGAATTCCCGCAATCAACTATATTGCAGAAGTGGGTTTTTGATTTGACTGATGCCACTAAGGCACACAACGCGGTGAGTATATCTAACACTGGAATCAATGTTCTATTGGGACTCACTGCCATTGTTCTGCCATCGCTGATAGGTGCCTGAACTATTGGAACCTGTTGATATCGCCGAGTCAGCAGAGGAGGATGAGCGGGGTTCAGAGACCAACTCTTCTGGCGAGGAGGTGGAACAGCAGGAGTCTTCATTGAAGCATCCTAAGAAGAAGAAAAAGAAGACCGTCTTCCGAGGGTCTATTCTCGATCAGTATGAAGACCTACCCAAAAAGATTAAGAACCGAGCGCGCGGTGGTAGACCGGTCTCAACGGATCTCCTCGACCAAGTTTCTATACGTACGAAATTGAAGAAAGACCCTGACGTTGAAGTCTATCGCTGCATAGGTGCCGCGCATGGCTGCACTACACGCTGGATGAAACGGCAGAAGCAACGTGTGCTCAAGCATGCTGAACACTGCACCTACATTGATGGTGTCGACCCGAACCTTCGACTCCGTGCAACAGTAGTGTTGGCCAAGTCTGCGACAAAGTCCAAAAGTAGCCAACAGACACTTTATTTCTCACCTGAAGTGCCGTCTTCTTCTCAACCTCCTTCAAGTTCTGCACATGGTACCACCTCTATGCCAGACCTCGTGCCATTGTCAACATCCAGCATAGATGCTGGTCCAAGTCTCCAGCCATTGCCACATACAGCACTTCTTGATCGCAGCAAGCAAGCGTATAAGAAGGACCTCAAGGCGAAACTTGATCCAGCTATAGTCGCGCTGTTTACTGTAAACGGTATGCCTCCCAGGATTGCTGACTCGGCTGAGTGGAAGAACATGTGGGCAATGGGAAACTGAGACTATCAACCAGTTAGTCGCACAACACTCGAAGATACTCAAATCCCACATGAGGCGGCACGTATTCATCTACTTGATCTCGAAGAGCTCAAGAAGCATGAAAACCTAACACTCAGTTTCGATGGAGGGACGACTAAAGGTCTCGAATCTGTGTACACTGTCCATGTTACGACACCTGACCGACAGGTAATCTTCTACGAGGGTAACGAGGCATCAGATGAGTCGCATACAGGAGAGCACTTACATGGCGTCATTTCTCGGGTGAGTACTATGCCTATCCTCAGTATCTCTTCGATCCAGATTCTGATCATTTTCATGTTGCTAAGGTTATGCGAGAGGTTGGGCCTGAACGTTTCCGGGGCCTGAGCTCAGACAACACTGGAAACACCTCGGTGGGACGTGTGCGGACACATAACGAGTTTCCCTGGGTCTTCGTTCTTCCTGATCCCTGTCATGAGCTTGGAAACTTGGCAAAGGATATCGGTAAAATTCCTTTCTTTAAGGATGTCAGTATTCCGTAGTCTTGTTCTAAACTGTGTTCTGATATGTATAGGAGGTGTAGGTCATTGTTAAAATCCGTGGCACCATAAAGCACTTCAAGAAGTCAAGTTTCGCAACTGCTCACCTAAAGAGAGTGAGGAAGCAGCTTGGAATTGGTCGTGGGCTTGTCTCAATTGCTAAGACACGTTTTGCGACTGTGTATTTTGCTGGAGAGTCAGTCCGACGTAACAAACCTGCAATTGAGAGGTTATGTCAGCAGGGACTCGTAAAGTTCAAGGTGCGTTGTCTTTGCCAATGATTTCTTATCAACGGATTTCTTACAAATTTTCAGAACAAAGTTGTCAATGAAGCATTCTTATCTGCACTTGCTGCCAGCACCTTCGCCATGCAACTGGATCAGTTGCTTGCTGTTCTCTCACCAGTTGCGAAGTCAGTCACTTGCCTTGAGTCGACATTTTCAACTGTGTCAGATGTCTTCACATTCTACCTCGCTATCATGGCCGACATTCATGACTACATTACAAGCCCGTACAATCAGGTCCCGACTTCAGTGAAAGAGCAGATTCGACTGCGAGCCAACTCGCGATATAATAACACCATCGGCTCGAGCGATATTTACCTCACAGGTTTCATACTTGACCCACGTACGTCGCATTTTGAATATTCAAGTCCGTCACCTCATTCTTGGATGATATTCTATTCAGGCTATCGAGGCTCAAGTATTCTTCGCCAGTACAACCCTCTCATAATTCAGAAAATCAAGCTTGGTCATTTTAGAGAGACTTCTGCAGAGAGGCCAAAAACCAACAACCTACCTGAGCCTGTCCGTCGTGCGGGAAAGTTTCTTATCAAGATGCTACGCATTGAGTATGAGCATCGTAACATTCCCATAGCAGGTTTGAGTGCGCGCGAGGCGCTTGAACAACTCAAGGAACAAGTACCACTATACGTCAAGTCTGCCTATCCTTTTAATCGGCCGCTGAAGGAATTAGATGGGCCTCGAGAATGGTGGACGCGCCTCAAACATGTTGAGGAAGCACAGCCATTAGCAGTACATGTCTTCGCCTCTTTCGGATGATGTCCTTCCAGCCCAACTGATGCTCTTCTCCTCTAGGCATTAGCATGCATGATTTTTGATATTGTTCCCAACTCAATGGCAGAGGAACGTACAGCATCAACATTCACATGGCTGAATAGTGACCTCCGTGCATCGCAGAAGGTCCCAACTTTGGTACGGACAACACAGATTAGGCAGCACAAACAGCGGAGAGCAAAGGTATATTTGTCCTGTGTACAAGTCCTATGTATGATTGACCCTTGTATATAGAATAAGGTCTCACCCAAACATCTCCCAACGGTTAAGTTCTGGGACTTGGGGAAGACTCTTAGTGCAGTAAAGATTGGTGAAAAGCGCAAACGATCAGATCAAGATGACAAGTCGGATGGCAAGGATACTCGTAGTGATAGTGAAGATGAAGATACTGGGGAGTCAGATGATTCGGGCTCTGAATCAGAGACTGAAGGTAGCGAGCACTTGGAGAACAATGAAAGCCTGGGAAGAGAGGTCGAAGCACTTGATGGGTTTGCTGCGGAAATGGATGTTGGTGTCATCCTCACGTCGTTGGAGCTTCGGGATATACTGTCCGAGACATCTTTGATACCAGCAGCGAAGCCAGCACCTGTTGCAAAACAGGTGAAGAGCTCAAAGGCGGCGGAACGAGCATTGACTGAGGAGGATTGGTCGGAATTTTAACTATGTTGTATTTTAGGTTTATAACTATGTTACTAACCTGTATTTTGGGGGAAGTTCATAACCTAAGAAGTGGTGTCCCGGTTACTAACAGTTAATAACCCCGCTGATAGGTTAACCCCGCAGCACTAATGCAGTCAACGTCTACAACGTATTCTTACGTTACCTTCGTGCGCGCGATACCCTATTTCCACAACGCCCAGAACTTTGGATTCGTGCGAACGGCTCCGTTCCTGTGCGTTCCTGGTTCATTCGCTTCCTTCGCAACTTCTTCCCGCGTGACATCGCTGGCCACTCCATGCGTTCCGGTGGTGCCACCTTTCTCGCCGAACAGGGAACACCACCTTCTCTCATTCAAGCTGCAGGGCGATGGACATCTGATGCATGGCAAGCCTACATCCGCAAGCACCCCCTCCTCCTCAATGTTTTCCTCTTCGCCAATCGGCTCCTTGCGCGACCACCCATTGCGTGAACCCCGGCAACGTGCTCTTCTTTTTATTATCGTGATCAGTATCTCCAAAATCTTTCATACATCTTCCATCCTCCACACCATTAGACCTTAGCGACTCCGTATAAAAACTCGAGCAGCACTGGCGCGCGCTAGCCCGGTGCTGCTGCGTCCCACTACTATTCTTGTGTCTCTCCACCTCCAAGAGAGTCGCGCAGGAGATTAGACAGTATGGAAACTCAGCTGAAGATCTAGCACAACAACCCCAAACACTGCGACGGCACAGTTGGCCGTTGTGGTACCTTCCACATACAGTATTTTCGTCCCGTTCACTGTATCTTGTGTAGGTGGTGACCGTAGTGTATTGGCAGAAAACGAAGACCTACAAAGTATGTTACTTTTACTCTTCAAAGGATACAGATCACTTGCAAGTATTCCCTTGGAACTTGCTCATTCACGTCTCAAGGGAACAAAGGTACGTGCACATGGTTCCATAGTCAACGTGTTTGTTGAGGCACCCCCATGATGTGAAGTCTTCAGCGATGACTCGATTGATTCATTGAATGCTGGATTTGGGCGATATCACTACTATGTAGCAGTGAGGTATCGATGCCTCACGCCAGGTTACGCGGATACGTCACAAACCCAACCCGCCGCGCTTCACATTTCAAAAAATTTCAGAAGTGAATTCGAGACGAACCCCCATCTGTCGAGTCTTGAATATCGTTTCCATCGACTGGGAGAGCGCGCCCGTTAGAAGAGAAAAGCATCAATTTCTTTTGCAATGCCCCTCAATGTTCCCTTAAGATGCCTGGCTATGCCGTTGACTTGCGTACGTTCTTAATGCATCTATTCCTGAGATGCCGACTCATTGGTGACTGCTGACTCCTGCTGAGAGAAGTCTGGATGTAACCTAGATCACTTCATTGGACGATTTACCCCCAGAGAAGCACTGGATGGTTGAGTTTGCCCGTCCGATACTCTCACGTCCGTCTGATTAGGCGGCTCCTTATGACCGCCTATGACTCAAGATACAGTAACTTGTACACTTCATTTGGAATTCAGAACAACTATCCGACAGGACTCGGATGCCGAAATGTCTGATCATATGTCTCCCTCGGCGGAACGCGTACATGGATGTGCATATAAGAAGCCTCTGAACTTGCGAGTTAGCACGCAAGAATTGAACATATTTCACCTCACTAAACTCGTCTCCATCCATAGCCGTCATGAACACTTCTCTTGAGATCTTGGAAGCTCTCTTCCCAAAGCCATCCCCTGCGCCAAAGAACTTCCTCCTTACCCCAACTCGCATACCTGGAGCGACGCCTGACTCCATCCAAGCTTTATTGGAATACTTGAAAGACAATCACCGCAACTGGCATATATTCTTCAACGACAGGCAGTTTCACAAGTGTGTATATTTTATTGTATCGAGGGCTTAGTCTGTTCTAACCTTTCTGCTGTTTTCTAGTCATGCTGCTCACCATTTGCTGGCCATTTATGCTTTGGGCGCCGATCGCAACCTCTTGAAGGCGGCATACCAGACTCACGTTTTGTACCAACGTCCGTCCTTCCCATCTCCTGGAGAGATCACCCAGGAAACTTGGAAGGACTACTTAGGGGACGAGAAGTGAGTAGAGCCACCAGTGTCATTCATTAGGTTCCTTCGCATACTGAGTTCCTTTTTGTTTCAGATATTACCAGGCTTATGTGACGTACTTCACGGAACGCCTCTTGGAGAAAGGCGCGGCATCTGCTCTCGAGTCTTACGTCTTCTCTAAGGATGCTAATGTTGTCGGCAGCCCCAATACTCAAGGCATGCCATACATGTTGAGCCGCTATCTTGGAGGTTTCCTTCATCCTTATATCCATGCTGGATATGGAGCCGAGTTTGGTCAACTCGGCATGTGGGCAGAGGGTACATTTTCTGATTCTTAGTATTTCACCAAAAACAAAACTAACAGCATCTCACTGGCAGGTCTCGCTCAGGCGGCTGTGCACACTCCGGACCCTCCTACCTTGATATTACCTCTTCTAGACGCGAGCGTTTCCCCAACGACTGGTCAAAAGAAGTGTACGACTCACGCATTGACTATCGCTGCTCGAATCGCTGCCGATCCCGCCTTCAGTCCTTCGGCTATCGGTTTGCCTGTGCCTTTCGATGGAGACGAAGAACTCCTTGAACGCGTTGTCCGGATTGGTGGTGACAAGTTACTTGGGCTCCTAAACGAATGGCAGGTCGAGCCTAACCAGCAGGACTTGGAGAAGAAGGTTGAGGAATTGATTTGGATGAACACAGCGATATACGTCATGGGAGGATGGGCTTTTAGAAAACAAGGTTCTGATGAGAAGAAGGAGTTTAACGCCAATTTTCTTGCGTAAGTTCTTTCCAGTCAATTCGTATGAGTGTTCTACTGACGTTCGAGCAGGATGCATCTTGTCACATCTGTGCTGTTCTTGCCGTCGACGCTGACTTACCTGAAGCCTTCGTCTGCAGTTATCTTGGTCCGAGCCTTCTTCGCGACGTCCGTCGCTCTCTACATTGGTCTCGGGGCCCCAGCTCTCCCCATCGCGGATTTCTACCGAGCTACGGAGACAGCTATCGTTCCTCCAGGCGTTCACCCGACCCCATCGAGCAAGTTTTTCAGGGGGTTTGCTAACAGCGAACAGACCATTCAACTGCAAGAGGGTGCCTGGGCGGAGGTTTCCAAGATCCTCACACCCAACCCTTGGCTCCCTATCATCCAGTCGACGCTTGTTCATCCTGATGAGCATCTCTGCAAGATCCAAAGAGCATTATCGCACTTTGCCGCCGAGCTTGGTGAGACAGCGCCCGGCACGTTCTCTTCCCTCGTATCTGGCTTAGACGACGCCGACATTCTGGATGGTACGCTGTTCATCCGAGCTGCTATCCTTACCCAGAACAGGCTTGGATGGATGAGGGAAGGCCAGGATGAGCGTAATTGGGATAGGCAGGGGTTTTATTAGTTGGCCCTGAATTCTGATAGTGGCATCTTGGTGTAGGTGTACTTTTCTGTACTATACGTAGCTGTAACTGTTGGAATCAGTATGCAGTCTATTACTTGTATGGTTTTTGTGAGCTGAAAGACGAAGTTGACCATTAAGGGAGGTGCACGTGCAATAGAAGCTGAAGAAGACGGATAGACTTGGAAGCGGGATATGTGTCTTGTCAGACCACCGCCATCATGTCTGCCACAACCACAATGACTTTGGCCAAACTCGATTCCCCCCTCTGCCTTCTCGCACATGGAGCACCCAAGCTGCTCAGGTTACCTGTCGAGCTCCTCGAAATCATATCCACCGAACTCGAAAGACCTGATCTGAATTTGCTGGCGAGGACGAACAAGCTCCTCAACGTTATCAGTACTCGAACGCTCTATCGTGAGCTCACAGGCTTGTCTCAAGAGCAGTCCATCCGAGCTCTCAGATCCTTCGTCTATCCCTCCGATGTTGAAGAGGCAAGAAAGCGAGCATTGCATGTTCGCACACTGCATCTCGATTTTTCAAATTGTCGGGTAACCGCCAACTTCCTCCGTCTCCTCCAGCGAGCTCTACAGACTCTACATTCACTAAAGGACCTGTCACTCGAATTTGGCCTGCAAGATAACCATTATTCCATCGCCTGGTGCCTGAAAGATTGTCCCTTCCAACTGCGGATATTCACGACATCCATCAGGTGTGATGAGGACCTTGCTGCGTTCATCGAGGGACAGCGGAAGCTGGAGGAGCTTGTACTGCGAGGTTTCCAAACTACCTCACCGTTCACTCTTTCCCCCGATGCTCTCCCAAAGCTTTCCGCATTCCGTACCGTTCATGCAGGAGTACCGGTGTTGAAGGAAGTGATGAAGGGGAGACCGATCGAAGCGGTATCATTGTCCCTTTTTCAGGAGGATAAGTTTGAGCCACTGGACACGCTGTTGCTGCCACAGACACAGATCAAGAGGTTGACGATCATGTCTTTGGGTGATACTCCTCCGGATATGCTCCTGCCAGAGATCGCGGCACGACTTCCCGCTTTGGAGGCCTTGCATATCGTTGTGCTCATGGCTCGATACAGCTATGTTCGTCCCTATCTACGTTCCTTCACCTCGTTATCACTTACTCAGATCTTTGATTGTTGTTATAGGAGAACCTTTTGGCTTCTACCCCGTACCTTACTGCATTTTCATCCCTTCGCTACCTCACCTTCATGACCGGCGGTGGTACCGAAGTCATTGAAGATGAGAGGCGAGTCGTGTATACCTGGGCAAAGGCCTGTTCGACTCTTCGTACCATCATATTGCCCAGAGGCAAGGTGTGGTTCGAGAGGGATGGTCGGTGGACATGCTGCGCTTCTGATTAGTGTGGCGTAGTCGAGACGTCGATGTCATGGCGCATGTGGTGGCGTTGACACAGGGACTTCGAACGATCAAATACAATGTAGCCATGAAGGGACAAGTGTATCGGACTAAATTATTCATTAGGTATGTCCGCCTTAGAGTATATGTGACACCAGAGGTCTCATTGGACTACTCCATCACAGATTTGTTTTGTATCTGCCAGTGTACATTATGTGTGTTTGTACGAGAAAACGGGAGCAAAGGTTTCCACAGCGTCATGATCGTTGAATCGTGGGATAAGCACGATATTTGGGACGTGTAGAATTATGGACGCTAGATCGTTTGGCAATGGTCTACGTGGTCAACTTTGTCACTGGGCGAGGGTGAGCAACTCACGCATATTTCTTATGACACGATGCTTGTTTCATGTTTTGAGTATTCCTTCGAGTTTATACAGAGATACAAAATCTAGCAGATTGGCTTACAGGGGTCTCCCTGCAAATCAATATGCTGGAGTTCATAGCTTGGAGCAAATTCGAAACGTAAAAGTCATCGGGCGGTTCCCATCAAAGGCAGAGTCGGTCAGTATGTTCATTTCGCTTGAGAGCATCGCTGTGTACCGAGCATGAAGGTTTCAAGACTGTTGTTGTCTAGCTAATGTTGGTTAAGGGACGTATTGGGGAAGAAGCGAACTTCGGACGGTCTTCAGTGGTGGGTTGACCTTTTATATCCTCTGGCATCGTTGAAAACACGATGAACATATCAGATAATAGGATTCAACAGCATTTGGGGCGGGGCGCTCTCAAGATTAAATACTAGGATGTTTCATGTCATCTTAAGCGCATAAGCTGCCAAGTATACCCATTGGCAATTGCGTTAGGCGTTGCAACTCGGTTATGGTCAAACCAGGCGCTTTGGTGTCCTGTCTCCACATCAGGGGAAGGTTACAGGACGCTCAACGTATCAGCAGGCTTGTCCGAGGGTAATTTCCGTTCGTGTTCTCTGACATATGAAGTACTGACAGATACTAGGTGACGATATAACAAATTCTGAGGGTCCAGCCCATTTGTTATATCTTGGTCAGCCGCTCACTGGGTTGGATCCCGGCGGAGCGACTGCAAAACTCCTTTCTAATGTTCCGGGTTCTATTGCAAAGCCTCGTCTGCAAATGCAAATACCGTCCATCTAGGTCATGCCATTCTTCTCTAATCCTCTAACGTTGTCCCTGCTAAGCTTCGGAAAAACTCCAAGCACATGTCTGTACCAAATTATCTTAGGTACCGCACGTCAGTCCCATCAACACCCCCGACAGATGACGTTTTCTATGCTACGGGAGTTGTCCTGCTGTCATTAATCGGGTAGTGCTGGTCGAGATGTTGAGTGGAAATCTCGACAGCGTTGACAAGTATACGCGACATCAGCACGTTCTCGTTCGTCATTATCCATGTCCATAATGCAACGATCGGTTTCCGGTCCAAATAGGTCTCTCTAGTCCAAGGACGTCATGCTGTAAATTGTGTAGCGTGGGGCATGGTTATGTGCATGATCGTTAGATGCCACAGCCTGAGCGAGGAAAGGCTAGCTATAGATAGCACTTAGGCTGACCAGATACGGTACTTTTATCTAATGAAAGTAGTCATGCAATGATCATTATATTATAGTAGCCTTATAATGTACTTACTCAGAACATAAACTTACGCCTGCCGCGCTGTAACTAACCCCAAATATGGAGGTCTCATCGGAGCCCCTGCCAATCAAGTCCAAACAAACAGCGCCTCAAGCTGGCCTCAAGTCTCTGGCATTAATTGGTAATGGAGCATACTTATCTTATGTTTACCGTTTCGTCAAGTGCTTGAATAATACTTCCTTGAGCTACTCTCTCTTGTCTGGCCGGAAATATCATGGTCGGATTCCTCGACTTACCTGACGAACTTCTTATATATGTCCTGAACGCGCTCCGCTTTAATGATCTGCTGAAGTGTAGACAGGTACGAACTCGTTGACCCTGTATATGACTACTGACTGTGCGAGGATTCCGTTTAGCTTTGCAAACGGTTGGACATAATAATACAGAACGAGACGATACTGCGGTACAAGGTGGAGCTAGCCCTTAATGGCATGGAGGACAACCCCACCGTCGCCATGCCAATTATTGATCGATTCCGCATACTCAAGGAATACCATGAGGCTTGGGAGAAACTAGATTTCAAGCGTGATTACATCCTGGACATGAACAGCGATGGTGTTTGGGAGTTAAGCTGCGGCGTTCTTTGTCAAGCAAGAGGTCGCAGGACGCTGGTTTTCAGACAGCTCCCTTCTGTATTGCGCGGAATCAAGGAGAGAGCATGGGAGCTGGAAGATATTGGCGTTGATATAAGGGACTTTTCAATGGATCCAGCTCAGGATCTCCTTGTGGTGGTGGAAACACACAATGCGAGGTTTGTCTTTTCCCCCCACACGTCGGTCATGCTCTTACACATGATCTCCTACAGTCAACGTATACATCTGCGTACGATGTGTACAGGCGAAGTTCATCCATCAGTTTTCCGCCCCGCCGTCATAAATTATACACCAAATCTCTCGACAAGGTTATATACTATAAAGATATGTTCGGATTATGTCGGCATTGCATTTACTAGCACCAGTCAAATTACGCAAGAGCTTGCCGTGTGGAACTGGAAAACTGGGGAACTTCGAATGGTATGTGACACCCTTAAAGGCTGATGAATGGCTGTATTAACGGACAAGCTAAGGCGGTATCCGGTCATAACGTATCGGCATATTCGTTCCTAACACAAGATCATCTCCTTCTCGCTCGCATGAGCATCGATGCAGAGCTCCTTGTCGTCGACTTGGGAACAGCCTCGCCTGAATTGACTCCTATGGAAGAAATGGAATACATATGTAGCTTCCGTCTTCCTGACGTGGAGCCAGGAAGTGCAATCTTCCGGGCGGAACTACGAGCCGACCCTGCGCCGTGGTCGCTCCATCCTACTCTTGCTGCTCCATTTCAAGTTGCTCGAGATCAGCGGGTCATCGTGTTGACCTTCACCGTCTTTCATGGCCGATTTGACAGGTCAATGTACTTTTTGATTTGTGGTGACCATCTCTTGTCTCACTTCAAAACCGTACCCGCTGCATGCAGCAAACTTGGAATTGATTGGATCGAATGGGGACCTCAAGCTTCTCGCGTTTTGACATATGTGCCTGGCTACGATTCGGTCTGGGTCTGTAATACTTACGGCAGTTCATTCGTGAACGGATTCCGGCCTGGATTCCAGATCTACATAATGGACCTTAATCAGGTTGCAATCAGAAAACTCCGAGCAGAAAGAAATGATGTTATGAATGAATCGCCAGTTCCTAATTCGTCTTCCTGGGTCTTGCAAGATAATGCACTTGTGCTCGAACACAGCACCTTCCGAACGTCCTTGCCGATACGAATGAGGAGTTGGGCCCTCAATCTTGGGGTTAATGAAACCTACGAGGCCGTGATGATCAGCGAAGATTGTATTATATTCGTTGACTTGGTAGGATTCCTCTTTTGATCGTCATACAGTCTACTAATCGTCGTTTGCAGTCCAACGTGGCTAAAACGCGGTATCGCATATTGAGCATGTAATCTTTTCGTTTGGAGTCGTCTTCATACGAATGATGTACCCTTGTCTTGAATTCTATGAGGGGTATACGCCCTTTTTGCTGACCGTCTATGTCCACCGTAGTGGCTGTTCAATCTCCTGGATGCTCTCGGATTTGGCCCAGCTGATGCCGGACGATGCTCATGAATTCAACTGTTTCTAAACAGACAATTCCTGCACACACATCGTTATTCATTTCCGTGCTTTAGACCTGCTAACTTTCTTGAGGGTGTAGTCATCCACTGCCCTATTCGTGTAGATCGATATACATACACTGCTACGCTCATTGACAAAAAGCAAGTTTTGTCCTGTTCGTGTCATCGTTGCTAGGATCTAAAGTGCTTGCTCACAGTCGCTCCGAAGACATGATACGGCATTCCTTCCGTCTGATTTTTGCTGGCTCAACGCTTTTGACGAATCACGTCGAGAATCTCTCCTTAGGCATCCCTAAGATTCTACAGACCCTCGTACTTTATGTGTGAATTAATTTTATGTATTCGAATCTGTCTTGTCGCCGTGTCACGCTAAGGATCGACGCGTGACATCACGGTCCGTCGCGCTGGTCACACTTTCAGCTTTCAACCATTTGTTTCCGCCCGTCCTGGAGGACTTCGTACTTATTGCGGATTCTAACATCGAACAGGACGTGTACTGTAATATTGGGCTCTTGGCCAGCTCTCTAGTCAACAAAAATGGTTTCTCAAATGCCATGGGACAGACTCCGAGGAGATACGATACGGCAAGTCATCAAGGAGCTCGGTTTCAGTTACCAAGGTCTTCGCCGGGATGAGATGGTGGAATACCTGGAGGCTGTAGAATCCGAAGGATGTGGGTGTTCAATTTTTATTCGCATAATTGACCTGATCGAGCGTTAATTGTAGTGGACGCTGTTCTGGCGTCGCAGGAGGAACGGCGAGCTCTTTGGGAGATCGCCAACCCTCGAGCAAAACGACCTAGATTAACAGGAGAATCGCCTTCAAAGATGGCTACTCGAGGTGTTGCCGAAAGACGAAGTCCCTCTCGTGCTATATTCGACTGCGTCTTGGTTGCGCATCGTCCTTCTATGAAGGCGCGATCGAAAGGAAAGGGGAGGAGTAAGGATAAGAGCCATGAGAGTGGTGATGCATCTCCTCCTTATCAGCCGCCTTCAAGTACTGTCAGTGAGGAGATCGAGATGGAGACCGAGGAAACTAGTCAGGTTGAGGAAGAAGAACTTGCTGGTTTGGCGGTTGACGTACCACGCGCAAGCAAGAGATCGCCTTTGCGCAGTGCTCAAGGGGCAGTGAAGACGTATGCAGGACGGAAACCGGGACGACGGAGGAAATCAGCTGCTATCTGATGTTCATATCGTCTTTCTGTATGCTCATTAATGTTATTCAATCTAATCAAGGTATGTCTGTAACTCTCTGAGCTCCTCTAGCACTGGAAAGATACTAATTGTGCGGTACTCTCAGGCCTTGTACAAGTGTTCATACTACTGTACCCTCCAACGATTCTATTGCTACTGTACACATGGCATTCAGTGTGTGTTATGCAAGGACTCCGGACATTGTGTTTTCAGATACATCTCTAACCAGAAGTACAGTAGTCATATATCCATTTATATTCTTGAATAGGGATCCTGAGATATTTCAACGTGTCGAAAGAGGGAATGACAACCCAGCTTAAGATAAAAGAACGTCAATCAATTTGCAGCACGGGTAACGGAGGATGATTCGAACACACTAACACATATACAAACAATACACCAACCCTACTAAGGGCAACTGGACTGTCCTCCAGATCCGCTGCAAAGGATCGCTTTCAACGTAATCGGCTCTTTTTCGGGCTTGTTGAGACTCGATGGCATAGGAACTCAGTGCCCATGAAGACGAGTCCATCGCCTGACCCTGCCTCCATAATCAGATATTGTATCTAAGAAAGACAAGGTGGAAATCACTCACGGAGGTTCAAAAGGACCACAGATTGTGAGAATCCTATTCATATTCAACTTCACGGAAGAAAGAGTTTTCTCCAATATCCTGCGATCATGGTCGTTGCACACGATATTGAACGTGTGTAAAGATCGGAAACGACGTTGCTTAAGAAGGTTGTCTAGTGCCTGCCAGAAAGTATGATCGACGTCTTCATTCGCAGAGCGTGTTAATGAAGTGATGCAGATATCGATGTGCACGAGAGCAGTGGACACAACGGTGGACAACAGCTCATACAAATCGAGTATATTGATGGCGTTGCTCTCCTTCAACCGTACGCACAATCTGCGCAAGTTCATGTTATGCCGCAGAGATATAACTGAGCGGACAAAACAACGACGTGAATACAATGAACGCATATACAGTACAGTGGTCCGACTTACATATAGAACTGTCATTTGCAGCAACCGGATTTTCTTCAATACTCCAGAAGTCTAAGTCAAGCTCGTGAATGGAGGGGCCTGCAACGGCGAGAAGAGGCAACAACCAATCATTCGTCTTCAATGCTGCGCTCCGGATATCTGGCAGAATGAGAACGCAAACGCGCAAACAGGAGAAAACCGCCGGAGCAAGTCGCGGAAGTATGCTGTACAGGTAGAATGGTTTAGGTCCATCATCAGATGAAAAATCTACGGAGGAGACCAAGTTAAGAACAATGCATGCCAAGGAAAATGTCGGTTTGTAGTGTGAAACGGGATGAGAAATTGGTGCTTTGCAGAAGTCCGGACCACAGTTCAAATAGGTTAGATGAGGAAAACAAGCCAAAAGTCGCATGATGTGAGTGGCACTCCAAGGTAACGAAAGCGTAAGGAAGGTGATCGAAGAAAACTGCGTCATAGACATGAAGAAAAAGTTGTTACGATGGGCATCCTTGCAATACAGGTGTAGCCATTCTAGCCGCGGAAGACGCTCCGCTAGTAAAACAAAGCCAGAGGAGAAAAGTGGATCGAGAACCTCCAAAACACGAACATTCGAAGCGCAGTGGGGATTCGTGCGAAGCGTATCGAGTAATATTCCCGAAGAGTGCTCCGGAGATATCTCAACGTGTCGAAAGAGATTGAATCGACTACGAGGTAACCACGTCTTGCAGGTCAGAGCACATGCTCTCAAGGTCTCCCGACGATCCTCGTGTAGCTCTTCTGCGTTACCGAAAGACGTGGGATATGCAGCGCAGAAGTCAATAACGAGTTCAATGATCTCTATAGGCAAGGGGTGCATATTCCACGGAAGGATAGTAGTAGGGTCCGTCCGGGCTCGCAGTAGAACTCAAACAGAACAGCGCTCAACGCTACGACGAGAAGCGCTTGCCTTTTAAGGAGACTCACCCCTTCGCGTGGAAGAACTTGAAGCAGTCCCCAATTTGCCTTCTGGAATGAGATCGCAATATCTTACAGTGCTGTAGAATTTACCTTGGCCCATCGTATGCCGTAGCACCGCGCGCGAGGTCTCGTTGATATACAGGCCGCGAACATATCAAGGTTCCCATTTGAGGCTATATACAGTTAGAAGATGAAGCAGGTAAAGATAAATCTAGTTGTCGAGAGAGTTAAAAAAAAAAAGACACTTGCAAAAACCAAAATAACACCAAAGACACAATTGCAGCAAAAGTAGACAAAGTCGAGATACTAAAAGAGAGAAACAAATGTAGAATCAGGGTAACCATGGGTTTCCCTCACTGAACCACTGGCATGACGTCCATCTTCATAGAACACGTCGGATTCATACGCAGGGCTGTCAACGCTCCGAGCCCGGCCCATGCGCGCGTGGGGAAGAGCACCGCTGGCTGAAGATTCCACGGAAATATCCTCTAAATTATTCCATACCCATGGGTGCGAAGGGCGGAAGCGAGGGGAACTCGTTGGAACATTCCTGCCCCATTGACTCATTCGAATACCGTACGAATGCGGTGGAGGATAATCGGGAAGAGGAGCAGCATTTGGATTCGGAGAGTATTCATTCGTGAAGTCGAAAGGATGCGCTGGAAGTCGTCGAATATGCCTAACCCTTACTTCGGGAAGATCTTGTTCCTCCTCGGCTACATCCTCTGCGGAGTCATAGTCTTCCCCGTAGATCGCTGCGCTGTATTGGGTTATATCATCGTGGTCAGGCATCGCCAAATCTTCTTCTTCATCTATCAGTTCGTCCATAAGCTCTTCAGAGATTGCGAACGGATCGTCATCGTCATCTATTGCGGGAATAGAGCCTTCGCCTTCGTTCTCCCCAGCCGATGCTCGGCCTGGTGTAGGCGATGGACCGTTATGTCCGGTTAAGGATAGATCTCCCCGAACACTCCTCCGTCGTACTGGGGTAAACGGTAAAGATTTCTTCTTCTTTGGCTCCACTACGGGGGAAGTGTGAGGGTCGTCGTAGGGGGAGGGATCGCGGCCATGGAAGATTTGATCGACCGGTGTGCAAGGCAACTGCCCATCCAGCTGAGTGTCTGCCGGAGAAGAATGTCGTCCGTAACCAACTGGCTCACTATAGCTAACCTCAAGCGTCCGGTCCAGGGGAGTTGAAGGGAGAATATCAGGTCGTGTACGTGGTATAGTGATCGGGTCGCTGTAGCTGACCTCGAAGGTTTGGTGGCGAGGCGTAATGGGAGGGACTTTACGAGGCTGCTGAGACGGCGGCGGAGGCGGCGGTGGCGGAGGTGAACCTTCAGATTCACTTGACGACTCGTTCCAACGCTTAGGACCTGGGGACTTGCGATAACTGGAACGCCGGCGTCCAACAGGTGTGCGAGGCGGGTTAGGGAAAGGACCTGAAGCCTGACCATGCTTCCCCCTCGCGCTCAGAAGAGGGGCGACGACGTCGGAAGGGCTAGGAGGAGCATTAAATGAAACCCTTTTGCTTCCCCTGCGAGATCCACCGTGGTTTTGAGGTGTTTGAGGACGAACTGTGCTTCCTGAACTGTCGGCATCGGTATTTGCTACAGTTCCCGCCTCTTGTAGTTCCTGAAGACTTTGATAAAGGTCGTCGACGGCGTCGCCCCTAGAGCTTGCAGGCGATAGATTAAATGCTTGAAGTGCTGGTATACGACCGGTATTCCGGGGGAGCTGCGTATTGACGACGGGCTGAGCCTGAGGTTGAGGCTGTTCGTGATGTTCCTCTTGTTCCTCTTGTTCCTGCTGATCCTGCTGATCTTCGTCAAATGCTTCCGGCGACTTTCTTTTGGCAGGTCGAGGTTGACTTGATTCGCGAGCCCGTACAAGCTGCAGCAAAATATCGTGGACACCCGATATTTCAAGGTCTCCCCGAGGAATGATGCTCCTGATGATCTTAACCAGGGAATCAATGAACTCAGGATCGGACCTCATCTTAATGGCCTCCAGAAGCTCTTGAAGGCTCCACATCTCCATCTTCAGTCGATGTTCTGCCAAGTCCGCAGTAGCAAGGGTCTGTGCAACTGACATATACAGTCCCTTGTACCTCCTGGAAAGATCTAGGCGTTCGTCCTCGAGCTCTTGCAATGAATTCTTCACCCACAGAGGATCTTCAGGATTTGCTGGAGGATACGGGTATTTGCTGATAATATATGATTCATCCCCGTCAGCGGTTGTTCCGTGGACAGGCTCATCCAAGAGCGATTTGGCATGAGCCAAATCAGCGTAGACGGCTTCCATCCCATAACGTTTCCTGGCTGAAGCATAGTCAATATTAGCGGGGACTAGGAATTAGATGCAACCGTACGTCTCTTCACGCGTGGTGCATGTCTCCTGGCCTCAGGAGGTGCGATGCCGCCTACGAAGTCGCGCCGCAAAGGAACTCCGCGTTTCGGACTAGGGGGCCGAACTTCAGAAGGGCCACCTATAGGGAAGTGCACAAGCGATGAATGGCGAGCCAACAAAGGGGGGATGAATACGAATCACCTTGGGCAGTAGGTGGTTGGGTAGTAGGCATTTGTTGAGCTTGAGTTTGGGGTGGTGGAAGTAACGAGGGATCGGCTGTTGGATGCACTTGTTTAGTGGCACTAGTGATTAGCAACAAAGAAGTAGCTCTTACGCTGGCCAAACCAGGGAGGCGAAGACAATTGCTCAGCGATTGGATTCAGTGGTCTCGTAGGGGGGAGCTGTGTACTTTGGCGAACAGGGCCCTGTGGACGTTGATCAAGGATTGGATGACCATCGTTGGAGGCGACATCCGCCCTGTGGCCACTTCCTGAATTCTCGGCCTTCTGAGCAGAGAGGAGCGCCTCAATCATGGTCGTCTTATCAGTGTCAGTAGGAATATGTTGTTTCTATGAAGAGTGGAAGAGGAAAGACATATGAGTGGCGTAAACGAGACAATGCAGAGATAAAGGCGTACTTCAGCATATTTCCTTAAGTGGGATGTAGGAAGTTTCTCCAATTTCTCTCTTCCAACCCGATTTACGATGTACCCAGGACGATTGCTAAGTAGAGCCATAATGGCTAAAGGAGATAGATAGAGTTAGGGGGAAGGTGGTAGATGCAATCGTTGTGGTGATGATGAAAGAGAAACACGGTTCGCGTTGAGTGGCACAAAGACGCGCCTCAGCATGGGCCTTTGTGCCACTCCTCACATGACGCCACACAGCCTATCTAATTGGGATAAGCCCATTGTTCGCTAGAAGATAATTGGAAGGGTTACCTTTTTGGGATGGGATGATTTGAATTGTCGTAATTGGGCTGATAGGGACCTTACAATCGAGAAAAGCCTACAGGTTTGGGGGCAGTAGAAAGAATAACATGAAGTACAGCAAATCCAGACACAGCTAATACGAATACAACAGCGTCAGAAAGGATAAGTGGTGACGCAATAAATAAAAGATGGGAATTTGAACTATCGCGGAATGTCTTCGCGTTCAGGTTCAACATCCTGTGGATGAAAACGAGCTGTCTCTGCAATAAGCTCAGGGGGCATAGTCAATTCCTCCGCCTCCGACCTGTAAGATCAATCAATCGTATTGAAAACCTGCCTCTAGGAAAAGAACGGCTTGACTAACCCAAACAGTACCCTGAGGACTTCGTCCAACAGTGCATCTTTTCGTTGTCTCCATGCTTTCTCCTCACCTCGAAGGATGCGGAGTTCAGATATTAGGCTCGTATGCTCATCCATTGCATAGTTATACTTGGCCTTCATCAAAAGATACTTCACCATAGCTGGTGTTCTCCCCATAATCAACCCAGTCTCTGGATCCCTGAGCGACCACAAATGTGGTGGGATACTGTCCTCGTCTTCTGAATCTTCACTCAAGTCCGGACTGACAGGCCGTTGTCCCAAAACACCATTAGCAAAATGCGGGACGCCATTGCCTTCGAAGGGCGACATTCGTCCATCGTCGTATTCGCCATGTGGTTCGGGGTATCCATGATGGTCTACTCTGAAGGTCGCATATCCTTCGGCGCTATGTGCCTGGGGCAGATCCGGCTCTTCACGTTTTCGTTTGCGGTTCCCTCCTCGACCAGGAAGAGGCGGAATGATGTTATGCTGCACACGCATATGCTTGGCTAGAGCATCTGACCGGGTGAAAGACTTGTCGCATTCTACAATGAGTTTATTGTCAGCTTTGCGAAAGGCCCCTTGCCCCCTCTATATACGCACCTGGTCTTGGACATATGAAAGGCTTCTCGCCGGTATGTGAACGTATGTGTGATATAAGGGCAAAGCGGGACGTTTGAGCGATACCACGACGAGGACAAGTCTTCCATTCACAAGTATAATTTGATTTGTGAACACCGATATGATCTGCAGTTTATGAACACCTGTCAAGTGATTCCTCACAACAAAAGCACACACCGTTGTGGATATGGTCGATCAAGGTGGGCAAGTGGTTGAATACCTTCCCACATTCCTCCCATTGGCAGCTCATAGTATCATCGTCGAAAGCCTCATCTTGCATCTGGACATCTGCGTGGGAAGGAGAGCCAGGGCGAGATACAGAAGGTCCAACATATTGACTTGGACTTTCTGGTCGGGCTGTCATGTCTGAGGAAGAATCGTACGAACGGTCTGACAAGTGAGAAGAGTATCCAGGAGAAGGGGAGGGGCTGAAATTGCTGCGTGCCATCCTGCAAGATATAGAAGCCTGGCTGCGCGGGAGCCGTTCTCCAGAGAGAACAATGGGAGAAGCCTCAAGGTATGACCAGCGAGTAAGGTTAAGGATAAACACAAGTTGTAAGCGGCTGTGTGGGTCATAACAAATAAGTGTAATGTGGCTGTAACTAGCCTTACAACAGTACATGTAGTCCAATACAACGGAATTTGTATAGAGTTTTAGCGCCTATAGCTTCACTCCTTACCGCCACTGGCACTTGCACCGGTACCTTAACATCAGACATCTGCTTTTCTACGTTCCAAGGACGTTCTTGTATACCAGAATTTCAGTTGCAACTATGAGCTCACCATTTGCGACATATCCTGTCCCAGAACGTTCGTTCATTCCAGCACATCCAGTTCGTCCAGCAGCCACTGCTCCATCTCGAGGAACAGGTGCCAAACGAGGCCGTAAACCAAAAGGAAGTGTACCTCCCGCATCTTCAGAGTCATCGCGACCTCCTGCGCAGTCTCCACCTGCCACTAGTCCACCTACGACATTACAATGGTCGAATGTTCAGGCTCCTGCGGGTCCTAGCGCGAGTACCAGTACTTTCACTGTTGCTCCGAATCCGAATCCGTCACCTCCTATTGTGGTCACCCAAGAAGCAGTTAACATTCAAATTGCCTCTGAGACTGGTTCAATTCTTGCGCTGCCAGGTGCCATTGTGCCTCCTACGCCTGAGGCACCTGCAGGTGTGAAGGCGGAAGTTCCTGTTGTAGTCGTTCCTGGGGCTGAAGATGAAGGGGATGGAGACGATGAAATGTTACCTGCAATGGCAGATGACGACTACTCTGCGCAGCTATCATTCCAGAGTCAGTCGAAAGACAATCTGAAGTATGCAAGCTACTCCATGTTTTGGTCGTAACCATGCTAACTTCCAGGTCGCAATTTTTAGAGTCCTTATGGATAACTTTAGCTCGGCTCAGTATGATAGGTTTGAGGCATATCGTCGACACGCCCTTCCGAAACAAGCTGTCCGCAAGGTATGTAGTCTGAATAATTGATGTCGCGTTCAAACAATTCACACCGTTCTGCAGGTCATCCAGCAGACCCTCGGACAACAAGTATCTCAGCCTGTAGCCCAGATCGTTGCTGGTTTCGGTAAGGTTTTTGTAGGTGAGATGGTTGAGAAAGGTACATGACTATCCTTTATGTTCACTCTTGTCACTCATCCTCGATGCAACAGCTCGGGAGGTACAAGCTCGTAAAGGAGAGACCGGTCCTCTCTCACCGGATCATCTCCGGGAAGCGTATCGCGTGTATCAACAGGAAACAGGCCGTGTTGGTGCTGCACGCCCTCTAAAGGGCAAGAAGATCTTTGTGCGCTGAACTTCGCGTCATCATGACAGCGATTCAATCACAATAGTGGAAGCCTTGATACGGGTGAGTCAGTTTGTTTTCCATGTAATGCTGTGTGGTGTTGATAGGCAGACGCCGTTACGAAGGAGCTGGGACTTTCCCTTTGAGAAACCGATGTCATTGGTCGAACACCGTTTTGAGGTTGACCCGCCTTCTCCTTTGATCCGACCTACGTCGGTTGAAGGTGCAGATCGCACGAGGTCGAAGGTTAATTCTGCGATGGTGATTGTGAAGGTCGAAATGCATGACATTGCTGGCGCTTCGCAGCGCAATTCGACATGCGGTGCAGTTGACATTGACGTATCTCTGAAATTCATGGTGTATCGAAGGTCACTCTTTCTTGCAACCTGCGGTTAGACAATGATACGCGAGCCGAACATGCTTAGAACTTACATCATGTCATTTCCGGCTTGACAAGTGTCCAGAGGATTCGCATATGACTTCTAGAAAATACCACGGATACATAGGATCGATTATTCTATCTGTTCTATGTTCCTTAATCTCAAAGATAGATGGTGTTGTTTCAATGACTTGCTTCAGATTTGGTATCTCTTTTCTCTGGAGGGTATAACTGGAAAAACAATTCAGATACCTCAACCAACGAGAAAGGAACACTGAAACACGTACTTTGCCAGGATTGAACAAGTTGTAAGGATCAATAGCTTTCTTGACTGTTTTCATCAGCTCCACAGTTCCGGGACCTAGCTCGTCTATTAGGTATTCCCGCTTGCCAATCCCTACGCCGTGTTCGCCAGTACCTGGGATCGGGCGTCAGAGACATAGAAGAAGGGGGTTAAGAATGTGGTCGGACGTACATGTGCCGTCAAGAGCGATAGCACGTTCAACCATCCTGTGGACGATCTCTCGGATGGTCTTCAATTCTTCGTCAGTTTTGAAGAGCAGAAGAGCGTGGAAGTTCCCTGATGGTCATATACACCAGATAGCATGAGCCGATGAGCCGAAAAGAGAGTGAACATATGGCATACCATCTCCGACGTGACCAACAATTGTCGACACAACCCCAGATGCCGCGATATCCTTCTTCGTCTCATACACAAGCTGCGGTAACCTCGAAACCGGTACACTATTACATCCCAAATCAGCTTGGTACGTTTCGCAGCAAACCTGCGTGCAATGCGAAACTCACCAAACGTCCGTACTCCATCCTTTGCTTCCTTCAAGAAGAGCCAACCCACTATACAGCGCATTCTTTCTATCCCTCCAAAGCAACCCCGCTTCCTCATCGGAATGTGCGAGCGCAAACCCATATCCTTCGTGTTTCTTCGTAATTTGTTTGACGATCGCGGCTGTTTCTTGGAGGCTGCGAGGAGTTGGACCTTGGAGTTTGAAGAATAAAGAATCGACTTCGGGCCACTTTCTTGCTGACATGCCATAGAGGTTCGTGGAACGCATGAAGTCGTCGTCTACGAGTTCGACGCATTCTGTCGTAGAGAAGGAAGTGAGGTAAAGAGCGAATGAAGGAGAAATGGGGAGCGGAACGTACGGATTCCAACACCTTGATTCATGATCTCTATCACAGCTTCGGTGGCTTTCTTGACATCTGGGAAGTGGACTACAGCGACGTTTGTCGGAAGTACAGGTGCCAAACGAATAGTGACTAAAGAGGTTTAGGATTAAATTTTCGAATAAATTCTGAATGACGATGATAGCCTTACCTTCGGTGATGATTCCCAGAGTGCCTTCTGCACCGATGAACAGCTTGGTGGTGTCAAACCCAGCGGACGACTTGCGCGATCGTTGACGAGTCTTGATGACTTCGCCGTTCGGAAGGGCCACGGTCTGAAGAACAATGTAAGTGAGCTCGATATGAACGACTCAAAGAGGCGAAACGATGTCACGTACAATATTGAGGAACCACTCTGCTTTCGCCGTCCCGTACCTCACGGCATTAGCTAAAAATCCTATTAGTATGGCGGCGCTGGCGTAGTTAGAGCAAGATTTACTAACTGCCTGAACACCCTGTGCTAACCATGCCTCCAATGGTTGCTCCAGGTCCGGGATCAATCTGCCAAAAGGTACTCTGAGTCGAACTCTGGAGAGATAAGAACATAAAGGTCACACACCGGAAAGAATAGTGGTATGCCTACAGAGTATTTATAATCAGGATGATGGGTAAGACATTTGGACGAAGGAGCGAACTCTACCTTTCTTCTTGAGAGTTGCGTTAATATCCATCCAGTGTGCGCCAGGTTGGCAAACCAAATCTGAGTCGGCTTCTACAGCAGATCAAACAGCTTAGAAAGAATGAACAAAATGTGAGCTACCATCATGAACTTACCGTGAATCTCGATGATCTTATCCATGTTAGACATATCCACGCAGATTGCACCAATTGGTGGCTGCCTCGAGGCTCTGAATTATGAAATTAAAAAGAGAAATAAAACGAAATGCTTACTGCTCTATAGTGACCTTCAAGACTGGTTGCACCGGAATATGGGATGACCGGCATCCGATATTGATTCGCTATCTTAACTATCTTTACCACTTCCTCTGTTGATTGTGGAAAGACAACAACAGCTGGCGAAGAGCCTAAGAAAGCGAAAATTCCCCGTATTAATGCGACGTGTATTCAGAGAGAACAAGTCCTGATTACCTGGATGATAGTCATTCTCAGAAGAACCGTGGTATTCTAGGACCTCAAGGTCAGTTGAGACAGAATCAACAGGGAAGGCGGCCTGTAAAGCTGCGATAGCCTTTTCAAAATCTTCAATAGAACCGTATGTATCGTTCAGACCCGGACTTGTGCTGAAGATTTGAGCATTCTTTGGAGTATCATCGGTCTCCTTGCCATTGAGAGTACTGGCTACAGCCAGACCGATGGAGATACCTCCAAGTAGTAGAAGAGCTCTGGAGTTCAACCAGTGTAGCCCTTTTTTATTTACTGGTTGGGATGTGGATGTACTGTTGTATCTAGCGCAAGCCGGTAGACCTATGTTCTTGCCGTTATTGAACTGGGTTCGCAGGAATGTTCTTGATATTCTTCTGCCAAGCGACATTGTTCCACAGTCAAGAGGACTTCCACCTCCTGCAGGACGCCTGTGAGAAGAAATGAAACAAGTGCGTGTGAACGTTTCGCATCCTGATTGTCCTTTACGAACAAGTTGTACTTGATGGCGAGCGTAGCACGCAGACTGCTGCTCGGCCCGGCAGAGGTCGATCATCCGACAGACGCGATCGGGCAATGATCGCATTTTCTCACGTGCAGTGGGCCAAACAATCCAAGTTCATCCTCGTCCGATGGGGAGAAAGTTTCTGCGTAAATACTCCCAAAGTATTGTTTAAACTTTTATGCTTCTCAAGCTTCATCAGTTGATGCGTATGCGGATCTAGGTCGACCTGGACATGCATTCGTTGTCACTTGCTGCTTGACGTGGCTTCACGGTGGTAAATCGTGTCCACTATTGGTCCAAAGTAACTGACCCTACAGATGTCAGAAAACGGCGTCCCTGTACCTCTATGTGGTCTAGATCATGCGAAGCCAAGTACGCCACCACCGTCAACGAAACTGATTACTGAGCGATGGCGAGCGGTGCTCTGAAATAAGGGTGCTGACCTTTATTTGTTTGATGACTGGTCCCGACGAAGATGCGGAGGTTGCTTGCTTTGGTCCCAGGAAAATCGGAAGTTTGATGGGTTGCCAGAGACTCATTATGTTGCTGTGACCGTACAATCGCATTCCGGCTGGCTCTACTTCTAGGCATTAGCAGAGTTGTGCCTCCTACAGCCGCTCTTCTGCCTGCGATGTTCCTGACGTTCTGGCTCAGTTATCCACTCCTCATTGCGGAAGACGCAACAACCACTATCCCCCTTCCAATAATCTGTCATCGTGACCATATGGTGCCGTCCTCCCCATCAATCTACATAGTATAGATCCATCGCTTTGAAAAGGGACGCCCAGCGCTTCAGATGCAAGGACGCCGGGAACTCTCATCTGCAGCGTTCGGCAGACCTTCTGATCCCCTGATCGTTTCCTTCAGCTTCTTCGCAGGAATCTCAAAGGAATCCAATCGTGCCCCTTATATAGCCAATTCCCCTTCGGATTTAAACATGTAGAAGGCCCTTCTCCCCCTCCGTCGACGCGGTTGTCGCTCACTCCTGTAGCATACTGTATATTCCCCCGGGCCTACCTGCGTCCGTCCTGAGCCATGGATTCTCCACTCGCCCACATGTCAATCCCACAAATCCTAGGAGGACTTATTATAGGTATCGGCGTCGGCTTAGTGTAAGTCGGGTTTGCTTCTCCCCTTAAGAGAACATCGCTAAGCTCGGGTTTTGATTTCGTGCCTCAGTCTATATGGGGTCACCATGACCCAAGCATACGTTTACATGCTGAACTGCGAGAGTGATCCAAAGTGGATGAAGCTCCTGGTTGTCCTTGTCTGGTGAGCTATATTCTTCAACTCTTACGCATACCCTGAACTGTCACTTTTTAGCATCTTAGAAACGGTTCATACTGCGTTTATCTTCCGCCAACTTTACAACTACTCTGTCAGCGCGATCGCAAACCCTCTTGTTCTTGGTAATATCGACTGGTTAGTGCTCAGCCTTCGGAATCTTTGAGACTCGTTATTAACATGTTTCTCTAGGAGTGTTGGGGTACGTTTGTTTAGTTGACCTGCCACACCTAGCTATCTGAGATAAACAATCGTCAATTCTAGGCCACTCTATTTTCTTCGGTATGTTATCTGTAGGTAATGCGGGCGTCGCACTAACGACGCGAAAAACAGAATGCGATAGCAACCCTGGTGGAAGGGTACGTTTTCCTTGATTGATGATGTATATGAAATGATGTTGATTGTCCATTTGCAGCTTCTATATTCGGCGTCAATGGATTTGTAGGTTTACACGTTACACGATTTCAATCAAGTTGTCGAAGCTGATTCATCTCTCCAACTTGTCTAGTGAGCAGGAGTTACATCTTAACATTGGGAACCGTGCGTTATTTGTCCTCTTCGTCTTCAATCTGATTGAGCTTGATGTTCCAATAGGCCTTGCTCCTCCTTGTTCGTATCGGTGTTCACATAGGTAAGCCTGAGCTTGCAAACTTATGCTAGTGCTTCGAACTAACTGGTTCTTTTGCAGCGGTCAGCATCGAGACGTGAGCCCAAACCACTGGACCTTATGCTCGCCTTGATCTTTACGATCTCTTAGATATCTTTTCCCCACTTGGAACGACTTCCATCAAAAGCATTTCCTCAATGTGCGTGCCTCTTACTGACGAGCCGCTTCAGCTGACACGCGGCTCTTGTGACCTCAGATCCTGGTACAATCCACGCTAGCGTTGACCGCAGGAGTTGATGCTGTCGTCGCTGCATCAATGGTGTATTTCCTTCGCCGCGAAAAAGGTACTCATACAGGGTTCGTATGCGTTTCGCTCGGGTATATTCGAAGGTTCTGATGATGGGTATGGAAACTACAGGGCGAAAGGAATCATCACCTGGATGATGATGTATGCTGTGCACAGTGGCCTGATCTTGATGTAAGTCTGCGCCCGACGCTTCGAAATCTACCTAAGTAATGCGCTCAATCGTTAATTTATTTATTTCATTGCACTAGGGCGGCTTCTTTGGTGGTGGTCCTCACGGTGAGTCGTTATGCAACATTCACTTTAGCTACCGGAGTCTGACTCGTGATGCAAGTTCGTGACCATGAGTGACAGTCTGACATTCGCAGGGTTCATAGCAATCATCGGAAAGCGTAAGTACTCTGTGAACGCTTGAAGCTTATAGCTTCTGACGTATCTTTAGTGTACTCCAACTCCTTGCTTGGAACGTAAGTCTTATCCTACAGGCCACGCTCTGAACACGATTTTCATGCCCTTTATTGGCCCTCCGTAGGTTGAACGCAAGACAAGTATTCCGATCCAAAAACTCTGACCCAGTTGTCAAACTCAGTTCTATGGGTTCAAACGCAATAGAACTGTCAGGCTTTCATCACCGTAGTCTGCCTTCTCAGGGGGTATGTTCACGACCATCTGTACTTTCATGATCATCCTAATTTTTCTTCATCTCAGGTTCGAGTCGATATTACGCAGGAAACAAGCAGTATGTCAGACAAACATACAGTAGGTTCAAAACTGCCATCTGTATGGCTGTCCTAATTGCGATTCTTTCCATCCAGCCTATTAAGTCCCACCATGATGCTTAGGTTCTCATCCAAAAGGCTTCGTTTATTTACTTTGTGTGCTCTGGGGCCGGTTCTGTGTACACCCATGTAGACAGCACGTGTTGCATTCCTTATATACGCTCGTTTCATTTGACGCTATCGTCTAGGAAGGAGTGATTGACACTCCGAGGTGTGTCTCTCACGTGAGTACAATATCTTAGTGGACATAAATGCTTCAACAAGGCTTTGCCTTTCCCCGCAGGATTCTCATCCAGGTAGGATAATGGCTTTCCAAAAAGCATTAATATACATAGCCTACAGAAATAAAAGGATGACGATACATGACATTACATGCTATGTGCAAGATATTATATGACCGAAACTAAAATGCAAGCAACTAGTATGCAGGAGTCAAACGATAAAGGAATGGAATGCGAGGACGTTGAGATAAACTTGACGATGACAGAGAAGAAACAAGAGAGAAAACACATAGATAAGAAATAAGAATAGTGAGAAATTATGGTCAGAGAAGATACCGATGGCGGAGATTGGAGAACGACGTCCCTAATTTCTTGAAACAAGAGAAGATTCTAAGCACGGGGGTCTGTTTCGAGACAATTGGGAATATATGCAATGAAGACGAGGCTGAGAAACTAGGTGGTAGAGAAGAGCGGCAGAGGGGAATAGCGTCTGTTAACGAGGAGACTTCTGCGATCGTCACAATAACAAGAGGAATCGAGGACGCCGAATCCAGCGATGAGAAACTTGAACTACCAGAGGTAGAAGTGTCTCCGATAGACGAGGAGTTGCCATGGTCAAAGTCCTCACGTGTATTTACGGTTATGCCTGAAGTGCATCTAACTTCACCGAGCGTGGGCGGTTGATACTCCTTGACGAGATTCTTTGGCATTGAATGAGAAGACACAGGGATGGTGTCATGTACGATATATACGGCCAGGTCTGTAGTGTTGTCTTGAGGATGTTCGGTTTGAGGCGATGTCATAGATTCATCTTCGATCGACAGCGCGGAGACGACGTTAGATGTATCTGTGTTGTTGGACAGTGAGAGAAATGGAGTGGGTGGGTCGAAGTACATTGCGTGCGCGACGGAGCTTGAACTATCGCGCAGTGAGTTAGACACAGGATGCTTGTCATCTTCGGTGCAAGGTGGACTATGCGCTGGCGGGAAGGTATCCTGATGATGATTTCTGTAGCGTAGGAATGGCAAAGAACCAGAGTCTTCCCTCCCAACAAGGTTCATGACGTCGAAGGAGGCTTGTTGAACTGACCGGGGTCCCTTATCGAATCCAGCCGGAGTGCCCCAGTTTGGAATAGAGAAGGACAGTGATCTGGATTCTTCACGAGAGAGGTTGGTGACATAGTCATCAACGTTGTCTGGCTTATTAAGACCAGAACCTTCGTGAGGAAGTTCCATTTCACCATAATAAGGGACACTGGGTAGGTGAATGCCGGAAGCCGAGGACGGGGCAGAGTCAAGTGGGTATCCAATCAGAGGCGGAAAAGGCGGAGCATGGATGTAATCAGGCAGCGAAGTGGAAGAAGCAAGAACAGGAAGAGTGGAAGGTGCATCGGCGAGTTGAGGAGAAATGTAGTTGAAATAGGGAACGATGTCATCGTCGATGTTCAAAGGAACACCGACGTCGATAGGAGACATTGTTCCCTGAGAGAAAGGCTTGCAGGCACCAGGAATCCATGGTGCCATCAACGTATTGTTTGCTAAGCCTTCCCAATCGCTTCAACGTATATCAGATATGCATCTCAATGACATCATCATTGCACTCACAATGGTTTGAAAAATGGATGTGATTTGAGACGAGTCGCTGTCGGTCTCGTACCAGGATCCATGTCCAACGCCTGATGAAGCATAAGTTAAGAGAGGGCGAATTGAGATGATTAGACGTACTCGTCGAATGAAAAGTTCTGCATCTTCTGGAACACCATACAGTGCTCGCTCCCACTTCTCGATACTGATCGTTCCTGTCATAATACTCTCTGCCAAAGATTGTATGTCCGTTTTATCCCATGGTGACTTTCAGAGAGTAATGCACATCAGCACGACAGTCTGACACCAAATGTTATGAACTTGAACTTACACGACCAAACAGCATCTTGAAACTCATGACTCCCAGAGCCCAAATGTCCACGCCATACGTGTACAGGTGCCCGTGATAAAGCTCAGGAGCAGCATACTCCGGAGTTCCACACCCCTTCGCGGTCACTTCAGAGAACATGCCATTGCACAGGTCATCCTGTCCCCCAGATGCTGCCAGTGGATCGATTGACTTCTCGAACTCACAAGCATGGTTTTCGAAGCAGCGAGCGAGACCTAGATCTGCTATCTTCATCCGGCCATCTGAACCGATCAGGATGTTGGCAGGCTTAATGTCTCTGTGGATGATGCCGCGAGAGTGAAGAGCGGTGAGACCATTAAGCTAGAGAGAAGTACTAAGTCATCTTCAGAAACGCAGGCCGCATTGAAGACTTACTATATCAGCAATGCAGAATCGGGCATGTTCCACAGGCAATTGGCCGCGTTTGTCCAATAGGAACTGTAAGTCTCCACCCGGGCAGAAGGGCTGAGATATGCTTTCAATACTTGAACATCATCCGAAAAAATGATAAGACCCACCATAACCAGATAGAAGTTCTGGCTATCGTGCCAACTCCCAAGTAGTTCCACGACTTCCTTGATTCCCTCCGACCGCCTCATCGCAATCAACTCGTCCAATCCCGCAGCGCAGTTCCTCAAACTTGCAGTGCCCATAGATCTGTGCTGGTCATCACTTCGAAGTACAGGTCCAAATACATCTTCTCCCGTAGTACTCGAGTGAGGAAGACCGTTGCGAGAAGAACCTACTCGCTTCTTCATGACCTTTACAGCAACATGTCCACCTGTCATCTTCAGACGTGCGTGATAGACAGTACCGAAACCGCCAGCCCCTAGTGGACGGACTATGTTGAAGTCTCGAAGTTGGAGTTGGCCATCAGGTGGAGGAAAGGCAGACGTTTCCTCCAAAGATGAGGAGACAGATACAGCAGGGAGAGGAAAGGTGGGATATGTATCGTCCGGGAACGACGGGAGTGCGGAAAGGGAATATACTGAATCAGAGGCTTGATATGAAGAATACTTGGGAGAGATGGTAGTTGATGATACGAGAGTGGATTCATCGGTGATGAATGCAGACGGAGAAGGGCTCGAGACACTGGAAATGTTGTCGAGATCCAAGCTGTCGATGAATGAGAGCTCGATTGTGGCAAATGCTCCCTCTTGCGTTTCGGGAGAGATGGCCGTCTGCTCTACCCTGATGATGCGCGAGGGAACTGTCACATCGAGAGGTAAAATTCCAGATGCGTATTCTCCACAGTCTATATTGAGGAGACGATTGAGATCACGAATGGAAATCCCATCTGACATCTGTATCGTCTCGTAAAAAACATGCAATGAGACAGCAATGAATAAGTATACCATGTCTGCCATGAAACTGGCCAAGACTCCTGTTGTCAATGGGCGTTGGACACGAATTGTGGGAAGAAGTATCTCGCAGAAAAATAGTCGAGGATATACAAGTTCCGCATCCTGCCCTTGTGCTGCTTTGGCCTACATGCAATACGTGTTAGATGTGTGGGAGGGATGTGAGTGACATAAGGAACTGACGAGAGTGAGTAGCGATGAGGCTCTGGATGCCTCCACTGAGGTGTTCTGTGGAGGCTTGAGAGCGCAACTTGCTTCGATAAGCTTCGAAAGATATGAGCGATCGGTCACAAGTAAGATGCAGTGTGTTCACTCACTGGTGGATCCGCGCAGGGATGTGAGGATATGTGACGAGCACCGTGAGGATGCTGGACGAAGAGAACTCAACATATTTAGCTCTAAAGAAAGTAAATGGGAATACTCACTGCTATAGAAGGGCGATTGCGGCGAAGGAGAATCTTGATCTTTGCGAAGAAGGCCATTGCTTAGACTTGCGAAGGGCCGTCGGTGGTGGAATGAGAAGAAGAGAAGAACACAGATACATTGCCAGCCATCCGCACCATATACTGGGGCATGCAAGAGGCTGACCATCCTTAGACTATATTGACTTCCGTCGGTCAGCAGTCACAGGGAGTCTAGTCCAGGAAGAGGTACCCGAACATTGTCAGCCTAATCTGTGAGAGTAAGTAAATACATGTTGTCGGACCCAAGAATGAGTGTGAATTGGTGACAAGATGAGCGACAGGCCGGTTCCTGGTCTGACTTATTTGTCATTCATCCTTTGAGCTTTTTGTCATGAAGAGAACCATTGGATTTCATTCGATGCCTGTTGAATGAAACTGCAAATGCTGCTCGGTCCCACAGAGGTATCGTGGCCTATAGCTACAGCATGCTTTGGAGTTTCATTGATATACATCGCAGTAGCGCGAGTCGGATGTGCCAGCATCGAAGCGATGCTCAATGCGATTAGCGCCTAACGCTCGGTATCCGTTTATGGCAATACAAGACGACGGTGCTGCTAAACAGAAGCAAACACCTGTCTAAACCAATTTTTGAGCCGCTGGTACTCCTCCAGGTCAACGTTCACCATGCGTGTGAATCATTATTCCAATGACGTGCCATACAATTTCTAGTTTAATTGGCGTCTCTGTAGCTGTCTGTCACGTAATACCTGACGGAAATTTCCAAACTTCTAATCAGCTTAGATAGAAGCATTCCCGCGTCTACCGGCGGGGTATGTTATAAGGCATGCGTTGGACATGCGGCGGCACCTTTGCCCTTCCTTCCCCCTCCCACCACACAACATGCGTCTCATCGCCTTTTCTTGGGCTGTGACTATTACCGTCTTATTTTTCCTCTCAGGTGTCGCAAGTATACGCGGATCCGATACTGTTGCCAAACGCTCATCGTAAGTCTCTCATTCACAATCCGGAGGCTCTACCTAAACGTGCAGTATCACTAGTTTCACAGGTAACGCAGAGTATGGTCTTCGCTTCCTGGTGTATCTGACGGTCATTTGTAGATAACAAAAGTCAGGCTAGCCATGTTGATGACTTTTTGCGTTACACCTCCATCTTCGGAGGCGCAAAGCAGAAATTCCTCGACATCGTTAAGGGTCGCCTAGAGCATTCCAATTTCGATTTCTGGAAGCATGCAGAATCCCTCGGCAAGAAAATGCACACATATACGGATTCCCTCTTAAAGGATGCAGCATCGCAAGTTTCATCAGCTTCTGGGCGTATTGAGGATGTCAAAAATACGATGCATACGCTCGTGTCCGCTGCTGCCCATTTTGAGGCGGCTGTGATCGCCCACGCCAAGGAGGGTACGACATTGGAAGCAATATCTGAGGACTTGGACAGTGCCTTTGCTCCGATTCTCGAGGAACTCCAGAAGATGTTCCCTTCCCCCGACGAGGCAACTCATCATGCCGAGCGAAATCGTACTATCTACACCATCCTCGCGAAGGTGGAGGATGCTATTGTTCGAGTTGGAATCAAGCACGGAATGAACGAGGAGGATCTTCGCAAGCATATCGACCAAATCAATATCCATGTTGCAAAGGTTGTGGTGCTCGTCGGTTTGTCATACCCACCTTGATTTCTCATAACATGACAGTACTTGATTTCTATTTCCAGGAGATCTGTCGGAGCAACACCCTATCCTACGAGACACAATGATATTCGCTGTCGTGACTATGCTGGTTCCAGAGTCGTGGATCCTGAAACCACTCCTCCGCATATTCGGCTTCGGCCCTCGTGGTCCCATCAAAGGTGTGTTCTGCAACTCATCTTCCGGGTCGCTCAATATAAACACGTTCTGTAGGGACCCCCGTATCCTGGGCACAGCGATACTTTTACGGAGCAGCTGTGAGGAAGGGTAGCTGGTTCTCCCACCTTCAGCGGGCTGGTATGACTGTTGTTCCACCTGGAACTGGGAAGAAGGTTATTGGAGGTGTCGGTGCGGGTGTTGGCATAGGTTTGAGTTTCATGCGCTGTTAATCATAACGTCACTACCTCGCTCTCCGCTATGTTTCTTGTTCTTTTTGATCCGACTTGCTTTCACTCCTGTAGCGTTGTAAATGCCTCGCTCAAGTACTTCCGTGTAATTATATTGGTATCTTCTGACAATGGGCCAACGTACTGTACAATATCGAGACACTTGTAGTACAATCCAGCAAAAGTCACAAAACCAATCGGGTACGTCGCGCATAGATATTTGCTACCTGCAGAAGATTCAAGTTTATTTCTTAATGCAAAGCGACTCCGCGGCCAAGACCGCTAAGGAGGGAGCATACAAGGCTGCCGTCGAATTCTTCAAAAAGCACTTGTAGATCGGGCGCGAATATCAAGACAATCCAGTCGTGCAGTATATTGTTTGTAATACGTATGACTGCGAAGTCAAATAGATATCTATAGCTACTTGACGTGATGTTCATCCTGGTCCCAAGCTCTGCGTAGCCTTCGCTGTGCTTTGACAAATGTCCTCTCTTCTGCAGGCAGCTCCGAGTCTCGTTCGAATGTGCAGAAAGTAGCTTATGCTTGAGCATTCTGGGAACGAATCAGAGTGGTTCCAGTTTCCAAAAGGTTATATAATGTATTTAGGGCACCGTAGCGTTCTGCGAAAAGCTGCAACAAATTCACTCCCTTGATGTAGTACCCGGTCAAACTCTCTAGATGCCGGATCAAATGCGTACGAATGGATGATAAAAAGACCGTAGCCGGATGCTAGAAACCAATCACCAGTCTTCGACGAACTTCTGCTCGCTCGGAGTCAACTCGTGTTCGAATATGCTGAGAGTTGGTCTCGCTTGAGCATACGCCTCACGAATCAACGCGGCATGTTTCTCGCTACGAGGCTGAATGTTGCATTTGAAAGGCTTTGGTCCAATCGCGATGCCCTATATCAACGGTTACAAACCGAACGCTGAACACCCCAAAGGCACAAGGGCAGGTACGTACGGTTGTAAAGTCTTCTGCCCGGATGGGAACGTGGCGGTCGCGGTTGGCTGCATCGGCGATTTTCATATCGAAGCCCCACAGAAGATTTATGACGTTCATGATCTGACGAGAAGTATTGGGTTAAACCCGACGCAATACGGAGAAATAGAAAGAACAAATACGATAGAACTGTTTGCCAAGTGGTTTCCGGGACAAATGCGCTGCAAATCGGGTCAGAGCACTTCAAGAAGAGGAATAGAATTAACACTCAACCCTTCCGCTTCCAAAGTGGAGATCAGAACGAAGACCAGTGGTATCTGCATTCGGCTTGGTTCCGAATTCAGAGTTGAGGTAGCGTTCCGGATTGAAGATTTCAGGTCGTTCATATAATTCCTCGCTATGATAAATCCCATCTGAAGGGAAAAGGCAATGTTCGGAATCGTCTTTCCAAATCCTAAGTGGCATGACGCACAGATGTTCATGAAAATCGTAGAGCCTTTAGGTATGAAGTACCCGTCAATCTACAGGTCGTTCTGTGAGTTGAAGCGGGGCTAGTGATGAAAGATCTCACAGTTTCATCAATGGTAGTGGCGTGAGGGATCCCCAGAGGACCACTGGTGTAAAACCGATGCACCTGCACAATAGTTGAAGAAATGAGACTATCTGTATTCTTCACCTTACCTCTTTGATTATTGCTTGTATGTACGGCAGGTGTTCAATATCCTGCGAAGTAGGCACCCTATTGAACCCAATCAAGCCGTCGATCTCTTCCTGTGCCCGAGTCTGCACATCAGGATAGCAAGAAATGCAAAGAACAAATCTATGCAGATAGGCAGCAGTCGTGGCAGAGCCGCCCTCAATACAGACGCCTCCCAGGTACCTTCAGTTGCACCCTTTAAAACAGTAAACTCAGTAAATGACTGATTCCGCACTCACCCTACCATATCCCTTGTCAATCCCAACTTCTCCTGCTGATCGATAATATCTTCCAGGAAACAGCCATTCCTTCGGCCTTCCCTGATCCGGCGTTCGCAATCATCTCTCAGATTGAAGTACATGCTTCTTTGCTGTTTCCGTATATCCCTAGTAATGGTCTTCCACGAAGCCCAACGTCCCGGAATGTACTCCAATGCAGGTATAAGATCGATGGGAGGATGAGCGCCCGGTGCAATTAAAGCCTCCCATTTGTGTTGGATTGAGAAAAAAAGGGATGCAACACTATCTGCGTATCGGGGGCTTCGAAAACCACAGACCGTGGAAAGCATGATGGAAAATGTTTGTCTTTGGATGTGGTCAAAGAAGTCCTGCAGCAGGTGTAAAACGGTACAGGCAGTGATCGAGTAGTGTTAAGACGTGCCTCAGGCTGTTTCAGTAAATCGTACATCATCTGTGTTGCCTCCGCCTGTTGAATAGGCGTATGCCAGAAACAGGCTTCGCGAGTCAGGAGCTGCTGTACTGCTCGCCTTAAAGACTTCCATACTGGACCTACATAGTGACAGTGAGAATTTTGTCATAGATACCAATGAGAGGAAAGCCGCTGACCACTTCGAGCCACTGCCAGGCTCAACCCATCGGTGGTGATATCCACGATCCTTGACGGAGGTCGGTCGCTCATGGAACCACTGCGTTTGTCCATGAAATCCCGTATTAGGCGAGGGGAGGAGATTACAATAATTGTCTGCGATGCCAATTTCAACTGGACCGCTAGTCAAACAAACAATACACAGAATGGTAGCAGCATCTTTCCATACTGAGAATATACCACCATATTGCTTGCTCCATTCCGTGAATCTATCCAGTGTCAAAGATGTCTAGGAATATAACAGTAAGAGATTCCTTACCGAAGGTAGGCAGACTGAGTAGGGAATTGATGTATATTTCCTATGATAGGAAGAGTAGGTGGACCAGGAGGGAGACCCGACTCTCGTGAACCCTTTCCGCGCAGCTGACTGAGTACAAATAAAACGAGCAGGCTCAGAAGTGCAATAGATGCCAGCATAGTGAGAGTTCGGGCGGTCGATAAAGCAATGGTCAATGAATTGGGTTGTACAATGGCGTTGAATTATATATAAGCTGGAGCGCTGCGGCGTCACTTCAGCTCAAGACTGGGGTCATTGAATGACATAGATAGAGATAGAGATTTTCTCGATAGGCTGGCAATGACGTTAAGCCATCATCGGTCACAAAGGACCTCCGAGAATGCCTCCTTAATGTATCGTAGACAGCGTCACGTTCGCAAAAGAGCTGCAACGAATTTACTTCAGTAAGGCAGACGGAGACAAGGCGTGTCAAATACCCCAAATGTCAAAACTAACGCGTACAATCGGACGATAGGGATACCATAGCTGGACACTAGAAACTGCTCACCAGTCTTCGACGAACTTCTGTTCGCTCGGGTCACCTCTTGCTTGAACATGCCTCAAGTTGGCCGTGCTTGAGCATATGCCCCACGAATCAGCGCTGCATGTTTCTCGCTACGATGTCGAATGTCACATTTGAACGGGATTGCTCCAATGGTAAGGCCCTATAAGAATAGTCACGGATGAAAGCTGATGGCTGCCATTTGGAGATACATACTGGGGTGAAATCTTGAGGCCGAAGGGGAACGCCACGGGAGTCGCGACTGCCTTTGTCGGCAATAGAGGAATTCAAACCCCACAGAATGTTCACGATGTTCGTGATCTGAAGGGACAGCGTGAGGGTCTCCTAGTATACTCGGAAACGAAAGCGACAACTACGACAGCATTGTTAGGAAGGTGGATTCCAGGGGACATGCGCTGTGAGAGAGGTTAGAGGACTTCCACAGAGTGAATAGACGTACTGTAGCACTCACCGCTTCCGCTTCCAAAGTGGCAGTCAGAACCAGAAGTATCTGTCTTTGGCGTTAACATTTCGGGCTCATATGGCCCAGTCCTCGTTATGATATACAGCGCCTAACGATAAGAAAGTAGGCCCAGAACCCATACTTCCGAGAGACCGAAACCCAACATTCACAGACGTTCATGGAGATGATCGAGCCATTAGGTATGAAGTACCCGACAATCTAGAGATTGTCCGGTCGGCCCAAGCGAGGGTGTTATAGTGATGAAATAGTCACAGATTCGTCAACAGCGTTAAAGTGAGGGACTGCTAGGCGTGAGGCAAGTGCTCAATGTCTTGTATAGTCGGCAACCTAGTGGGCCCAATGAAGTCGTCTAGTTCTTTCTGGGCTCGAGTTTGTACATTAGGATAGCAAGAGATGCAGAGCACGAATTTCTGCAGGGATTTAGCGGTCGTGTCAGCGCCTCCTTCGAGACAAACCCCTCCCAGATACCTTGATGGTCTATTCATTAGTACACGAGGAGAAAGCAGGATAACCTGTTGAACGTACGCAATCATATGCCCAGTTAATCCGAGCTTTTGCTGTTGGTCTATAACCTCTTCCAGAAAACAGCCATTCCATCGGTTGTCCCTGATACGACATCCACAGTCATTCATGATATTGTAGTACAACTTCCTTTATTGCGGCCGCACATCTCGGCCAACGGTACCCCGTGAAGCCCAACGTTCTGGAATGTACTCCGAGGCAGGGAAGATTTGAATGGGAAGATGAGCACCAAGTTCAAGGACAGCCTGCTATTTGTGTTGGATTGAACAGAGACGGGACGTAGACTATCTAAACGTTGAGCTATTGAATACAGTCTGCATATTTCGTCTGGCCCACTGATGCACCTATGTCGAGGACTAGAAACGCCATACATTCTGATAGTGAACAACAGGAGAACGTCTATGTTATTGTTATCGTCCATGAAAAGATCGTGTCCGCGGATGTCTCAGTTCTTGGGTTACTGTCGCGAAGCTACGGCAGCGATGAGGGTATCGTAATCAAGTTTCGCGGCTGAGCGACAATCATTCATCAGTACTCATTCATTATGCATGAAGAAGAAGCGTATACCTCTCAACACCAACTTGGTGAATGTCCGCGCAAATTCTGGCTGCTCGTTTTCCAACCGACTGAGATTTTTTGTTGTCAGTTTCCATAGCGCAGCCTGCCGTTCAACTACACATCGACAATTACGTTCCAATCCCGACAGTGCCGAGAGTTCGCCAGCAAGTGTCCCAGGAACCATTGTCTCATGGGTCGGCGAAACGTGCTCTGCAAAGTAGTACGTTGCACGTAGTATACCGGACTCGACAATGTAGAGACCATCTGACGGTTCGCCTTGTTCCCATAGAACAAAACCCGCTGGAACGTGCAAATGCTCTAGATAAGGTATGAGCGGCCGGAAGGTCTCTCGGTCTACAGGCCCATGTGATGAGAATGCCATGACGAGAATATTGCAAGGTTCTGGGTTTTCCGTGAGGGATATGTCCGGCGGTGGGTGTTCTGACGATATAGGTCAGGTCTGTACCGAATACTATAAGATGAATAGAGGTAGATACCATGGGCTATCGTGCGATAGCCAGCCTCAAGAAGTTGGGATCTTCTAGGGGTCGTGGATAGAGAGCCATCAAATGTGACAACAGGTTCTTGTCTTCCGGGAAGCACTAAGGCATATTTCATCATTGTAAGATCGAAGAACATTTGAAAAGATCGCTTACCAACAGCACTTGTTTCGACCTTTTGTGACATGTACCACGCCCGTAGATATGCATTTTCAGTCCCTGAAGACGTCGTAAGACACAAAGAGGATATGAGCTGCAAAAAATTACCCACATTCTAATGCATCAGCATAAGTAGAAAAGATTTCTACGCCTTCCGTATCCAAGAGTCCAACGCTTGACAGAGCCTGCCCGACGGGCGACTCGACAGCGAATCCAGAGACTACCAGAATCACGCCCTTCCCAGCGAGTAGACGTTGAATACGGACGAATGCTTCCGCTGCTGACATGTCCACGCCAGCTACCAAAGCAAGGTCCAATATCAAGAAACGCATAGGGTCGTGGTGCCAAGATGGATTGTTGACGAGACCGCGAATGGTCTCTTCAACATGGGTGATAGTACCGAAAAATAAGAAACCTATACTGAACGTGAGTAATATTACAGCATCTATGTATAAAGAAGAAATACTTTGAAGCCTAATGATAGTTGTCTGCTTGGAAACTTCTCGAAGATATGCGCGATGTGCTCCTGGTCTACGAACAGTTGACATGGCGGTTTCCCCACAATACAGGGCTCGTATGCTTCGTCGCTGACTGCTTTGAATGACAAAGAAGAAGCCTGGAATATTTAGTGTGAGAGGCTGGGTAATCGTTAGCAGGTGTTAATTAACTTACAACTCATAATTATACCAAAGAGAACGCCGATCACGAAGTCCCATACCGTCATGCATACCATGATAGAGATGATAGTAATGTACTCCAAACTAGCAGGAAACAACGGGAATGGAGTTCATTGGAGGATATCTTAAACTGAGGTGATGAACGCACCGATTGACACGATGTCGGGTATCCCACAATGCTTCTTTGACGAGGTCGATACCCAAAACGAAGATCAACGCACCAACCACCATAACAGCTGCATATTTGCTATTAAGCAAACATCACCATACACAAAAAATAACACTTACGAATGAAAGCAATGGGTCCTGTTCCAATTAATAGAAGAACTGCAGTTGTACCCGCAAGAAGGAAACCAGAGATACGAGCGCTCCCTCCAACCCGATAGAAGCTAAGGACGAGATCGGTAACTCTTCAGGTATGCATGCCAAATAACTCACAGAAGTGTGTTGACATAGACCAGGTAGTTTGGTCTGGAAAATGGTCAGTGACACGGATGTATGCTAGCTTGCAGAGTCACGTACACAGTGCCAAAAAGTCCGGACAATACATTTGAAACGCCATGTCCGACAAGCTCTTTGTCAGTGTCTATGTCGTGATCCAATGATATAGCTACAAAGGAGCTTTAGCAAAGATTGAATACTTGAAGCGTACGCGATACATACCGAGAGCAGGAACATTCAATGGAGGGTGTAGAATGTTGAAGAATAACCTACTCATCCATGAGCATGAGTTTGTGAAGAAACGCATAAAACACATACAAAGCAAACTGTGTTGGGACGGTGGCCCACAGTGCGGACCAACTTGTGGCATTGAAGTCTACAACCATATCGTGAGAAAAGTGAGAAAGCGGCAAGACAAACAAACACGTACCGTAGAAGGTATAAAATTTATACCAGGGATCATCAGAGGTATCCATGTCGAAAAGCCACCCGTCCCTCCGTAATGCTCCAAAGTCGAGGCGCGCTGCTGCTACAATGATGTAGAAAATGACGGGAATAATGATAAAATCTACCTAGGAATCAAAATATTTTCTTCGTGGAGAGAAATAAGTTACTCACAGATGGGGAATATGAGTTGATGACGATACTTGTGAGTGATAACACGAAGCAATACAGCTAATGCGAATGGCGGAGCCCATAGTGTGAGATTGCGAACGTTGAAAAACAACAATTTGAATGTAGATAGCGATAGATCAAAGTCGTCTTCGGACATGCGGATGCAGACGGTAAATCTGGTAGTGAAGAAATTAGACCCCCCACGTCTTGTGAAAGGAACACCTGACATACCCAGTAATGATGAGAAAAACACCGACCCCGCCAATACAGCTGAAAGACGCTCAATACACTGCGAATCAATCGCCCCACGAGAAGGTACTCACCCAACTAGTATATGTCGGGGGAAGAATCCTATGAGGGAGCCCATACGAAGAGCACCCAAGAGGAAGAATGCGAGACCTGTGAGAGAATTTAGCCTATGTTAATGGTATCACATATATTCGGACTACCTGTTAACATTGACGATAGCGAGAAAGCAACGACGGTTGTCGCTAGCACCGCATGTGGATTGTTTTCTCCCATATCAGAAGCTATGCTGTTCGCTAGGATGTGGAAAAAGGGCTGATAGAGATTTCTGAGCCAACTTCCTGAGTACTGAACTTCATGATGAACTTACGACAACTTCAATCATCATACTGCCGTTGGCGCCTTCAAACCCACTTCCACCAAAGGAGTAGGTAAGTTGCGCAATAACGGCCCTGTAAAAGATTGTGAATGACAATCGAAGGAAATGTTAATGGTTACTGACGAAACGAAGAACATGGAAACTCCGACACCACCGAGATTCTTGAAGACTCCTCCCGCAGGGAAGATGATCATCCCATCTGCATGCATATACACAGTTATGATACAGCACGACACATACAGGCATTCAGTATGACGTACATGATACCCCGTCTAGGATGTTCAGCAGCGTTCCAAGTAGAACCGCAGGTAATGACCTAACAAGAGTAGCAAGTATGTGTTCACTGGAGGCTCTGTAGTCCCTCGCTAGCACATGTTTCTTCCACTTGCTAAGTACACGTTCAGACCTGGGTTTAGGCGATGATGCGCCACTTGCCATCCAACCATTTGTAGGCTGTGCGCTTTCGGTGTATGTTCGACGAGTGATCCCAATATCGTGAAGAAGGGGTTGCCTTTCAGACACAAAGCCAGCAGGTTCCTGCTCCAGAGATGAGCGCACAGAGACAGCCGTTCGTGTAGCTAAAGTAGAGGGACGTTCAAGGGACTCGGCGATGAAGTCGCGTCGAGTGACAGTTGGAGTAGAGATTTGTGAGTCATCTGGGACTGGCACCCTTGATTCAACTGAGTTTTCCGCTGTCCTTGAAAGCATAAGGGACAATGCTGAAGGGCGAGAAGGACGTCCTCGGGGAGTCGTTTCGCCTGTTTCCGTCGAGAGGGATGATACTGAAGTTGTCAGATCGACTACTTCACTGGGTGCTGATAGAATGGAAGTCTGGGACTCAGACGCGGGTATATGCGTCCGTTCCTGCTCGTCAGCCTCCGTAGAATGCACAGCGGAAGTCGGAAAAATGAAGGCATCTTCAGAATGAGCCATCAAGATCGAAGGTGGTCGTAAAGGCAGACTGGATAGTTGCATGGTAGAGTCGCGAATGTCCTCCTGAGTATGTGTAGCAATATTTCGTGGTCTTGATAGTCGTGAGCTTATGGAAGACATGAAACTCTTAGGCTGCAGCAGTCTGGATCATAGGTTAGATAACGCGGACCGACACTGAAGACTGGATGCACTCACCCAGCACGGCTCAGAGGAGACCCACTATGTGCTCCCATCCACAAAGGCCCAAAGTCACGAGGAGACGCAGCTGCTTGTACGGCGTCATTGTTGCTTGAGGTCGCGTTTGCAGGTCTTCCAATCGTAGCGGCCGCAGTAACTGCACTACCCGACGCGGATGGCGAATCAGGGGTGGGCGACTTGAGCGTCGACATATTGCGAGTTTAATCGCAAAGATGAGTCGAAGTCGCCGTTACGTTGTTGAGAGCCCTTGGAATGATGGAGGTTGGTGACATTCGCGAACTCTTCTACAGGACGAAGACTACAAAGAAATACTGGCACCGAGATAAGATAAGCCTAGGCCTCGCAATTATGCGGATATCGGATCAGCAAATTTGAGAAAGCAAGAGGCACGAAGAGGCGGAAAAACAGTGTCGAGAGCTTGCAAGTGGTGGACAGGAGCAAAGAAGAGATAACCACAAGCCAATCATAACGGAGACAGATTGCAAGACGCCAGTGATAAGAGCAGCCCACTATCTTGCGACACCTCAACAAACATACCAATCCATGGCAGCGAATAACTCAAAAGTAGTATGATATTCCGGTAGACCCGACGAGAGGATATCAATTGAGAACAAAGTAATGAGGATGCAATGGTAACAAAAATAGACTAGGGTAACTTCGTTGCCGGTGGTGTATCGTTAACGGGAGGACGTAAACATTGCGTAGAAGAAGAAAAAAACAGACAGCGACCAATAAAAGGGGAATACGTAGTAGGGATTTTGTCGTAAGGGTGCAAAGGAAAAGCAGGGAGAATCGCGAATCTACTGCTCCTCCTCGAGACCAACCTCCTCCTCGTATTCACCTTCTTCCTCGACACTAGAAAGGAAACGTCAGCTATATGCAACACAGGGATAAGTAGAATGACGCACGTCGCATCCTGGTATTGCTGGTACTCAGCAACAAGGTCCTGCATGTTAGATTCGGCCTCAGTGAACTCCATCTCGTCCATACCCTCCTGGGTGTACCAATGCAAGAAAGCCTTCCTCTTGAACATAGCGCTGAACTGGTCGCTGACACGCTTGAACAGTTCCTGAATAGCAGTAGAATTACCCAAGAAGGTAACTGCCATCTTGGAGCCCCTGGGAGGAATGTCACACTGAGCAGTCAGGACGTTGTTGGGAATCCACTCGACGAAGTAAGCGGAGTTCTTGTTCTGAACATTTTGCATCTGCTCCTCCACCTCCTTCATGGAGACCTTGCCACGGAAGACGGCGGCAACCTAAAGAGCACATCAAAGGAGCGAACGACACGAATAGAACAGGAACACCTACAGTAAGGTAGCGACCGTGTCGGGGGTCTGAGGCAGCCATCATGTTCTTGGCGTCGAACATCTGCTGGGTAAGCTCAGGAACTGTGACAGCGCGATATTGCTGGCTGCCCCGGGCAGTGAGAGGAGCGAAACCAGTCATGAAGAAGTGAAGACGGGGGAAGGGAACTAATCCACTGCGTTACATCAATCTATTCGTGCCACAATGACAGTAAACATACCCATATTGACAGCCAGCTTCCTCAAATCGGAATTAAGTTGACCAGGGAATCGCAAGCAAGTGGTGATACCAGACATGACAATCGACACCAGGTGGTTGAGATCGCCATAGGTTGGTGTTGAGAGCTTCAATGTCCTGAAGCAGATGTCATAGAGAGCCTCGTTATCGATACAGAAGGTCTCGTCAGAGTTCTCAACCAGTTGGTGAACAGACAGCGTGGCATTGTAAGGCTAGTGAGGAAGACAAAGAGATATCAGTCGTTGATGCGTATATGATCGTTAAATCATTTACCTCAACCACGGTGTCGGACACCTTGGGACTGGGGACAACGGAGTAGGTGGCCATCATACGGTCAGGGTACTCCTCGCGAATCTTCGAGATCAAAAGAGTACCCATACCAGCACCGGTACCTCCACCAAGGGAGTGGGTGATTTGGAACCCTATAGACACAATCAATACGGTGCACCACATTGTGACACCACATGTCACATCACAGTCACGGTAAAGATCTCTCACCCTGCAAGCAGTCGGTTCCCTCAGCCTCTTTACGAACAACGTCAAGGACGGCATCGACGAGCTCAGCTCCTTCAGTGTAGTCTAGTACGCAAAACATCAGTAAAAATGAGATGAGATGCACGCCGCATGAACGGAATGTCACGCGCGCACAACGTGTCTGATGAGAGTGCACTCACGTCCTTTCGCCCAGTTGTTACCCGCACCACTCTGACCAAAGACGAAGTTGTCTGGGCGGAACAAGGAGCCGAGAGGACCAGAGCGAACGGAATCCATGGTTCCGGGTTCAAGGTCGACCAAGACCGCACGGGGCACGTATTTGTTCGCACCGACTTCGTTGTAGTAGACGTTGATACGCTCCAACTGGAGGTCATTGGTACCCTTGTACATTCCATCACGATCAATGCCGTGTTCGTCAGAGACGACCTCCCAGAATTTGGCACCTATACAACGCGTCAGATACTACTTGATGATACTTGATATCGAACAGCGCACCGATTTGGTTACCGCACTAAGATATGCACGCCATCAGCTCAATCCGTACTGGGCATTCAGTCAATGCAACTCACCTGGCCAGTTTGGAGGTGGACGATTTCACGCATTCTACGATAGGAATCCACATCAGCATTCGCGTCACCATAACCTCAGAAAATTGAAGCGAGAGCATTGCCGCGATTGCTTGAATGGCGGTTTCGAAAGGTTACCCAACACGCCATCCAGCAACGAGACAAGATATTGACACGTACATGGAAGATTTGCAAAGGAACTGAGAGAGGAGAAGGTCGTTAGTGGGAGGATAAACCTGGGGTGGAACGAGGTCAAAACGGAACTTATGTTGTGGTCTAGGGCGTGTACAATTTAGGCTCCGCTTCAAGTTATGTTCTCATTTGGCCTGCGAGATCCACAACATTCACCTCCGCTTCAAGTCCCGATTATTGTTTCACGAAACCGTTACCGAACGGAACAAACATTCATGCACTTCCAGAAGCTCAATGAAGTTGAATGAATACGAATGCAGTCGGAGTGGACATGCAGTTCAAAAATTCGAGCATGTAAAACGGATGACACAGTAATCTATGAAGACACGAGAAACCTGAATGAAAACATGCGTAGAACCGGTTCGAGCCATAGATACAGAAGCTTCGATGTCATGATGATGCCAGCGAGAGAGGTGATGAATAAATGTCTGGGGGTATATATCGTCCAAATCGACATAGTCTGTCTCCGTCTTCATCATCACACATGCGGCGAGGGAAGTGGGTGCTCCATGCTTAGTCGATCACGATGTCCCGCTTCGTTCACCGGTTCACGGTCGAACGATTGATTCAAAGGCTGCTGTTCTAGCGAAGACGGCAACTCGGAAGAGCTCGTGGATCTTCGAGGTGCGCGAGGCGTAGGCGGGCTGGGCGATCTGTCACCCTGAGAAGTCTCCATGCCAGAAGGCAAGTCAACTATTGACGACCAGGCGCTCGCCATCCAGGACTTAGTCGAGCTGGTCATTGAGTAGCTATCTCCCGACGCCCGATAATCCGCCAATAACGATTTACGCAGATTCGACGCCGGACGATAGCCAGGTTCCCAATCCGTCACGTCTTCATCTGCAACGATCGCGCCTGTGCGTTTATCCAAGCTGAACCTGAACCCTTGCAGCTTTTTCTGCATCATGCTACGATCATCGTATGGGTACAGCAGCTGTCCAAAGCCGGAGTGTGAAGTAAGGGCGACAGAAGTGGCGATGCTCCCTGGCTCTGTCGTGAGGTAAAGTCCTGAGCGGCGGCGGATGCGCAGATGCAGAGTATGAAGAACGATCCCTAGCACGCCAATTACGATGAATATGACCGATAGCGCAATGGATGCTAGCGCGCTAAAATCGTTTCGTTAGATGAGGGACCCACATCGGATGAATCTACATACTCGATGACCAGTTTCTCCACCAGCTCGGTTTGTCTTGCAGCAATCTTGTCATCGGAGGGAACAAAATAAACGGATTTTGCGCTGACGGATAGATGTTGTGTCTACAATACGCCTCGCATCAGTTCACAGGCAAAGACAATATGAAACAACGCACATATATCTTGTCAGTCAAGGTGAAGAATCCAGTTTCGTCGTCAAACTCCCTCTGCAGCCCCTGTTGACTGGCCAGCCGGAAAATAGCACCGGGAATCCCAGAGCTAATCGACGTCGCGCGAGCCTCCACAAATCGCTTTCCTGCAGCAAGGCCGTCAAGAAGCACGCTAAGCAAAGGAGAGGGCATTAAGCCTATGATGATACACAGTTGAAAGATAACGCCTACCCATTGAACGCACGACCATTCAGATCCCCACCAGTTACGTTGTTGGCCACAGTGTATTGATCCAATAATGTCACATTCGCAAGTGTCAGATTGTTTAAATTCAAGGTGACCTCCGCGTTGAACACACCCAAAGTTGGACGACAAATGACAGCGCGAGCCTGTGGTCGGTTTGAATCCGAGAGATGGAAAAACCAGAACATGACTGGTAAAAACTCCTGAGCGGTATTGTTGTCCATTCCACAGGTAGTCGGCATTGCTGGGGCACTCCCGTATTGCTGATCAGCGCTTGCAGGGTCAAACGACACAACGGCTCTGCAACCTTGTGGTGTAGAAGCGTCGATCATGAACAAAGGACTTGGCGTGCTTATATTCACACTGTTGGCAGTGATACAATTTGACTGGGTGCGCACGCCAGTCGTATTCCATTTGACGGATGCATTAAGGCCGAAGTTTTGAGGTCTCTGTGAATGCAACTTGCTTAACTGGGTCATATAAGAATGTCCAAGCACTTACTTCGATCTGAGCTGCCGCCCAGCCTGACATGACAAACGGCGGATCAGGAAGACCTTGAAATGCAGCTGCCTCAGTGAACTACCTCAGGATCCTGTGAGTGACATATCAACAGTGGCATAAACATTCAGACGTACACCGGCTGCAGCGAGAAATGCATTGAGATCGTTGAAATTAGGCGTCAAACCAACCGTGGTAATACTATGGACTGTGGCCTCTAGAAGTAGTCCATGAGTATTGGATTTTATGGAGATACAATAGTACTGACCGCTTGTAGTCGGGATAGATTTGACAGAAATGAGTGCACCTGCAAGGGGCTGGAATAGGTTCGACAGCAGTCCAGTCAACATGGAAATAAGCACAATCCAATGCTTCTTGCGGAACGCAGACCATATTCCGAGGGCTTTGCTAATAGAATAAAAGCTTAGTAGATTGTTTCCAGAATACCGAAGTATACGAACTTCATGGCAATGTAGTCTAGCAGCAAAGTATCTTCGGCAACAGCGTTCCCTTGAGCTAGTAGTATGTACGGCTGAGAAAGCCTCGATGAGTGGGTTGTTCGACGTGAAGTACGAGGCATACAGAATAGACTACTTACTTGGAACCATCTCACCGCCCAATCTGTCACTCCCCAAAGATATGCTAAAGGTGTGGCTATTAGAAGCGTCGGAAAGAACGACTGTGAAAACAGATTCAGTAGAACACAACAAGGGCCTTAATAAAGGGGAAACGGTCGGGATCCCGGATGTAGGCTCTGGATTGGTCACTTCAACTTTAACCCAAGATTATCCCACTTCACCACGCATGAAGAGGCCCGTTGACTCGTGCGCATCCGGAAGTACACTCTAGAGTATTCGTGGACATGACAGCTCCATTCGAGACAGTGAACCTCTCCATCATTATACAAACATATCTCGTACTTCAATTTGAAAAAAAAAATCGAGGGTAGGACAGCCGGGCATTTATGTCTGTTACTCCGGTAATTCGAAAGGTCGCCGTTGGTATGATAGGCCGCTCAAAGTGATGTGAATGTAGATGAATGCAAAACAGCGCCTATGCCCGAAACCCAGCCATCGATACTGGCACACGAGAATAAATCCTTACCGTAAGAAAAGAAGGTGTAATCCAGCTAAGGGCCTTCGATGGAGGAGGTGCACGAAATCCTTTAGGGCTGGGTCAATGCATGTGTCAATTCTTAACAACTCGAACACGGACCGTTATGCTTCATCGAGAAGTAGAGCGCGACTTGGAGTCCGATTCCAAGCAGAATCATCAGTATCGCAACAGAGAAGACCACATAAGGCTGCAATGCGAAGTGTTCCTAAATGAGGAAGTTACGAGGTCAAGAGCTTACTGAAGTTGCAGAGGTTGAACACCTACCACTCGTTTCGGTCGTTCATGTTTGACTAATGTCGGTATGCGAAAGGTGTGCTCTGGAAATCGCTTAGAATCTTGGCTCACTGGTCGAGAGCGAGAAGGCATTCGTTTAGGGTATGCTGATCAAGTCGTACGCTAGAATTCGTTAGAAAGAGAAACGAACAAAAGACAGCGGGCCTTTGCTATGGTCTGGGAAGGGGAGAAGATGAGAACTTGGTTTCATTCTGTTCAAAGACATTGATTCGGTAAATAACGTGCAACAGCTTCTTGTACAGCCTAACATGCCCAACAGTGACAGCGCAAATGCGCTCGGTGGTCTCGGCAAGCGCTTCGATCACTGACACGATCGCCCAAAAATGATAGCCGCCAGATGCACCGAATATTGTATACGCAAAACTTGCGCAAAACACATCTAAGCTTCTCTTCAAAGTCGACCACTATGCTATTCGCGAAACTGAATTGGTTTTCTAGATGAATGTCACCTGCGAATGCCTCTGTCTTGCACTTTTCTCAATAGTCCTAGCACATGTTGCATCAAGTTCACTAGGCTGCCAGGCTGCCAGACTGCGCTCCGCCCACATCCTCCCCTGAGTCAGTCACTGAAACCGATTCAGCGGGATTTGACATAGCTTGAGGACAGTACAGTCAAATGCTCTGCGGAGACTGGAGCTTGATACTTTTCGCGTCGAAATCTCAAACCGAAGAGAGAATGCCTTGGACTGTTGACGGCGCCGAGGTAGTTCATGTGAAGCATGCCATCCTGCGGAAGTGGTATTCGTGCGCTCAAGAGTGCTTTCTGGCGTGCATCCTATTAGTACTGGCTCGGCGTATGCCATTCGTTTGGATGATCTATGCGAGATTGCGAAATCATTCTCCAAGAGTTGGATTTTCATTCACTTGTGTGGCGCTCAATTGTCACTTGCAAAATCGAGCGATTTGAAGATACCTCAGATGACCTGCCCCAATTTCTTACGGGCACATACTGATGTCTTTTCAGGCGTTTCCATTTACCCTGCCTTCTGCGCCATAACCGGTTCTCGGCGATTTGGATTCCTCGTACTCAAGGACCAAGCTACCATACATCTACATCAAGTGTAGCGCTACTAATCATGGGTGCAGTATGCAAGCCTTCGCTCATTCTGTCCCGAAGATCACCTCATGAAGCCCGTTTGCTTCCACGATACAATGACTTCTCGTCTCTCCCAGAAAAGGTGGGTCACTGTATTCCCGTTAGCGTCCAGATGGCAACAGTTCAGTTCGTCCAAGAATAGTTCACCTTGCGAATTCTCTAGATGTGGCATTGTCTTTACTCCATTCGGTGCATGTGGATCCTCCGACTTCGTTCGCGTGTCCGACTCCAGCTCCCACTCCCTAAGGCCTGATGCGTCGAGTTCTGTCATGTCCACTACCAGAATGGTCGACAACCTCCTCCGACGTGTCTATAAATGTCCAAAGCTCAAGAGTTTCCCCGGAAGTCGCGTTTTGTCTCACGTCGTGGATCTAAATCTCCTCCATAACATATTCCGTCTAGTCATGAGTATCTGAAACCGCGTCTGTGCTCTCAACCCCTACCTCGTAGGTCCAGTTCGGACCACGAGACTTCACTTGGACGGCCAAACGGATCTTGATTCTGAACTTCGTTCCGTAGTTGTGGACCCTAACAAGTGGAAAAGTCTGGTGTTGTCGTCCTCGTGAGCCTCAGTCCACCCCGCCGGCTTCGTTCACTCGTCATCCAAGTCGCGATTCCCATGCGACTCAACCTCATGGCTCGACGACAATATTTCACACCTACACTTCGGGTCGACTATCCCCACTCGTCTCAATCATGTCCATTTCATTCTGCGATTCCGACCTTGTTGTTACTGTATGTCTGCCTCGTGTACTGTAGATAATCTGCTCGCACGGATTGGTGGACAATAGCTTGATAACAGGCCCTTCGCTAGAGCATATCAACAATCCATCAGCTTCCAACACACCTCTACTTACGTCTTCTAGCATGACGAGTGCGGGAATTGCTCAGACATGGTTAGAGCATTACATATCGGCGGACACTGTAAGGTAGGTAGGACGGCGTCATCAGTACCTAGCATTGCCTTAAGGCCTTACCCGCATCGTAGTTCTCACGAAGTCACCACCTGGTTCAACAATCGCAACCGGATTCCGGTAATCGAATGAGCTCACAACGCATGTGTACGGGTCCATTCGAGGGAAAAGAGAAACTTCTATTACACAACTTTATATTATACGTATACAAGTTTCGAGTAGTTCCAACTTCTCCATCGTCTTTTACAACAATGATAAGCTACTATATAACTGGGATCTCGTAAATGTATGTACAGGAAACCACGTTCTCAGGGGGGGGAAGAATGAAAAGTAGAGAGTACATTATACTTTGCATAACCTATCAACACTACGAAACATCGCGAGGCATGAGAGTGAGGGGAACGGGAGCAACGAGGGAGATGTTTCAACAGCACATTACATTACAGCATCAAGTATTATGCAAACAATGAGTAAGGGAAGAGAGGACCATGTAACGAGTAACAGGCGAGAATAGTAGGCGAACCAAGAGTAACTACCAAAGGACCACCAATGACACAAGTCTTCTCGACCCTGGATATGTAACGGTGTCGAGCATAAGGAGAGATAAGAGGGAAATGTACAAACAACGAGTATTATGACAACACAACAGAGAGGTGAGACGCTATAGAGCAAAGGCGAGATAAAAAGGGATTAACAAACAACCAAGGTATGTGTATACTTTTGGTGCGGAAGCCCGGTCGACGTCGTGAGGAAGGATGCGGGCGGAGGAGATAAGAGGACGGTGATATTACAACGAGATCAAAGAAGGTCCAACGACGACACGAGACGTGGTTCCGACCAAACGATCGATTATCAGGGTAGTCGAGAAAAGAAGAGTAGAGAGGAGAAGGGTATGCAAGGCGATCACGAGGATTCGTTCGCTCTACGCAACCCCTCTACTGAATACTTTTGTAGTGTCTCAGGGCGAACAACGTTGGATGGGTTGCACCGTGTATGACATTTGTTGTGGTTGTTGGTGTTGATAGTGCTGGTGGTGTTGCAACCCGGTAGCAGCCTGCTGCTGTTGCGGCACGTAGTGGGCATACTGTTGAGGCTGTGCAGCGTACGCAGGGGGCATCATTGACTGCGACTGATAGGACGGAGGGTTAGTCAACGCATGCTGTGGTGCGACGTAGGTATTCGATTGAGGTTGCTGAACAGCCGGAATCGAAGCAGGCTGTGCTTGCGATACGATAGGAGTAGTGTGAGGAGATGTGTTGACAGATGGGGCTGTCGACGTTGCGGGAGTAGTGGTCCTCGAGTGCGCACGAGTGTGTTGCAGACACTCATGTTGACCGCTAGCGAGCAGTGCGAGTCCGATGGCGCCGTGATCACCGGAGTGCTGATAGTGGTAACCTGTCAACATCAAACAAGGTCAGCATATGGAAAGGGCAGTGCAATGAGGAGATACACTTACGAAGACCGTTCATGTTCTTGTAACGACGTTGGCAATCACCGACGCCGCAGGCGTAGGGACGCAACCTTCTTTCTGCCTCTTTCTCAACTTCTCTCAATTCCGCATCGCTGATAGGCTCGTTGTCGCCATCCGGCTTTTGACTTCGCTTTGATGCGAGAAGCGCTTGAATCTGCTCTAAGTCCTTCGGAGGGGCGAAGTTACACGATCCGTGAGTCATATGGTACTTGAGACCATTTGCCTGCTTGTACGATTTGTTGCAGTTGGGCTTCGGACACTTGAAGGGCTTGGACAGGAGGAGCGACGTCGCGGGACGAGAAAGGGTGGTACTCGCCCGCGGCGTCTGAGCAGCCTGTGAAGTAGGCGATGACGTTGAAGTGCCAGCAGTCACGACGGAGGGATAGTTGCTCGATCCCGGGGATGGCGACGCCACGCGAGACGAACCAGGAGTGGTTGCGGGTGTGGTACCTGCACTGCTGTTCAGAAGAAGCGCAGGCGGCACACAGTTGGATCGAGCACCATATGGTCCGCCAGAGTAGGCAAATTGATCTTCCTGCTTTAGGGTGAGCATTGAGGACGACGGGACAGCACCCGGGAGATGAGAGGAGTAGTCGGAGTAACCAGCGTAGGCGTTAAAAGCATCCTCTGCACGGGCAGCAGAGACGGGAACTGATCGCATCGGTGGGAAACCAACTGATAGGGCGTGCCCGGAGCGCGATGGTAGTACGGTCGTAGTATCGAACGCAGAGATGGGAGGCGGTCGGGTAGACGCCTGTTGAGACGCTGACTGAACACTGGGATACGAGGAAAGAGGCGTGGAAATTGGTGTATCTGGTGGCGACGAGGAGCCAGATGAAGGCGCGCTCGCGTCTCCGGCATCGAGTTCCATATCGTCAGGGTCAAACGATCCTTGGCTGTAAGTCTGGACCGTGGGGTTTTGAGATTCTGATAAGTATTGATGTTGAGGAACGACGACACCAGCGGGTTGCGCTCGGAAAGTCTGTTGTTGGGAAGCAAATGGATCAACTACAACTACATGGCACTCTTCGAAATGATCAACGAGCGCATGCATGTCTGTGAGATTTACTCCACAGCACTGGTAGTCACGGCACTATTAGCAGTGGAGTCAGATATTTCCGGTACCGACAGAATAGCTGACCGATTACTACGTACCAACTCGTCCTGACGCTCGAAAACATTCAGAGCATTCATTAGAGACCCTCGATCGCTCTCTATCGATGAGGAGACTTTGCCCAGTCTGAAGTCATTGGGACTACAATATAATTAATTGGCATGTGCGACGTGTCGCTTGAAGGGATAGTCACTCACTCTAATGGTCCGAGAAGCTGTCCAGGAGATACACCAGGGTAGAATCGACTTCCAAAGGAGCCAGCTCGAAACGAAGCTGGAGAACCCAGGAAGCGTCGGGTGTAGGAAGCAGGGTTGAAGGAGCCATTCTGGCCTGTGAACGAGCCGGAGCCCATTACATGGTCATAATCATTCGAAGTGGAAGGAAGGGCGATGGGCTGAGCAGCCGCCATGGCTTGATAATTCGGATAATAATCCAGGATTGAGTAGGATGAGCTTGAAGCACTGGTTGAGAAGCTACTTTTGTCGTGCAAAACACGAGAGTGTCTGAGAGTCTACTTAGGGCCTGCTAGATGAAGGAATGTGCGGCGGCGCTGTTGGGAACGACGTCGAGCAGGAACGGGGGATATGGAGGATGTTGGGAGCGTTCGCCCCGGGTAATATACACCCAGACGCGTGGTAGTCGGCGTCTCCTGCCAGACCGCTACAAACACGCCACAATACCCAGTCCCCGAGTCTCTCACGGCTGTGCCAGTCCATCCGGGCGTCTGTTCTCCGCACTCCGCCGTTTCCGTGAACTTTCTTTCTGCCTCTACACGCGCGACGAGCATGTTCGACGATGTTCACTGCAAAATCTTGCTCGATACCTCGATGTGATTCCTCTGGTGGTCGCATCGCAGAACACGTTGGTTGTTCAGCCTACCACTTCAGAAACACACGCTACGCCGCATAACACTGCTCGGCTGCTCTCTGCCTGTGCCTCTCGCGGAGTCGATACGTTGCGGCACCTTCCTATGATTGCGTTCCTTCTCCGGGTGCAGGTCCTCCTGCGCCATATGCCGCACAATAGTACAATAATTCGGCTACGCCGACTATATTTGTCAGTGCTATGACCTCCACCATTCGCACCTGCCTTCAGCCGCATGAAGTCGTTCGTGAAACGTCCAACTTACCGCCAGGCTTGCTCAGCTTGCTCACATCTCACCTCTCCTCGACGCTTATCGTGTCAGGTCGAATGCACTCTTAGCGCGTCCTCGAAACATGCTCCTTCAACGGGTCAGCGTTTTCTGGACCCGTACCGATCGCCCGAGGTGAGTACACAGCTCCTGTTTCTTGATTTCGCCACCTGTACTTCCGCAACGGACTTTCAGCACTTTGTAGTCGCCTGTCCTACGATCTCGTGTCGTCACCAATATAGCAGATCAGATCAGATCAGTACTCTACACGAGTTGCTACCAGCCGGTTTCGCAGGACCGAGTCGTCTCTATTCTGGTCGCACAATGGTCTTTTTCTCACTTGAGTACAGTTGAAACGTATTCTGGTCGTCTGCCAGTATACCAAGACAATCAACATCCCTGCGATGAAGCCGCATCTTTCATTCACCCTGTGTCTTTGCATTAGGGGTTACTCGATCCTGGTTACGAGCCAATCAGAATGGCCGATCGGGCAGTTCAGTGCCTGATCCGGCTGTTTCCGTCTGGGGTCCGGTTACTCAACAGCCGAAGACCGAGGCGACTCGATTGCACCGCCGAAGCACAGCAGTTGTGGCTTACTCTTAGCAAGTGGAGGCCTTACCAACACGACCTTCGAAGCAAGTACCCTGTCATGTTTCTTGCTCATTGCTGCCAGAGCTTGTTTTCGGACGATGTTTACCAGCGAGCGGTGCACTGTTAGCTGCTTCATAACAAAGTTCCCGACCCATTCCCGACCTCATGGTCCAGCTCCGGAACCTACGTGTTCTACCTGTGCATTGTCTTCGGTGCCGTGTATTCGCTCCTCACTCATCATGTGGTCTGTACCTTCGTATGTTCAACTGACATCGCATCCCAATACAAGCCGATCACTTCCTAAGCCCTTCAGCGGGAGAAGGAGTGCCATCTTCTTGGGTGTGCTGCGTACTGTGGAGTCCAGGCACCTGAACTCGCTCCATAGCCGTATGGGTTCTCTATCCCCGTACTGACGATTCTGACAGTTTATGTTACTTCTCTCGGCTCTAGCCCACTGCGCACATCTTCAATGGTCGGCATAGGCTGTGGATGCATTGAGCTCCGTCCCTCGCTATGATCGGATCATCATGGTGCAAGCCTGTCTATTGCCTCCCTACCCCCGCATCATACCCATAGTCTCTTCATTTCTGACAATCGTCATCCACACTTAACCCAGCCTTACACGAGACCCTTCCTCAAGGGCAGCTGAGCCCGTTATAGGTCATTTCAACCGCACTCGGAGCCTTCGGCGAAACTCTTTTCCTCTTCTTCTTCCCTCGGCTTACCCTCATCCCGACGTCTTCGTACTTCTCGCTCTCAGGCGCAGTCGGAATGATTTGAATAGATCAGCGTAGATTCTTCAGCGAGGCTCTCTGGTTGACGTGGCGCCGAGGGTTTAGGATCCATTTCGTCTTGGAAGTCCTCGTATGGTTGAGGAGTTCCGTTCCACGTTGCACACTGGGCTTACGCGTCCGCCGACTAGACACGTCACGGTCTTCCTGCGAAGTAAAGAACATTATAAGCTAACGCGTTGTTTCCCCAGGATCACATCCGTCTTCGCTGAATGGCGTATCTCGGACCCAATTACGGGATGTTCCTGTCGTCTAGAAGTTCTACTACTTATGATATGTCCTTCTTAATAGGATCAAGCTACATCCACATAGCCTTGGTCGCCTCTGTTCCTAGTATCATCATACCAAGAAGCATGTAGACGCTGATGGTTTCGTATGTGATCCCTTGTTACCTACTTGTTTGGGACCCGCCACCTCATACTGCACCCGCTCATCGATATCGACGGCGCGATATTTGGCAGATCCTAACTCACTCGGATCTCCCTGTCTCATTTGCAATGCGATCGACTACTAGAAGACGGCCGGATGACAGGGCAACCTTAACTTCCCTGCTGTGTCGCGGCGTGTCACATGTATGTGGGACTTTGGGCAGTATGAAACATGATTCCACTACGCCTATACGTACCTCCACCGACGTTCGCCCTTTCCTCGGGCGACAATGGTGGGCCTTCGAGTTTCCTGATCCACCTTCACCGTTCTCCTATTCCAATCAGAGAGTCATACATCTCCGCCTCGAGGTCCTATTGGTTATGGCAGTTCCGCCTTCGTCCCTTCTTTTCATTGTGGTGCACATGCCTCACTGCGGGATGCTGTTATGGTCTTCACACCAACTCGTTGTTTGACATTGATGCATCTTTGCTCGTATGGCCTCTCAGTTGTTCCAAGCGCCTTCATAATCATTTTAATCAAAGGCATTCAGTCCGAACTTCTCTTTCCATTGAGGCGGCGCGTCATCTTTGACAGGAGTCGCTGGGTACAGAGAGGTAGAGGAGGTCTGGTCCGGACGTCCCGGGGTGGTTGTTATGCACTCCTTGTGGTGGTGCGTTCCCCAGATTGACTATTTCCGTACTGTGTTCCTAATTCGCAATCTACCATGATGTCTACCCCTTGGAGACGGCGGCATCCAGATGACCCGCTTTCCGCCGTTTTGACTTTGACTAGAACTTCATAGATCGTCAGTACTTGCTGAAAGTACATGTCAAGCTGTTGTTGGGGTGATGCTATCAAGGGTGTTGAAACATTAACATTTCTAGCCACTGGGGTCAACAGTTTCTACACCACGGCGTGACTATTCAGGTGACCCCTTGCTAAGCTTACTCACGTTGGACCCACGTTGGACCAATCACCTTCTTCTCATCCTTTCAGGTTTTCCCATGGCGATCGAAGAATATGGCATGTTCTTTCTTCGCAATGAAAACACTTTCAACTTGTGCGTTTCTGTCTATAGTCAGTGTTTCTCCTTGTGGCCTAAGTCCCATGATATTTTCTGGAGATTCCGAAGTGGTTCGATAATGCTTACTTCTTGCCCAGAGCAACCTGATCGCACGGTATCCTGACGGCGGTCAGCTCCCTATTCCTGAGCGAGCGACGCCGGTGTCACGGTTGATCCTCTAGGTCGTAAGCTTAGTTGAGGGGACCTAAGTTCGCAAGAACCATTTCATCAGATCAATCTCACCCAGGCCTCTGGTTAGCGCCCATGGACGACGACAACCGTCCTCGATCACCACTACTAGCTCATTCGGTTGCTCCCTGTCTCAGTTCTGGCACAACCTTTTCTTCGGTGCCGAGGGTTGGTATGCCCTGCTTATTGGCTGGCTATTAGGGTTGGCTCCGTTGGTCTCGGCTGAGGATTCTCCCTCATACTGCGGCAAGTCCGTATTTGGAATACCCTCCGCACCCTGCCGCGGCTTGGAAGGCTATGCCTTACGCCCTGCGGAAGACTAGGATAGAGGTGGTTACACTTGATGTAAAGGGACCGAAACATTGCCAATGACGGTCGTGCCTTTTTCGTCACTGAGTGACTGAGTCCCCCAGACTCGGAGTCCCGGACTGCAGCAGCACGATATGTCTGAGCCCCATGTTCCAGGACCCCTGATAATACCCCATATATGCTGTTCGAAAATCCGGACCAAAAATGGCAAAAGTGGCCGAAGGATGTTCAAAATCCGTAGGATTTTGGCCGAAAAGTGGGTAACAGCCATGCTGAGGTCCGGATCAGGAGGCCCCTTTCCAGCAATACCATCTGCGAATCCGGATGAAAATCGCCGGGTACCCCCCCTGAAAATCCCTTACTTATTGCTCGGAATGGGAAGGTATACTAGTGGGAGAAATATTAGTGGGAGAAATACTTCATGTAATCGTAGTGAATACCTTAGAGTACAAGCAAAATTGGGTAAACTCCGACAACGCTTTCGGAAGTCTCTGGGGTGTGAAAATTATTCTCTTCATCGGGCGGTCAACACAGGAAACATTGTTCTGTCGAGGAAGTAGAATCCATCAGCGGGGTCTCATATGCAGGTCTTCAACTTAATTGAGTTTAAATGGAATTTACACAAGTCTAATCGCCAAGCGTCTAAACTAGTGAGAGGACCCGCACCTGCGGCTTTCGAGCAAAGTGCGTCGATCGTCGCCCGCTCCTGCGGCACACCAATACGAGCGGGTTTGGAGTACCTTGCCTAGCAAGCGGATGTAAGAGAGAGGCCTCGCTGCCCTTTCTCTCGTACATCCATCTTGCTTACTAGGTGAGCCGTCTATCATCCTCCTATTGCCCTTTCGTCTCGTATTGATGTTCATGTACCACCTTTTCGGTCAAGGGGTTGACACCATTGCGGACGCATCGGTTTGACTTCGTTCCTTCGCTCTGTTTCTTGTCCTTGATTGACACATTATACCCGATCCCTCTGGCTCCGTTGTACTATGCAAGGGAGGGATTGATAGTGCTGTCTTAACTGCTCTAGTACAGGGAGCTGTTCCACGAATTGCTGAAACCATGCAGCTATCACGTAAATGCAAGAAGGAGCTTTCCGGCGATGACATTTAACTACAGTATATAATTCAGTACATGTGTAGTCTACTATTGGAGGCTATCCCTAAACATTCATTTTTCAGCTTCTGCAGCCATGTTCTCGAGCGGTTTCCGATCATTTTCGAGCATTCTGGCAATTTTTGGGTATTTTTGGAGGCCGTTCGGGAAATCCGGAGGAAATTTGGCACTTTTGGGAAGGCCAGTCTGAAGTCCGGAGAAAAATCCGGACTTGCGTCCGGACCTAAAACCCCCTTGTCCCGAACAGCATATCTGGGGCATTATCAGGGGTCCTCATGTTCCTCGTGTTCATTCGGTTCATGTCACGTATGTGACCAAGTATGTGACTTGCAATTCGTCATGTCAATAGACACAGGTAAAAGCTTAGGAGGCCGGTGAGAACAAAATCCTGACCCTTAATATTGTCCTGGAGCTCGTTATGTCTTCAAACATATGGACGAAGCCTATCCTAGCAACCATGCGCTCTTCCTGTCGGATTGGGTACCTTTCCGACCTGAATTCCGAATACGCATTCACTTCAAGAGCGATTACGCTGGTACCCTATGTCTATGTGGACGACTTATTGGAAACTGTTGGACAGGTTCATTCAAGGGGTTGGCTTCGCTGTCGTTCCAGTCCTCGGGTGATGATGGAAATGAAGAACGATCAGAATAGGCACGAACATAAGGAGTTAGGCTCGTTGCAAGGCGACATGCTTGAGAAAGGTCTCCAAAGGGATTACGGTAAAGATGTGCTCCTATTTCCTTACATGCCCTTATTAATAGTGCCTCAACACCGCGCTACTTACGCAGAGACAGTACAGAACTCAAAATATGCGCCATTTGTTTGCCATGTTCACAAAGCTCGGTCTTCGGCTGTTTTATGTCTTTTGCGGCCGATATTCTTAAGATAGCTGCTCATGTCCCCGGCGAGTCGTAATCCAGAACATATACTGCAATGTCTAGTCGAACACCCGCCTTGCACTCGAGCGTCTCTGGATTCTTCATCCAGCGTACGAGTCGGCGGGGGACTGGCAGTTACCCTGTCCGTCATTCGGCCGACATGCTCTGGATCTTTCAGGTGCTTTTGAACTCGAGTCTATCCATTGGATACTACGGTATTCAGTCGATCTTCTCAAGTTCTCTTTCAATACACATATTTTCGTCTCCTCATGCTGCTACGAGCTGCAAAGACAGCCTGCACAAATACGGCTTCTTCAATTCAAGATACGGATCTAATTAATTCAGTCGTTGAGAGTTCACGGTTAGTCTCTGATGGCACTGCATTTTGCCCCTATTCACGTCTTATTTTTTTCCACCGTCGGCACGGGAGCATTTCGAAAGGCCTCGAATATTCCACAATACGTGCGGTGTATCGTTTTGGACAAGCAGACTTTGTCCTCCCCGCCGATTCTGGGTATACACCCTGGCGGGTTCGGTGCGGGAAACGATGCTTTCGCCGCCGTCTCTGCTGGTTTCTTTCGCGCTCGACTTTCCGAGTTACTTCCTTAGGGTCCTACAGAGCCTAGCAAATTTCATGGTTAAGGTGAGGGATAAACGCCTTGCTGACGCATCCCTAAGTACTGCATCCAGCGTTAGCCGTGAAGCTTGATGCCTGAGGCCTGAGGCCCCATGTTCATCAACGTTCAAGGGAACGGTACCGGATATAAGCACAGTACCGGACGCTTGTGCGTCATCTGAAAGAAAATGACCGCCGAGCATACTAGATAGTAGGATGGTTACCCATCCTATGGCTGACGCTAGTAGTAAGGGCGATGCTCGGCGCCTAATACGAGTTCTTCAAGTTTGCGATGTATGGCATGCCTTTCAAAGAGAACAGGTCTCACGCGGACGAGTTACTGCTAAGTACTCTCTGCCGCCGTCTATAGCGCATGTTATGCACCGTCGGAAGGATCTTCAAGTGGGTCCATCAATCCACGTTACACTCTTCCGCCATAGCGGGTATTCAAGTGCTAGTAAGCATATTCACGGATGTCATAGAGCTTCATTCCTGAAAAACTGTAATTGTACTTAAAACTTCCATTGTATAGGCCGTGAAATAGTTCATTACCAACGTGATATATCTCCTTTCAAGAAAGACATACATATAAAGGGGATTCTGACACTAGAGAACCGAGAAATTTCATGAATGGTTCAAATTCTAAACTATCGTCCAATTTTAGAAGTTGCTCGCAAACACCAAATCATCCTGCATTTTTCAAAGTGTAAGCTAGGTAAAGGTGGGTGCAGCTAGTCATTACATTTTCCGTATCGCAGCTTGCTGAGCCTATGGTGCCTGTGGGGCTTCAGTCCTCCGGTCTTCAACATGTACGGTGAGTTCACATGTTGGAATATTTAATTCGTTTACCGATCTACTGCAGGATGGAGAGGGGCTATGGTACTCTAGCTAATCGTTTTATAACACAATCCAGCGATAGGTCTGAATAAAGATTGAATGAACTGCATAAATAAATGACTTGAAAGACTCAAAATATGATTACAAGGCATGTGATACAATCACGACAAAGGAAACGATGGAACAGTGGAATACATTCTCACATCCATCGGTTTGTAGCCCAACTCCAGACGGTGCTAATGCCTGCCCCGATACCTCCTACAACCTTCTTTCCGGTACTGGATGGAAGCGCGGTCATCCCAGCACGTTGGAGGTGAGAAAACCAGTCACCTTTCTTCACTGCGCCGCCGTAGAAATATCGTTGAGACCAGACAGCTGGAGTGCCTATAAGAGGTATTTGAATGTTCACGACCCAGATGATGATACCCATGACACACCTTTAACTGGGCCTGCTGGACCGAAGCCGAACACTCGAAGCAGAGGTTTCAGGATCCACGACTCCGGAATCAGCATACCAACGGCAGTGAATATTAATGTGTCTCATAAGGCCGGATATTGCTCGGACAGGTCCCCTGGGTGCAGATATAAGATCACTGGGGAAAACAAAATCGATGGTAGACCAACCGATGAGTACCACAAGCCTCTCTACTTGCGGCCGAATCTCGTTGACATGCGTATTCAGAAGTTCTTCCTTCATACCATGCTGAATACCGACTCGAACAATCGCCCATTGCACCCTCTCGAGGATATCGTGGACAGTGCGATTTCGCTCGTCATGAGTCGGTGCTTCATTCGAGGAGGTGAATATCTTGTGGAGCTCCCCAATAATTGGAACGAAGGCGTTGTCAAAGTCCTCAGAGATTATGGCCAACGATGTACCGTCTGTGGTATGAGCAATCACATCTGACTCGAAGTCCGCTGCAACAGCGACGAGCGTATGCATTGTACGTTTTACAGCTTCAGTGCGTTCAGATGCCAATGAAACCTGCGATGCCGCTTCCTTCAAAAGGTTCTCTGTATACGTTTGTAACTTGATGCCGATCGATTCTGCCTTGCTCCAGAAGTCAAAATCAGAATGCTCGAGGCGTCTGTGCACGGTGCCGAGAATTTGTTGCTTTGCATCCCCAAAGATGGAGGTATAGTGCAATAACTCATCAATTCTAGTCGCTCGGAGCCAATCGCCTAGGAGAAAATGTAAGAGATGCTAAGTCTGACCCTCTTTTTGTCGTACCTGTACCAGTGCTGAGGATGTTTACCTTAGAAAGAGCAGCCCATACGGATTGTGGATTAAACACTTACTATGGATGTCCAGAGAGGCTAGACTCCGAGTTGGAATCAGCTCTGCATACACTCTCGGAGAGCGCTACGAACAAGAAGCCGACGATTGCCCCCCAAGGGAGAATAGCGAAGTACATGGTGGATGGTGGTAAGACAAAGGCGCGGCCAAAGATGCTGCCACATGTCCAGCACGTTCCTTTTCAACGTGGTTTCAGGGCCAAGCGCTAGAATGCCTCTGGCAGAAAGTCGGTACCAGAGATACATTTTGCGTGCAGAAACGCGATGTCATCTTGAACAGGACGAATTACAGGGCCACGGATGCTTTGATAGTTTGTACTGTTGCATTCCGAACGGTTCATCAACCTGTGTTCGCTGTTCGAAATGCGACAGTAAGTACTCGTAGGTCGCATATAATGCGCACACGAACTTCTTATAATGCTCTCTGCTAGATCATCATGGTTCACATTAAGTATACGGGTCGACCCTTCCCCTATAGAACTGTCGCAGCGGAGATTAAGTGATCTTTGTCTGGTGGTTAGTTCGGAGTCACTAGCTGGAGTGTTTGCCTCTGCTTGGCAGCACCATCGTTCATATACAGTATATCCATAAATGGATATTCGGTTTTGAAAAGCTCCTCCGTCAGAAGTCCGAGTCGGACACAACTGCGACAATCGATGAGGGCTTTACAAGGTATGCTCTAGCTCTTGACCACTCTGTGGGACTTCACCACTCGTAGAACTGAATGAAAGGAGTACCAAATGAAATGCAAAGCTTCTCATTAAATCATGTGCTCAAGTAGGTATTATGGTTCATCCTGACACCGTGATGAATGCGCACTCAGACTTCTTTCCATCAGCATGTATTCACCTGTATGATCCTATAGATTAGGCTGACAATTTGCGTGTCCTGTTTCAAACTAGACTCTCCTGTGACATACCACCGAATAGCGCTGACCGACGGAAGTCAATACGGTCTAAGGATGGTCAGCCTCTTGCGTGCCCTAGTATATGGTGAGGATGGCTGGCACTATATCTATGTGCCTTTTTCTCCTTCACCCCATTCGACGACGCTTCGCAAGTCTGAGCAATGGCCTTCTTCACAAAGATCAAGATTCTCCTTCGCCGCAATCGCCCTTCTATAGCAGTGAGTATTCCCATTTGCTTTCTTTGGAGCTTAAATATGTTGAGTTCTCTTCATCCAGCATCCTCACGGTGCTCGTCACATATCGTCACATCCCTGCGCGGATCCACCAGTGAGTGAACATACCGCATCTTACTTGTGACCGATCGCTCATATCTTTGGAAGCTTATCGAAGCAAGTTGCGCTATCAAGCCTCCACAGAACACCTCAGTGGAGGCATCCAGAGCCTCATCGCTACTCACTCTCGTCAGTTCCTTATGTCACTCACATTCCTCCCACACGTCTAACACGTATTGCATGTAGGCCAAAGCGGCTCGAGGGCAGGATGCGGAACTTGTATATCCTCGACTATTCTTCTGCGAGATAATCCTTCGCACAATTCGTGTCCAGCGGCCGCTGACGATAGGAGTCTTGGCCAGTTTCGTAGCAGGCATGGTATATTTATTCATGCCTGTAACATTGCATTTTTCTCCTCTTACGAGATGATACAGATGTCAGATGGGATCTCCGTTCGTGATCTCAATCGTCTCCTCAATATTGACTGTGGAGAATACGTGTCTGGAGCTCTGTCTCTTGATGTCGCATTTCCCTCACGCGTTATCAGCGTGGTGCGGACAGCCATCTCTTCTGAAACGCAAGAGGAAGAATTTGCGACAATCGAGCTCTCATTCATCGACACCTTGAGCCCTGACAACATTTCTAGTGCCTCGAGCCCTTCTCCATCTGCCTTTATCACCGACGAATCTACTCTCGTATCATCAACTACCATCTCTCCTAAGTATTCTTCATTTCAAGCCTTCGATTCATTATATTCCCTTTCCGCACTCCCGTCGTTCCCGGACGATACATATCCTACTTTCCCTCTCCCTGTTACAGCCTCATCTTCGGAGGAAACGCCAGCCTTCCCTCCATCTGATGGCCAACTCCAACTTCGAGACTTCGACATAGTCCGTCCACTCGGGGCTGGCGGTTTCGGTACTGTCTATCACGCACGTCTAAAGGCGACAGGTGGACACGTTGCTGTAAAGGTCATGAAGAAGCGAGTAGGTTCTTCTCGCAACCATCTTTCTCACTCGAGAACGGGAGAAGATGTATTTGGACCTGTACTTCGAAGTGATGACCTGCATACATCTATGGGCACTGCAAGTTTGAGGAATTGCGCAGCGGGATTGGACGAGTTGATTGCGATGAGGCGGTCGGAGGGAATCAAGGAAGTCGTGGAATTACTTGGGAGTTGGCACGATAGCCAGAACTTCTATCTAGTTATGGTGGGTCTTATCCATGTTTTTCGGATGATAATCAAGTATTCAAACCGTATCTCAGCCCTTCTGCCCGGGTGGAGATCTGCAGTCCGTTCTCGACAAACGTGGCCAACTGCCTGTAGAGCATGCTCGATTCTGCATTGCTGACATTGTGAGTCTTCTGTGCGGGATGCATCTCTGAAGATGACTTAGTACTTCTCTCCAGCTCAATGGTCTCACCGCTCTTCACTCCCGTGGCATCATCCACAGAGACATCAAGCCTGCCAATATCCTGGTCGGATCAGATGGCCGGATAAAGATAGCAGATCTAGGTCTCGCTCGCTGCTTCGAAAACTATGCTTGTGAGTTCGAGAAGTCAATCCATCCAACATCTGGGGAACAGGATGACTTGTGCAATGACCTGTTCTCTGAAGTCACTGCGAAGGGGTGTGGAACTCCGGAGTATGCTGCTCCTGAGCTTTATCATGGGCACCTGTACACGTATGGCGTGGACATTTGGGCTCTGGGTGTCATGAGTTTCAAGATGCTATTCGGTCGTGTAAGTTCAAGTTTATAACATTTGGTGTCAGACCGTCGTGCTTATATGCATCATTATCTGAAAGTCACCATGGGATAAGACGGACATACAATCTTTGGCAAAGAGTATTATGAGGGGGACTATCAGTATCGAGAAGTGGGAGCGAGCACTGTATGGTGTTCCAGAAGATGCAGAACTTTTCATTCGACGAGTACGTCGAGACCTCTGAGATTGCCTTCTCTGAACTTATGTTTTATCAGGCGCTGGACATGGATCCTGGTACGAGACCGACAGCGATTCGTCTCAAATCACATCCATTTTTCAAACCATTGTGAGTGCAATGATGACGTCATTGAGATGCATATCTGATATACGTTGAAGCGATTGGGAAGGCTTAGCAAACAATACGTTGATGGCACCATGGATTCCTGGTGCCTGCAAGCCTTTCCCTCAGGAAACAATGTCTCCTATCGACGTCGGTGTTCCTTTGAACACCGACGATGACATCGTTCCCTATTTCAATTACATTTCTCCTCAACTCGCCAATGCACCTTCCACTCTTCCTGTTCTTGATTCTTCGTCTTCTTCCACTTCGCTGTCTGATTACACCAACTGTCCGCCCTTACCGCCTCTCATTGGATACCCACTTGACTCTGTCCCGTCCTCGGCTTCCGGCATTCACTTACCCAGTGTCCCTTATTATGGTGAAATGGAATTTCCTCATGAAGGTTCTGGTCTTAATAAGCCAGACAACGTTGATGACTATGTCACCAACCTCGCTCATGAGGAATCCAGATCACTGTCCTTCTCTATCCCGAACTGGACAACTCCGGTCGGACCTATTGAGGGACCTCGTTCAGTTCCACAAGCCTCTTTGGACGTCATGGACCTTGTTAAGAGGGAAGACTCTGGTTCTTTGCCATTCCTACGCTACAGGAATCCACATCAAGATAACTTCTTGTCGTCGCATGGTCCAACCTGCACCGACGATGACCCGCATTCTACATCCGACTCACTGCGCGATGGATTAAGTGCCCTCACAGATGCAATGTATTTCAATCCACCTACTCTTTGTTTCTCACCGTCCAGCAACGCAGATACATCTAACGACTTCTCCCCGCCGCCGATTGAAGAAGAATCTGCGACATCACCTCAAGCTGAATCCTATCTTCCCCCCGATGACACTCCAGACGTGACCTTATGTATGCTATATGAGGCCGCTGTTGTGTCTTTTCCTCCAATGCAGAAGGATCTCGTCAAGGAGTGTCAACCGCCCGTCCTTGATGAATTCAACCGAACTTCAGATATTACCCTGAATGCACACGAGTACTTCCACAACGTCTACTTCTTCAGAGATGTTGCTACCTCTCAGTGTTCAGGCTTCATCACACAGCAATCCATCTCATCATCTTCATTTCTCCCTCCCACTGTGACCATCATGGAACTCTCGTTGTCACCGACGAACAACGCTCCCTTCTACTGTTCTTCCCCGCAAGCCACTCTCCCAATTTTGCCTTCATGGGACCCATTCTCCTTGGTCTCGAAACGACTCTCAATAGTCACAGTTTTCTCTTGTATCAAGAGGCTGGCTACAACCCTCTCCAATCTGTGTCGCCGATTTATAATACTCTCGTGAATCTGTTCATCTTTAATTACCTTCTCTATGGTTATAACTATGGTTCTATGTCGCTTTTTTCTTTTCTTCTTTTCTTTTCTTTTCTTTTCTTTGCATTAAACTGTGTATTCCTGTTCGCAAGATGATTTATCTAATCTGTCTACCTTATTGCCTTATTGTTTAGTTCGATATCCGATTTGTGGTCTCCTGCCTTAATTACATCTCATCATTAGCTTGGTAACTAATCATGTATTGTATTCAATCTCTTATTGCTAATATCTACCTTCCCGAAAACGTTCTTGTATCAGTCCCATTGCGAATCGCAGTGCACCGCCCGCACATATGACTGTAACAACATGATATACACTAGGTCAAGTTCCGATAGGCATACGCTACAAATACATCTCGAAGTGCGATGAAAAGCGAAGAGACACATTGGCGGCTATACAATCCATAACTGTCTGCACGGGGTATCGAGGGAAAAAAAGGGAAAAACGGTCCGAAAAGCCAATGCACTAGTACAAACATCGTATCCTTGCAATCATCGACAATTCTAACAAAACATTGAAAATCCCCGGCGGCAACGACTGGGGATGCTCATAGCTGATCCCAGTTCCTAACTATGGCCGCCCGTGTTGATTGCTGCAATTACAAGCCCATTCCAAGCTTCTGCAAGACGGCAAACCAACTGCCTTTCGGTATTTCTCCTCGGAAGATACGCTGCAACAAAGCAGCTAAACTCGCTGTGAAGTGCGTCATCAAAACAAAAGATTACTGTTAGAATCGTGCTCACAAATCTTTGACCGGACCCCGACGACTGAAGCCAAGTAGCACTGTCAAGAATGGACCGAGGACTGGTAAGTCTGCCAAAATCAAAGTGACAATCTCGAACAACACTATATTCCCCAGGATGGGATGCTGTTGATGGAGGTCACCTAGATTTTGTACTTAGTCATGTTGAGAAGAGCGCAGCAACAAGACAGACAGACCGATAAGGACGACAACGGCCTGCACGTGCGGTATAATCTGGTCCATATGATTGCGCATGACAGTCTCTTCCATGCCATTCTTGACACCCAACTGAACAATAGATTCTCCGAGCATTTGTAAGAGTTCATGTATCGCTTTCTGCCGCTCATCATGACCTGGTGCGGTCTGTAGAGACATATTCAGTTGTTGAACTATTGGGGCGAAGAGGAGTCCGAGGTCTTCAACCACCGTCTCGAACGCGATGCCCTCCGGACCATGGGTAACGATATCGGTTTGTAATTTGCCAGCAGCATTTACTACAAGGTGTACCGTCTTCATCACTTCGTCTACGCTGTCCTTTGCTTGCGATACTTGTAGTTCGGCTCCCTTGCGGAGGGAACTGGTGAATTCAAGGAGATTGTCCACAAAGGGCTCGACCTCCAGCAAGACATCTGAGATTGCGGGTTCCACAACATCGTGTACCACACCTGAGAGTTTCTGCCCAACGTCTTCGAAGAAATGGGACACAAATTCTCCGATATGGCGAGGTGCGTGAACCTGGTTGTCTGCAAGAGCTTAGTATGCCTCGAACTCATGTATTGAAATATCTATTATCACCTTCGAAGCTGCTCGGCACAGACACGTCGAGGAGAAGGGGCTTAGTGACGATCTTTTGTGAGAAGAATCGATGATTTACTCACGAGTCGTCATGCTCCACCAGACTCTTGGTTTCAAGGTTTTCCCCAGAGGATAAACCTTGGGAAAACGTCGCCAGGGAACATGTGGAAATAATAATGGTTAAAACTAGTTGGAAAGTGAGACGCATGGTGAAAGTCGTTGAAGGTGAAAAGCAAACAACACCGGCGTCGAACCGTCAAGGTGTTATATGGTTCTTGGCAGGAGACGCCTGTGGGTTGCTTCTAAACGTCAAACCTGCGTCACCTTGTAGTTTGAAGTATCAAACGTAGAATCAAGGCCAGAAATTTTTCTTGTACATCTTAGCATATAAGCCTAACGACAGAGTGCAAAGGGTTCATCGAAGGAGCGATCATAAGTATCCGGCAGTCATAGAATGCGCTTAAAGGGGTGTAACAGATGACCGCGGAGTCCGACAAGTACTTGAAACGGGACGCTGAGCCAGCATTGGGAAGGGGAAGATTCAGATACATTCCAACGTCCAACATACTGCCATTCTGCTAGAGGGATGACTCTGAGTCCGGAACACTTATGCTTGTGTTTATATCATAATCACCTGATGTTCGAGAAGTGCAGTCGCAGACACTGGTGTTAACCAGTCAAAGGTGACGCATCCATCCCAGTTCCGTGATCAGCATGTTGATGGTGATATCCTGACAGCATGTAAAGAGCGCTCGCGGTAAGTTGTGATAAAGCGAGTGCGGACAATGGTTGACTTACGCAGCTCAGCAATGGTGATAAAGCGACGCCGACAATCACCAACGTCACAGGCATGAGCACGGATCCCCCTTCTTGCCTCCTTCGCACCTTCTTCATTGCATAGGTCTTTTTCTCGAATTTCCTCCAGCATTTTTGATGGCATTGGTTCAGCCATGTAGCCAGATGAAGCCACCGAAATGAAAGAGAAACGGCCCGAGGACGAGGTCGTAGTGGTGATAGCGGTTGACATACTGTTGACAGAGGGTGCTTTAACAGACACGAAAGAGAATATAGAACTCCCCGAAGATCTGTGCGTCGAAGGGGGCTGGGAGGTCCGCGCGAGGGAACGAATTTCCGGCGTCAATGAGGTTGTCGTTGGGGGAGTCACAAAAGGAGGAGGATGCGAAGGCGCAAGAGCCAGTATTTTTAGCCCTGATGACCATGGGGATGAGGAGGGGTTGGGAGGATCTACTGGGTCAATGTGAACGTCACTGGATGTCTGAAGCATGTCAAAGTCATGCTCCGAAGCAGACGAGATGGAATCCATTCCCCAGTCGTCAACACGACATGACTTTAGAAGGGACTCCGCACTTGGCCGCGCGGACGGAAGGTCCTCCCAACACTGTCGCACAAAAGACCAATTGTCTAGCTGGAGCTTCATTCGCGGTTCAGAAGTTGGCTTTGGCCATTGGGGATGAACATTGCGCATTTTGAGTGCGTAAACCTGGTGGTCTGAGGGTATCTCAGACATTGGATGACGTAGTGTATATATCTATGCAGTATTCAACCCAAGTGAACGCATAGATCGCGTTGGAGACCAAACCTCAAGCCAGACGCATCCAAATGCGTATGAATCACTCATAAATGACGCCCTCGATCCCTGGACGACTTCCGGAGCCAACCATCGGACGGCACCTCCAGACTGAGAACCCAGGCTAGCAGAGCTACTTTCCGCGAATCGAGCCAGACCAAAGTCTGCAATTCGTATACGTTTGTCCGCACCCATTAAGATGTTTGCCTGCGGGAGTGACATTTTCAAAATGAACTGAAATATAGCAAAGGACTTACGCCACGCAAATCACCGTGAATTATATGCTGATCGTGAAGATATTGCAATCCTTCTGCTATCTCCGCAAACTATGTAACGTATGAGAAAGCAGCAGAATGGTCGAGCCTTCGGAAAACGTACCCAATGCCCCAAGGGTATGCACTCGGAAGAGGAATTGCTTTTGGACAGGTCAGTTTTGATATATTCAATAATGTTGCCTTGGTGCATCCATGGAGAAACGAGACAGTAGTATGGCGAGAATGTATTGTTGTCTATACCAAGGAAGGGCAAGATCAATGGATGGACGAGCTGTTGCCAAACCATTGCTTCACGCAGGAGATTCTGTAAGTCCAGAATATGTTAGCGGAAGTTCACATGAACTGTATGTCTCTAAGTCACCAAGTGGTTCTCTGCACTTTGGGGTTGATTTCGAAACGTTCGTAACCTCTTTAAGGCAACTGGTTTTGATTGATGGGTCGCGCGGAATATATCCGCAAAACCGCCCCCTGCAATCGCATCCCTCTCTTCACATTCAACATCATTCAGATACAGAGATGATGGAATGCGCGAAGAAGCCCTAGAGAGTTGTAGAAGTAGACGACGCAAGGTAAAACGGTCCTGATAAGGTAACTGTCTTTCGTTGAGTATCTATGGGAAATAGTTCAAATGACAATGGTCAAGAAACATAATGTACGTATGATTTACTTGAAGTATCTTCTCCATGGCGAGTACAGCGGTTTCTCCTCGAAAGGAGAGAATCTGAGCTCTCGCATAGGATGATGTTATCCGTTGGTGTATCAGCAGGCGCCAAACTAATGGGTCATTCGATACACGTAGAACTTCCAATATAGACCCTGAGACCAGCATCCCAGATACAAGGAGAGAAAGTAGTAAGCAACAGGTGGGCTGAGTACGATGTTACCGAGCGAGGTACTAGTGTTAAGATTTGCATAGCGATGCATCGGCTCCTATGCACAGCCGATCTAGCATCCATGATTTGGCAGTGTGTGAATCCTGATAAAATGTCAGGGTACATCATGGGGAACGATTACGCAGGTAAGAAGATTCATCTTAAGGTAATGGCAGATGCGAGGTTTGGTGCTGGGATGGTCAAAGTGGCCTGGCAGCAAAGATTTAGACTCATTTGGAGGTGAGACGGCACACTTAGGCTTGTTTGGCTTTGTATGGCAACAGCCTCTTGATCCATATGAGGACCGATTGGACCACTGTCTATTTTTCTTGGAAGCCAGAATGACTCAGGTATCGTCACGCAAATTTTGACCCATGTTGCGGAGCCTTAGAAAAACAAACAGGGAATTAAGATCGTGTACTCGATGTTAGACGTGGATAAGGAACGCGTCTATGTACCGAAGTTCAGGGCAGGTAGACACGCGCTTACACGGAAAAGTTACCGCGTCATATTCAAACGCGTTTACCGCCGGCCAGATTGTACGTATATCTCGTTCACCGACGAACCGCCATCAAACCTTTCATACACGTTAACCTCCATACGATGTCATTCGATTGGAACGAAGACGATGAAGACTTCTTCGCCGGTGCATCTTTCAAACCGCGTACTATTGAGGAAGACTTTGCTATCCCCGATGACTTTGCAAACCTTGGAGGTGCCGCTATCATACCCCAAGATGTAGTAGAAGAAACACCATTTCAACAACTAATACGACATTGGATGAATGAACGACACGCGCCTGATATCCTTCCCGCCCAGGAGATGTTGTTAGGAAGACTATTGGATCATATCCGGAAACAGGTGTGTATTCAGTCGGACTGCGCGTTGTGAGGGTCATTTGTCTGAATGCTTGAAGTCGTAGACAGACGATGTACAACTGTTACGTGCCGACCCTGACTCTTCAGAAGAAGAGCACTTTAGGATCACGTTGGTACAGACAGAGATTGAGAGGGTAAAGTTCGTGATTAGGTCGTATATTCGAACGCGATTGCACAAGGTACAATTCATTTCGTGTCTTTCTTCTCTCTTGTTTGAACTTGCGACTTTTGTTGGATAGGTAGAAAAGTTCGCGCGGCACATCAGCGCAACACCAGAACTACACGACAGGCTGTCGAAAGCCGAACTCGATCACGCTAAAAGGTTGCGACCTTGTCGTATTTCTTCACACACAAATATTCATTCAGCTTCGTTTGCTGTAGATATGCAAGGCTCGAGGAAACTCACTATACCAGCGCGGTCTTGCAAGGGTTGCCTCCAGATCAACAATCACTGGACGACAATATCGCCTTCATGCCGCCTATGGGTAGGTTATGTAACCGTCATCAAACCCTTGTGCTGAACGCTCCTCTTTATCAGTGACTGCGCCTAGTAAAACACGGGCGGTATTCGCTCACGCGAGACAGGATTGTCCACCTGTACGATTACCAGAGTAAGACACCACTTTATTCCATGTCCGTATGTTCCTCAGTGATTTGGTCTCTAGCGGGTCCACGTTGGAAATGACCAAGGGTCAGATATCTCTAACGCCCTACCATGTTGTGGAGCAGTTGCTTGCGAGAGAAGAGGTGGAGTTGGTTTAGTCTATGCATGCATGTATTCTACACACATTTGACCTATGTAGCAGTACACGAAGAAGTAGCAAAAATACAATCCCCGCAGAAGAGAGAACGAAAGTAATAAATACAGTACATAAAGTATAGTCACGAAAAGTCCCATGTATGATCCTCATACACACTACACACATCCACGGTCACCGCTCATAATCATCATCTTCCTCGTGAAGTCGCCGACTATATGCTTCAACACTCTCTTCCTCCTCGGGTTCTACATCCTCTTCGTCCTTGGCTTTGTCTGCCTTCTTTCGACGTTTTCTCGGCGCGGTGGAAGCCTCACCGCCTTCCGCTTTCTTTCCCTTGCCTCGTTTCTTTTTCTCCTTGTCGGCTTGTTCTTGTTCGAGATCGATAGTCCCTCCTGCTGAGGGATCGGGAACAGCCTCGACAATCTCTTTGAGGAAATCGAGCATGTCGACGGTCTCAACTGCATGTTTTCTGCGATGGAAAACAAATGTGTACGCGGTTCGCCTGAAACAAGTGAACACTTACAGATGATATGCCTCTACCCTCTTTGATCCTCTCTCTATTGTGACCTTGCTCGCTTCATCAACAATCATAGCCAAGAACAATTCTAGAGCCTTTGCTGATTAAAAGACGTGTTCATAGACATTCCCTGCATGCAATTCACTGTCTATGCGAAAGTCAAAAAAGGTTACATACATATGACGACTGGTGTAGCTTGTGCAACTTTCCCCACCTCTTCATCTTTCTGCATTATACGCTTGATTCGTGCCTGATGTTTCACAAGTATCATTACTTCCCATTCAATGACCTAGGTTTCTGACACATACCACTGGAAACTTTGTTTGCTTGTTCTTGTTCTTCATTGCTGTGACTGACGCGGTCTCAAGTGGGTGGATTTGTGCGGGATGTTCTGTAAGCGCCACTGAGGGTCTGAGACGCTTGATTGACCTTTGTCTTGAATTGCGTGGGCGTCCGAGATGCGATTCGCCCAAAGAGGAAGCCTCGCGTAACTTGACTGGAGTGGGGTTCGATCCCTGCCCTTCGCGCTTTCTGTCAGACCTCATTACACTTCATTTTCATTTTCTCCAGGCCACTGTACCCGGGTGTTCAGCTTGATAAGCCAGTCCCTTTTCATTGGGAACTCTCTCATGGATGTGCGCATCGTAAACAAAAATTGCTCAGTGCTTACTGATTGGGCAGATTTCTCTCAACAGTTTCCTCATCGATAGGCCGTCTCCGATGTGCAAATACGGCATGATCTCGTCTCCTCATCATTCATACCATGCATGTTTCTATCGGGTTCTTCGGGCCTGGGAACTTCCGGCTTTTACAGTCAAATGAGGACGTGGAGAGTATATAAAGACGAGGGATTTGTAACCAACATCTAAACACCTTGACAGCGGCCTTTAACCAGTCCCCAACATGAGCCTTTGCAAAGACTGCATTTCTGGTATGTCGATCGTCTTCATTTCGATGCCGTACATTTTCAAACGCTTAATGCCGATCGTCCGAATACTAAGGTGTCCGCCATGAGGGTACGCCCGAAGGTAGGAATTCATTTCAGAGCGCTCTAGACTGCGAATAGTCGACTGACATACGGACCCACAGGCAAGATCGAGAAGATCGGTGGAATCAGGAGTTATATCGCCACGCCCCACGGCGAGTACTCCAAGGACAAGGTCATCGTTTTCATACCCGATGTTTTTGGTATTGACATGGACAACGGCAAGGTCTGTCACTCATTGATTAGTTTTACCCTGCAGCCTCGCCTTACCATATATTTATGTCCTAGCTCCTCGCCGACGCTTTTGCTCATGACGGCTACAAAGTCGTAGCCCCCGATCTCTTCAATGGCGATCCTATTCCTGACGGTGCTTTGGATAGCGGAACTTTCGATTTCATGGCATGGCTCGGTAAACACCCGCCTGCTGGTGTCGTTCCGATCGTCGAGAAGGTTATCGATGCATTGAAAGCAGAGGGTGTGACCAAGTTCGGTGCGGTCGCATTTTGCTATGGCGGACGCCTCGCGTTCGACCTGGCCTTCAAGGGCAGCCTGGACGTCGTCGTTGCCAACCACCCTTCACTCCTCAAGGTTCCCGAAGATCTCGAGGTAAGATCTTGCTCCCATATTACTATTTCGACTTTGAACTCATCTCCATAACAGAGATACCTCGCCGAGGCCAAAGCGCCTCTTCTCATCAACAGTTGCGAGACCGACCAGCAATTCCCAATCGAGGCTCAAGCTAAGGCGGATGAGATCCTCGGTGGCGGCAAGTTCGCTCCCGGATATGAGCGTCCCTACTGGGCTGGCGTTGTCCATGGCTTCTCCATTCGTGGTGATGTTGTATGTTTCTCTTTCCTGATGATTTTGTACTGTCCTACGTGATTGCTAACTGATTCTTTTCAAATCCAGAGCGACCCCACGATTAAGGCCGCCAAGGAGGGAGCGTACAAGGCTGGCATCGAATTCTTCAAGAAGCACCTGTAGATCGGGCGGAAATATAAAGACAATCAAGTTTTGTAGCCTATTGTATGTATGACTATGTAGCAGAATATATATGTACCTGCTCGACGCGATGTTCATCCTGGTTCCAAGCTCTGCGCAGCCTCCGCCATGCTTTCATAAAGGTCCTCTCTTCTGCAGACAACTGAAATATGCAGAAAGTAGATTATGCCTGAGCGTACCCGGGACGGATTAGAGCGGTTCACAAAAGTTTCTATGATGTGCTTAAGGCACCGCAGCATCCTGCGAAAGGCTGCAACAAATGCACAGCCTCGATATGGAGCCGATTTAGACTCCAAATGTCAGCTCAAACGCGTACCAATGGACTATAAAGAGATCATAGAAACGAATCACCAGTCTTCGACGAACTTCTGCTCGCTCGGAGTCAACTCTTGCTCAAACATGCTGAGAGTCGGCCTAGCTTGAGCATACGCCTCGCAAATCAGCGCGGCATGTTTCTCGCTACGAGGCCGAATGTTGCATTTGAATGGCTTTGGTCCAATCGCGATGCCCTATATCAGCAGTATGAGCTGAAATCTGAACACTTTAAAGGCACAAGGGCAGGTACGTACAGTTGTAAAGTCTTCTGGCCGGATGGGAATGTGGCGGTCGCGGTTGGCTGCGTCGGCGATTGTGAAATCGAAACCCCACAGAAGGTTCATGATGTTCATGATCTGAAGAGAATGCATTGGGTTTAACCCGATGCAAAACGGAGAAATAGAAAGAACAAGTACGATAGAACTGTTTGCCAAGTGGTTTCCGGGACAAATGCGCTGCAAATCGGGTCAGAGCACTGCAAGAAGAGGAATAGAATCAACACTCAACCCTTCCGCTTCCAAAGTGGAGATCAGAACGAAGACCAGTGGTATCTGCATTTGGCTTAGTTCCGAATTCAGAGCTGAGATAGCGTTCCGGATTGAAGACTTCAGGTCGTTCACATAATTCCTCGCTATGATAAATCCCATCTGAAGGGAAAAAGCAAGGTTCAAAATCGTTTTTCTAAATCCTAAGTGGCAGTGGCATGACGTACAGATGTTCATGAAAACCGTAGAGCCTTTAGGTATGAAGTACCCGTCAATCTACAGGCCGTTCTGTGAGCGTAAACGGGGTTATTGACGAAGAATCTCACAGTTTCATCAATAGTAGTCGCATGAGGTAACCCCAGAGGACCACTGGTGTAAAACCGATGCACCTGTGCAATAGTTGAAGACATGAGATTATCTGTATGCTGGACCATACCTCTTTGATTATTGCTTGTATGTATGGCAGGTGTTCAATATCTTGTGAAGTAGGCACTCTATTGGACCCGATTAAGTCGTCGATCTCTCTCTGCGCCCGAGCCTGCACATCAGGATAGCAAGAAATGCAAAGCACAAATCTATGCAGATAGGCGGCAGTCGTGGCAGAGCCGCCCTCAATACAGACGCCTCCCAAGTACCTTCAGTTGCACCGTCAAATACGGTAAACTCAGTAAACAATTGATTCGTGCACTCACCCTACCATATCCCTTGTCAATCCCAACTTCTCTCGTTGGTCGATAATATCTTCCAGGAAACAACCATTCCTCCGGCCTTCCCTGATCCGGCGTTCGCAATCGTCTCTCAGATTGAAGTAAAATTATCTTTGCCGTTTCCGTATATCCCTAGTGATGGTCTTCCACGAAGCCCAACGTTCTGGAATGTACTCCAATGCAGGTATAAGGTCGATTGAGGGATGAGCGCCTGGTTCAAGTAAAGCCTCCCATTTGTGTTGAACTGAGAAAAAAAAATGGATGCAGCACTATCTGCGTATCGGGGGCTTCGAAAACCAAAGACTGTAGAAAGCATGATGGATATCATTTGCCTTTGAATGTGGTTAAAGAAGTTCTGCCGGAGAGGTGTAAAATGGTAATCAGCTAGTGGACAAGCAAGCAATGAGACATGCCTCGGGCTGTTTGAGTAAATCGTACATCAACTGTGTCGCTTCCGCCTGTTGGATAGGCATATGGCGCGAACAGGCCTCACGAGTCAGGAGCTGCTGAACTGCTCGCCTTAAAGACTTCCATACTGGACCTATATAACGACAGTCAGAGGAGGAACGTGAACGTTTGTCGTGGACACCAGTGAAAGGAAAGCCGCTGACCGCTAGCCAGTGGCAGGCTCAGCCCATTGGTGGTGATGTCGGGGAGCCGTGACGGAGGTCGATCGCCCATGGAACCACTGCGTTTGTCCATAAAGTCCCGTATTAGGCGAGGGCTGGAGATCACAATAATTGTTTGCGAAGCCAGTTTCAACTGGACCGCTAGTCAATCAAACAATACAAAGAATGACAGGACCATCCGTACTGAGAATATACCACCATATTGTTTGCTCCATTCCGTGAACCTGTCCAGTGTCAAAGACGCCTAGGAATATGATAGTAAGAGATTCCTTACCGAAGGTAGGCAAACTTGGTAGGGAGTTGATGTATATTTCCTATGATAGGAAGGGTAGGTGGACCAGGGGGCAGACCCGACTCCCGTGAACCCTTTCCGCGCAGCCAGCTGAGTACAAATAAAGCGAGCAGGCTCAGAACCGCAATAGACGCCAGCATACTCAGAATTTGGGGGGGGTTGATAAAGCGATGGTCAGTAAACGGGGGCCAAACGGCGGTCGTACAATGGCGTTGAACTATATATGAGCTGGGGGGCTGGAACGCCACTTTGGCTCAAAAGTGAGGTCATTGAACGACTTAAAGAATTTCTCAATAGGCTGACAATGACATTGAGCCACCATCAGGCCACAGAGCTGCAAGAGATCACCTCAATAACGCTGATGGAGACAAGGCATGTCAGATTCTCCAAATGTCAAAACAAACGCGTACAATCGAACGATAGGCCTATCATAACTGGACGCCAGACACTGATCACCAGTCCTCGACGAACTTCTGCTCGCTCGGTGTCAACTCTTGTTCGAACATGCTGAAGGTTGGCCTTGCATGAGCATACGCCTCCCGAATCAGCTCGGCATGTTTATCGCTACGAGGCTGGATGTTGCATTTGAACGGTTTTGGTCTAATGGTAAGGCCCTACAGAAATGGTCACGGATGGAAACAGGTGACTGTCATTTGGAAATACTGTACATACTGGTGTGAAATCTTCAGGCTGAATGGGAACGGGGGAGTCATGACTGCCTTTGTCGGCAATAGAGAAATTGAAACCCCACAGAAGGTTCATGATGTTCATGATCTGAAGAGAAAGCGTGAGCTTCTCCCTATACGAAATGAAAACGATAAGTACGATAGCATTGTTAGCAAGGTGAATTCCCGGGCAAATGCGCTGTGAGCCAAGTTAGAAAGCTTCCGGAAGTGGAAAAGACGTATCACTCAACCCTTCCGTTCCCAAAGTGGAAGTCAGAACGAAAACCAGTGGTATCTGCACCTGGCTTTGTCCCGAACTCGGATCCAAGATAACGTTCCGGCATGAAAACTTCAGGCTGCTCATATGAGTCCTCGCTATGGTATACAGCGTCTGATAATAAGGAATAAGGCCCAGAACCCATACCGAGAAATCAAAACTCAACACTCACAGACGTTCATGAAGATGACCGAGCCTTTAGGTATGAAGTACCCATCAATCTAGAGATTGTTCAATTAGCCTAAGCGAGACACTATAGTGCTCCAAAACCCACAGATTCGTCCACAGTAGTAAAGTGAGGGACTGCTAACGGTGCAATAGGGTAAAAGCGATGTACCTGCACAAGGGTTCAGAAAAGTAGATTATCCGTGTTCACAAACCCACCTCCTTGATTACGGCCTGAGCGTAAGGCAAGTGCTCGATGTCTTGGATACTTGGCAACCTAGTGAACCCAATGAAGTCGTCTATTTCTTTCTGGGCTCGAGCTTGTACGTCAGGATACCGAGAGATGCAGAGCACGAATTTTTGCAGGGATATAGCAGCGGTGCCAGCGCCTCCTTCAAGACAAACCCCTCCTAGATATCTTGATATTCTATTCATTAGTACACCAGTACAAAGCAGGATAGTCTGTTGAACGTACGCAACCATATCCGTAGTTAATCCGAGCATTCCCTGTTGGTCTATAACATCTTCTAGAAAACAACCATTCCGGCGGTTTTCCCCAATTCGGCGTTCACAGTCATTCATGAGATCGTAGTACAATTTCCTTTGCTGCTGCCGCACATCTCGGCTAATAGTCTTCCATGAGGCCCAACGTTCTGGAATGTACTCCAAGGCAGAGAAAATATCAACAGGCAGATGAACACCAGGTTCGAGCAGAGCTTGCCATTTGTGTTGGACTGAAGAGAAACGGGATGCAAAGCTATCTGAGTATCGTGGGGTTCGAACACCGAAGACTGTAGAGAGCATGATGGAAGCTGTTGCTCTTTCGATGTGTTCAACGAAGTCCTGTAGCGGAATTGTAAAAACAAGAATTAGATAATGCTTTAGGCGTACCTCCGGCTGTTTCAGTAAATCGTACATCAATTGGGTTGCCTCAGCCTGTTGGATAGGCATGTGCTGCAAGCAGGCTTCACGATTCAGCAAAAGAAGTGCTGTTCGCCTCAGAGACTTCCACAACGGGCCTACATGATTACGGTGAGCCGGCGGCCGCATAGATGCAAGCCAAAGAAACTGACCACTTCGTGCCAGCGCCATGTGCACCCCATTGGTAGTCATCTCTGCGATCCTTGACGGAGGTCGATCGACCATAGATCCTCCGCGCTCGTCCATGAAGTCATGTATTAGACGTGGACAAGAGATTACAATGATTGTCTGCGAAGTAAGCTTTAACTGGACTATTCAGTCAGCAAAGCAACACGGGGGACGGCAAGAGCACCCCTACCGAGAATATTCCACCGTATTGCTTGCACCATTCTGCGAATCTACTCGGTGTCAGAAATACCAAAGAACATTGTGCAAGTGATTTCTTACCGAAGATAGGCAAACTTAGTCGGAATCTGGTGAGTGTTTCCTAAGACAGGTAGAGTAGGTGGTCCAGGAGGTAGACCCGACTCTCGTGAACCGGCTCGGTATACTCGGTTGAGCACAAATAGCACAAGGAAACTCCAAATAGCGATTGTCGCTAACATACTGCGACCCCGATGAGTGAGACAGAGGAGACCAGGGAACGCAGAGAGGGGTAGAGGTGATCTGTCAAGGGTCAGTAAATGAAGACCAATCGATAACGTTGAGTTATAAATAACTTCCTGACCAAAGACAGATATTGTCTTGCCTAGATATTGTCTTGCATCATCAATGAGGTAATAATCAAAGCTACTTATCGAGCTTTGGCTATTCAGGGTTGGAGCAAGCGGCTCTACTCGGAAGTGGAAATCGGATTCTTGAATTTGTTTAGAGGTTAGCATCGAATTTGCAGCTCCACTAGCGTTATACGTTTTTCACCGCTCGACAACGACACGAGAGGAAAGCTGCAGGCTTGTGTGCGTCTTACAGTGTCGATTGCGAACTCACCAACTGATGGGGTTGATCATCACTCGCATGAATAGCAACTCCAAAAGGTATAGCATACAGAAATACAGGGAAAGAAGAGTTAACAGCGTGCCGCAGTGGAAGCATCTAGGTGGCATCATTTTCCACGAGTCGGCCACAAACGATATACTTGCTCGAGAAATGGTCCATCCAACCTGCGGATAGATTAAACGTCGTTCGCACTGTCAGACATGACTTAAGAAGCTCACCCTTCATACTCTCACTGTCATGAGAATTGTTAGGACTTGACGTAGAAAACAATGAAAGCCAAACGAACGTACATCTCTTCCGAAGTGAGATCCTCCAACTTGTCAAGCGGTTGATCGATAGGCGTAAGCATTTCTGAGGGAATATGAGGAAATGAAGGTTTACGAGGCGAAAGTGCCTTCACTGACCGACATCAAAGGATTGCTTAGCCATTCCCCTAGAGGCATCTCGCCCTGCAAAGTTAGCATACATCCCGTCTGCTCGCGAGCATTCGTCAGCGCGCGTCTGACCACTAACCCCAACAAACTCACTAGGCCCGTAGAAATTCCTTCCAGCGGTCACGTCGTACACGACACCCTTAATCGCGAGAAGGATGCGCTTTCCCTCCTCGCCATTGAACGGTTCAAGGGTCTTGGGAGTATATGTCTTGAACAACAAGGTGGGAGGGTGAGACTTGGGCATCCATGAGTACCCACTCTTAAACTCTATGGGCACTGTACTGGGAACGCTGTTGGATGGAAAGAGAATACGCTGCACGGTGTAGAGAATGTAGAGAAGAAGGGCTGTATTAACTGGTGTGGTTAAGTCAAACGACATGGTGGTCACTCGTTAGGAATACTTCAAGCTACCCCAAGCACTCGATCAATCCTCATATACTGATCGCCGGGCCGGGACCTTTTTCTGTAAAGGTACGCTTTGGCGCTCGTACACTCTTTCTCCTCTTCCTCGGCGCGCTGATGTACTTCTACCTTCGCAGCTCTCGAGATATGTATTATAACACTAGCCTAACGGCCGCGAAAGGCTCTGAATGCGTTGTGAGCGGCGAATGTATTTATCTGACACCAAGGCACACGTCTTATCGCGGCGCTTCTGTGACCTTTATCTCTAAATTTGCCGTGGAAGTGGGAGCTCCAAGGTGTTCTCCGCTCTTTCGCCTCAAGCCAGCATGTCCAAATCCAAAGCTGCAGTCTCTGCCTACCTGAAACCAGCAACATGGGTCCTGGAGCCGGAAGAATCCACGTTCGCGCCAAACAGCAGGTGGTCGAACAAGGATATGGACCCTGTGCCTCCTCATATGCGCACTTGGACGACTTTGAACTATGTCGCGTACTGGATATCAGATGCTGCTAACGCGGCCGTCTGGGAGCTTGCTTCAAGCATGCTCGCGATTGGACTCTCATGGTATGTCGCGTGACCTTCTTCCGAATAAGCAGTACATTGAGCCTGTTTTCCTTTCGTGTCCAGGAGACAAGCCCTTCCCGCGATTGCGGTGGGACATGTTATCATTGCAGTCGTAATGGTCCTAAACGGCACTATTGGAGCCCGTCTTCACATTGGTTTCCCAGTGTTGAATCGGTCTTCTTTTGGATTCTGGTTCAGTTACTTCAGTGTGATAAGCCGTGTCGTGCTATCCATGTTCTGGTTTGGTGTCCAGACGTTCACGGGATCAGAATGTGTCTATCAGGCAAGTAGGAATCCCTAAATTCGCGTCACGCAGTGTTTTACGCTTCACAGATGCTGAAAGCTATCTGGCCTTCGCTCGCACACCTTCCGAATCACCTTCCTGCTAGTGCGAACATCACTACCTCAGGTATGTGCCATTCATTACACGGCAAGTGTGGGCCTGTTTGCCATTGAGGTGGGGTTGGTCTGGATATTTGTCACAAGTCAAAAGTTAAGATCGGTGTTCGGATGTACAACTCTGTATTCTGCAGCAACCGCAGAAATGAACTAGGCTGTCTGTTACTCTGAGGTTCACCTGTGCAGACAGTCCCGCTTGCCCTATCAACGGTTGAAATTGATATCTCACGACGTCATTTGTACAGGAATCATGTGCTACTTCCTGTACTGGCTTATCCAATTTCCGTTCATGCTCATATCGCCGCAGCGGATTCGTTGGTTGTTCCTCGTGAAGGCCATAATCGTACCTACAGCTTGGTTGGCCATGCTTATCTGGGCCTTTATCAAAGTTCCAGTCTCGAGGGGTTTCTTTGAGGAGCACACGGCGTTATCAGGGAGTGCCTTGTCCTGGGCTTGGCTCGGTGCTCTTAATGCAGCATTGGGCATCTATTCCACGCTCTCTGTTAATATTCCCGATTTCACTGTGAGTATCATGTATCCTAACAGTGAAAAGAGCAGTCCGCTGAGCTCCCGTTCTGCTTCGTATAGCGTTATGCCAAAGACGAGAGAGCGTATGTGTCCCCTTTTATTTATCGAGACTTACCACTTACATACAGCTTAGTCAATATGTTCAACTAGCTATAATTCCAACCGCATTCACTCTCTGCGGATTCATCGGTCTCTCTGTAACTTCTGCAGGCGTAGTCCTCTACGGCGAAGTTCTATGGGACCCTCTCCGTCTCATCGATCACTGGGACAACCGCGCTGCGGCGTTCTTTGCTTCCTTCGCCTTTGCACTCGCCACGCTCGGAACCAACATCTCGGCGAATTCGTTGTCCGCTGCGAATGACATGACTGTGTTATTCCCAAGGTATATCAATATTAGGCGGGGTCAGGTCATCTGTGCAATTATTGGTGGTTGGGCCTTGTGTCCCTGGGAGATTCTTGCGAAGTATGTGGTTCTGATTCTTGATTGGACATTCATTTCGTTGGTACTGACAAGTTGGTTGTATTTCCAGTGCGACAGGGTTCTTGTCGTTCATGAGCGGATATACCGTATTCCTTGGACCATTTGCTGGTATTATGGTGACCGACGTAAGTTATACCGTGAATATTCCTGGACCATTTCGCGTTGACGCATTTGTTTAGTATTGGCTCATTCATGGAGGAAAAGTAGATGTTCCTGCGATGTACCGTCCTCATGGTCGTTATCGGTATACCTACGGTTTCGTACGTCGTCTGCCTTTTTCGAGCTCAAACAATGGAACTGAACGTATAAAATAGAACTGGAGAGCTGTTCTTGCCATTCTTCTTTCTGTTCCCCCAACGATGCCCGGGTTGATCAACTCGATCAACCCTAACATCAAGATCGGAGGCGCAGTTCACTTGTTTGACATTGCGTGGCTCTTCGGGGTAAGTAGTCTTGGCTTTCTTGACACGTTCGGCAACTGATGCATCAGCTATCTCGCGAACAGTTCTTCACCGCTTCCTTCGTATACTACGTCACCTCCACCCTCTTCCCGGCCAAGGAGACATTCATGGAGAAGGCGATCCTGGATCTCAACGATGACCAATCATCATCCAATCATGGTCAAGAAGACTTATCATCAGTAGGGGAGAAAGGTAGCGTCAGGGATGAAATCAGGAGCATTAGGGACTGAACGCACTCTTCGGGTCGGACGAGCTAAATCGATGTTCAAGACGACTTTTATGATATACGACTTTTACTAACTTCGACCAGCTTGTGCTGGTCGCCACATGCCTTAGATGTATGATATTCCTCGATTTCATTGGAGCATAACATGCTATTCCATATCTTGATTTGTTTTGAGTTCGGAGAGCTCATTGTACAGGTACAACCATACCGTTACCTTCTCTGCTTGAAACAGACCGTTTGTGGTAAGTGTTGTCTTTATGTATGGCTTTACGGCGACTGAACAACTTTGTAGGATGGGGTGTGGACTTCGATTCAACTCCCCTTCGCAGCCGACCCTTTCCTCTCATGAAACTGACTTGTCATGACCTCTTTAAACATATTCAAGAAGCTCCCATTCGATGGACAATGCCTAAGTTGTGAGCATCTGAGCTCCCCAGAGTCCCCACCTAGTTGTCGGCTTTCCGATTCCACTTTCTTTCCATCTTCTCCAACGTTCTCCCTGGTAATGACCGATCACAGTTCGCGGCTTGTATACTTGCAAAGATAAATTGCGTTTCCAAGGGACATGTTTGGCGGCCCGGAGTTGTACCTTTTGCAGTACGCTTGAACATTTTGGCCGTTCCGACTGCAGCCTAGACTTCACGCTCGACCTACTGATGTCTGTCAACCTATCAGATACCAATAGATGCTCGGAACTCCTAACAATCGATCCCTCGCCGACCCTGCAAAATTGTCATCCAAAATATCTGGACGTGGCGCACATAGCTTGACCGCATCCTTTAGCCAGACGGCGGCCCAACGGCACATTCAGGAACGTACTTGTGGAGACGCCCTGAAACGTTCACGATGCATGTGGATGTGCGCGAATCCGCGATCTTCGCTGGACGGATGAAGATTCGGGTGCTGCATCTTGCATAAATGATCTGCCTAGCCAAGCCCTCACAAAAATCAGAGCGATGAAGTAACCTTTCGCTCATAGGTGTGCCGCGGAAAGAACTGCGAGGATTGGGTCAGGGGTTTGACGACTCTTCTCTCACCGGCCGGCATACACTCTGTGCCGTACCCTTTGGGATGCTATCAACTGGTACTTCGCCCAACCGGACTGGTTACTTGCTTCTATGTGTAGATGCACTAGAAGCCGGTAACGCATGATGCTCATCACTGAAATGTGGAGTTAGTGAATTCTTTTTTTATCTGCAGTTTCTGCGGGATGAATCGATTCAAACTCACTAAGATTGCTTCTCACAGTAAAAGTATTGAAGCGGTAGCGCGCTTGTGCAGATCGCTACCAATATTTGATCTTGGATGTCAATGTCGAATACCGTTCGACAGGGGATCGGAGCACCTGCCGCCTCTTCGTGAAATCCGACCATAATCGCGTGTCCACAGAACCTTACTTGATCGCAATATATTAGGAGGTGGTTACTGTCTCGCGCGGGTTCGAGATCGCTCAAAACCTGGGCCCCCACGTTGCAAGGCATCTTCACCTTTCTACTGTACCATACTACCGCAGCGGTTGACAATGTCTGCAGCAATGGAGGCCGCGCCTTCGATTCCCGAGGTCCTTGGCGGCATGATTGTAGGGCTCGGCCTTGGCCTTATGTAAGTATCTTCCTTTGCGTGCAAGTGACGATTCTAAGCTTGATCGTCCTGCAGTTTATATGGGATCACTCTCGCACAATCATACGTGTATATGCTAAACTGCGAGGATGACCGGAGTTGGATGAAATGGACAGTTGCCACCATCTTGTGAGTTCACCTTGCTTTGGTTCTTCCTACCTCTCCTGATCGCATCCATCAGCGTTCTGGAAACCTTGCATACCGTATTTGTATTTTGCGAACTTTATCAGTACTCCGTCAACGCGATTCAGCACCCAGAGTTGATTAGTGAAATTCATTGGTATGTTCTGGCACCATCGCATTTTGGCGAGACGAATGATCTTAATTTAATATGCAGGAGTGTCGGCGTAAGTCACTGAAATTAGATATGAAAGGAATTCACATTGACGTCGTGTGTTGGAAGACGATTTTGTTCTCATCGGTACGTCAAGTCGAGCTAGCTGAGTTTTCAACTCACTTACAGAAGCCATTAGAATGCAATCGCCGCACTGGTGGAAGCGTAAGTGATGTTATTCAACCGCCAGATTTCCCTTCGTTGACGCTCTAAAGTTTCTACATTCGTCGCCAGTGGATCCGTAAGTATCTCACTTTCATGCATCGGCTGAGCCTACCGCTTTGCTGACTTTATTGTAGTAAGTAAGAGTTATATCTTGACGATTGGCACAGTGAGTGGATACGCAAGTCGGTGAGCTTATACGACAACTAATTATTCCCAGTCGATTCTCTTGCTCGTGCGAATTGGTATATCTCCATCATGCATCAAATAATTATGTTTTGCTAATCCTTGTTGTGCATATCAGGCGTCCATATCGGTCAGTTGTGCTTGCTGAATGACGGCGACATTTGAGCTCAATTTCTCCATGTCTCTTCAGCTGTTAGTATCGAAACGTAGGGGCCTCGTTTTCATTTGTACCTCTTTGTCACTAACACCGGGATACCTTAGATATCTCTTCCCCACCTGGCAGAGCTTCCATGAGAAGCGAGGTCTCAATGTATGTGATGAAAGTTTACATCGAAGTCTTCAAGTATCACGATCTTCTTCAGGCTCTCGTCCAAACGACATTGGGATTAGGCGCTGCTGTTGACGCCGTTCTTGCCGCTTCCATGGTGTACTACTTGCGTCGCGAGAAATCGACATACACAGGGTTAGTACTTCTCACCATTTGAGACGGTAGTACTCATGAGCAGCATCTAGAGCAAAGGGTATCATCACCTGGATGATGATGTACGCAGTACACAGCGGGCTAATTCTGATGTAAGCCTTTCTACAAGTATGTCTTTACAATGCAACGCTCACATCTATCTCAGGGCGGTGTCTCTTGCCGTCGTCATTACCGTGAGTCCTGATATATTAACTCTTGGCTAGGCATGCGACTTCTACATGTTCTTTGTAGTTCGTGTGTCTCAAACACAGTTTGCTCTTCACCGGGTTCATCGCGATTGTTGGCAAGCGTGAGTGCGGCAATTCGTCATGATTATTATCTGCTGATCTGTTTTCCAGTTTATGCTAACTCCCTCCTTGGAACGTAAGCTTCCTTTGACGATACAGCGACGGGTCACTCCTAACTAATTGATTGATCAGGCTGAATGCAAGACAAGTCTTTCGATCGAAGAATTCTGACCCTATTGTCAAGTTCAGTTCAAATGCTATTCAGTTGTCTAGCATGCATCAACGCAGTATGCCCTCGCGACCCGTAAGTTTGATGCTGTCCTTCTCTATCCATACTCACCCTCCTGTCGCAGGAGCTTCGGGTTGAGATATCCCAAGAAACAAGTATGATGTCCGATAAACATATGGTGCGAGTTTTGTTCTATCTTTGGAGTCACAACTTACTCATAGCTTCGGGTCTAAGCACCGAGATCTTAAGTCGCCACAAGTGGATGTCTAATTGTAGAATGGTATTAGTTTTATTGGGGTAACCGTGTATTTTTTTAGTCTCTACGTTACCATCTCACTGCAGCCCGACTGTAGTTACATTCTTTTGCAAAACATTCATTCGCCAAGCTGAGGCTGGATGCCATTGAGGCATGCCATCGGCCCGTAAACTCACAAAAGCAAGAAAGGTCTGACAGACTGTTCGGATTTTATACACGTCTATCGCTCTGAAAAGAGGTTTGCTTCAGCTTCGAGCCTCTTCCTCGAAGCCTTTTCCTCTGAGCTGGTGACGGGCGTCCATGGGGGCGCTTATGTGATCAGGATGCCATATTTGGAAGCTCTTCAAGATCGGCTCGCGTGGATGGAGGAATGAACGTGTTGGATTTCTCTTCCACCTGGAACGCTCTTCTCTAGTTGTTTACTATCTTTTTTGTAGAATCTCATTCAGATGTCTCGGAAGCTCTTTGGTCGCTCTCCTGGTCTTGCTAAGTCGCCCACTCTCTCATCTACTTTGACTCCTACGTTCCAGCCTCCTTCATTTTACGCCGCGGCCGCAGGCCTCCCTCACGTTCATCCTTCTGCGAATGCAACGGTTTCTGCAGGTCAGCAAATGTATTCGTCGCCTGCTATCTCTATATCCTACCCTACCCGAAGTTATCCGGATGATTCTCGTGCAGAACGGTCCACTGCGCATGGGGATACAAGTCGCCGTGGACAAGAACCGCCAGCGGAACGCAAGCGTTCAAACTCCATATCGCGGTCATTATCTCGCGCCATACCTAAACCAAGTCGTGCGGAGAAAGAATCAGAGTCTAGAATGAAAAGGGAAAGTCAACTAGACAACATACCGCTATTGGAGACGCAACTGCTGCCCTCGTTAAAGCATACTATCGACAGAATGACGCATCCTGCCCAGCCACCCGAGCGGCTGGATTATGAGCATGAGTATACACGCCAAACTCCATCCTCAGAAACGCATTATCATGCACAACCTTCACCAAGTATTCGATATGGCGCATACGAAAATACTTCGGTTTTGTCTCCATCACATGGTCCGCTGCCTGCTTCCAACCATATTCGTGATCCCCAGCGAATCCGTTCTGCGAATTCCAGAGGCCAGTCGATAGAGAACTCACCAAATTTGCTAAACGTTAGCGCCGCTCCAACGTCACAGGGCAAATCTGCCCTACGACCAACTGCTCCTTCAAGTCCGCGCCCATCTCCGCGCATAACAATTGAGCCACCTACGGTGGAGAAGCAGTCAAGATCGTTGAGAACTACTAGTAATTTTGCTACCAGTCCATCGCCACAGTATCCAATCCAACCAGTATGTTCCCGATGATCGCTGCCAGTAGTTGATGCTCACGTGGTCGGTTACATAGACGATGAAATCGAGATCTCCCAACTTGGGATATTCGCCACGGTTGGCAGAGACAAATGCAGTGGCAAGTTCTTCTAAGATTCCAAAAGTTAAACAATCTCGAAATCCAGGGACAACGAAATCAGCACTGCGAACGCCGTCTACTATAGCAACTCCGAAGGTCTCTTCCTCTCCACATTCGGGGATTCCACGATCTGTTCCTTTTTCGAAGTCTGTCTACGATACCAGTTCAGAACTCGAGCAAGAATACGAACAGAGATTCGCGGGCATACGGTTGGGGATGACAAATGAGTCAATAACGTCAATTTCCGAGGATAGCGAGGAAAGCGAGATTGAGAGAGAAAAGTGGAGGCAACGAAGCAATACATGGGACCTCGCTCAGCGAAGCAAGCAGAGGGGCGAGACTGATCAGAGAAAGCAGAAGTCGGAAGTGCACAGCCGTGGCTCGTCGCGGAATGGCTCCCGGCACGGACGTCGGACATCATCTCGCAACAAAGTGGGCCTCGGGTTCCAGTTGGACGATGATGATCCTCCGCCAGACGTCCCAATAAAAAAAGAGGCTCGTGTGCCAGAAGATCGAGGACGAAGCTCTCAATCTCGATCCAATCATGCGGCGCACCAGCGTGATCATCCTTCACAGGCAGGACCAAGTTCACATGGAGAATCAGAATTTCGTGAAAGCCTGCGGAGGAGAGAAGCCCTCATGGGTCTCGTCAATGGCATGCAACTTGACGCAGGGCCGAAATCCCACCGAACAAGCACTGGTTATAGTGACAATGCATACGGGGCCGATGCGCAAGGTCTTGCCATAAGTGGATCTGGCGATTTTCCGAACGAGCGGGAAGAGACGGTAGGACATCGAGGACGGGACGACCGAGAAAGGTATGAAAGAGACAGAAGAAGCAGCAGGGATAATTCGGAAAGGCAGAGAGGTGAGAGTTATCGTGCTGGAACTTCAAGGCATGGACGACCGCCATCACCAGATAAAGCTTTCAAGGGAGAATATAGGGACTCATCTCGGGATCGCGGGGACTTTCATATCGTTGAGTCAAACCAACGGAGTCGTAGATCATCGTCGGTTCCATCTGCAGCCCGGATATCTCGAATCGACAGTCCCTTGCTCCTGCGACCGCGCACAGAGAAGTCCGTTCACTTCCAACCTGAAGAACGTCCCACAGATGAAGTGCGAGCTTCCAAAGAACGCAAATCTCGTCATCGGGCCAGTACAAGCGTGGACACGCCCATGGACGCACGCCGTATATCGCGCGGTACTGAGCTGCAAGAAAGAACATCTAATGGTGATCGCGAGCTAAATCGACCACGAGACACATTGCCTCTCGGCAGAATCCAAAAGAAAGGGAGTCCATTGCGAGAGCGAGAAGCCTTTGGCATACCACGTTCGCTTTCGTACGGTGCAAATGACACTGACGGACTTGCTTCGCTTGCCCAAGACGAATCCTTCTCGAGCGTGAGTGTTTATGATCACCAAGGGGACCATGCCGGTTCCATTTGCCTGCCACATACGGATAGCGACCTGTCATCTGTGGATGGAGGAAGCTGGCAACCACGCACAGACGGGAACGGGCTCAGCACAGGCGCGCAAAGCCTGTTCAGAAGTCTCTCGACTAGCACCAATAACGATGACGAACCTTCGAGGTGGCAACAACGACGAAGATCGCAAACAGGGAAACCGACCTTTGACAAACATGACTTCTCTGTAAATGCTCACCAACAGCGCAAGGTCGAGCAACGAGGTCCTCCCATCACAGAGAGTTCTAGTGCACCATCTATCTATGAAGAAGACCCATTTGACCATAGCCATAATCTCGAAAGTTCACGTCAAACAGCAGGGGAAGGCCTACAGAATTTACGTTCAGTCATGCATCCAGCGACATATGATGCCCTTCTAGCCAAACACGGACCTATGGAGATGAGACGGCAAGACACGATATTCGAGCTTTCCTCGTCTGAAGCAACGTTTGTGCGACGACTGCGTGTCACTGTGCGGCGTTTCATTCTTCCCCTGCGGCAGAAAGATAGCAAGGCCTGGATCCCCGGTGTTCCAATGCCCATTTCGCGATTGTTTGACTGGCTAGAGGATATCGTGAACCTGCATGTGGGATTGGGTGAAGTGTTGGTGACTTCCGGTGATTCATGGAAAGCGGGCGATATCGTCTTCAAGGTTGCTGAGGCTGTCAGGACATTCGTTCCTCGATTTGAGGTATACCAACCATATCTGATGCGGGTGGATCGTGTCACGGAAATGCTTGGACAAGCTGTCGTCAACGCAGCTGACGAATTTGGCGAATACGTCAGACTGAGGGAGCAAGGTGCCGGGCGGGATGAATGGACATTGGTTGAGCTGCTACAAGAGCCCGTCAATCGACTTGCTAGCTACCCAGCTATTTTCCAGGCAGGTGGCCTCGAAGCATCTTGAAATCTTGAACTGACGATATTCTGCAGAAGCTATTAGAGTGCACACCAAGAGATCACAGCGACTACCTCCCATCGCTGTCTCTGTTGCATTCTGCTCGGATGATTATGCTTGTAATGTACGAAGTGAGAGCGAGGGAGCAGGAATACGACCACGTGAAAGACATTTCGGCTGAAATTGCAGGCTTGCCTCCTTCGACACAGTTGGCTCAACGGGAAAGGCGACTCTTATGGGAAGGAGTGATGAGCACCTCGATCGAAAGTAGCCACAAAGACTTGATGTCTGCGCACCGAACACCACGTCACCGCAGACATGGTGCCCCTGATACACACGTAGACTCGTCGGAGCTGACACCCGTCCGAGTCCTGGTCTTCACCGATATTCTTCTTCTGGCAATACCTGAAAGACGGCGAAAGAAGTCGAGCCACAGTCATGGCAAAGATCGATGGCGAGTCCTTGAGAAAGCAGGCGTGGCAAGAATCCTGAGCATCGAGGAACGAGCATCTTCGAATGGTATGTTCTCCGATGTTTCAATTACAATTTGAGCTGACCAAGGTAGCAGAGGATCCGGTAGTGTCCCTGGACCTTCTACCTCTCGCAACTGACACCCTACAGACAGGCGTCATCCCAGAGACGACGTCTTCACATGCTTTCCAGTTAATCATGCCCGCTTCGCTGAACGCCGACGAACGGAACAAAGCTCTAAGTGCCTTGCGCAGATGTCATGCATACGCAATGCGTTCACTATCGTTCCCTTCACATTCGGGCAAATACCTTTCGCACGGACTGCAGGTCGACCTCGAGCAAGACACCCAGCAATCGGTTATGTCGATCCTTTCCACGGGCTTACCATTACCGAAGAGTCCGTCAGTCCAGCTGACAGAGCTGCAACGAGGTCAGGCACATGATTCAATAGAGCAGGAGAGAGAGGAGAGAGGCTGGTGGTCCCTCAGGTTCCAACAGGTGTTGCGTGAGATGCAGAGGCAGAACATCGGCCAAGCCGTGGAGCCAACGCTATGGGCTTAGGTTCTTTTTCTTTGGTTGTGATAATACCGTGCTCGGTCTCTCTGCACAGCTTGGTTATCTTTAACGTTATAGCGCCACCCAGCTTACGATTCACAACATGTCAATAAGTTTTAATCACGTAGTACAACATCGCCACTCATCTCTTGCAATATCATAGTTCAAACTCCACCACTTGAATATCCGTCCCGTTTATAAGAAACAAACTCAGGATGCCGTCTTGAAGCCTGTAACGATCGAAGAGCGGTTCCCAACCACATCCACTGGAAGCTTCCCAAACAACTTTCCAGTCTCTGAAGTGACCAACCGCGGTACTTGCCAGAATACTAAGAGCTGTAGAGTTTGGTGCATTGGAAGGTAAGATGGCAAGCAATGTGCTTGCCCCCGACTTTGTTGGTGGTGAAACGAGTTTGGCGCGTTTGCCGATGACAGTAGGAGTACCAGTGATGTTGTTTGAACTTTCAAGTTCGTTTGGTAAGGGAAGGGCTGTTCTAGTCCAATCTCGTGTCGTACTCCGCCAGTAATGATACCTAGTGAAGTGAGTATAAGCGAGGCGCTGAAAAAGGATGTATGCATACCATCTCTCAACTCCAGTGGTATTCTCTCGGTTTAGAACATGCACTCTCCCTTCACTGTCAACCGTCTGTGTCTCTTGGTTCAAGATACCACTTGAACGTGACAGAGTCAGCGCAGACAGTAATGCAGGAAGAGTGGGATCATACCCAAACTTGGGAATGCCAAAGATAGTGATACCAGCCGAGACAGGTAGAATGGGTTGTTCTGCAGAAAGATTGGCGATCCGTTGTCCCCAATTGTTATGCCATGTCGAACCGAGGTCAGAACTAAAGGCATAGTCTAGGTCGTGATTCTGTCGTTACGAAAGTCAACTAGGGTAAAGGATATGGGGCATGCATAAACATACGTTCTCGGGACCGTTCAGGCCTGCTTGTACGGCGACGTCCTGACCGGTATCATTCACAAAGTCTCGGTAAGTCCTGTGGCGAATCAACATGAAATTGACATATCGAGAAGAATATAATGCTTACCAAGTAGTATGAAGACTACCTCGCGAGTCAAAGTCAAGACCGTTGATGTATGCATTGTCTATTCAACTGTTAGGGTGTCAATTTGGAGCAAACGAAGCCGGACCTACTATTGACTCCCTAGAACCTTTGGTAAGGACCACCAAGCATGGATTAGATGTTGCCAAGTACCAACCTCAAGATAACGACCAATTTGTAGCCATCCACTCCCTGGGGAATACTTGTATAGCCAGTCGTCCCCAAGCCCAGACCGCCCTACGCGAAGTTCAAGCAGCAGATCTGCACCGGGATCACCACGGGCAGAGTCAGGAATAGAAAGAAATCGAGGGTAAGTCACGTTGACAAAGAACACGTTCTTGTCCAGAGATTCCAGGCCAGGAAGGTGATCCTATAGAACTATCAATGAGTTATGCATGTTAGACAAGTCAATTTTGATTACCAAGATGGGACCGAATATATCAGAAGACCACGTAAAATTTGCAGGATTTGAAGCTACACCTGACTTCGATACGCGATAATGCAGAGGATTGTCGTGTTGATCAAACCCGATGTGCAGCGTTCCGTCACCGTGCGATATACCTAGAGAGATTCTGGGATTCTGTACGATGAGACTTTGCATTCAAAAGGCTGAAAGACGCGTTGGGTCGTACATGTCATGCCCGTCATCCTCGGTTTGATTATAATCCGACAAACTAAACGTTTCCCAACCCGAAGAGGTGGAAAGGGACCTGCGCGATATTCGAGGATGCCGAACACTGGTATTCAAGGCATCAACCTCATAAAAGACAGCGTACTGATATCCTGGTGGCAATCATATCAGTACAGTGCGCGTTAGAGAAAATTCGAGTAGTAACATGTACATACCATTGAACGTCACCAGCGGGTCCTGCTGAAACGATTCCCCGTTCAATCTATTCGTAGTTTGTGGGTCCTTTCCTAGAGTGCTTGTATCGAGGAGCTGCAATCCTTGTACAAGCACCAACAAGAATGTCAGCAATGCCAGGTGAGCAACCTGGATCATCTCGAAAATGAGGGTGACGACGTGGCCCCCATACTTGTCCTTTATGTACATCAACAAGTTGAAAATGGCGGTCCGGCGTATTGAATCATGTTGGTCACGAGAAGATACAGATTGGCCGTTCTTTCCAACTAATTTTCGTCGCAAGACCGTCAGAGCAGACCATTGCATATGTGATCGGCCCGGATGCGATCACAGTCGGTTCAGCTTAGTTTGGAAGGTATTGTGAGTTACGAAAGAAAGTCGAAGCAAACTCGTAAGGAACAGGTATAGAATCAACTTTCAATAATATCTGATACATGGGCGAAACCTTCATGAACAAACTTTAAAAGGAATCTCGCCCACTGGTAGGAAAGCATCTCACCTGGATTGGTATGCCCTAACGAAGTCGTTCTGGCAGTTTTTCTTCTTTATGATGACACTCATCAATGCTTCAACGAGGCCAAAATGTATGCGTAGAGGGATGAGGGGATTTATTCGGGGAGCTCTTTGGAGGCAGTCCCCTTTCGAGCTTTCTTTCGAGTCTACAGCCCGATGACAAAGTCAGCAGACAACACTAGCAATTATAAAATATGATGGCATGAGAAGGATCAGTGTAGACTGCAGCATAGAAGATTCAGTTTGCATGTTACAAGGATCGGCACAGTTGACATGAGCATCGTCATTCATACCACAAACAATTTTCTAGTAAGAAGCCTTGATGAAGTCGGCACAGCGCTCGGCGACCATGACCACAGGGGCTTGAAGATGAGTCGCAGGAATACTGGAAAATATGCTGGCATCTGCAATTCGCAAACCCTGTATGCCATGAACCCTCAATTGGTCGTCCACCGCACCCAATTCCGCCTCCGGCGCCATCCTACAAGTAGAAGAATAATGGAATGTCGTCCGAGAACCGGCCCGAATGAACTTGTCCAAATCTTCATCGCTCTCGCTGTCCGGGACTTGCAGGTCTCGAAGGGGGTATCCTTGTTCGCGAAGTCTGCGCCCCAGTGCGAGGCCTAGCTTGACGGCTTTACGCATGACCACATAGTCATTTGGCTTCGTGAGGAAGGCTAGGTCGCAGACCGGAAAGTCGCGAGGATCAACAGATCGAAGTCGAAGAGTTCCGTGTGATTCTGGCCGAAGAGCGACACAAAGGTAGGAGAATGCACCAGTGTACCAGTCCTTCAATTCCACGAACTGTTCGTCAGATGCATTGATGGACAATGCCATCAACTCGATGTCAGGCACATTTGATGAGATGTGAGCATCGAATTCAGCTTTTCCATTGGCTGAGTGGACGACGGTATTGGAATCGTCATCCAAAAGGCGTGACAGAGCGAAAATACTGATCTGGGGTAGTGGGCATAGCATGAGTCCGGTTGCAAACAACAAGTACTTGATCAGTTCCCAGAGGATGGAGAAAGGGTTTGAGAGCAACTTCTCGAAAGTATCATGTTTCGGCGCTTTGAAAATGACTGGGACGCCCAAGTGATCTTGCTATGGGCACAATTAGAAGGCCGTACGTCTATCTTGAAACAGCACACATACCAAATTCGCTCCGACCCCTGGCAGATCCTTCTTCACTGGGATATTAAGCGACTTGAGGTGCTCCGCGGGTCCCACTCCGCTATGCTCATGGTCAAGACACACGATACTTCGATCACAGATATTGCACACCTTAACATGAGAATCTTCGGAGTACCTATAGCACCGGATGACAGGATGACTTCTCGTTTTGCAGAGCAATGGTACCGGCGATGAGTCTTCCCGCGGATGATACTGTCATGTTCGAAGAACACGCCAACGGCTCTGAGTCCATTTGGGGTCTCCTCTAAATCGACGGATGTCACGACGATTTCAGTGCAGATATCAAGGTTGCTTCGAAGTGCAACGTGTGGTGGAAGGAATGCATCGAAAGCAGAGCATCTGCGTCCTTGATCGTCGATAGTATGATCCAAACGCGCACAGCATACTGCAGGAGCTGAAGGATCGTTCGACTCAGTCACGTAAGGTATCCCGAACGATGATGTCGCAGCGATAGTCCTAACGTGATTGTGAGAAGATAAGGCACATAAAGCACGTTCAGACACTGACTCTGAAATATTCTGCATAGGAATGTCGTCCAAACGACGATTGAACCAGGGTCCTACAAATGTCAAATTGGCTCTGCGGCTTCCACTAAGTCATTTTGGGGAACGCCTGACCTTTATGTCCCCTATGCTCAGATTTCGTATGCGACAAAGTAGTTTCTGACTTGTTGTAGTAGGGCTCTACATCGTCCCAAGTCCAACCCTTGCGACCCGCCTCTGTCCATGCAGAGAACTCTCCTGGTACCTGGCGCGTGTACAGCATATTATTGATCTTCGAAGTTCCACCCAATAGCCTACCAGAAACCATGGCAAACGATTCCGGTCCTCCAACAGTCGCCTTCAGAGGATCAGAGAGCCATTTGTATGCTGGGGCGTTCTGCAAGTCTGTAATTGCAAGATATCAAAGGAACACGAGATAACCAAGTATTGACTGCAGGTCCTCGTTCCAACAACAGGACCCTGTGTCTAGGGTTCTCACTCAGTCTCGATGCAAGGACACATCCAGCGGTGCCGCCTGTTGATTGTCCCTATGAGCCGAAAGTAGCAGACTTTGGGTGAGAAACGGGCGCGCACCTCCAACAACGATAAAGTCGTATTCCTTGTTAGCAACGTTCTCCAAAGCGCTCACTGGATACGTGGACGAGAAGGGCCACATATTGAGGTCGAGATGCGAGTTGGTATCACTTCGTGTCGCGTCAATTTATACTCGCCGAGTGGAAATTAGTGGCCGAGGTCGAACCATTTTGCTTGTGGATGTCATGAACCTCCCCGTGAGGAAACGTAACCGTTCAGGGACACACAAAAGATTGTACCTCATTCCAGAGAGAGCCAGAGAGAGCTAGGAGGGCATTGAGTAGACCCTGAAGGCCTGATCAGCGAGACTGCCGAAATCCTCGACAGCCGTGTTGTTCGTTGTCACACCATGTCACGGCCGAGTTTGGTGGACAGTTTGACTGCGACTTAACTTGAAGAACCTACAACCACCACAATGTCCAACACAATTGCGCTGTATGTGCAATGACAATGTTCGGAAAGACAGAAATCTGATTGTGTTTGTATATGACCAGCTATCCGCTCTCAAACTTTACCTTCAGGTCAGTACTACTTATGATATCACCTCAAAACCGCGTCATTGAAGACTTCCTATACACAGCACCAAGGAGGCTCAGCCAGAGGAAGACCCCTCTGTGTCCGCAAGACTGCAACGTCTGCAAAATAACTACGAAGATTTCGGAATGCGGCGTACCGTCGAGGGTATCCTGGTAGTCCACGACCACGGACACCCGCACATCTTGATGCTTCAGATTGCCAACGCCTTCTTTAAGCTGTGCGTTTCATGCCCTGCATTTCTATACCTTCGAAACTTACCTTTCTCTATATATAGTCCTGGAGACTACTTGAAACCCGGTGAAGACGAGATCGACGGTCTCAAGAAGCGTCTGGACGACCGTTTGGCCCCGCCTGCTGATTCCCGCCAATTCAACGCGTCTCATGGGGTTGATAACGAGTGGGAGATCGGAGACTGTCTTGCTCAATGGTGGAGACCGAATTTTGAAACTTTCATGGTGCGCCCTATCCCTTTATTATCTCATATGCCGTTCTGCGGTATTCATGTATACTGCATGTATCTACCGCATATATGTTATTCTCGTTGTGCAGTATCCCTTCATCCCAGCGCATATAACTAAGCCGAAAGAGTGCAAGAAGCTGTTCCTCGTCCAAATGCCCGAACGTAGTACGTACCTTTTCGACGGTTACCCCTTCGTGGTCGGCTGTATATGTGCATTGATTGTTTGTGCAAATTGCCCTGATGTTTACAGAGGTCCTTGCCGTACCAAAGAATATGAAGCTCTTGGCAATTCCCCTCTTCGAGTTATACGACAACGCAGCTCGGTACGAACCTTTGATGTATTAGACGTCGCCAGCCACTGACATGTTGTCTAGATATGGTCCTCAGCTCTCTGCCATACCTCATCTGTTGTCTCGGTGAGCTTTTTTCTTAGTACTGTTCTAATCTTTAGATATTGACACCCTTTTCTTTCAGTTACAACTTCATTTACCAGTAGACGTTCCGCCTCCATCAAAAGTGCCTCGCACATTCGGACCCGTCGTATTTTTCTATTATGTTCTGTCCCACGATTCGTGGCGTACTGTGATTGTATCGCTTTCTATTGCGTTTCACCTCCTTGTTGTCGTCCTGCAATGTCATATATCTTCTTCGCATCGGTATATGCGACATAACTAGTGAATGTACTCGTGTGAGTCCTGAATCCTGCCGAGTTTCTTCGAGGTTCGAATCCCCTGGGTTCAATTGAGTATCATGAATTTGAATATCTAGGCCTGGTGGTCTAGTAGTATGATTCCTTCTTAGGGAGCTCTTGAGCACTTATTTGGAGGAGGTCCCGGGTTCAATTCCCGGCCAGGCCCTGGGTGGTAGCGACGGTTTGTTTTTCTCTCTCGTCTAAAAAATGTAGGACAACTTACGACTATCCAGCAATATTCTGTCCATGTTATAAATTCTGACTCAAAGAAGGATTCCACCAAGGCTCCTCAATTCTTGCTGTTCAATTCGCCCAGGTCTTACATCAATAATGTCATCAGCAACGGAAACCAGTCCTGACTTATGAACTACTAAGCCACGTCCAAAGATATCGATAATCCTCAAAACGTATCATCTAAACCTGTTGAGGACTCCGGCCTAATAAATATGATGGACATGGCTTAGGACTTCGTGTTCGGTACTCGTTCATGCACTTGACGGCAAGTAACGTACGCTACTACGCTCATGCATGCGTCATGCCTTGCGTTCGTGTTCAGATGCTTACCTTCCCCATTAGAAATGTACACTATAGGCTTGCTTATTAGGTCCATCCAGAAGGACCTAGGACTTATACACCTTCCGCTGTGCCTGAAGGGCACTTGCGGTATCATGATCACTCCGCCGAAGAAAGCTATATTTCGGCCAATCACCCAGTAACGCGATATTGACGCTATAGTATAGCTTTCCGCCGAAAGATAGGCCACGTTAGCAAGAAAGACCGCATAAAGGCTGTCGAAATCTAAGGTGACACTCACTCAGGATCAGGACGACGGATACACCGCAAGTTCTCCTGCTTCACGATCGCTCCAAAGTCTGTTTGTAACCGGCTTGGAAAAGTGTAACCAGCCTTCATCGATTGATACTCGTACGGTGAGTCTTTTCTGAAAGTGGTCTGTCGTTCCGCAAATGGCTGTATGACCCGGTGGAAAACGATCCCTGAGGCAATTTTCTTATTGACTCCGAATCTTGATAGCCCTCTCACCTCATCAGTTACCTGTACTTTGCATCTAGCCCTAGGCCAGGGTGCTTCCGGGTGTACTGCATCAACCCAGTCTGTGACGCTCAGACAACATTGATATTCCATAGCGCAGAAGGTTTGCACCTACGAATATCTTAGTGCTGATGAATGGCATGCCATGTCGTACATCGGCCTTCTAAAATACTACCTTCAGCAAGGTCCAATATCTTCCCGTGATATCCCAACCCGTCCCCGATAGATTTCTTGTTTCCGATCAAATTGTTTCTTAGACGTTATAAGAAGGTCTGTATTCCCCGTCGTGGTTGGCCCACTGAAAAGCGACCTCCTAACTCCCCTCCCTACCCTCGGAAAACATATCGTTATGGTCATCTCCAATCCTCAAGGCCGGGTTCAAGTCTGCTCTCCTGTACCGGGGGATATTCAGTAAGTACACCAGTTGCAACTAACCAATCATATATCGATGACTTCTCTTACAGGTTAGACATCCTGGCGACCATTCGCATCAAGGATCCACAAACTGCAGTATGTAAAAGAGGTGTCCTTGTAACGAATAGAGGCCTCTGATGTTACGGAAGGCGGCCTCCTTGACCAGGGACGCAGTTCAGTCGTTTCTCCAGCGGTCCAGACTCGTGCAGCGCTTCGGCTCTCGTGTCCCTCCCTCCCCTGTTGAAAGCAAGGTGCGAGAGACCATTCACTCTTGGAATCTCGGCGTCCTCGAGGATATTCTTGAGAAATCTATCGCAAATGGACTCGGTATAGGCTTCATGAGCTATCAACACGCGTCGTATGAGCTTCAGGTCGTTATATCGCTCTTTACAGCTTGTAATTTTCTATTCGATGACTGTGTCGTTCCTCCAGAGGCGCTACAACAGTTCGGCCGAAGGTTTTACAGGCAACTTCCCCAGCTACATCCCGTCTTGGACAAATTCATTGAAATGGCTGTAGCCCTAGGTGACTACTACCCATTATACTCCGCGGATATGATATGTGCAGGGACGCTTCAGTATGGCAGCGAGGAGATACTTCTCTCAGAGCGGTCTGATCTAAGCACGCTGCAACCTGGTGCAACAGAGTACATTGAATACTCTAGACTGAAAGGCGGCATTCCTGAACCGTTCGCATATTGCGCATGGCCCAGCTCCATCTGCCCAGATGTCAACGAGTACATTTCAAGCTATTCCGTGGGTGCCAATCTACCTAGCGTTCCCTTTTCGCACACTTTTTGATCATGGACTAGCGAAGCCTTGGTATTCACCAACTTTATCTAGTGCGTATTGCTATTTTCCCTTCATACAACATCTTCTGATGCTCGCGACTCGTAGCGATGTCTTTTCCTTTTATAAGGAATCGATTGCAGATGATACGACGAACTACGTCCATCAGTACGCTCGCGTGCATGACAAGACCATCGCGGAAGCCTTGCATGATACCACGGAAAGGCTAATCGCCGCTGTAGAGAAGGTCCGAGTGATACTTGGAGAGGACCCCGCGAGAGAAGCTTGGGAGAGTTATGCAGCGGGATTGACCCAGTTTCATCTCTACTGTCCCCGCTACAGGCTGGCTGAGGTTGTTCCAGAGTATTTCTGATCGACTGCTCTGGCTTACGCTTTAAACTAGATGCTAACATCTATTTGTATGATTAGTATTGTATTGTGCGTTCTTGATTCTGTGGAAGAGCCGCATCTCTTATCTATCTTCGCATATTCTCGGATTTGTGGCGAACGAATGTATATCCGAGTGGTCCATGGATATCGATGAATGTTTGATATGACGGCGCCACGCTTCGTTTTCCTGACCCTCGTGAAGTCAATATGGATCCGATTTCTTGAGTCTCCCAGAATGCTATGTGTTGGCCACACAATTGACAGCTCCGAATTGGAAGTCGTGTGTGAGGCGCTATGGCAGGCTGAAACACGCGACACATTAACTCGACGGTGATGTTACCATTCATGCATTCATGCATTGATGTGTGCCACAGGTAACTAATACCAAGTTAAATGCCAGCACGTCTGAGCATCCGTCGTTTTGCATTTGTTCAGATGGCACACTGCAACGCTAAGTAATTTCTAGCTCGGTATTTTGGTGCCAGTGGGCCAACTGGAAGGTAATGATTCCCAAATATAGAAGCTCCTCGCCGCATTTGGCAGGTCGCTTCCTTGTTTTGTTAGCGGTTCAGAGCGCTAGAATGTTTTTGCGCCTGAACTTCCACGTCCAATTATCCTAGGCTCAAACATGCTTCAGGAATACGTCTCCAGGCAGACGCAGGAAATGTAACTTACCTACATGCTCACATATTTGATTGGTTTACGTTGCAGAGAGACAGATGGAAACCGTGTGCGGGACGGTAAGTGCTTTCTATTGTCCCGAGGACAATAGAACCTTCTGCTCCGCAGACTTCCACGCCTCCCAAAAACACATTGTACATCGCAAAGGGTTGCCGCGGGTGATTTGGTTCCGCGAGGCAACGTCAACGGTCAAAAATACCATGTTTGTATCTATGTGCGTAGCCACTTGCGACAATAAAGTTTTGTCCTTTGTCAGACGAAATCCCTTTGACATCCGCCTCCCCGGCTATATATATGTGGGATCCTAACCTCTCAGTTGTCCTCTCATCAGCTTCCCGTCTTACGACCTCACTCACACTCTCTAGGCTCTTGAAGAGTCCTTGCATATCATTCTCTTTCACCGTCTTTGCATCCACTCCTCTTTAGTCTTTCACTTTCACGCTCTATTGAAGACCTCTCAACGACCTCCAAGATGAAGTCCTTCGCCACACTCCTTATCTTTGTAACTGCTGCTCTTCCGTTCGTTTCTGCGCATGGATTCGTGAGCCAGGTCGCTATTGATGGCACACTGTACAAGGGGAATCATCCCAACAAGGGCGAGCAATGTAAGTGGCCTCTTTCACTATTCCCAATAGTTCATGTGCTGAATGTTGTATTTTCTTCAGTCCCGAGTCCCGTTCGTCTCATCAATGACCCTGCCCCAGTCAAGCATGCGGACAATCCGAACCTCTCTTGCGGTCAGAACGCCAAGAACGCAAAGGTTGTCGCCGACGCCAATCCCGGAAGCTTGCTCACGTTTTCGTGGCAAAGTGGTGATGACAGCGTGCCTTTGGTATGTCCTTTGTGATCCCATGCTCTCTTGGGTTTTGAAGCTGATTTGTGGCCATCGTCTTAGTGGCCCCACAACACTGGCCCCATGATTACCTATATGGCCGAATGTACTGGTACTACATGCGACAAGTTTGATTCTACCCAGGCCAAGTGGTTCAAGATCCACGAGGTTGGCAAGAAGACTGATGGCAAGACATGGGTTCAGGCCGACATTCGTGAGTTTCAATATGAATCGTTTGAATATTCTTATGATTGATTTATTGATTTACGTTTAATAGAGTCCGGAAAGTCACTCACTGTCCCTCTACCTGACGATATCAAGGCTGGTGACTATCTCGTTCGTCATGAGGTCAGTAATCATGTTCTCTTCGCGTCTACTTCAGTCAAGCTCATTGACGGTTGGCAGATTGTCGCTCTTCATTTGGCCACCGACATAGGAGGGGCAGAATTCTATCCCTCATGTACCCAAGTCCGGGTCGGTGGGAATGGCACTGGTGTTCCCGACAAGACCGTTTCTTTCCCCGGTGCCTACAAGGACGACTCAGCAGGTATCTTTGACCCAACGGTACGAATATTATTCTTGACCTTCCACCACTCCCGCCGAACTCATCATTTATCAACTAGGTTTTCAACCCTGGTGCAGTTTACACCTTCCCTGGCCCTCCTGTCGCTAAGCTCGTCGCCACTGGCGCCGCTGTCAACTCGACCAACAACGCTGCTCAAGGTAGCTCCTCTCCTTCCACAGCTGCGTCTTCTCAGAGCTGCAAGACGATTGTGGACGAGAACGGCAACAAGCGTAGCTACAGCCGTGTCATGCGAAGCCTCATGCACTAAGCATGGACGCATAGACAAGTCTTCGTCGTTGGAGCTCGTGTCACTGGTTGGCAGACCCCGCGCGGAGCATGCTCAATGACCCCTGCATATGACAGATCACGGTTCCCCTTTCACGACTTCTTTTGATGTCCTTTTGCATTGCATTTCTGTAGCCCTAAGCAAGTGATTTATTGGTATCTGTGCTGTCTTTTGTAGTGTACCTGTGTTCGCACTATTTCCTAGGTTATTCCCAGTAATATACGGGCTCTTCTCTCCTTTATATCTCGTTGTCCGAAAGACTTAAGTTTGGGGGCGCCAGGTGAATATTGATGAATATCTAATTGGAGTGACGATTTCCAAGACGATTATTGGCCTGAGGCACTGCCGATGCTGATTACGTCTGGTGACTGTGGGGGTCCTCAGTGCCTAACTGCTGTTTCGTTAGCCGACGACCGACTTGTCCTCATCGTTGCCTTGTCCTCTTGCACATGTCGTACTTATAAGACCTTATATCCATCCTCCGTAGATATCCCCCCATATCTTATAATCAGTGATAACTCCAAGAATCCCAATTTGAACTGGACCGGCGAAAATGCCTCCATATTGCATACTACAAACTTCTCTTCGAGCATGGGAGAAGTCTTCGATGGTACTCAACACAGGCTCCTGGAGTACTAAAACTATCATGTCGAGAATATGGGTCATGCTAATCCTATTCTGTGTCTCGCTCTTCGGTGAGTTATGTCACCGTCTAATCCCGCTGAGGCGCTGAACCTGGATCCATTGCAGCTGCATGGTTTCCGACATTATCCAAGCGAATACACCGTCTACGTGTACCTCGCATAGTCTTCTTCATTGGGAAGCATTTTGGTACTGGAGTGATCCTGTCTACTGCGTTCGTACACTTGATGCAGGACGCGTTCGAGAGCCTATACCATCCGCTTGTGAAGGCGAGGTGGGGTGTAGGAAGGTGGACCGGGCTCATTATGTGCGTAATTTCTATAATATGCTATTCTGGGACGCTGACAGCGAAGCAATACATAGGCTGTGTTCCCTTCTGACTATATTTTTTGTTGAATGTGCGTCCATTCCATTGGTTGAAGCAGACCTCCTCAACTCACACATACACTTCAGATATTTCCACATCGTTTGTGGACCGCCTTCAATCGTATTCCTCTCCTTTGCCATCCCCTCCCTCCTCATCCGCCACTTCACGCACTGCTTCACCCTTACCCTCAATACCCCGCACCGAAGAGCCTGCGCCACTCGAGAATGAGACCTCACCACTATTGTCTACCACCACGGACGGCGAATACGGCGCTCTATCCCACACCAAATATGCTCCAGGTTGTGAAGCTACACATCCTGTGCTAGAACACCTGCAGCACCGCTCTATCTCAATCGCCGTGCCACCCAGCGGCAACCAAGATGACGATTTCTTCCCAGGTGGACACCACAGACATGAACCCAGAAATTCACATTCCTCACATTCTGATAGAGGGCCTGGACGGAGACAGTCTCTGGCTAATATCTCGGACCATGAGGCAGTGGCACAAGCGAAGAAAGACAAACAAATCGCTACGCAGATTACTAATGGGCATCAAGAGGAGATTCACCATGACCATCATCGCCATCATGAACGCCACCATTCGCATGATCATGCCCATGTACATTTGACGATGGAGGAATGGAATCCTGATTCCAATGGAGACGAAACTGCTGTGGACGAGAGGTCAGAAATCAAGATTGGTCATAGAAGGCAGGTGGTTGGGATACTGGTTCGTATCTATAAACCTATTCTTGATGTTACTTCTGACTGAAGTTCTTCCATAGATGTTGCAAATCGGTATCATGATCCATTCGCTGGTCATCGGCTTGACGCTGGCGATCACATCTGGAACAGAATTCAGTAAGTGCCATTTCGTCTCGAAGCCTCCGTATATGCAGCTTAACGACTTCATCAATAGCATCACTTGTCGCCGCTATCATCTTCCACCAACTCTTTGAGGGTCTTTCCCTTGGTATCCGAATAGCCAACCTTCCTTCGAGTCCTCTGAATGGTAAGAAGTTCTGGTCATTCCACTCAATCGGATTCTCTCATTCTGTCCACATGCAGCTGGTTTCACTCGTCGGCTACTCAAACCTATACTCGCTTTCACCTTTGCAATCACTACGCCCGTAGGCATTGGAATCGGTTTGGCAACGTTCAGTCCTGGACGTGGTGACGGCGGTACGTATTATATTTCTCCTGCCTCTACTACAAAGTCCGTTGACATTCATGCTTGCCTACGCGTCGTAGCCTATCTAAGACTCGTCCAAGGTCTCATGTCGGCCATCTCAGCGGGCATGCTCATATACGCCGCATGTGTCGAAATGCTCGCTGGCGATTTCGTGATGGATCCTCTGCTTTGGAGAAGCAGCATCAAACGACAGGTACTCGCGTTGGGAAGCGTGTTGGCAGGTGTTGCTGCTATGGCGTTGATCGGGTGAGCGCTTCTTGTTGATTTGCGTGGGTGTATGCGTGACTAACTGCTCGGATTCGGTTGTTGACTTGAATAGATTGTGAGTTCGGCTTTATGTCTTGATCTTATGGTAATAGACTGACATGATGACGTTGCAGATGGGATTGAGTCATGTCTTTTTTTCTTGGATATTGTATACTACGGGTTTGTATAATATAAGGTCACAGCTTATCTTACTGTAGCGACGACATGCACGCTTGCATGGGGTATACCACGTCTATATTCGATATGGCTTTGGAGTTCAATGTTCAATGGTAGTGCGAGTCATTTGGAGTTCCATCCATGACTGCTGTCCGACTTCGACAGCATCACAGGTCCACATAGGTTCCAACCCCCATGGACTTTGCGCGTGCAACGACAGCATGTGCGATAGCCACATCTTGAATGCCAACACCGACTGATTTGAAGATCGTGACATCCCCTTTTGACCTCAGCCTAATGACTTCAGATTTGTGTGGAGTCCATGATTTCGACGTGGGATCTTGCTCGTTTATTTCGAAGAGGCTGCCCAACTCCACCAAGTCTTCATCTGCTACCTTGGCGGCAATGAGCTCTCCTGCTTCGGTCTAAGTTACCGGTAATCATTAGTCCTGAATCAACGGAGCTCGCACACAACGAATGAGTACCTTGCAAGCTTCCCGTGAGTCCACCACGATTGTTCCAGCGCGTCGTACAAGGTCCGTATCAATTTCGTGCCTACGTAAGGAGATGAGCAGATGCATTCCGGAACACATGATCAAGTACTCACATAGAAGGCTTGTATGACCCTATTAAGCATAGATGGGTCCCGGACGATATGAAGGACGATGGGAAGAGAGGTTCGGTGGAAGACGTCGCTGTGATTACAATGTCCGCATTGTGAAGAGCCTGTTGCAGAACCGCACGTTCTCCATCGACAGCAGGCAGAATGTGCGCGGAGAATGCCACCCGCTCGCCGAATTTCGCCTTGAGCGAAGCAATTAAAGAGGACACTCTGGCGTTCTTAGATCGATTGAATATCGCGACTTCGGTTATTGTGAAGTAGAAGTCGAGGAAAAGGGAGAGATGAGCAGCGATCTGTGCTCCTGCGCCGAATGCAACCAACTTGCGAGGATATTTCTCTACCGGATACAACAATGTCCGGGTGGCCAACAACGAACCTATGAGCACATAGTCAACATAAGTTCCTGAACGTCGACTTGTATGAGGAATTCTAATGTTAATAAGTATAGCGTCAGCGAACGCTCGGAAACGCATTCTGACAAAATGTAGTTCCAAGTTCTGTGTGAGAACCTCGACACTCACCAGCAGCATTTCGCAGCGCCGTTAAGGTACCAGCATTGACAATACCATTGACTGCACCCGTTGTCTCGTCGAAAACCAGAGTGCTGGCTGGTAAACCACGTTGTCGCACCTCAGGCGGAGCAGTGGCGGTCGGGACAGAAACAACCTTGATAGCGGTACCGAAACTTGCTATACGGGAAGGCATAAACAATGCTGTATGATTCTGCATAGGTATGGTCAATCTATGTGGTTGGACTATATCGTCCTGGTTTGACTGGGTATCTTGTGAGAAGCGATTCAATTCCCAGAAGACCTTCGCCATGAGCTGGACGAGGTCTTTAGGGGTGAATTGTGATACTACCCGATCCACGTCGGCCGCGGATAATATGAGGGTTGACATGTTCTTGAGCCAGCCCTGCTTCCTGTGAGGAAAGAAACGCGAGTCTCGCTAAGGGAAACACTGTACTTGATTCTGACTCGAACTTCCCATTGAGATCATGAATGCGCCCAATGAGGCAAGTGTACACGATTGAACAGAGCCTACAGCTCAAATTTGAAAGTCTATTTGAACGTGAATACAATAACAGAAAAACACCGTAAATACAAGAAAACAATACAAAAGCATGCAGCAGGTATATGGGGAACCTAAGCTCCCTAACAAGTCCGATATGTAAAAAAAAGAGACGAGTCGAGACGAGGCAATAAATACAAGTAATCGTAATAATTCAATCACTCCTTCTGCGTTTTGATGGAGACCCAGATGAGTGCTCCGGATCCTGAGATTCATCTTCATCCAGTTCGCTACGTGACCGCTTGCCGGGTGATACCCTGGACGAAGAGGGGACTTCGGAAGAAGCTTCAGCATCGTCTGAAAGATCTGACGAAGTCTGCGATTGTGCTTCGTCCTCGTCGTCGATCTCAGGACCTATTGGGTAGCGGTATGGACCCCATACTGGTGGTTCAGGCCTTGGACGACGAATGACGCCATGATCAGGACGCGTTCGACGGCGTGCGGCACTAGCTGAAGAGGAATTTGAAGGAAGGGATCCAGTAGGCCCGGTTGATACGGCTGAATTCCACGCTTCCTGACTGATTTCTTCCACTTCCGGATCCTCGTCGTCCATATGATTGTGTCTCACACTGGAGGTATGCTCATCACCTGAAGATGGACGATTCGAAGAATTCGTGGGAAGGGAAGATGAGGCTACAGGGGTGTCATGCCGTTGCATGACGTTGGCCGGTGGATGGTGAGAATGTAATTGTGCTTGTGCGGGTATGAAAGAAGGCGGTGTTTGATAGAAGGAGAACCAAACGGCTCCAGGTTGATAAATCGTTCTCGTAGTTGTATCTCCCAAAACTTGCATGAATGGAGTGAGATGCGGGTACAATTCGTCCACATGGCGATCCACATGAACGACATAGATAAATTGGTGCTGTATGTAACCACGAGCGCGAGCTTCCCGCAGGTCTTGCACAAACTGTTCCCACGGAGAGACAGGCGCAGGAGGAGCAGGTGGGGAAGGAGGGGAAGGAGAACGAGGTGGATGAGGTGGAGAAGTAGGTGGCTCTACAGTAGTGGACGTGTTTGAGAGGGTGGGAGAAACGGTTCCTGGGTTCGTAGGGTGAAGCCGTGAGGCGGGAAGTGGCGGTTGTGGAGTCGGTGGTAGAATGGTGACTAACACATAGGGAAGATTGGACTCTTGTACACGAAAGCGCAAGCGTCCGATTGTCCATTCGAAGAAGGGAGGTTGGCTCTGAGATGATGAAGGTATACCCTGAGCAGGCGAAACTGGGCGAGTTGGCTGAGGGCGAGGATGAGGCGCAGCAGGCGTGGCACGATTTGGTGGAGCAGGTGTAACGGAAGGATTCGGCCGAGCAGGTGTAGAAGAATTTGGACGAGCAGGGGTAGCAGGAGAGTTCGGCGGAGCACGTATAGCGGAATTTTGTGCTGCCTGGGTTCGCTGAGGAATCCAGGAAGGCGGCGGCATGGCGAGTGAATCAGCGGTAGGTGCCGCTGCAGGTACCGCTGCAGGAGGTGCCCTTCGTGCTGAACGGCGGGGTCCCGATGCACCATTAGGAGGACGGGTACCACGAGCAGCTGGAGTTGAAGGGCCGGGAGCTGAGGGACCTGGAGCGCCACCACCCCCATCATCAACACCTGAGTTACGCAATCCTAATCCTCGAACTCTCGCCCGACGTCGAAGACCAATTCCGAGCTCTGCCGCGTGACGATATCGGGGATGTCTTACATCACGTTCATCCACGCCGTAAAAGGCTTCCTGGCGTTGCAAACATCGTGGTGTGAAGGCCGCTGCAGGAATAGATGAGATAACGGTGAAGCCTTATTGCAAGTACTACGTACGATGTGGAGGCCCAGGACCAATATACAATTCAATAGGTTCCGGACTTGGCGCGTATACACTGCGGGCATAGTTGGAGTGTGGTGGAGGATCGTTGGCTTCTGAAGCAGAGGTTGTTGAAACTGTGGATTCATTGTCATCATCGGGGTCAGTGGCAGCGGCGACGGCATGTGATGTGGACTGGCCACCAACACGTTCAGAGTCGGGGGTATTGAAAGAGCTACTGTTGTCTCCGCTACTGTCTGATGCCGAGCCTTCCTCACTAGTATTCAACTGACTTTCATCACTAGCCTGAATACTATACATCGTTGCTATGTTTGAACGTTGTTTGGACGCGCGATAATGAGAAGGCTTACCTCTGTACGTCTTCGGGGTTTGGCTCGACGACAATGGACGCGTCAGAATCATGAGAAGACGCGACGCGTGAGGTGCCGGTGAGGGCATTGATTAGATTACTCCCAAGTCTTTGCATTGAATTGAAGAAACCACTTGGTTCACTGGTGGAGGCTGTGGGTAGAATGAGCATAAAGAAGATTTGGCTGAGAGCCACACATACTGGGTTTGTTACGTTGAGGCATTGTTGACGAGGATGTGTGGATAGTGGGGGGTTAAAATGTAGCAGGAGAACAAAGAGGATGGTGGAAGAGGATGGTGGAAGAGGATGGTGGAAGTGGCAGTAAGAGGATAGTTGAAAGGAAAACAGCCTCGGCAGGCATTTTATACCAGAGTTTGGACTCTTGCCGACATTATGTCAGCTGTTTGCCATGCAGCACCTTTGTTCAAGGAACAAAGAAAAAAAAGGAGTAACAGCTAGGGCCTGCGCATGTGCCCGGCTTTCGAAGGCATCAAGGTTGGGAACATCTACAACGAGATTTATGATTGCCGCTGTGCATCAGGGACATGGTAAAGGGATATGCAAAGTAGGGTGGCTCAACGATGGCACGTTCTCTGCGTGCGTTGTAGTACATGCGCCGGTTGTATTGAGCCACTTATTTCATTGAAGGCAATGATCTTCTCTCGGAAGCGCCGAAAACGCGAACAATGGACTCGGAGGTCACATAGCGTGACGACATGGATAACAATGGAAGCCAGAATAGACGTGGTATATAGCCAAATTGTACAGGTATCCCAAGTATTAGTCGAATCTAGATAGAAGTGTACTCAGCAAATTAAAACCCGCACCCGTATAGGAGATCATACGCCCTATAAACACCATCCGAGAGCCAATCCAATGTCCCTAACCCCTCGCGATTCCGAGAGGCTCAATGCAAAACTCAAACATTCCCGCTCGCGATCCCTGCGATCTTGAAGTTTGTACGCCTTGGCCAAGAAATACCAAACCTCAGGAACATCCCAACCCATGCCCTGAGTAAGATCAGACAACAGTCCTGCTGCGAGATCGACGTTGGCTCGGTCTGGTTGCCGTTCCTTTGTGCTTGTAGTCATATCAGGAAGCGGTGAAAGAAGCAGGCGGCAGAGGTGCACAGTTGCAGATACATGATCTGGCTCGATGAAGAGGGCCTTGCGAAAAGCCTCAATCGCCTTCCGCTCATCGTTCAACGCAGTATAATAAAGACCAAGCTACACATATGGAAAAGTAAACATAGGTCGCATGCAACTCACAAAAGCCTAGACTCACCTGTACCCAGACTGCAGGGTTCTCCTCGTCTCGTACTTCAGCCTCTTGTATCGCGCCTTTTGCCTGCTCAATCTTGCCCAGACGTCTAAAGGTAGCAGCGGACATCAACCACAGATCACTCAGTAGGCGACTGTCCTTCGCAGCACGAGAACTTCGTTTACGTCCGTCTGATGGCGTTGGCGAAGGTGGGGGTGGAGGCACCTCCAACAAGCCGAGGTCTTGTTGTGAAGCATGAATACTTTGGTACTGACGCAAGTGAATTGATGAAGCTTGATATGGTGCGTGACTAAGTGCCGTCTGGAAATCTATCCGAAAAAAATTGTTGAGCCTTTGATTGACGACACACTCAGGAGCATGACTAACCCGGTGCAGAGCTACTTCTTTTGAGATTTAGACTTGACCGTCTATGTACGCCGTGCCCAATCTTCTTCGATATGGTGCTTATTCTGGCCTGTGACTTGTGTACACCAGTCTTCAGCACGTCCTTGACTTTCTTTCCCCGCGAAACATCTCGGTCTTTTTCATCCAAAGACGATGAGCGCTTCTCACGAGTTCCATCTTCAATTGGGCTGGAAAGACGATCTTGAAGAGAGGCGCTGTGAGGAAACTCAGGTCCAGAGAGCCCAGGTGACGCAGGAGTGATGGTGATAGGTATTGGAGTTGGCAGCTCCGACTGTTGCGTTTGCTGGACAGGGCTAAGCTCTACAGGGCTCTGAGGCATAGCGAAGGTAGAGGGTTGGTTTTGCTGCATAGAGAGCACCTCGGATGGTGGTCGAGTGTCTCCCGAGATGCGTCTACTATCTATTGAACGTCTCCCTGCATCCAGGCTAAGCTTCAGCTTGATTGCAACAAAATCATATCAGAGGCTTACGATCATCGACATTAACACCGCGCTTTTCACGGAACCACTGGAATACCTCTAACCACTTATCACCTACACCTTCAGCGCCCTGGACGTACTCGCAAAGCGCAAGCAACGTCATACGTGTCTGTAGGGCATATTCAAACCGTTCATGCCGTGTTGAAGGGGGCCTATCTATTGGAGGCTGCAACAACTCGGCCGACGGAGGGATGCTTGTGACATCCGGGCTCAGAACGGTGCCCAATCGCTCGGTTGCGCCGTTGGCATGACCGTTGGTTTGACGAGATGTCTCCACATAGTTGGAGGAGCGACTGCTCACAGTTGCGAAGTCCCGAATATTGACTGTGCCATTGGTCTGCTCAGCGACAGGTTGTGGATTACCGTCGTCATCCCGGAGGTCTCCTTCAGCAACATCGATGCCGAACTCCAAGACTGCCTTGGCAGCCCTCCAGTCGCCGGTGGCTGTTAGAAGGAGACCAAGCAGATGCCAATGTCTGATCTCACTGGCATCACCTTCAACGGCCGAACGAGCATACACTATAGCATCTTGCAAGTTATGGGAAGGTCCCGGTCTGCAGAGCGCTAAAGCGAGGTGATGGTATATCGAAGGTGCAGGATACGTTCCAACAGCAGAGAGGAGTCGCTCTAAGGAATGTGCAAGATGCGCATTTCTCGCGAGGGGTTCATGCTCTAAGCAAACAAAGTTCAGCAGATTTTGAGAAAAATAGGTCTTTGATTACTCACCAGTCTGCGCCATAACAGAACTCCAGACACCTTCCGTTAAGTCAACGATGGCGACAAGTCCTTTATCCTCAGTATCCAACCTCGTTTTAGCTTTCTCGATCATCACGCCGGCTTCTTTGGCTTCATCCAATGCCTTTCCATAATCGGACTCTTGCAATGCAAGACGACAGAGCATCCTAGCGCCATGAATTAAGGTGAATACCCAATTACGATCGCTATCAATGTCGGCACCAATCCCGAAGTAATCATTCTCGCGAACGTCCTCTGGCTCGGCTAAGCCTGCTTCTCTTGCTTTGCTGACAACTTGAATGTATAGTCGTAGAATCCGTTTTGAGAGTTCAGGATCGCCAGCAACGTACAGAAGTCGGGCCATATGCCGGAACACCCGGTGTGAGTTGAAGGTCAGACGCGTCGCCCACCATAGAACCTATTAAACCATACGTAAGGCATGTAGAGAAGTTACTTGATAGAACAACGACGTACATCAATCACCCATCCAGCATATTCACCAACAGCACCATCGGCTTCCCAAACTGCAACACACATGTCAACAAAGTCTTCGACCTTTGTGTTGCGCTCGCCAGCTCTAGGGAAGTGAGTGTTGATGCTGAGAATCGCTCGGTATTCCTGGATGATCGAACGGGCCGTGCTAATCCAACGAGGAATCTTCATTTTTAGGTACGAACTAGTTGATCCATTTGCCCGAAGAATAAGTGCTCGCAGATGTAAGACAAGGATTGTGGACCTGTGATCCGGACGGAACGTTGGAGGCCAGTGCGCGCTACATGCGCGATAGTAGTCAAACAAAGACCATATCGATTTTGGGTCATCGCTGGGTACGCTGAGGTCCACAAACTTAGCGGAGAGAATGATTGCTCGTCGTAGAAGACGCTCCACCCAGCGCCAAAGTTCTCGATACCGAACGAAAGAACCGAGTTCAACTGTCCCACTGGTTATACCAGAAGCGATAGTGCAAGGAATCTCGGTGCTGATAACCTTGAGTAGCGGAATTGCCCTGAGATATGCATCAAGAGCAGATTGGGGTTCCGAAGGAGATATTCGCTCGTGTGACATGCCTATGACTACTCAGAATTGGCAAGTGTGAAATAAGGAAGGAGTCATTTTTACCTTGGAGGCAGATGCTGCGAATGCACTCGACTGTAGCCCATGCTCTGCCATCACCTATGTCAGGCGAGGGCGGCACTGCAGGTATAGCAGCAAAGCTGCCTGTCCAAGAGGAAGCAGAGGAAGCAACGGCACCTCCACTTGGCACCTGAAGTGTTAGAGAACCCGAACGAGGTCTTCCAGAGCCAGGTATATAACTTTGTACGTCCGTTAGGTCCTTTGCCTCTGCAAGGATCGATAGACACTCAGAAGGTCTACCAAGTGCATACGCGTAGTATGCCACTGCTAACCTAATTGACTGCATTATCGGTCAGAGTGAAATCAACGTGAAGGCAAATAGACGAACGTCGGTATTAGAACCTTCCATATTTTGCAACGTGGTGTATCCAGCTAGACCCTCTGGAATGCGTTCCTCCGGAAGCATACATTCCTCTCCAAGGGCAAGTGGCCCTTCTTCACTGACTTCATTGCCGTCGAGACTTCTGTCGGTCGCATTAGCTGCCAGGAGAAGCGACAGCGCCTGAGTCTGCGATGCCAGCTCGACTAGGTCAGAGTGTCCGGGGCAATGCTTGTTAAATTTTCGCAGAAGTTCTGACCATTTCAACGGTGCATTGTTTGGAGCCTTAGCCGGAAAGTCTGAGTCCCACAGACCACCAGTCAGTGCGGCTCTGAGCTGTGTCCAATAGTGTTTCTCTTTTGGGTTCGCCATGTTAGTGAATTCCCCAGTGTGTCGCCACAGTGGTCGGACTAGATTAGTTCCCAGAGCAGCTCCGGTAAATATCCTTCAGGTCAGCGGAGATTCATGAGCAACTCCAACTTTTCGAGATTCAGGTCGACGACACGACTGACAACGAGAAGGCTTCGAGTTTAACGCGTGACAATGATAATGCTGTAGGTCACGGTCTGTCATGAGCGCCCCACATCGTTACCGAGACGTGACAACTTCGGTTCATGGTGAAGTTGGCGACGTTGTTTAGGACGTTCGTCGTTGAACAACTCGAATACGTTGGCGGCAGGTAAACAGCACAATTGAGCGCGAGTCTTAGAGTTATTAGATCTGTAGCGTACGATCAGTGTTGGTGAGCACTTGGTGAGCACATCCAAAAGTTTCACGTTGATTCAAGTTAAACTTGGTTTGTAGGGACTCTAGTTTTCAGGTTGATTTCACAGGTGTGACCTTTGGAAACTATCTTCTACGTACATAGTCCATGGCGATTCGCCTCTATCCAGTAGTGAGAAATATCCATTGCCGCGGACATCCTATAGGGCCAGTGTGGAGAACTCACTCAAACTGTATGTAGCCACCTCGGGACCGATTTATGTTTCATATGGCCTGTCTTTACCGAGAACGACGCGACCTTGACTGGTCAGCTAGTACCTCTTGTGTTTGATGTAGGTCTCTAGAACCGTGTTTCCAAAGCTCCGGATAGAGATTGTTTCCCCTCTCCTGCCAAAAGTCATAGCCAGAACTCCTGTCATGCGATACCGTTCGGGAATACAAGATGTTTCGACGCTATCGGAGGTTCTCTTTACGGATGAGCGCGGAATGTTGATGATATAATAACAGTGGGCGACAGTCATTGCTTTTTTCGCTGTCCACTGCGCTCCATCCTACTACAGTTTCCTCAACACGATGGCTGACCAACCCCTTCCTACGTACGTTCTGGTAGTCCTGGTTGCTATCTCCATGTTCATCTACAAGTGGAGATTCGGAAGTGTAAGCACTGGTATTATCCTCTTTAGATATGCGAATAACGTTGGCAACAGCTGAGTTCGATCCCTACTATCGGAACTTCGGATCCTCTCTTCTCTTATTTTGGTGCCTCTAGGCTTGTTCGCCATGCAAGGGAAGTACTCCAAGAAGGATATGAGAAGGTCCGTCCATGAACTTTTATTCATCAAGGCTCATATTTGACGGTCCCCCTTTGTCCAGTACAAAGGCGGGGTCTTCAAAGTTGCTATGTATGACCGTTGGCTTGTTGTCGCTGGAGGTGGCAAGCTGGTCGAGGAACTGGCGAAGTATTCAGACGACCAGATGTCCTTCATGGAAGCAGCTATCGATGTACAACGTCTTCCTTTTGGCATGTACTCTCTGCGTGTGCTCATTATTTCTCATCTTATTATAGGTGATTCACTTCAAATACTCAATGGGCAAAAACATTATGGATGACCCTTTTCACGTTGACGTCATACGTGGCCAGCTTACACGCAATTTGGCTATGGTGTTTCCCGCCATGTGTGATGAGATTGAGACAGTTTTCGCTGAGGCCATACCTGCTACCAAAGGTGGGCGAGAGTGAAGGCGAACAAGTGAAAATAGCTTTTAATGATACATCTGACAGAATGGACTCCTGTCCACTGCTTCCCACTCCTACATGCAATTGTGGCTCGGATCAGCAATAGGGCCTTCATTGGTCTTCCAATGTGTATGTTCATGATAATTCAGGCTTTTCTGTTCTTGACAATTTGCAGGCCGACACCCTGGATACCTTGAGGTGGCTGTCAAGTATACTAGAGATGTCGCCAACGTCCGACGATTCCTCTCATACTTCCCCCACTTCCTGAAACCGTGAGCCTCCAGCTTCTCCGATTGACGGTTGCGGTCCGACGCGTCACTTTCTAGCGTCGTCGCGCCTTTCGTGACTGATACTAAACAGAGTCTTCGACGAGCAATTGAATGCCTTCGGCCCACCCTTCAGGAGCGTCTCGATCTGATGCGTGTCTATGGAAAAGAGTGGCCAGACAAACCCGTAAGTATTCAGGATTTCTTGAAGGTTTTGGACATTGCATTCTAGCAGAATTATTCGCAGAACGATATGTTGCAGTGGATATTGGATGCGGCTTTTGCTAGGGACAAAGGTATCGAAGCTATGGTCTCTGCAATTCTCTCAACAAATTTTGCGGCAGTGCACACCACTTCCTTTGTAAGTTAGCCAGCTTACGCCATTTCTGAATAAGAACCTAATCTCCTCCACAGAGCTACCTTCATGCACTTTACTATCTTGCCGCCAATCCTGAGTACACACAGCCCCTACGTGAGGAGGCTGATTCCGTGATCGCATCAGAAGGTTGGACCAAGGCTGCAATGACCAATTTGAAGAAGATCGACGGCTTCTTGCGGGAATCGCAGAGGCTTACTGGTGTCAGTGGAGGTATGCCAATCTCCACGTCTTGTCTCATACGTTACCAAACCACCTACAGTTTCCGTCATGCGCAAGGTTATAAACGACATTACCTTGTCTGATGGCACGTACCTTCCTAAAGAAACTGTAATCGTCGTGCCGGCATTAGCGACACATACCGATATCAGCAATTACGAGGATCCCATGGTGTTCAATCCCTATCGCTTCCTGGAGAACGAAGATAAAGGGACCGGAAAGTACTTCGTTAGCACCTCTCCAGATTATCTTCCGTTCGGACTAGGCAAACAAGCCTGGTGAGGACTCGTTGTTCTTCAATATCACCCATCGGTTGTTGAACCAATCCTCTTGCAGCCCCGGAAGGTTCTTCGCGTCGAACGAGCTGAAGGCGATGTTGGCTTACACTGCCATGAATTATGATGTCAAAACCTCGGATGGCGCACGTCCGCAGGATGAATGGTTTGCTTTGCAAGTCGTTCCATCCCCAACGGCAAAGATCTTGTTCAAGAAACGCGAATTCTGATTATGGTGCATATCCGAAGTGTCAGATGTTTTTCAATAGTACATTCATAGTTCTTACTCCTTTGCTTTCTTCCCTTGTTCGTTAACGTGCTTGGATTTGCTATTCTCATGTTTTTCTTCCTGCTCTTGGGCGGACTGTAGTCACTATTCATTCGCCATTTCAGAATTTGGTGCGAGAGAGAGCCTACATGCTTTCTAATGCGGGCGTCAACAGCGATCTCCGTTCCTTAGATAACCATCTTCCAGAAACAATATCAAAGTAACGGCGGTTGCTATGTGGGTATCGTTGTCTTCTGTCTTTCTCACTTTTAGGTGGCAGCTGACTTGTTGTATCCAGTGTTGTTGTTTTAGACAGGGAGAAACTGCGATAATTTGTGCTACGAAGGTTAGCTCTTGAATGCAACGCCTGTCTTTCTTTCGTCTGCACTATCTTCGTCTGAATCGAAGTTTAAGATGGTCTTTCGGCGGTTATATATAACACTTTGGTCGTCTTTCAGTGGACGCAAGCCTTCCCAAGAGGGACCGCCTGACGCTAGATCTCGACTAATGTCCATTTATTGATACAGTGTCATCCTTACAGAACGACTTAGGATCTTTCCGATCTACAACACAATGCCCAACTTCAGACGACTCTCGACTCAGCAGGATCCTTCTCTTACCTCTAGGATGGATATCCCAAGCTTGAATTCTGGCCCGCCCATGTTAGTCGATGAACTCCACGATTCTGACTGATAGTCATCCAGAGATTCCACTACACAAGCTATGCAGACAACGCCTTGCGACATTCCAAAAGGCACTTCAGGAAATATCCCCTTCCGCGCGACCCCTACACAGTCAGCCATTACTTGCAGTGGTACTCAAGTGGTACAAATCACCGATTTGACGCGCACGTACCATTGTTTTTGAACTAACGCTCCTAACATCAAACCTACTTGCAAGAAGCTGCAAGAATCCGACTAAAAATGTTATTCTTATTCATTGCGATGATATCCCTGAAAATGCTGTTGTTTTATCAACTTTCCTCTTTTGTTTAGCTTACACCGGTGTTCTGTGAGTTTCTTGTCTTCTATAGTAGCGAAGGCGTTGTTGTGATCAGGACTTTTCACAGCTTTTGGCCTAGCCACGAACTTTTCTATTCACACGCCCAAGGCCATTTCGAGTCAAGACTACGATATATAGAGACATGGCTCCTCAATGTTGGAGACTTACCGTCATTGTGTTAGTTGCATCCACTTACGCCACACCTATCCTGAGGCGTTTCCGTTGCCAAACCGCCATTGCCATGCAAACTCTACTAAATCATTCGCTTCCCCATTCCAGTCAACTGTCGCCTGTTGACGATCTCGACGAGAACACTGTGCCAGTGAATCAGTCTCAGTGTTATGTGACACCCGACATGTTCCCCTCTTATTCCCTTCAGGATGAATCGAGTTTAAGCTACTTCGAAGATATTTTTGCTGGATATATTGATTCGTCTGCTCCGGTCGACGCTACTCCCCCAAACGGTTCACCTGGTAAGTGTCACTCTGCAAGTCTCAAAGACCTTTCGAACTGATTTTTCCCGTAGAGCCACTGATGGAGTCCGTCTACAAGATTGCGGCGGGTGCGCAAAACATGTGTTTCGACCTTCAGAAGAACTATTATCGCCTGTGCACATTATATCAGGAGTCTCAGCAACAGATAACTACTTTGCAGTTCGTATTGTGGCTCTAGCAGTTTTTGCGGTGACGCTGACATACAATGTTTTTAGTCAGAAAATTGAACACCTCGAACACCGAATCAATGCGACGACAACTCCCCCTGTCATCAACATCGCACAGCCAAACACGGTTTTGAAAACTGCCTCTAGTATCCCGCAAGCTCTGATCCCAACGCAAAGCGAATTCACGCAAGGATCCAGCCAGCCTTTCAACGATAGGGACGGGAAAGAAATGGTTTCCGGTGGTCCTAGTAAGAGGACTAAGCAGAATAATAGGCCTCCGCCGTTAGTTCTGCCATTTGCAGCAGGTGCGCCTTACTCGGCACCCGCAACTACGACGGCACCCACATTCCCGTCAGCGTCAAGCACAAGCGGCGAGACCCCTGAAGTATCTGCACTAGAAGGAGTCGGTTTCGCTGCCTTCCTTCGGCCACCCAGTACTGAACGCCATCATCAAGGACATCGATCAAACCCTGTTAATGTCTATGAAGCGGATGCTTCATTCTTCTCGCATGCTTCACCGGAAGATCCTGACATGATGGCTCTCATGAATTCGCTATCCACGCCTTCCCACAGTACTAGTAATCCTGTTTCTCACAATCGGAGTCGATCTGATTCTTGTATAGACTAGTGCGTACGAGTTCTAGTCACTGAACCTAATATTGATTGCGTTACTCTTGAGTGCAGTAACGTCCAAGAAGCACAAACATCAGACAACGGCAAGGGCGTCGATAATCCTCAATGGAACCCTTCTTCTTATCCTGCGGACACTTCATTTTACGGCTATTCGACCCCATCTGGAACACCAAAACTAATCCCCGCGTCCATGAAGACCTATTTACCTCAGGTTTTGCCCTCTAACACATCAAGTCACTATCGCCAAGCCTCGATGACTCGGTCGAACAGCGGGCAAGCACTTGCTGTTCCGTCTCCCGCCTTCTCTGTATCGCCTACACGGTCAAGTTTCTCCACAATGACTGATGCTTCTACTCCTTCTGAGTCAATGACTATACAAGCTCCCGAACTATTGAATCTTCCACGATCGGCTACATCACCAGCATCTTCAAATGTTAAGCTGGAGGAACAACCGATCTCAAAAGCTGCACGTAACAGAAGGACGGCGGAACAGAGTGGTATATCTGAAAGACCTACCAAACGACAAAAGCAGGATAAGGATGCGCCAGCTTCAGGAGTTGTTGTCAATGCACAGGCTAATGTGGATGCTACACGGGTCGGTCAGACACCAAGTGCCCAGAGCAGTCGCAAATCGAGAAGGCCTCGAGCCAAAAAACAGCCGTCTTTACAGGCACCGAGAGATGGGGAGAGTGGAATTGGCTTTGTGAAGGTTTCCACTCCTGCCAGCTATGGGCGGCCACCTATGGATGCGCAAGGTAGTGCGGCTTCAGCAACAATTGACACCTCCAGTATGTCTGCTGAGACCAGGAAGCGAAAAAGAGGTGAGGGCACAGGTTAATCCAATCCCTATTTATCTTGCACTTTGAGCGTTTCAACCGTATCTTACTGTACATTTTAGAAGTGAATGTAATAACTGTCCACTGCAATGACCTGATATACAAAAATAGAGCACAGACTTGCGAAACTCGAGAGTTCAATAGCGAGATAACGGAACAAGATAGAGCACACCAAAAACAAAACAAAAACGAAACGAAATCAATGGCCTCCATCAGCATATGGGGTCGTGTAGTCAGAATACGACGACTGATAGGGCTTCTCATGCGATGGTGGGACGGGGTCATGGAGCGTTTTATAGCCCTTACCACCCGAGCGTCGATTCCGAACAACCATCGTAACAACAGCGCCGATGAGCAACACGACGATCAAGCCCAACATTCCAATAATGATGTAGCTCAAGCGCAACACATTGCTCAGGTCAACGGAGCTGCTGCTACTGTCGCTGTCTGCCAGAGCGCCAGATGCATCTTTGATGCCACTGCCACTCTTGCTAGTGCTGATAGGCGGCCTGGCCTGGGTACTAGCGGCTGTAGCATCAGAGGTTGTAGAGGAAGAGGAAGAGGAAGAGTGTGAAGCAACGAAAGCGTCTAGACGGGCTTTGTTAAGGGTGTCGAACTCTGCCCAAGCTTTCTCTATGTCGGTAACCTACGAGGAAGGTCAACGGTTAGGGCCCAAATATGCGTCAGTGAACTATTACTTACGCTGAGGATCTGCATGAAGGGAAAGCCGTCCCCAACCTTAGCCCAGTTTCCAAAGTCGAAAAGACTGTACACATTTCGGAGGAACGCATCTCCAAGAATGAAATCTGAATCGGAAAGGGCAGTTTAGTGCCGATGACAACCCCTTGGACAAGGCAAAAGACTGACCGACGCCGGCATTGTCTGGTGCGTATGTGAACACACCGACACAGACGACGGAACCATCATCATCGATCGCAGCAGGGAGGATGAGATCAATGGGATGCATAGGAAACTCATTTTCTCTGGTAGAAGACGTCAAATCTGATGCTTTCAGACGAGACCCGAAAAGCACTCACCCGAATACCATACTGACATTCACTTTGGAGTCGCAAGGAACAATATAGAAGCCAGACTCGTCATCAAAAGAAGCATTAGGAAGGTTCTTGTACATAGCATCGACATAGTCAGGAGGCGCAGTCGCTATCAGGAAATGGTCGTAAACGTATGTTCAATAACGAGTCAAAGATTAGACCTACAGAGACTAGTTCCAGAATCAAGAAGGATCAACGTCTGATTGTCCGGAACTTTGACTTCGGGACTCCTGTATTCTCATCAGTATTCAATTGTATTTCTATGCGAGCAACTAAACACACTCACCCCAATGAACCTCCATAAAGCTGATCACCATTGATATTGACTGCGTCCATAAAAGTAAACCAGTTATCCGGGGAGACCACATTCAGTTTTGGTGTCTGGGTAATGTCACTAAAGTTCTGTACAACATCGCCTTTCACAATACGTCAATACTTCTATTCGGTACGAGCATTTCAATGGCATTGAGTACTCACCAATGGTGAATTCTCCGCCGTCAATGGTTCCAACTTCGCTTCGAGAAAGATAGAAGGTCATGAAATTCGGTTCATCAGGATAGAACGCGAAGACCTATATGCTGAATATGAGCTGGAGAAGCATTGGAAGAGCAGGCAGTAAACAAACATTGTCTAGGAAAGACGAGCCATCTGCCTTCGATTTGGATGCGGACAACGCTGCATCGACGTTTGATAATAGAGGTCTGTGTACAGTACAGTATCATGTTGAGTAAGAGCAGAATCTGACATGAAACTAGTGGTACTTACGGTCCGACACCGAGAAGACCCTGGATCTGTCCTCCAGCAGTAGCGTTCGAGCCAGGAGCGTTGACTACCGGACTTGTAAGCTACACAGAACAACGGCGCAATTATATGGTACTCACTGAACGCTTGCTGTTCGACTGTAAACTCGCCCCAAGTCACATTTCCCAAGTCGATGTTCCCAACTGCTCCCGTGCCATCCCTAAACAACGTGTCAACTTTGACTTTGAAGAACCATATTTTTCTACTGGACTGGAAACTCACACATAGAGAATCGACCCTACAACGCCCGTATCTGTGAGTCCCTGCAGCCGAGTACCTTTCGTGTCCAACCAAAGATCCGAAGATCCAGTATCGATTTGGACCTAATTAATGATCGAAAACGGTTCAAAGTTAGATCTCAGAGGTTTTGCGAATTGTTTTGTATACTTTCAAGAAATTTAAAAACATACAATGAATGGTTGACCAGATACTTCGAGCGTGCCGGTGTAAATGTTATTGTTGATATTTTGAAAACCAAATGGATCATCATCCGGGTTTTGCGTCGACAATCGAACCCAAGAGGAATGTGGAGAAGCACGTTTTTGGAAAGGGATACTCAGACTCTCTACGCCAATACTCGCCACTCCGACACTCAGAACAACAGACAGGGCGTGCAGGGAACGCATGGCTCGGGGGGAAACGGGGGAGTGAGAAGGGAAGGAAGGAAAGAGGAGAGGACCCTGAGGGATGCATGCCACAGACAACCAAAGCTTATGTACTCGTTCGAGATGAAAGCCACGAGTAACAGAGTAAGGTTATTCGCATAATTGATTTCGGTGCATCGCCTGTCCATCTGGGGGCCGCTGTTCAAACGGCAAGTTCGGGGCGCCGGTCGTTGTCAAGCTATGACCACGCCCTAGACAATAGACGTCTCAGACCCTGAGGCAGGACCTCTAGTCTTCCATATCATCATGGAAGTTAGATGCCGGTGATCAGTAAGGTCTCCTTCGGTAGGAGAGGAAACCTGAAATGCAGCTCAGAAATCGGTCGAAGTTGTAACATCTACATGCAGAGACGTACTTCCGACGTTCAAGGAGGCGGGCGATATCACGTTGCAACAACGAGCAGAGGCGCGGAGAAGAACGACAGTTGTGCATATCGTGGGAGAATGGCAATACAACGCGAGATGTGGCTGTGACCATGCTTCGATTCTGAGGCACGCCGCATTCGAGCAGAAGGTATCAGTACAGTACCAATGTCTTTAATTTTTCTATACATGGGCGGACCTACGCCGACCAATACTGCTCTGGGTCAAGATCTACAGCTTCGCGGAAGACTTACTGACCTTATTTGTCCTGCTATGCGTGAGCTATAAGTTGCTTGATCCGAAATGCCCCAATTCAAATCACCAATCACCATTATGTCCTCGCAATGGCAACTTGTGGCAATACGCTGAGACCTTGACTTTTCGCCCATAAGTTTTTGATAGGAAATATCGCCCTGCTTGATTGTGAATGACGTATGCTAATGACGGTTTCCAGTACGAAAATGAACGTCGCTGAAGAGTAGTGTTAAATTAAAGATTATTCGCATATGTGACTTTACGTGAGGAAAAAAGGCCCCACCTGAAGGCTTTGGACATAGGAAGTTGAAGTTCCAGCAAGTTCGATTGCCTGCGGGAGTTTATGAGCTAACATACAGTGAACGCACGGCAAACATGAGCGTGTCTGTCTTCTAGGAAGAGTCCATGCAAACAGGACGACATTTTGGCAACATGTCGATGTATCTTAGGCTCGTTTCCAGCCTCTAAATACTTTTGGAAGACAATCGTTGCTTCGTACATAAAGATGTCTGTGTCCGGATGACGGATTTAAACTCTGCAAGGTGAATTGACCAATTAGCGTTCGGAAACGTAAGCAGCCACCAAAAGTCTGTCTGGAGGACAGCCAATAAGACATGGTGTCAAAATGTTCGTCCCTCTGCAACGCATCTTTACCAACCACAGAAGGTTTCTTGCGTCCTGTGAGGGGGCAAGGTAGGATAAGTAACCTTGAATCACCATAATCGAAGTTGCCGGTAAACTGAAAATATACCGAGTCTGCACATACTCCACTCGAACAACAGAGCGTATAGGATTAGGCAAAACGGCCCCACCCACGAGACATAGCCGAATGGGTAAGAAGGCCTTTTCGCAAAAATCCGACGGTAAGAACCTTCGAGGGAGTTTCGGCGAGGTTCAGAGCTGTACAGAAAGCGGTAAGCTTGAAATAGTAACGATAACGAAGTCGTGCAAGTACTGCTTGAGTACTTCTTTATCACAACGGCAATATGACGTCAGGATGGAGAGTTACTAGGTGGAGATGCTATCGTCATACAGTATCCTATGCAGAAGCAACCGTTATCAATCGATATCCTTTCAAGTCGTTGAATCCCAAGACACCACTCACCGGTCCTACACAAAAATCAGGAAGTTCAGCAACCAAATCTGAGGACGCTCCAGTGGCGGCTCCACAAATCTTACATCGATAGCAATTATCGAGGGTACAATGGGTTCGTCCCAAAGGCAATTATGGTAGGCGTTGAACTAAGGATAGATCAGAAGCGTGGCGTGAGGGTATATATGAACTATTAGTACATAACAAGACTACCTTCGTCCCATAATAATGATGATAGGTGATAGGTGGAAACGACCAAAATGGGATGAAAAAAAATCTGTCCTCAGAGATGAGCCTTGTTCAATGTCATATGAACACAACACACAAGTTAGCGTTTATGTGGCGGAAGTGTAGGTCTGAAACTATCGCGCAATGGGGTCAGACGACCATCTCGGACTTAAACAAACAAGGAGAATGCAGAACCCAAAGCCACCAAACCATCAATATCCCTAAAACCAGTTCTCAGAGTCATCATGACCGGATACCCCCAAATAACCTCTAGGAAGATTATGGTTATGACACAACGGGATTCTACTGACGTTCAGGGGTGATACAGATGGATAACGGGGACCTGACGATAAATGTACCTCAGCCACGGATGCAGCGGTCGAATCAGATGCAGCATACGTACATTACACCAATAAGCTTTCAAGCGACTCCACCAAAAGAAGGGTTAGACCACAAGGAGCGACCGTAATCGAAGCCGAGAAATGCGACTAAAGATAACAGGGCTAAGATTGCAAGAAGATCATACATAGCTACAGGGGTCAGATCAGATTGTAAGTAGTAGCTCACGAGACAATCGAGCATGTCCCGGGTATATTTCACTCCGCAGGCTGAGCGAATGCCAAAGCTGGGTGGTGTATGCGGTTTCCTTGACTCCAATTGCAATGGCTTGCGCGAGGACAAAATGTGACTTTGGACAGTGAATATCCTTGGGACTGAGGTGGGAGTTGGAAGGAATATATGTATTATGTCAAGCACACCCCTCCTCAGCGAGAAAACGCGAGAAAACAAAGAGCTAAAGAGACATGCATGAGAAAGAGGAAGAGATAACGCGTCGTTGGATTACATGAAGGAAGGAAAGAGGAGGTGAAGCAGACTCGGACCGACCAAGACCGACCAATGAGAGAGGGAGAATTGCTTAGGTAAGCAACAAGACTTCGACTAGCTGGAATGAATTCGTAACTTGAGCGGGGACTTGAGATTGAGCAAGTATCGAGTTCCACAGGGGCTTCCCCGGGCCTGGTCTCATCTTAAATATCCAACTAATACCAGGTCAGTGTCTCCCATCGTTTCCCTCACCCACCATGTCCGCCGTATTCACTACTGAACAATATGACGCACCCCGCAGACCTCAACGCCTTGCTCTCTTGCTAACTCCTATACCTCCTCCTGCATCTTTACAAACAACCACACAGTCGCAACCGTCACGTTTGCTGTCATCTCCGGTTCCTGCTACGCCAACACCTCCACCTCGTAGCCAGCGATTGCGTTCGAACACTGCGGCATCCGCTCCGTCCAGACCGCGTCCGCGAAGGAGACGTACCCAAACGCTGTCTGCTGGTACAGCCACGTCCATGTCATCATCACACCCAAATATACCATTCGCTTCGTCCTCATCTTTCATACCCCCTACCGGACATATCCGAACCGCGCATTTCCTCGACGAATCTGGAAGTCCACCACCGTACTCACCAACCCCGCCTGAGCCGCCCGAGTGCCTCCAGAGCAGTAGCACTAATTCTGCTTCGCCGTTCCTAGCGAAACGTGCGGCATCCACACCTCACCTACACTCACCTCCTCTATCTCCCAGCTTTCCTGCACATCCTCATTCAATCGAGAGTTCACGCAGACCTTCAACTTCGACTTTACATGCACGAAGAGCAAGACATGCGTATGAAACATCGGATGACCCTGATACCGATGCGTCCATGTCTGAAGATACCGTTATCTATACTTCAACTCAACCGAGTCTTGCGGGCACACTCAGGGCGCGACTGTTTGGCAAGGGAAAGGGAAGAGCGGATTTTGAGGAGCGTATGAGACCTATAAGTACAACGCCTGGGGTATTGGGAGCGGGTGAGACGGAGACGGAAGGTGAAGATTCTTCGGTGAGTGTTCCTCTTATTTATATGGGACGACGGCATCGGGTCATCGAAAGACCGGTGACGGTACTCTCAGAACCTGCGAAAAGAGCGGATATCGAAAGATGCTCAGTTCATATTGAAAGGCTGCCAAGTTGCACTCCGCCGATCGTGCTTCTCTCGGTTCCCTAACATTTCTGACCTCTTACTCACTTTGGCAATCTCACCTAGCCCCGCCACCTACCAACGGCTCGAATAACTTCTTCCTCCACAAGTAATTCATCAACCTTCCTCTCCACCCTTACAACAGACGCTTCCGCCATCCTTCCCTCCCCACCTCGTTCGCTCATCCCAATCCTGTTCGAGCTATCAAGACTATTAAGCATTGTGCCCGCCGTATTTGGGACGCTTTACAATATTTATCATATTGTGAGACCCCCAGATAGAGGCAATTGGACGAGAGCCGAATATTTCGTTAGTGCACTTTGGGTACGTGATTTTCTTTTCAATCGATTTATTATCATCATTATTATTGCTATGTCACGATGGATGAGAGTGATTGTATTGATTTTGGAAAGTGTAGTCGATCCTTACTGGTTGGCAATGTCTCCAACTCACGACGGGTCTTTTGAAACGATGGAGAGTGTACTACAGTCCTCTCCCAACCTTGATCCGATTACTCGCTTTACAAGGTATGTACTCCTCACGTCTTCCTCCCCTCCCAACAAAATTTCACATTTGACTCCCCCCTCCTTTCCCTCTCACTTATAGCTATATGTTGGCCCGCCACTCACCTCACCTTAACCTTCCTCGAACACGAGAAACGTCCATTAGTCTGTTGGGCCGTCATCGCCACAACGACCTGTTGCAGTCGAAGTATCCAGATGTGGGTAACGTCCAACATCATCGTTTTCCCTCATCCCCATCATCATTCACATCACGGGTCGCCATCACATACTGCTTCATCTTCCCCACTACGCGATAGGGATAGGGATAGGGAAAGGGATAGGGATGTGGGAAATCGGGGAAGAGACAGTGGGGAAGTGGGGAAGGAGAAAATGAAGATGAGTAGGAGGCGGAAGTGGGATTGGGGTGCTGTGGGTGTGAAATGTGCCCTTCCTGCTGGGATGATTTATTTCCTCATGGCGTGGGTCGAGATCTTGAGACGCGAGTTTGAAAGTCGGTCTTCGCCAACGATTTCTTGTTGAAATGGGCGTTGGGAAGAACGACGATGAGAACAACGCGACGCGACGGTGGAGGGGTTAGTGGCAGTCATTAATGGACTTCCAAGTATTGAGTCTTGACACTGTTTCTTATTTATTCGGGTCCGCTCTTTAAGGGGTTTTTTCTGCTACAGGCTCTCGATTTATGCTTTTTGGTCGTCCTTTCTGCATCGTGCTTTACTGTACAACGTTAGTTTGTGTAATATATCATATGTACTCGGCATTCCCACATCAGAGCACCTCCTGTTGTACCATACCTGTGGAGCTTCTACTACAGCTACGGACAAATATTCAAAAGTTAGCCCCGGCTTATGCTTTAAAAATCGATATGTTCCGTCGGAGTGCCCTCAATTGACGAATTTCGTCTTGTCTGAGGTTTGAACGTTTAGGTATCGGTATACTAGTATATCTGGTATGAGTTCGGTAACATCCTACGCACGGGACACAAGAAACCATTTGTGGTTGGTACAGATGCGATGCAGCATGTCGGCCATGTCTTATTTCTGCCTGCAGGGGAAATTTTGATGGATGCTTACGTTTCCCGACGCTGATTGGTCAACTCACCAGAACTCACCGTGCAAAGTTTAGATCTTTCGACCTCGCGGGTACATTGACATGGTGCCAAAATGTTGTCTTGTCTGCATCATGGTGGAACCTGCCTACAAGGCCCACACGCTTTTGTTTGCCGTGTCAGTAACGGACTCATCAACGCACATCCTTACGCAGGTCACTTTGAAAATGCTTTTGAGAGCTGTTGACCAAGGGCCCTCATACAAGTATACAATAACATGATTTACGTATAGGCCATCCGTCGACTTCTTCAAGTGTATTTGTGGTTATTTTTTCTTTGTGAGTGGCACCCGAGTCTGTATTCTTATCATCTTCGTCTAGGCTAAAGTTTGTGCTTAACATAAACCCTAGGCCTTAAATGTTGCAGTACAAAATCTTCCATTGACACTCACTGACGGTTCGGACAGAGAGTAGGTCAGCCGGTGACTGACGATGTCAGACGGCCGTACTAGTGGCAGCACTAGCACCTGCCTGGTCGAAGTACTTCGATTGATTGCTGTTTTGTGTCCGGCCTTGAACGTTCTCCATCTCTCTTTGTACGTAAGAATCCCCGTATTCGCATGCCTTCCGGAAGGCAGTACTAGGTTTGAGTATAAAATGTAAGTTGCAGGTACGACTCTCATTCAGCTTGAAGCAACTTCAGCCCTCTTCTATCGTGATAATTCTGAATACACTCACTGCTCTTGCTGTCCTCAGTATGGGCTTGTCTAACTCTGTCACAGCCGCACCATGTATGTTTCTTCGCTCTTCTATGTGTATCTGATGTGTATACATCCTAATATTCTTTCAGCCGCTATCCAAGGCCTTCCGCCTTCTGGGACGTATCGCATCCAGAATCTAGCTACTGGTCTCTACATCGATAATAAAGACCGCAAACAGGGTACGTTCCCATTTCATTAGCATTCTGTAGCTTTTTAATCTTTTCTTCACCAGGCGCAGGGACTCCTGTCAGTTTTTCATTATCTCAGTTCTGAGGATCTGTGACAAACGTGTCCTATAGGTCATTGTTCAGACTCTCAACTACCCGTTGAGTTCGAACCAGGAGGTACTAAGCCACTTTCCCCCTACCCCGTGAGATTCAAACGTGATTTCGGTCCCTCCAGTGGAGGATGGATTTGTTCGCTGGCAACACTGCGACTTTGGAACAGTGGGATTGTTCTCAATTCTGTCGGTTTATTCCTACATGAAAGTCTTGCAAGGTCAACTGACCAATATGCCCCGGGACAGAACTTCCTTCTTGAACTCAACCCTACCACACAAACTGAGTTCCAGATTGTCCCTGCTCCAGGTGGATTCACGTATGTTGTTGTTATCCCCTCCGTCCTTGCCTTATTACGTAGTTCAATCGATTACTAGCATTTGCGGCTTTCCGGGAGGTTTTGGATGTCTAACGTCGCCTTCGACTCCCATTACTCAGGTACATATTTCTACCCCGGCAATTGGACTTGATTGATTGAGTTTGATTATGTCTTCTAGATCCCAGTCCAGAGTTTCACAGGTGCAGACAACCAAATTTGGATGTTCCATCCCATTTAAGTACTATCTGTATTGGGAGATGGAAGCTCTCCATGAAACGAAGGGGACTACGGGAAATGTCTAATAGGGTGGTGGAGTTCCGATGCAAGAGATCGGCACCACTGTCGTCGTCTTGAGGCTCTGTCGTACTACATACAGTAATTGCAATCTGACAGACATCATTCAGTACAGAGTGGTTGCTGTTCCGCTCCATCAAGACCTATATGTGCACTTCAAGATACCTTTCTAGCCGCCAATTATCAGCTTCCACTTCACTGCAGGACCTGAAGACCCAAACCAAAACTGAGCCTCGCTATCTCTTTTATGATGGACGATGCAGTCTGAGCTGCAGTCTTTTGACCCTCGCATCATCTTGTTTGGAGCTCTCACAAGCGGCGTTTTACGCTAACCCCCGGAGTCGTGATACACACCGGCAGTTTCTGGACAACATCTCGACTGTGACGATGTACTGGCAGCCTCTTAACGATGCCATGAAACACGCTCCGATTCTCCAAGGAGACCTGCAGCGGCCGTCAGTGTAACTTCCATTCCCTTAGATGTGCTTGCAAACCAGATAGGACATCTCATCACGCCGTGGACATACCGAAACTACTACGTCCTCACAACCCGACTCTGTTGACATTGAACGCAGAGAGCTGTACATAACGCGTCACTTTTGGGTATCCACCAAGACCATGTCCGTGAAATGAATCCCTGCTCCATCCAAAGCTTCAAACTTCTAACAATAATCCTCTATAGCAAGCAATATATTCTAAACAAAGTAAGAAGGTATCCGATTATATGAACAAACATTATACAATATACTTGTCTACACTCTCGTTCATCTCGAGTTGACAATAATGGCCAAGCACCGCGCTCATCACCACCGAAGCTCAGTCCACATCAAAGGACCAAACACGATACAAGCTGTCCAGAACTACATCGAACAAAGCCAACCATTTTTGTTAATCATTACAAAATCGCGATAATTGAGAAGGTAGGGACTTACGACGGATATACTCTTCAACACCAGATATGGGTAGTCGTCGTACCCGGGTACGACCATGACGGGCTTTGATGAACCACGTTTAGTACGAGGGTATGGGTGGGTGAACATTACCCAGATGGAGTAGAAGGCGACGGCGAAGAAGTGGCGGAAGAGGAGAATTGGGTCAGGAACGATTCTAGAGGGAGTGGTGTCAGTTAAACGCTCAAGCTATACTAGAAAGGAAAAATAGGTTGAGGGTATGAAAGGGACTAGAAGACTCACCCAGAAAGAAGTGAAACGGGACCGTTGATACATTCACCACCGCGTTCAAAGTATTTGAAGCAGCCTATCCGGAGGACTTCCAGATATTCATCTATGGATGGTTACCGGTTAGCCCGCTCCATAAAATAAAACTGAAGACGCCGACTGGAAACATACCATCTGCACCAAACAAGTCATACAACGCAAGACTTAAGATATTCACCGTCGACGCCAATGCTTTTCTCTTCCAATGCCACTTATGCAAAACCCTCGCCATCTCTTTCCAATTCGATAAATCCCGAACTCCCGTCAACAAATCTCGTAAAATCACCACGTCATTGAATGCCACCATCATGCCACCACCGGTCAACGGATGCCGCATGTTCCAAGCGTCGCCAAGGAGGAAGACACCTTCCTTTGTGTGATGACCACCTTGTTCTGCTGGTGGAAGGAAGGAATTGGGCATTCGTCGGAGACGGTCTTTGTCGAGTGCGCGATGGAGGGCGAGGTGGACCGATGACGGAAGTTGGGGGAGGATTTCGTCAATGATGAATTGCTGCAAAAGCACGATTACTATTGGACGACAAATAACGAGAAAGAAATTGAAGCTTACTTTAAGGTCATTAGGAAGAGGTGCCTTCACATCCAGGAGGATGCGAGTTTCGTGTGTACCAATTTGATACAATAGAACGGGACCGTGACCTTTGACAAGTACGACCGTTCCGTGTTTGTCAATAGGCAACTGAATATCCTCCAAGATCAAACCGACGAAATGGCTCTTCAACGCTGGCTTAATCGCTGCTTGACCCATAACCGAACTCCGAAAGTTGGAAAAGCAACCATCCGCGACGATAGTCAAGTCAGCAAAGAAAGGCTCTTTCTCGACCGCACCCTCCGCTTTACGCGTCGCCCGAACACCCAAAATGCGTCCTGTTACCGGACACTCAATTAACTCGGAAACCGTGGCTTCTATCACCTCTACGCCTGGTGCTTGTTTCGCCTTGCTTCGGAGAGCTTGGATGAATCGACCGTGATGGAAACTGCGACCTTCTCGAGCGTCTGGATAAGGAATGTGTACAGGTTGACCATCGAGAACGACAGCGTAGCCACGGACGGGTACAGCATCAATACCGTCCGTGCACGATTCCAGACCGAGCTTTTGAAGCGCGCCATAACCTCCAGGTTGTAACAACTCGCCAACGATACGGTCAGGCTCAGCAAGTGAACGTTCAAGCAGGCAAATTCGGAAAGGTTTTTCGTTGAGTCGTTTGGATGTGGAAAGAGCGTGTGCGAGGGCTGCGCCTGCCACGCCAGCACCGACGATGATAATGTCATAAGGAGTGGACCACATTGTTGTTTCCGAGTTCGACATTATTCTACTGAGAGGTGGGCGTATTTGAGGCGTCCGTCGGTGTCGTCTGGGTATGTTCTCTAAAGTCTCGAGACCGGTCGAGACGGCGTAAAGAATGATTTGGACGACGAGGAAAGGAAGACTAGACTCGAAAAAGTCAGACCATAATCTTGGGTCACACCATTATTTCAGAAATAGATTCGCACGTGAAACCGCCCATCACTCAAAATATTAGTTTTCCCTCTACATTGGTTACGATCGATCGGAAATGTTGAATTATACAGGTGGATTCGACCAGTCAGGGCTGCTAGATTACAGCCATGCCGTTTACCGAGCAAGATGTGCAAGGACACCTTAGTGGGGGGGTCATAACAGACTGGCAAGTCCAACAATGAAACTATGGTAGCCACTGCGAGCGTGATCGGTGGTAACATAGATTCAACTCCTCCCCAAATTCCTGCCTCATCTCCGAAAACATTTCCCTCCACCAACGCATCTCTTTCCCGAAAGCACCCTCCCAAGACTGGTCTGCTACCTCCATAACATGCTTCTCCATATCCTCTATAGGAATTGCCGAGTAGCCCTCACCAACAAAAGGTTTCGTGAGCGTGAAATGAACGATTCGTTGTTCGTTTTGCGTCTCCTTCCACATCCTCCCTGCCCGCCATTTCATAGCGAGGTTCCCATTGTAAGCATAAGGTAGGCGAATGACTTCATTGCCAAAGTAAATATTCAAGAACGCCTGGTCGGCTTCCCATCGTGGATAGTCGGCGGTATAAATCTTGGCCACCATATCTTCATACACGGCAGTAGATGGACGAATGTACATAATCCCAGAATTGAACCCGAGCGTAAACCCTCTGTCATCTAGATAAACGTCGGGAACGGCGGCGAAGTTGAAAGGTAGTGAAAAAAGTTCGTCGAAATTCCTCCGCACTAGTGTATCAGCGTCGAGGTATACGAGGCTTTTGACACCCTTTTGATCGAGTTTCCACATGTGCAGTTTTGTGAATGTTTCTGCAAAGTGTCCGTTTACGCCTTCTGGAGGCGCGATACGAGGAACCGGTTGAGGGACGAAACCCGATGCGGTTGCGACGCAAAGAGATGTTTCAGATACGAACTCTGGGAGATAGAGCATTATGAGGCGGGCAGTGATATTGGCCTTGCGGATACTATGCCCGAGCGTTGCTACCGCAGAGGCAAAGGCATCGTCTGTGAGGACGGTCACAACGGCGTGTTCTTTTCGATTGAGAGGAACATGCCCCCATGCTTCATCAATTACAGGAAAATGGTGTCTGTGGGTGAATTTTCAGTCATTGAAGGAGATGAAAATTTTGTCAAACGACCTGTTGACTTACAATGCCTGGTACCTGTCTACTGGATTAGGTCTAAGATCTGGGTTATGGGGTTGAGGTTCGGGTTCTGGAGGGGGAACCGGCGGAGGGGCTGATGCGAAAATAAAGAAAAAGTTAATGCACAGAGAGGCGACAACAAGGATCGACGCTAGCAATTTGCATGGTCTAGCCATGCCCGACCGTTTGAATACCTTCACGGCAGAGACAGAATCGGTTGGAAGGAGTTCGTACGACCCTTTGTCACTTCTGCGAAATCGAGGGAACTGCATAGAGTCGGTTGAAGTACCGGTGGGTCTTGAGGTAAAAGTCGCTGAAAGCCTCGGCAGCAATACGATACTGGAAACGCAAGGTAACCAGGAGGTAGTATAATATGTTCAGGGCTAGACCCATATTCGTCCTGATAAAGATCACGAGTTACAGCTTTTAGCACATACCACCTACGGTCTACCATAGAGCGCGGTAAATCAACCCCGGATTTTGGTAGAACGCCTTCGGGCTGCAAAGGCGTGGAAAAGGTAAGTCTGTTAAATCCGAAGATATCTCGGTGTCTAAAGGCCGGTTATCTACGGGTGTGCCACGTCGGGTAATGTGAACCGTATGAGCCTTCCAATGTACTGTGGTCAATCCTTCCCATTAGTTGACCTCTTGAAGCATCCATTTGGTCCTTGAGAACCCCTCTGTGATAACGCTTTTGACAATCGCCGTTTAAGTCAAAGTTCAACAACAATTAGATGATCGGGATGAATGCACCTGCCAAGCCCTAGACCCATCGGCGCATCAGACGTCTGAGTTGAAATGTCGAGATTAGATTTGAATGGGAACAAAGGTTGTCCTCAATCCTTGAGACGTTCTACGGAGGGTCGCCCACAATATGATTCCTGCCGTATGAACCACAGCGCAGTCGTCGAACGAGTTCGGGGACTAATGTCGAGAGCGAGGTTTCAAGGGCATGTTATAGTTCCCTTATTACGTTCAGCTTCGGTTTCCCTTATATAACAAGGGAATATCACCTGCTTCACATCGTCAGAATATATGCTCTTGAACCCAATAGCGCGGCCAAATGATGCGAACAAAGGCGAATAGATCGAATAGCGAAAGAAATGAATGTTCTACGTACCTTGTTCAACAAATTTGGAGGCGTGGGAAGTTCGCAATCAAATTCCCATAAAGGTACAAGGTCTTCCCTATATGGTCAATCGCATCAATCCACGCTATGTCCTCCCAAAACCGTCTACGGTTGCCATGTTTGAACTACTTACCCCATTCTCACCTGGATGCTGATCAGATACAAGAACGGAGCTCTCGTCACATCTGTTTAGCAAGCCATCATGGAATTGAGCAAGTGTTAGCTTGACAGTGCCTCTGAGTTGGAGACATCACGACATACTACCTGCGTACTATATCGTAGTTCATTTGTCGCCCTTGAGGCTTCAGAATCTGACAACGCTGATGGTATCACGCCTTTTATTCACTCTTACTTGTGTCTCACTTCCTATGTGCCAGTGGAACACTGAGGGTAGATGCCAATGGGCTCAGTCAGTGACCCGTCGGGCATGCTCAGCTGACATTATTCATACACCGATGCCCTGCACTGGTTATCCTAAGTGGACGACTCACTGGAGATGCCCCGCAATGCCATTTATGAAGGTATGCTTGCTAAGGGCCACTGCTCTTACAAGCTGTGATGAATATCAGCCAGCCCCAACTCGGAGTAGCCATGTCTGCAACTAATGTCTCGTCAAATTTTCATAAATCTGTACAGAAATCAGTCAAATCTGTGACCATTCTTGACCCTCCATCTGGTGCCGCTTCTGTCACAGATTTAGAATCAAAGGCTGCCATTGTTACCGAAACTGAAATTCTTCAAAGATCACAAATGACCGACTTCCCTGATGGAGGATTGAGAGCATGGCTCATAGTGATGGGCATGAGTATTGTGTATTATTGGTCCTATCTAGCCTAGTAACAATTCTGCAGGCTTCTTTCAGCTCGTTCATGATGTTTGGGTTCCTTAATGCATGGGGTGTGAGTGTTTGAAGTTCAGCTATACTGCCAGAATGAGATGTTGACATGTTTTCCGTAGGTATTCCAAGCATACTATACCGAGACAATTTTGAGCAACACATCTCCCTCGACTATGTTAGTGCCACTATTTGTCTAATGGATGTTACTGATACCGGAATCCAGTGCATGGATAGGATCTGTTCAAGTACGATTATTGCACCTTTATTTTCGATATTGCATGTCTGATGTTTTTGTAGTATTGCCTCATTTTCTTGCCCGGTCCCATATGTGGCCATCTTTTCAACATGGGATACTTCAGAAGAATGATCTTCTGTGCCTCATGTTGTCTTGTTGCAGTGACTTTCCTCATTGCCCAATGCAAAGAATACTGGCAATTCCTCCTCTGCCAGGGATTCGCTGTCAGAGTATGCTTCCTTGCTGCATACTTATCACCCACAAAACCTCACTGTCCTCAGTTAGCTGCAGGGATGATTTTTGGACCGATGCTGTCTGTCATTGGACACTGGTTTCAGAAGAAGCGTGGAATGGCCCTTGGTTTCTTGGCACTGGGATCTTCAGTCGGCAGTACCATCTTCCCTATCACAGCTCGCAGACTTATATCTGCAGTCAGGTAAGCTAGAACACCTCGACATCTCCCACTATCTCACATTGCTCACTCCAGATTTCAATGGACCATGCGTGTCTTGGGATTCATACAACTTGCTGCTCTCATTGTGACCAACTTGACAGTTGAACGCAGGCTACCACCCAAAGAGGCCTCTGGTCCCTTCATCAGTCTTAAAGCTTTCCGATTTCTTCCATATGCAACATACTGCACTGCTACTTTTGTTGCCTTCCTTGGCTTGTATACAGTCAGTCTTTTAGAAAACATCCATCTGTCCCCTATCTGATAAAGTCATGATCGTACAGGTCCTGACTTTCATTGATATCAGCGCAGTTGCGGCTGGTATCTCGAACGATTTCTCATTCTATCTAGTCTCCATCGCGAATGCCTCGTCAGGGTTTGGACGTATCGGAGGTGGAATCCTAGCGGATAGATTTGGTATGTTGTAACATTCCGTGTTGGGTTTCGGTTCGAACCCGTTGACATTGTGCATCATATTAGGGCCTCTCAATGTCATGATTCTGTCCACATTTGTAGCTGCTGTATTGACATATGCCTGGCCCTTTGCAGCATCTAAAGGTGCTTTTGTGGTTATTGCCGTCTTATACGGGTAAGTAATTGTTCCATTTGAGCTATAATCTCTTATGGAATTCATGCAACTGTAGAGTCGCATCTGGCGTATATGTCTCCCTTCTGCCTGCGCCTGTCATGGCAATGGGACAAATGCACGATGTCGGTTTACGCATTGGCATGTCTACTACGATCCTTGCACTCGGTATCTTAGGTGGACCTCCAATTGCCGGAGCCATTAATCAGGCAACTGGTGGCTTCAAAGATGCGGGATATTATGCCAGTAAGCTTACCTCTGACTGTAGTGTTTATGGTGTTCACAACATGCATCTGTATATTAGGCTCTATTTGTGTATTCACCGCAGTGCTTCTTATTCTGACTCGACAGTTAGGTCTGAAGAAACTCCGAGGAAGATACTGAGCTAGGGTAACTCATACTTATCTTCATAACGAAAATTGGACATGCAGGCCTCTAGTAATTACTCGTTATGTGGAGAAATCGAATACATAGATGACTTCATCGTCTATCCTAGTCTGGCAGTCTTCGAGGGCTTCTCTAGAATATATGATCTCGGCTTCTAGCTACGCCCAGCTGCGCCCTTACCCCGTATGTCGGCAGAGCAGAATGCCTTCCGGGAGGCAGAATTGTGGAAGGCAAGTGAGCGGAAGCGGTGTCCTAACGCCCGAAGCTAGAGACGACACTACCTCTCAATCTACGAGACGAAATGAGATCAACTTTGAGTTGTAATGTGACCAAACAATAACGGACTCACGTGCAAGTTCCGTCGTTGCCAATCGGGCGATTCGTACAGTGTTGAAAACAGCTAGCTGTACGAAGCAGCCTGGTGTGTTTTCGGTTTGATGGTGGTTGAGTGTAGAGAGGAGTCACCTAAATCTTTGCCTCATGGTGGTTGCATAGTGGGTTTATTCCTTCCACGACACGTTTGAACGCAGCAGGCGCTGATCAAGAAAGGAAATCTTCCGCCATCAAAATAACATATCAAGCGTTCCTGTCGCCTGCAGAGCCGCGGTCACTTGAGCAAAACGTTTCAAAAGATGTTTTCCATCGTGCCGGAAATCCGCCCATGGGCTCATTCTATGCATAAAACTGGGCTGGGATCATGTCCTTCCATTTATCCTGTCAGGTTGACCCACTTACTGGCGGCTCCACCACTTCGAGCCTTCGCACTCCCGTTTTCGTTCCCCAGGCCGCGGCGACATAATGGAGAGTGCAAAGACACCCATTTCTTCAACAACTCCTACCAAGACCTTGGAAGATGTCGAGAAATGGTCCTCATCGGATGAAGTGCGTATCGAGGCTGCAAGTTACATTGTGGATTCTGAAGCTGAGAAAAGGTTGGTTGGTCCGGACTAACATCCAAAACATACTCACATCGAATATCCGGATTAGGCTAGTGAGGCGAATAGACATACGCTTGGTGCCGGCCTCTATGATCATCTATTTGCTGTGCTTTCTCGACCGCTCTAACATTGTATGTTCTATTGAGCGTTAAGAACAAATGCAAACGTTCTGAATTCTATGCGCATTACAGGGCAATGCGAAGCTCTTGAATAGTGCTACCGGAGACTCCCTTGTGCAAGTGACACACATGTCGAACCAGCAATATCTCGTGGCCCTCATGATCTTCATCGTCTCGTACACAGTCTTCGAGACCCCATCCAACTATATGCTCAAGAAGTTTCGACCCTCTCGTTGGCTCGCGTTCCTCATGTTTGGTTGGGGCACCATGACAATGATTCTAGGTGCTGTCAACAACTTTGGCGGCGTAGTTGCAGTGAGATTCCTCCTTGGCGCTTTTGAGGCTGGCCTGTTCCCAGGAATGGTCTACTGTTTGACGTTTTGGTATAAACCGGAAGAACGTGCATTAAGAGTGGCGCTCATATTGGCCTGTGCCACTCTAGGCGGTGCCTTTGGTGGTGCGATTGCTTTCGCTGTGGGACATATGAACGGCGCACACGGGTTACAGGCATGGAGGTGGCTGTTTATCATCGAAGGAGCTCCTTCCTGTGCAGCTGCTATTCTCACGTACTTCACCTTCCCCAACTTTCCCGAGACAGAGACATGGTTGTCGCCCGAAGAACGTGAACTGGCAATCGAGCGTATCAAGGGTGTTGCATCACTCGGCCACCACAAGATCGTGTGGAAAGAGGCAAAGGATACATTGACTGATTGGAGGTTATACCTACACTATCTCGTGTATATCTCTATATCTGTGCCTTTCTCTAGCATCTCTCTGTTCACTCCGACGATTGTGTTGGGACTGGGCTATGAAGGACTGAACGCTCAGCTCTTCACTGTACCGCCATATGCCATTGCATTTGTGGTGACCGTGATAGTGTCCTGGTTCTCAGACCGACACGAAATGCGTTCCTGGGGGACCTTTGTCTCGCTTGTCATTGCTGGTGTCAGCTTCCTGGCGCAAGGAAAGTTTCAAAACCTGATATCTACCAACTCAACACTAACGACATTCCGTTACAGGTGCACTATCTCCTACGTCCTTCAAGGCACGATACGGCCTACTCTGCGTGGCTGTGTCTTTCTCATTCGCAAGCATCCCGCCACTTTTGAGTTGGCTTACTGCTAACCTACGGAACACTGGAGCTTCGACACTTGCTGTTCCTCTGAACGTCTCCATTGGACAATTTGGCCAAATTATCGGTAAGTGTCGCATCGCATCTACGAAAACTCATGAAACCTAAATGCACGTGTACAGGTGTGTACATATTCAAGACATCGGAAGCCCCAGGATACCCTACAGGGCACTATACCAATGCCGCTTTTCTGATTGAGGGCGCTATCGTGGTACTTATCCTCCGATACATATACATCCGGCGCAATAAAGCGTTAGGATCGGGGGAGCGAGAATGGAGACTCTAGGTTGTCGTACCTTTGACTTGGCATCCCAAATGCGCCAAATGACACAACAGATACACATGCCTAATTTTGATTAAATACGTCCGTTCACGCTTAAAAAGTCGTGCCAACGACAAGCATTACTCAACCGTTCCCTTGTACGGGTATTACTCGTCAACGCACTATCCTCTGAAACAGTCAAGAGCGAGGATTGAAGCGTACAAAATGGTATGTTAAATGATCACTCATTGTCGTCTGCGTAGTATCAGCATTGCGGGTCGTCCTTAATCTGGTTGAGTCCTGCGAAGCGAATTGCTTGAGGGAGCCAAAGGTAGTCGAGCACTCAGGACTTTGAAGTGGGTGTGTCGTCGACTCGATGCCTTCCTCTTTTACAACGCTGACGGCAACTATTCAAGGTCAACAGACATGCACTAACAACTTTCCAACATAACCTTAGATTTCTCTCCTCATCCACGGATCGCGGTTTATAGAGAGGGTCTCTCAATGGCCTCAGACTCAAAGTTGACTTTAATGTACATGATCTCATTAACGAGTTCTAAGTTTGGATCCTCCTGCCAGTATGGCAGGAGCATTTCGGTCAAGTTGAAAGAGAACAGCAAGCATTCAAACTTGAAGCCAAATCTGTACTGATTTGTAGCACCTAGTCAAACGACCCAATCACAAACTCTGGTCGTTATGATGTTATTGAAGGATAAGTGACAACACTCAGTCTGCATGAATAGTGGATCACTCACATACTACACGGAGTCTCCATCGCAGGCGCTCAGATTTCACAGGACCTTCAAGCAGCCAGACCCCATGAGCAAGGCATATCATAAAGATAGTTCACATTGCCCCTAAAGGCCATCCATGGACTAATATTACTTCGCGTGGAACTGGAGTGGTGACCTATAATCTGTTTCTGGGCCGGTCGACCTGTGTACAGATCATCGTCAACTTCGTCCGCTCAAGTTGTCTCTCTGTTATCCTCCAGACTACGGTTGTGGAGATATCATGGAGAAAGCGGAAGCTCGTATTCCTTATCCTTCTTCTATCAAAGTTCTTGACGACGTAGAGAAATGTTCTTCAGCAGAGGAAGCACGGCTTGAAAACACAATCTACGTTGCGGATCCTAATGCTGAGAGAAGATTAGGTGCGCTCGCTACCCTCATTTTTTGTAATGAGCATATCACTGGAACTAGGTCAGTGAGACGAATAGATATACGTCTGCTTCCGGCCTCCATGTTCATATATCTGCTTTGCTTCCTGGATCGTTCCAATATCGTGAGTGCTCTATACACATCCGGGAGTCGAAGTGTATGGCTTGAGTACCGGATATACAACAGGGCAATGCGAGACTGTTGAACAGCGCAACTGGGGACTCACTGGCCCAAGTAACTCAGATGTCTGAACAGCAGTATCTCATCGCCCTCATGATCTTCCTCATCTCGTACACAATCTTCGAAACCCCATCCAACTATATGCTGAAGAAATTACGACCAAGTCGTTGGCTTGCATTCTTGATGCTCGGTTGGGGTGCCATGACCATGATTCTAGGTGCCGTCAACAATTTTGGAGGCGTAGTCGCAGTGAGATTCATTCTTGGAGTATTCGAAGCAGGCCTCTTCCCCGGGATCATATATTGTTTGACATTCTGGTATAAACCCGAGGAACGCGCATTGAGGGTAGCATTTATACTGGCTTGCGCTACTCTGGGCGGTGCCTTTGGCGGAGCGATTGCTTTTGCAGTGGGCCATATGAACCGAGTGGGAGGCCTACAGGCGTGGAGATGGTTATTTATACTGGAAGGAGCATCTTCATGTGCCTTTGCCGTCCTGACCTTCTTTTTCTTTCCTGACTTTCCGGAGACCGAAACATGGCTATCGTCTGAGGAACGTGAATTGGCCGCTGAACGCATCAAGGGCGTCGCTTCACTCGGTCATCACAAGATCACATGGCAAGAGACAAAGATACACTGACCGACTGGCGGTTATACCTGCACTACTTCGTATTTGTCTCCATTTCCGTACCCTTCTCGAGCATCTCGCTGTTCGCGCCAACCATCGTTTCCGGTCTAGGCTATGAAGGCCTCGACGCACAACTGTTCACTCTACCTCCATATGCACTTGCATTTGTAGTGACCGACGCGGTTGCATGGTACTCAGATCGACAAGAGAAGCGTTCCTGGGGAACCTTCTCATGTCTACTCCTTGCCGGTATCAGCTTTTTGGTGCAAGGTATGTTCCAGAGCTTACTCACCGACTTCCGATTGACGATGGCGTCCACAGGTGCCCTTCCACCAACATCCTTCAAGGCGCGGTACGGTATGCTCTGCGTCGCTGTGTCTTTCTCTTTTGCCAGCATCCCCCCACTTCTCAGTTGGCTTATGGCCAACTTGCGAAGCACTGGGGCCTCGACGCTTGCTATCCCCCTGAATGTCACAACTGGACAAATTGGACAATTCATTGGTAAATGCGCCTTTCGGGTTAGTTGCAGAAATCAGTATAACTGAACGGTTGCAGGAATTTACATATTCAAGGCATCAGAAGCTCCAGGATACCCCACAGGACACTATACCAATGCCGCCTTCCTCATTGCGGGTGCGGTCGTTGCGTTAATGCTTAGACGCGTATATATCCGTCGGAACAAAGCGTTGGGACCTCAAGACAGGGCTTGGCGATTGTAAGATGGTGGTCAATTTGGACGCAGTGCTCGAGGTGATATTCTGCAGCCCCTTTACTCGATCGCCGCCCTATCGACTTACCTTTTAGAGTCTCTTCATTCCGGTTCATCCAAAAGTCAAGGAGTGAGGGTTGTAGCATTGCGTCCTAATCAATATTATAAGTGTATAACATGTACGACGACCATATATAACGAGAATGGGCGCAAACGACACGGGTTCTGACTTCCAGTCCTTCACAGGACTGAACGTGAGAAGTAGCAAGAAGGTCCAGTTGTGGAGATGCACGGAGATAAATATGGATGACAATCCGTTCACATCAGGCCTGCTGCAATGCTACCCATTTGTGCCGCCATCTCGGGATAGGCTTTTAGGAAGTCAATTTGAGACTTCGTGGCCTATGAAAACACGTCAATCCTCGACCTGACCCTCAGATAACAGTCGGAAAGAAAACCTACAAAGTGATACGTGAGCGCGCCCAAAAGATCGGGCTCGCTCCTCGTAATTTCTGCTTGTCTCTTGAAGAGCTGTGACCCCTCCTCGACCCGGTTGGTTTGCAAAGCAAGCTGAGCAAGAGATCCAACAGCCGGTTCACATTCGGGGTCAATCTCAAGAGCTTTCTTACACAGCTCTTCGGCAGCAGCTACATCTTGCTTGGCTTGGAAGATCGTCAGGCCCTTATTGACCATGGGCAGTACATTCCGCGCTCTAGGCCTGAAACAGATTTGAGCATGAAGGGAATTAAATCAAGGATAATAAAAAGAAAAACTTACTTGGCAAGTTCAAGCTCAATAGCACGATCAAACTTGTCGATAGCGTCATCATAGCGTTGTTGGTCCAGGAGCAGTTCACCGCTATGATGCTCAATGATTGATATTGACCCGCCATTGTCAGAATTAAGACATACTAGTAGTTTGCAGGCTCGCTGCGATCCGGGAACGCTTTCAAAGTCCTTCGGAAGGTGGCCATTCCGTTAGCGATATTCCCGGCCTTGTACTGAGCAACGGCCAACTGGATATGGCTGAAAACAAAGTTCTCATCCAACGCAGTCGACTTGGTGTAGTCCGCCGCAGCCTTCTCAAACTCATTTGTGATAAAGTACACTATAAAATATCATTAAATTGACTAGTACTTCTTCAATGATGCAATGTTTCGGACATACCTTGGCCCCGGTGATAGTAAACATCAGGATCATCAGGATTTTGCTTGATAGCTTCGTCGAAGCACTCGAACGCTTTGTCTGAGTCGCCCTGCTCCATGTACACACTGGCAATCTTCACCCAACTCTGAGTGAACGAAGGGACGACTTCAACAGAGGCCATCAAGTCATCTTTGGCACCAGTGACGTCGCCCATGAGGAACCTAGAGGTCACGATTAGGTCAATTCAGCATCCACATGGCGACCGGTGCGACGTACTTGTAGCTGCCTCTCAGGTTCAGGGCCTCTGCTTTGCCAAGATCGAACGAGATACCCTGCTCTAGGGCCTCGTTGACAAGTGTCAGTGAGTGAATGTAATCGCCAGCCTGAAGCGCCTCTAGTGACTTGATGAGAGTTTCATCGCCTGTCGTTCGATTCTCCGGCAGCGTAGGTAAGGGTCCTGCACGATCGTGGATCAATGGATGAACGGTCAAATTTCCTTGATAATGCTTACTTGGGCGGAAAGCGCCAAAGTACGCTGAGACGAATACATCAGAGGGCAGACGAGGTTCACGGGTCTAGCAACTGCATCAGCGCAAAATTCGGGACTAGAGGATGAATGCGACGTACCGCAAGAATCTCGTCTGCTTTTTGTCGGGCTAGCAGTTTCAACACACGCTCCACGTTATCTTGCATTCCGCGAGTCTGGAACTTATCCAAAATGGCAGCGGAAGTGAAATCTGAGAGTAATCAATGAAACATATTATTGGTATATTGAACAAAGACAGCATACCAGCAAGAGCTTCCTCATATTTCCCTTGTGCCTCCAAAGCCGCGCCTCTCCTATTTAAAGCCTTTACATACCGCTTGTCAAGCGCCAAGGCTGCAGTACAGTCCTCCACGATCTTTTCCTGGTCAGGAGGGTCCATGTGGACATAACCTGTGGTCATATAAGCCAAGCATAAATCAGGCGCAAAGACGATACGAACATGCGGCACGATTCGAGTAGAAGACCGGTTCCGGTGTTGGCGTGACCTCGATGGCACGGGTGTAGAGATCGGCAGCGCTAGAGTACTGCTTCGCCTGGTATGCCGAGTTTCCCTTTGCTTTCAATGATGCTGCAGCTTTTGCACGCTCCTATATCAATGGTTTCACATCATGTTCAAACCGAAGGCTTGAGTACGACTTACCTCAGTCGACATGACCGCGATGCGTTCCGCTGTCAAAGGAGTATCATCTAAAACATACTCCTGTCAGGATAGGTACAGTACAACTAAGCGAGATATATACCCTCTGGGACCTCCTGGACCTTTGGCTCGATCTCCTCAAGAATGGGACGATCAGCATCCTTCGCCGCCTTCCGCTTCTTGGATTTGTTTTTCTTCTTCTTCCGCTCACCCTTCTCTGCGTCTGGCGCGCCGCCGCCCCGTGACGTCGACGCAAAATATACACCGGCACCAACTGCAGCGACGGCGACGGCTGCACCAACGATGACAGCCTTCTTGTGTTCTGAAACGAACGACGAGACGCGGTCGACGACGCCTGCGGACGACTCTGAGGCGGACATGGTGGAACGGTGCAGAGGAACGGTGCTCTCGTGAACTGACAGAGTGCGTTGACCTCAATTTCCAGCGTCTGGCGGACGAAGCCGGCCGGCATACCGGCACTGACCCACGAAGCTCCCGCTTTCCAATTTAGGACACGCATGACCGCATTTGGTAACCTGCCCTCCAAAACGGGTCGGCCCAAATTCTCAGAACGCGACCACCATCTTCTCGCTTGGCAGAATGACAGAACATACCGCATTTTCGTCATCTGGCGAAGACATTATAGCAAGCACAATTGATGTAGCACCCGACGGTCCTTCATATGTTCGGTCAGAGGAAGATTTTCTGGACTACTATGATATCGAGCGAACTGTCTTGGAGATTCAGAAGGGGGATTACAGACGGGTACGTTTCCTTCATGCTTTCCTTTCAAAATTATATTTCTGATAGCTGGTGGTTACAATAGATAGCTTTACAGTTTCCTGATGAATTGTTACACGATTCTATGCCCATCTTCCGATCGCTCAAGCGCCACCTTGGTGAAGGCAAGGAACTCTACGTCTTGGCAGACACATCATATGGCAGGCAGGATAATACTTTCTAGCCAAGTTGCTGTACTTAACATTGTAACCCTCTATATAGTTGTTGCGTAGACGAGGTTGCTGCTCAACATGTGGACGCAGACGCCATGGTTCATTACGGACATGCATGTATGAGCCAGTACGTCTATTCAGACCTAATATCGGTTCGCAAACACACTGTGAAATTTTATAGGACATCTCGACTTCCGGTGATCTATGTCTTCGGGAAAAAAGAAATAGATACGGATGATTGTACGGCGAAACTACTCGCTGCATTGAAGGAATCTTCAACACAACGTCAGGGTATCATGCTACGATTCGATGTCGCCTATGCTCATCGTGCTGGTACGTAAGAGCCAAAATAAAACTGTTTTCTACGTTCCCACGTGTCTCCCACAGACAAAATCATGTCAAGACTTCGAAATGCACTCGAGCCAACAACGCGTCTTCTATACACACCCAGTCCAACAATATCATCACCCACCGACCAAACAGAGAAGTCATCCCAAAATATCTCAAATGGGGCTACCCCAAAGGAAGAGACGTTGAACAGTCAAACGGAGAACGAACCAGACTTCAACACCGTCTTGTACATTGGAGGCGAAAGTCTCACACTAACTAACCTCTTGATGACACATTCATCCTGCGAAGTCAGACGATTCGCATGAAACCTCGTTCGTCGCGCTCATAATGGTCTATTAGGTTTACTCGTACGATCCCGTCTCAAAAACAACTCGCCTGGAATCAACACGCGTCAACAAGCTCCTGATGCGACGATACGCGACGGTCCAAAAAGCGAGAGACGCAGACGTATTCGGTATCCTAGTGGGAACTTTGGGTGTAGGCAAGTGGTCTGGTTTTTCCTCTCAAACATATTCTTCAACTGAGTATTCTTCACAGCATCATATCTGCCTCTAATATCGCACCTCCGTTCCGTTCTCACCAAAGCACATAAGAAGAGTTACACCATCAGTGTCGGAAAACTCAATCCAGCGAAGCTAGCAAATTTCTTGGAGATCGAGTGTTTTGTTCTAGTAGCTTGCCCGGAAAACAGTGTGATCGAAGCGAAGGTTCGCTCTTCCCCATCACAAAGCTGCACCATGGAAACTTACTTTCATGTATTCATTCATTCATCATCGTTCTAGGAGTTCCTAAGACCAATCGTTACTCCCTATGAATTGGACATCGCACTCCAATCTGAGCCTACTTGGACTGGAGAATACATCTTGGACTTCAAGAAGATCCTAGAGTCCGAACCAAAATCCTTGCCAGGTTAGTAGCGTTATTTACCATGCTTTCCTACTGCCATCTCATCTGTATCACCAGAGGGGGAAAATGAGGAAGAGCCAGAAGATCTCGACCAACCTGTGTTCTCACTGGTCACTGGAAAATATCGCCATGCAAAGCGTTATGGAAGTAAGACTGCGCGCACTTTCTATATGTTTTCAGCACAGAGACTGATGTATTTCTCAAGCAGCCCAGGCGACTGCAGAGCACGACCAAAAAGAATCATCTTCTGCCATTGTCTTGCGAAATCAAGATAATGCAGTCACTGTGATGCCGGATAGTGCAGCAGGTGAGTTCCGCAAAGCTCCATCACGGGTTTCCCTCACATTGACGTCGACATTAGGTCAATTCCTGCAGAACCGGACGTTCCGAGGTCTCGAAACCAGGATCGGAGAAGACGCCCCCAGCGTCCTCGAGCAAGGTCGAAGTGGAATAGCGAGAGGGTACCGGGACGATCACCAGTCGTAGACACGCCTCAAGCGTACATCTGAACACTAGGGCGCGAGCCCCCAAAGCGTCTGCAATGTAGCCATATAAAAGAAAGTCCGTTATCTCTATCCATATAAGCATAAGTATAAAGTGCAGTGGTATGTAATGCAAGGGGATGTGGCATAGTGATGTGAGAGCATAGGATACGACCATTATTTCTGAACCTACACTATCAGGTACTTGTACACTCTTCGAAAACGTCTTAACTTTCATCCAATTATCACTAATAATGTCCTGTACACGTCATGAGCGAAAGGCACAAGGGAACATTTTTATCGTTGCGCTCTCCTTTCCTCCACGACGGCATCGACCCACTTGAGTACCACAGTCTCGAGCATATCCTCCCACCCGGGATCTAGTCGTGCCACCACGGGTGCGTCGAATAGGATCGGTATCTCACCTGTCGGGAACTTCTGCATGGAGGGCGATGGTGATGATATAGGTGTGTTTCCAGGTGTGTTCAAGGCCGATCTGGATGGGTTTGGCGTGATGATAGGTATCATGTACCGCAGCTTCAGCGCCCTACAAACAGGCATGTATATAACGCATGTCGGTTGTCAAGGCTTGAATGTGAGATGAGACAAGAAGTATACTCACGCAGACCATAGTCGCAGATTATCTGTTCGCCTGAACGTCCAACCTTTCTTCGCCCTCTCACGTTGTTCCTGCGTATCACCTTCGACTTGTTGGCTCTCTAGCATGGCAATGTCATGTATCGCGTCCTTGCTCACGTAACCCCATGGTTTGCGAGACCGCCGGACCCCAACGTTATAAGCTATACACGGCAATTGACCAGAGGCGAGACAGGTTAAGAAAGCTATTCGATCGGATGATGAGGATGGTAGCAGGGGTTGTAGGGATGACGGCAGAAGTGCCTGGAGGAGCGCATAGGCTCGCGCTTTCCAATTTCTTCAATATCACACTGAATGCCACGCAGTCAAATTCGACTCACCAAGTGGATCATCTTGGAATGCCGATCGTCTTGCCCACTCTGGCAAGTCATCATCCTCAATGCTTTCCGTTTCTGACAGGGTTTCCATCTCTTCTGGTTCTTCCGTCACCATCATCGTCTTCATCGCATCTAACATCCCCGTTGATACCACTCTCCGCTTGCTTCTCGACCTAGTGGATGGGCTGTCCTGCACATCACCTGAACTGACCCTCCTGCTACCTTTTCCTCTTGACTTCATGCGTTCCCGTTCCCAACCTCTTTTGCCATCTGTCCTTCCACCGAAAAGCACCTGATCGACTATATCGAGATATCGTCCAACAATATCCTGCTCCTTGGAAAGATCTCCTCGTTTTATATCCTGGCGGTAGAGCCAGCCACCACCGAGAACTAGCCGTTCGTCCCAGCGTTCCTTAGCCTCTTCCACCGGAGCATGGTTCATGTCAAACCCACTCTCGTCGTCGTCCCACACTGGCACCGACCTCAGCCCACCACCCACTTGCACAAATGAAATAGAGGTGTCAACATCCGCATCCAGAAAATCTGGAGATGGTCCTCGGGAGTGATCACCCGAGCCTAAAGTCGACCCGGAACCCGAAGTGGAAGCATGCTCTGCATTGTCGCCATGATCACTTTGAGCATCGTAAGCGTCATCACATAGTGGCAGTCTTGATGACTCTTCCAAAGCGCGAAGAACGATGAGGACCTCTAGCGCTGCCGCACGTATTTGGCTCAAGGGGTCGGATGCGAGGTTGGGCTGTGAAGCTTGCCGTCTCAGTGGTTTAAGAGTTGGAAGTGCTTGAGCACGAAATTGTGATTGTTGAGGCGAAAAAGAATCATCGGGTAGAGACAAAAGGTAATTTCGTACAGATCGTACGGCGTGCGTCGTTGTCTTCAACATATCCAAAATATCCACGCTAGATGTCGATTTCGAAGAGCCGGAGATACTGAGTAGTTCTGGCTGATCCGCGCCATTGGGGAACCATGCTTTCTCAACAGCAGAGAGATCGTCTACAACTCCAGGACGTAGATTCTCGGGGTCAGTTTCGTATGTCTTGTGGTGAGGAGAAAAGACAGGCTGAACGATCTCTGGGACCACAGGTGAAGGTGGCAGAGCTAATGTGGGGATCCCCTGCAATGTAGCTGGCCGAGATTTCAAACTTGACAAACCACCAATGGCGGGTACCATGCCGCTATTGGGCTTGTTCAATAACGGACTGACAGGCCTGTCAGATTCGTCGACATTGGTGGCAAGACTTGGTTTACGCACTTGCTCTCCGCAGCGATGCCAGACTTTGTAAAGTAATGTTGGAGATGTTCTATACTCCCCAGAGCCATGACACTTTCCCTCTTGGCTGCACTCCTGCTAAATGGTTTCAGTGGTTTGTTGGACGAGTTCATGTTCGGGTAGAACGCGACTTGTCGGCGAGCTTTCTTGCCATTTGATGAGTCAATGCTCGCGTCTGGAGAACCAGAGTCAGACTGGGTATCCATGTAGCGTGGTATAGAAATCCAAGAGACGTGAATTGGAGAAAGAGTTCAGAGAGAGTTGGGAAACATGTACATTGTTGTTCGTCAAGTCTTCGATTCTCATCACTTGCTTTGATGCGATCGCCTTTTAGGGATTTTACATAATGAGGGCACAGCCACCTCAAGCTGGGGTGCTTCAATACAGACTGGGCAGAGCCGGACGGACAGAGGTTTTGTCTCTGTTCTTTCTCGTTTGCTCACGCTGGGCGCACAGGGTGGTTCAAAAGTTATACCAATACATGGTTATACGATTGGTGCAGATAATGTGCAAAGAGCCGAATAGTATTAACCTATTAAATTAAAGGTACGAGTCGCTGGAAATGGGGATCATTATTGTCTGGGTGTTGACGCATAGCATAGGAACAGTGGGCAATATGTCGACGGGGAGGAAGAAGTTGCTAAGACACTCAGCATCACGATGTCTTCTTAGCCTCATCTCCTTGGACTTTCCACACCCCTAGAAATCGGATTGGAAATGTTATCACATCAGTTGAGTGCGAAGTGGTATGCCATACCTAAAAAGGCACCAAGGCGAGACTGCATGTTAGTAGCCATCGCTGACACGCGCAACAAGCCGCGAACGACGGGTACCAAAGGCGGAAACAGAAGAGCTGCCAAGGCGTCGGGGTGATAAAAATCGTCATGTTCGGCTATGACATGAAGGTTTGAGTCCTCGTCGCTTCGCCGGAGCTTGAGATGGACCAGCAACCTAGAAAGTAAGATGTAAGGCCAAGCATCCTCCTAAACATTATACTGAAATGAAGAACCTCGCAGGAGCGGGATTAATAGGAGAGCATCGTAGTTGAAAATACTGCACAACTTCCACGAATAACTCGTCTTTATCTGCATCGTATGTCACACTGGGGACTTGTATCACGATTTTTGGCGAGAGAACGCGATATGCTCTAAAGCGACGGTCAACACCCTATTTTCGCATTTGACTGTGGATGTGGATAATCCTACTGGTATATTCCGAGTATGGCGTCCCGAGAATGGGGACCTGCGGGAACTAGGCAAAACGGGTGACGAAACGCTGCATCCGGAGCGTAGGCCCTACACACAAGAGTCTTATAAGCACCAAGTCCGCAAGGTACGGTGTGTATGTTTACGTTTCGACTGCAGCTTTTTGCGTATCTGGATCCAGGGCGGCAGTCAAATTAATAATGATATCCACGATTTCTCTTGCAGGGTCCTGCATGGTAAGTATGTTCCGGAGAACTATTAGAACGTCCTGAGTATTGAAAATAGATGTGGCGAGATGAATAGCGAAACTTACGCAGCACGATTAAACTCGCGGGTGGAAGCGAAATGGAAGAGGGGATAAGGGAGTATATCTATTTTGAAATTCATCGTGATGTTCGAGGTGTCCGAATCAATGATCCTCCACTGACAGCTAGAGTTTGCGATTGACGTCATTGATTATGGCATGTAGAAACCGTCCAAAAGAGGTAGGTCATGTCGTTCGCGGCGACTCTCTTTACTTTCTCTCCGTCACTGGCCTCATCGTTAGACGGTAACGAAGACACAGCATTTTAAGATTATTCTTTTTTGAATACCAGATTACAGTATGTGTGTGAAGGACCTATATGAACAAGCAACACGACTTAGACTTTGTCCCTATGACTGATCGCCGGGAACCATGAAGAATACCAAGAGTGGGCGGTGAATTCTGCACTGTTGAACATCCTGTATAGACTTCCAATGTAGCTGGGAGGTCCTATAAGGAAGGTTTTAGGTCAGTGCATGTGTGAAGGCTAGCCTTAAGCATGATGGACATTGACACTGGCAGGATTTGGATGGATGACAGCCTACAATGGCAAAAAGTGGGCCCAACTGGGATTCGAACCCAGGATCCCTTGCAATCGATTCAATGCCCAAAGCAAGTATCTTACCTCTAGACCATTGAGCCACCGAAAATTGGCAACTATGATAAAAAATTCTAATAAATGTCAACTTTCCAGACGTATCCCGGATTCCCGGCTCCCTTGAACCTTTGCAAGACTTTCACGTTGATAAGCATTGAATGTGCTGGTCTAAGCACTCGGTATCAACCACAAATTTCTACAGTCGTCTCGCGCTTCTAAGTATTAAACTCAGCCTATGGTGCCAAAATTGCCCGGATGTCATGTCCTTGTCTGAGTCAATTAAGATGACTGTTCGTGCCTTCTGTCCCCTTCAGCTCGGCGCCGAGTATCATGTCCTTGGTTGCCATGAACTCTACGTGAGAGAGTCGTCTCTACTTCAAGTCAATGGAGACCGCTTGATGAAGCCTTTCTACAAGTTCATGGGAGGTCCATGTACAGCGTTTGCATCTGGGTCCTGTAGTACATGCGTTAATCAACTCAGCCGTCCGGTAGATTCTATCTCAACAGCTGCTTCTTCTGCCACGGAGTCTCGCCCTCCCAATGTATATATAAGACCACCAGGATAGCAGGCCAATCACGTAAATGCCTTTCATGGCCTTGTCTCTCTTGCTGCAGTTGTCCGTTCTTGGAGGTGTGCTCTGGGCACTCCGCTCGGTATACATTCACTTCATCGTTCGATCTCCTCTGGACAATCTTCCTGGGCCGCCTTCGAAGTCGTGGCTACTCGGTATGACACAAGATTTGCTTCTGTCGTTGGTAATGTTGATTGAGTTGTGTTTAGGTAGCCTACCGCAGCTCTTCAATCGTTATGCTTGGGATTCCCACAAGGAAATCTTTCACAAGTATGGAGCGGTGTCCGTAGTGAGAGGCATGTTTGGGGTATGTACACGCTCACACGGAAAATAGCAATGCTCAACATATGTTTGTGCACTGTAGCAAAGAATGCTTTACGTCTTCGACCCGAAAGCTCTGCATAACATCATAGTCAAAGATCAATACATCTATGAAGAGACTCCCGTATTTCTGAAGTAGGTCCTACTCAGCTATAAACCTCAACATAATCACTCAACCGTTGTAGCTTCAATCGTCTATTCTTTGGAAATGGGCTGCTAGCCTCGCTAGGTATGTATGGGTTTTCATGCGGCTCTAGTATACTGACTATTCTGCAGGAGAGCAACATCGTCGCCAGCGTAAGATTCTTAATCCGGGTAAGTTTTCATATGGACATGCAGTTCTGGAAATAGGCTCTAATGTGATGTCGTCGATACAGTCTTTAATATCAACCATATGCGCTATATGACGCCGATCTTCTACCGAATCACGCACAAAGTAATGACCTATAACCAAACAAGGAGTTGATTTGAGCCACTGACAAGTTGTCTGGTAGCTTCGGGATGCGATTGCGAAGCAGGTCGATGAAGGCAACGAAGAGATTGATATGTTAAACTGGATGACGCGCACCGCCTTAGAGCTCGTCGGTCAAGGCGGTCTTGGGTGGTCGTTCGATAGCCTCGAAAAGCCAGAACTCAACACGCTTGCGGAATACTTGAAAGCTTTCGTGTCCGCATATTCTTGTACTTTCGTTATTCTCCTTTGACTGACCCAAGATGTTGTAGGCCGACAGTCAGCCCGTTGTTCCTCTTGATGCGCTTTATGCCTTTCTTCGTACGCTTCGGATCTCCTTCCTTGCGTCGTCGACTACTCGAGATGATTCCGCTCAAACGAATCAGGGATTGTATAGAGATCAGTGACGTCCTCGACAGAACGTCTCACGAAATTCTCCGAGCTAAACGGGCGGCCCTAGAGGCAGGAGACCAGGCTGTCTCTGCACAGATAGGCGAAGGGAAGGATATTATGAGCATTTTATGTGCGTAAGATGATCCGATCGAACTTTTTTGCACTAAATTTCTCTGTGCAGTGAGGGCTCAAATGTCTGCTACCGAGGAAGAGAAGATGCCAGACGACGAACTTTTGGGGCATATGTCGTGCGTGTCGTATTCTCCATAATTTACGTGATTCGTGATCTCATTATTGCACAGAACTTTTGTCTTTGCAGCTATGGAGACTACGAGTGGAGCATTAGCCCATCTTCTCCACCTACTGTCAGAACATCAGGACATTCAGGACAAACTTCGACAAGAGATTACTACCGCTCGTGATGGAAGGGACAACATACCCTATGACGAACTTGTGTCTCTTCCCTACATGGAAGCGGTCTGTCGGGAGTCCCTGCGAGTGTGAGTGATGACCTCTCATTTTCAGTTCAAGGAGTTCAACGAAGTCCCTCAGGCATTCTCCACTTGCAACCATTAACCGAACGTAGGCCCCTTCAGCAATATTCTTAATACACACTCAACTGCTAATTGCTACAACAGAACGACGCAAGACATTGTTATGCCTTTATCGTCACCCATTCGCGGTAGAGACGGAAGTATGATCACAGAAGTGCCTCTTCCCAAGGGTACCGATGTCATGGTCGGTCTATTGGGCTCGAACGTTAACCCTGCTGTGTGGGGCGAGGATGCCGAAGTCTTCAATCCTGAGAGGTTCCTCTCCCCTTTGCCAGATTCGGTCACGGATGCTCATGTGCCGGGTGTATACTCAAATCTGTGGGCTCCATACGTTGTATAGTGGCCTTCCAAGTACTAATTTTTTCTCGTAGTATGACGTTCTTGGGTGGAGGTCGTGCATGCATGTACGTCGCATCTATACTTTTTCTGTGTTGCTGTGATTGATGCCGTAAACAGCGGCTTCAAATTCTCACAACTCGAAATGAGTACGTCTTTGCCCGTCTACTTTGCTCCAACGCTAATATGTTCTTCACAAATATAGAGGTTGTACTTTCTGTCTTGCTCGAAAACTACAGGTTTGAGCTACCGAAGAACAAGGAGATTTACTGGAACTTCGGTGGTGTCCAGTATCCAACTGTGGGTCGAGTGGATGACAAGTCTCAACTGCCTCTGCGTGTCTCGTTGCTAAAATCAGGATAACGGTCGGACGGCACAGGCAGGACGGAGGAAGAAGCACATTGTCTGCTCATGCCTTGGTTTTCTACATGCAGTAAACAGTCCTCACGTCAAATAGCAAAGTCTAGTTGAATACTAACGGTCACAGAATTGGACACCACACTTAATCATACCACGTCAACTTTCGACCTAACGAGGTCCAGTATTTTGACCTCACGCCACAGTGTTGGAACCTTGGAAAACTATCTTAATCTGACCTTTTCATGTGGAGACCCCTATACTCGCAAACCGAAGATGAGCTTATACTTGGAATATGCTGCAAATCATGCCGTCTTTGATTCTACATCTCGGAACGGACTTTGGGGTACAAGTGATTCTCGTTCCACTGTGCCACTAGAGGCACTATTCTTGTTAGTTTGGTCCTGGCTGTTCACACTAGTACGTGGCAGTATTTCTGCGGATTCGGATGATGATGCGGGGTCTCAAATGAGGATAAGTCCTTTGCCCGTCTTGAAACAACGAAGTTCGGCCAGTCTTCCACTAGTCCTTTTTTGAATGTCAGTCCTCGGGTTCCTCAACGAGCTCTCTTACCTCCTTATCTAACGTGTAAGTACGGAAACTTAATTGTCTCGCGGACACGTTGAGACCGACGCCAATAGCCTCCTCACCATTGAACGTTCTTCATGGAAAGACCCTGCATGGCTGTGGCGATCTGAAGTTCCCCTGATATTAACGATTGTCATTTTTGAATGCTCATGAACTTAGTACTGAGCGTGCGCAAACTTGGCTTCTTCATCTTGACTACAGGATGTAAAGGGACGGACCTATTACGACATACTCCTGGGAAGAGGTAACAGTGCCTTAGAAACTGTTGCGTGAGCCTTTATATTCAGAAGCGCATCTATCATTCTATATTATGAGACCCTTGATCCACGCAAGGCACACAATTGTGTTACGTTCAACGACCCTAACTACGCTTTGGCAGCGCATAGCAGTACTCTGCCAAGAATATAGCAGGAACAAAGCAATCAGCCTCACGGAGGGTGTTGAGGCGCATGGGCGGCGATTAGGATTACAAACGGATATGTGGCGAATAAGTTGACCATAACGGGCCCACCATTCTTGACTAGGAAGTCGGTATGAATGCGAAGACATCAAGGATATCGTCTTCCCGGCTGTGAATTCCCTAGATACCATTTGCAGCGAACAACAACAAAACAAGTAGAAATCACACTGCTCGGGCACGGACGGATATTTACGCTGACTACAAACATAGCAACAATCCAGGACGAGCAGAGTAGAACATACAGAATCAGATCAAACGATATTGGCAACAGATGATGCGTCTACCGGAGACTGCATTTCATTTGAGTCCTAAAGCCCACTTCGAGAGATGCCATCCAGTCTTCACAAGCGAAGCGGTATCATAGGCAACAGTCTCTATGAGCTCGTCCTTGCGGCCACGAAGCCTCCACTTACGTTTCCAGATGGAGACATTTGAGCGAATGGTCTTCCATTGCTGCAGCGCTTCACTTGCGCTCGGTCTAACTGCTGGATCACGTTCGGTCATGGAAATGATGAATGGGACTAGGAAATCGACATTTGTATATTTCTGTTACAAGACAATATCAGGTGAGCGTTGCATATGGCTGGTAAAGAGTTCGGCATACCTGGTAGAATTGCTTTCGAAAAACATTGCCTATGAGGAATATATCCAGCTTAAATGGGTCGTATGGCACTTCTGCCGAGAGCTCTGGAGGTGCTTGATCACGGCCCAGATCTCCCACCACAAGCTTCTCCGGTGCGCTAGGAGGTATGTGAACTGAATACCCGAAATCCACGTAGAAGTATCGTACAGGCTTTGGCGCGGAAGAGCGAGATACATATGAGGCGCGACCATGAAATGATGGTTGAGCTGCCAAATTGACTGGGTGGAAACCCTGCGGATACATGGATGTCGCATCCATTAATAGGTTGCCCGAAGAACAATCTCTGCGAACAAGAGAAAGAATTAGAAGATCTGACAGTCATGCATGAAGGAGACCGACCTATGGGCAACGTCATGCTCATGCAGAAATACGAGACCCTGTCGTGCAGCATTAGTATGTAGACCGGAATGTGTCATAAAGCTGGGAACTACCTCCAATATCTGGTCTCCAAAATCAAGAAGTTCATCGACGCTCTCAAAGGCCGGATTATCTATAGGTCGCAAGAACGGCATGACTAGATAAGAAATTGACAGATCCTCATCGTCCTGAATCACCTCCAGAATTGGTACAGCATGATTTCGAGGATCCTGACGAAGTTCTGGAGAGGAAAGCATGGTAGCAATTTGTGTTTCAGTATCCCCTGTCCGAATTCTCTTGATATACACAAGTTTCCCATCTTCGATCCGCGTTGCATCTATTAATTCGGTCCGCAGCTAAGGCTTGCATGAGCGAGGCAAAATCTATCAAGCAAGAAGACTTACTGGAAGAGCGACACCATCTTCAGCATACATAGGGTGCTCTCCGGATGATCTCCAAGACGGTATCCAACTAGGCCGAAGTCGTGGACGAAACATGTAGCCACGCGATTCGAAGAAGGGCTGCCTGTCTCGCCAACGTTCCTCAAATTCATCCAGCGTAGAATGTCTCTCATCAGCGGTACGGCGGGGTTGAGGTTGAACAGACGTTGGGTCGTTATGGGATGTCATGGTTGCTCTGAATGAAAGCAAGGAGGGTGTCGTTAAAGTACAATAAACCCCATGGCAAATAGCGCCTCATCATTGTGATGCTTGCATATTGCCCAAATTGGGACTTCGGCAAAGGCCGCGTCTTGGACCTACATGGATCAATGGTGTCTTGCCTACATACGCTTGGGCGAATCGAGCAGACTCAGCGCACTGTCCCTTCTCGTCATCCCATCGATAGGGGCCCTATACGGTATTTGGTATGCCTCAGCAAGGAGGATCGGTCCCATACATGATCTTCTCGATAGTTCCTCTTGTCCGGGAAACTTGCATCTGAGACACACCCTGAGGCCCGAGGTGTGAAGCTTTGAAGATAGAAACATCCACCGATCGGCAGAAAGAGAGCAAGTACCTTTTATGACCATCGTTGTAGGCTTCGATCCGCATTTATTATATTTGCCTGAGGACCCTGATGCTTGGGAACATGCTGGACTATGTAAGGGTGGCGCCAATAAGATAAGAAGTCAGAACATTACGACATGTCACGTTTCAACCTACCACATTAGCAACAACACATGGTGCGTTCATCCCGAACTCCATTTCGGTCATATCGTCGACTTTATTTGATGTAAGCAGCAACCATTAATTCCCGCACCTTGTCGAAGATTTGAACTGTTGCAGCATAGCAAAGAGCTTGAATTACACGTCTTAGTCGAATATCACACCTGTATATACAAGAATTGCAATACATTTGATCCGTTTCATCTGTACTCGTCAGGTGTGACACCCCATCCTTGCATAATGAAGAATAGCCTAAAATGCCCCAGTTAGTCGCATGCGCCTTTCGATGTCCAGTGCAAGACAAGCGCCTACCACTTCAACCTATCCGGTCTAAAGATATGGAATAACAAAAGCCAAATGGCTATTTTCCAAACCAGTCAGCTTCAAGGTCAATAATTGAGGATAATTAGAGTGACGAACTGAGTTCCATGTACGTGAAGAATCCGAAAGCACCTCCCCTAGCACCTCGTTTGATGTACGAGATAAGTCTAACCCATAGCTTCATGTCATCAGTAGTCGGACGTGCGTTTTTGTCCATCAGGAGAACCAGAAGGATTCGCGTATCTAGATATGAAAACGTTCAATCAGACTTGATTCAAAAGGAAAGTTAAGGGTGGAGGTACTTACAGATGCCGATGTGGCTAGATGCACGTAAAGCGCAATTAGTGGATGAAGCTCAACGTTTTTACAACAACCTACAAGTGTCCACTGGAGGGAAAGATAGTCAATGAGCTTGGCACATATAGTTAAAAAGAGCAGAACAACGTACACGGTCCCGATAGCATTTTGATAAGACGAGTTCGTCATCAACACGGACCAATCCTCAGTAGAGAAGTTTTGCAAGTACAAATTCGGACGCTGTAGCAAACAACAATTAAATCAGGTTCCCTGCACCGAACAATATACAGAACACGTTTACGCCTACCTCGAAGCCCTCCGGGAACAAATCGACATACTTGAACAGATCAACCTTGGGCTTTTCGTATCCAGTAGCAAGCACGATGATATCTGCGTCGATCTATAATCGTTCAATGTCAGTTTTAAAGCTTCTCTTGAGGACGACACGGAATTGAAGCATACTTCGTTAATGTCGCCCTTGTCACCAGGCTTGCTCTCCCGTCCACGCACGGTAACTTTGACACCACGCTTCGTGAGACGTTGAGTATCGCCTCGTACGTATTGACATTTGCCTCTGCGAACATGGTCCAGGAATTCGTCATTGACGACCTAAACCACGACATTAAAGTATAAACCTTGAGCGAGGAGTACAGGCGGGCTCAGGAAATAACTCACTGGAGTTCCTTCGAACAGGCCAAGGTGAGCAGGAGCGAGGTCAGAGACACCATGGTAGTTGAACCATATGATGAACTTTTCCCAAATGAAGCTATGGACAATCGGTGAGTGACCGTATCTCTCGAAGAAGAGAGACTAGCTTACCTCAGTGGCATCTGTCGACCAAATGGTTGCGCGGAGATGAGGGTATCTATGAGTATATTCCTCGGGATGATCCACTAGAGCGATCGTGTCAGTCACCAACCGCCAAAACCGTTCAAACTTCACATTTCATGCATACCTTGTCCTCACGGGCGATCATGACAGTGCCCTTCGCACCCTTCGCTAGAGCAGTCTCAACGGATTCGACTCCGCTAGCACCACTCCCAATAACCAGTACAGTCTTGCCCTTTACAGCATCCTCATCGAGGCTATCCAACTCAGACGAATGAACGATGGGTCCCTTTGTGAACACGTCCTCATCAGTATCCTTCGACTTCCGCGCATGATGAGGAAATCCGTCATGCTTCACAGGCCTGGGTTTGTTGGTATGTAATTGAGGATCAGCAGATGGCGAAGTAGGAAACACTTCCTGTGGTGAAGGAAACCCAGCTTCCTTCTTCGCCTCTTGGTCATGTTCGACGCTCTTGGGAGGTTCATAGGTACCAAAGGTCCATGCAGTAGCTTTATATGCCGAACCCGACTTGTGGGGTTCTGAAGTGTGAGTATGGGTAGGGGCTTGAGTACCCTCGTGGTGATGTGCGTCTCCGGGGGTGGGGAAATTCGTGGCTTTCTTTTGTTCTTGATCCTGCCTGATGTATTGTGCCTGTCCGTTGTGTGTTGTGGTCCAAGCAGAGTGCTTCTGTGGCTCAATACCCTCGTCCCCTTGCGAACTTCCGCCGTCGGTGGGTTCTCTGCTAGCTTCATCATGTTTCTGCATATCATGCTCCTCTTTATGTTTCTTAGATTCCTCTTTCTTCTTCGGCATCCCCTCGAATTCTACCATTCTAGGTTTTCCACATGTGCCAACGGTTACTATAACAGCGTCGAAGACACCGTCGTCACCGTCGTTAATGATCCATCTTCGGTGACCGTATTGGCTAGGATCGAGCTTGGGGTCGTCGGAAACTCGGTTACCATTCTCATCATGTGTGATAGGACGAATAGAAGTGACGGGAGTTTTGAAGCGTGTACGAGGTTCTAACTGGTATTCCTTCCATATGCGAGTGACCTCTGCATGATCGTATGAAGAACAGGCATTAAATGTCTTATTGTGTAAAACGTACCGCTCAATATCTCATCACGCAATGGAAAGGCGCAACTCCAAAGTACGGCCGGGTGAAAGCGATAAAGCAGGGAATTCAGTTGCAGGCCAGATGTTTTGTTGACATGCGTCCAAATGCCGCCTGAATTGATAAAACGGTCACTTTCCATTTCTGGTTATCAAAATACCAAATTCGGATTCTCAATTCCATTTAGGGACTGTCCGTTAACTTCACATTCTGTGCTTGCGCTTTTCTACAATCCGACTCAAAAGGACAATGAGGGGTAACAAATATAGGTTTCGAAGAAGAAAAAAGGGTATGATTGCCACAGTTTGTGTTCGACTCACCAACTCTATCATCCTGCTCAAAGATGACAACGTCAAAACCATGCGCAATCGCGTGTGCAGCAGACGAAATGCCAGTAAGTCCGGCTCCTATAACAGCAATCCGGCCAAGAGGTTTCGTAGGTTGCTCGGGGTATTTCGGTGGTCTCTGATCATGACGTAGCTCAATGCGAAATCGAAAGTGGAAGACATAGAGTGAACGCATACCGGCTTGAACATCCAGATGATGATCTTCTGTATCAGGATGTAGAAGATATTGAAGATGAAGACGACAAATCGTATTGGTGATAGTAATCTGAAAGGATTTAAAGAACGAGCTGAAGACAATGACTCCGAGATGTAGTTGAAGACATTGTGGTATTCCACCCTAGTTGCAGACATGATAGCGTCCTCTTTCAATTTAATAATCGGACAGAGGGGTATGTCGGCTGGTAGTGGGGTAGTGAACGTTTGAAAATCCTTGTCTCCACTCCCTCAAGTACATGGGAGGCCATGTGCAGGCGGAGTCTCTCCATGCTCAGTGATGTCATCGACGCTCAAGCTTGCAATTTCACATGTTCACAGGAAATATGGAAACCTCTTTCCAAGTATTTGAACAACCTCGTACACATGGAACTATTGGAAGACATAGATACAAATACACCTTCGAGGTGACAAGACGTCGCGAGAAAACGAACTCAGATGTAAAACATACTCTCACTCAGATCTGCTTGCACGCCTCCCGACCATACCTTCAGGGCCTTCTGATACACTGCCTCCCTCTCCTGTTCTATTTCCGCATCAGTCTTCTTTCCTTTGCCCTTGCCCTTCTCCGACGAAGCAACCGACTTGCTATCATCGCCGAGATTGAGGAATTTGTTCAGATACAGCCTCGCGCGCTCGCATGCCAGGTCGGCATAGTACGCAGGTGGGACAAGACTGACGCCTTTCGTAGCGCGAGCGTACAAGTACGACGTCCGATGTGTAGTTTCCTGAATCGAATCGGCATCCATACGATTCTCGTCGTAAACAATGTAGTAATGAGTCGGGCGAGCCTGGCCTTGAAGTCCATTGTGAGCCTGGGGACCATCAATACGTCAGCGTTGAAGCGTTAAGAACAAGTTTAGAATTAAAACTGACTTGAAGATAGAAGTCGAAGCCATAGATATCGGTGATCCCCTTGTCCACGATGGTGCCCGGCAGCGTATTGCCATTTCGACTGACGTGATCCTGACCTGTGGCATAATTACGAGCATGATGGCGTTTCCCGCAAATGACGATAGAAAGCTTGGGTCGATACTGTCCGCCCTTGAGCTTCTTGAATGCATCCAAAAGTCTAGGCAATTCATGCCTAAGAACTAGATCGTATTGACCCTGTCCAGCAGACTAACTGAACGAGTATCCGCATGATACATCAAGCTGCTGACCTCTGATACGCCATCACGGAAAACGATGATTCTCTGTGGCAATGCGTTGTTGTTACGCTTCTGGAACAACAGCAAACGTTCAATCATCATCTCGGTAAGGTCCTGCACCATCTGTCCGAACACAACCGTCAGAAACAGAATGCGGAGGCCTACACTAAACCTACCTCTTCCGCATTCTTGTTGATATTCTTATTTCTTTGAGGTCTGAGACTAGCTGGGAATTGGACGAAATCCTTGTCAACGCTAGCTACGACGGCCGCAATGGACGGCGTCCCTTTAATGCTAGTCGGACTGGGATGCGTGACATCTAGGAAGACTCACTATATGATTCTCTTATATAAGGGACCAACAAGGCACTCACCAATGCCAACCAGCATCGTAGAAACGCTACTCATCCATTTCATCGACTGAGGATCTAGCAAATGGTTGATCCCGCCTAACTTGATGTTGACTTTCAGCGCGACATTTGAGAAATATTGGTCTTGTTTCCTCTCATCGCCGGCGGCCTTCTTCAGCAACATATGTACCGTCGCCAAGCCCATCACCACGTCACAAAGGTGTTTGATCCCAGGGTATATGAATTTGTCTACATTGGATAACAGGACCAGTATGAATGACGGCTTGCGGTTGCGATCCAGGTTACCCGTAAGTGTTTTCCTGATCGTCTCCAAGGCTTGATTGCGTCCAGGATCTTTGGTGGCTGGTGGCAGGGGCGGCGTGGCCATAATCTTTGGAGGTCCATTTGGCACCGTCATACCGCTTGCTTGGCACTTGTTCGAAAACGTCTTCAGGAAAGTAAGCAGGCGAGGGTCGGTGGGTCCAGCGAACTCTTCACGATAACCTTGCTGGACAAGCAGAACAGCCCAATTTGTCATGTTCCCTCCGCGTTGGAACTTCACGTCCAAAATGTTCCATGACGCGTCCCTGACATTTGGTTGACCAGACTTGTACGCGACACGGGGAGCGTCGAGAATACGAGCTGGTACGACTGTCATGTCATTCGACACGGAGATACCGAACCCTTGCAGAGGTCCAGCAGGAGCATTGGGATCGAGACCGAGTTGAGGAAAGCCTTGGTTGACAATAGCGTCTGCGTTATAGGCAGGTATATTGCAAGCTATCTTGATCATTTCGGCTGTAGCTTTGTCGCTCAACAAACCGTGAAAGGCTTGGTTCGGAGGAATCTCGCAAAGCTCGGCGGGCAGGTACGAAGGTGGTCGTCCAAAGCCTGATACATCAATGAGGGGCAAGTCATCGGCATGTTGTAACTTAATATTGTATTCTAATGCTCAAGGTCAGTAACTTGTCCCCATCCTCAAAGAGCAGAACTTACTGCGCTTGTAGTATTCTTCGACACTTATGTTTCCCCCGAACTCTTCACAATGGAACGTCGTCCGGCTAGCGGGTGTCCTGGCGATACTCTTGATCGTTCGCTTCCTCGGATACCCCAAATATGTCGTCACGACTTTCAGTTTATCCGCAAAGTCGCGAGGCATACCTCCTGATGACTCTCGTTGGAATGCCATCATGGCCATGGCGAGATTACCAGGCAAGTAAAATGCCGTTGTGCAGACGTTGATGTTGACCATTAACTGCTTGTACATCGGTCTGACTGAGAGAAAGAAACCCTGTCTGGCTTCCAAGCCGAGCGTGAGCGGGAAGATAGCATTGGATGTAGGAATGAAGTATCGATTCTTGCCCACACGAACACCGACACGCGAGGCGTGTTGCTGAAGGACCAGGTTCAAAGCCGACACAATAGGAAGGACATCGGCATCTCGGTACTGCGGTTGACCGCTCATATGCCTGAAAGAGCGAGGATAGCCTTAGCATGGCGGGGCCGTTGCCAACACCGGTCAAAAGAAACTCACTGTGTAAGCTCGGTTGAATTGAGTTCCTTGACAAACGCGATCTTGACAGTATATACTGGAGCATTCTGGCGTGCAGTTGGTTCTCCTTCGTAACGGTGGGAAACTGGTACTTCCAGAGGTTGAGGCAACAGCTCGGAGGACACAAGCTTCTCGCTCTTGTCATGAGCAATGTGCGATAAGAACGGTTGGAATGTTGGTGTCTCCTCAAGAAGTGCAATAATCCGCGCAGTATCCTCAGACTTCAGCTTGTCCTCACTCCTCGCACCAGGTAAAGGAGACTTGTTCGGGGAGAAGGTAATTTTGTACTCGTAGATCGTAAGGTCCTTGGGCATCCTCACGGCGAAGAAATTCGCTCGTACAGTGATGGGCTTGCCCTTCGTTCCCCACCCCGGTCTCAAAGGCTTCTCCACCTGATACGGCTGTTGTTTAAAAGAGGCGACAAGCGCATCCGCTGTGCTGAGTCTGTCGTCGACTCTCGCAGGTGCGTTGGCGGCAAATATGATGGGGCCGCCACCTCCTCGACCTCGTGGTGGCCCACCCGCCCCTCTAACAGGGGCGCCTCCACCTCGGTGGGGGCCGCCACCGCCTCTTGAAGGACCTCCAGCAGCCCCGCCTGAGTAGCTACCATCACCACCAGGCGTCGAGCTCTGACCGCGTCCACGGGCAAAGCCACCCCTGGTAGAGCTGGCGGTACTGCCAGTTTGAGAAGGTGCAGGGCTTGGGGTTGCCCTTATGTTGCTGCCGGTTTGACCCCGACTGCCTCGACCTCCACGACCTCGTTGTCCTCGTCCACTCATATGTTAGGTACAGTAAAGAGAAACAATGGAAATACTTATGATAGGTTTGTGATGGATGTTATTGGGAAAGGGTTGGGGCTGCGTAAAACACGATGCATGGCGGCTTATATCTAGGGGATGGCGCTTAGAATCAGACGCTCCCGCTTGCAGCAAGTCATCTCGGTGCCGTGGGCAAGGAAGCTCGAAAGTTAAACTATCGAAGCTCATCGAGTTACCCATTTATCAGGACGCCAGACTCATACAGTCTTGTGCTCTCAACATCCATGTTCATTCAATAGAAAGGCGTAAAGTACGACTACAAGGATCCTTCAGAGTTACTCAACAACTCTTGTATGGTACCTTCGGACTAGCCGATAGGGTGCACTCAGTGCTCATTAGTATCTTCCCAAACTCCTGGTCGAGTTGAGAAGAATTCGTCTAGTTCAGGCTCAGGCGGCGTTTAGCGACGCATTGAGGGCCGTCAGAAGAACGTTGCTGAACGCCTAGAAAGATATCATATAAGCAACAAAATTGATACTTCCATTAAGCAAAGCTCACTGTACTTGCGAGAGAGTGTCGCGCCCTGCTGAGCACTGGCGGACTTCTTGGTCACAGTGGGAACACGGAAGTCCCTGGGGTGAGTCTTGGCCGGCTGAGGGTGAGGTACTTCAGCAATGGCAGTGTTCTCTCCAACGCTCCTCGAAGGAAGCTCGTTGTGGAAGTCCCGGGCATGCTCTCTGGCATAGAGAACAGGCTCAATGATAGCACGCGCGATTTCAGCTATTTCACGAGCTTCCTCCATACGTGCTTCATGGATTCGGCTGAAGTCGCGAGGATGAGCCCTGACGAAGACCGAAGGTTCAGGTGCCCTCCTCAACAAAACTTCCTCAGCAAAGATACTCCTGCGGGGAAGGTCTTCACGAGAGAAGATAATGCTCCTAGCCTGAGGCTCAACATATGCTGAAACAGGACGACGGAAGTCCCGAGAATGCATCCTGCCGAGGAGTAATGCATCTTCGGATGAACGCTCATGAAGATTGAGGACTTCGGCGAGGCCAGGTGCAAGGTTACTACGAACACAGCTTAGCCCGAAAATATCATCACTTGAAAGCGCTGACTTACGTGCGTGCGAGCAAGTCGAGCTTTCCACCACCAACTGAAGGAAGGGGGATAGCGAAAACGGGCCGAGCAACGAGAGTCAAGACGACAACGATGGCGGCGAAAGCGTGCATGATGGTCAGAGTGAGTTAGTGATGAGTAAAAAGAGTTGTAGTCGTTGAAGAAAGTAGCGAGCGTGGGTTTGGCGTGGGCGTAAAGAAAAGCAAGAAAAAGATCAGGCTACGAAGGAAGACATGTTAGCTAGAGAAAGCAAAACGTAGAAGTGGACAAGTACTTACGGACCAGTCCCGATGAGAGCGTAGGCTCGAAAAGAAGAATAAGAATGAACGAAATGGGAGAGCTGGAGAAAGCCCCAAACCTGCGAGCTGGCATATTATATACGAGGGCTATGTCACCATCTGCCGATCATTTTCGGTCTCAGGCTAACCGTTGGCGACCTGAAACGCTTTAATGGAACCCTTAGCTGCCATCCGCATCATCTGATGCGCATCATACCTTAATGCTAAGCAGAACAGTCAAGAGATATTACTCCAACGGAAGTCGACAGGCGGAACACAAGCAAGCAACACAGGGATCAAAGCTAGTGACTAAGGTCACGATAGGTGGAGAATCAAAAGTATTTGGGAACCTTGAGACATCGGACGAGAGCTGGACTAGACCTTGCTGATGAGAAGAGATAAAAGCGCAGATACAACCAAGATGATGGCCTTCATGAGCCCATCAGACCACCTGCGCACAGGAACCAAAATCGACCAAATGTCGGCTTGGCAAGATGGCAGTTCAGAGGTAAATATGGTCCTTGATTACCCTGACATATAACATCAGAGCAGGATATCAAACGGCAATAGCGAGAAAGAACACATGGAAGATACAAGATACGTTGTCTCCATTCTACATTTACAGTTCTTTCTTCGTCGCTGTTGACTTGAAGCCCTCTAGTGCCTTGAGTCGTTCCGTGAGAGTAGGGTGAGAATGGTGGTATGCTGAATATCTACGGGATCGGTAGCGTATGAGGGCAACGAACAGCGGGTTATGAGGATGAATACTTACAGCCAATCAACCCAAACAGTGGACAGGTTCTTCACATGGATGGCGATCAGAGCCTTTCCGAGCCTGTCACCAAGATCCTGCGCGTCCTCAGACTTGATTTTGTCTTTCAGCTCCACTGCAAACCGATCAGCTTCATACTCGAACTTGCGGCTGATAGCGTTCATGGCGGTTCCGACGATAGCTTCGAGAGGCGTGAGAATCATCTATCAAATAGAAGGATTAATGATAGCTTCAGAACAGATTCAACAGAGGGGTTACCTGGAAAAGAAGGAAGGCGATGATGGTAGGTGGCGTCACTGCAACTTTTTCTGGGAAGTCGAATGCTCTCAGAACTTGCGGCGCATGCATGAAAGCGGGGAACAGAGCCAGGATCGTGAAGATGTGGACCTGGGAAACCAGGAGAAGCTTAGCAGGATGCATGTAGTACCAATGACCGAGCTCGTGAGCTAATGAAAGTTGGTCAGTCGCTAACAAGCAACCAACGTTTCTTGAAATAAACGCACCAAGGATAGCTTCGACTTCTCCAGGGGTACTTTGTTTGATGAGAGTATCGAAAATGACGATGTGTTTGGCCTGTGCGATCGTTAGAATGATTATGAACACACTAACAGCATTCAATTTACCCAGGGTAAACCGAAGAAATAGGCATTGCTGTGGGAGCTTCGTTTGGATCCATCGATCTCGTAGAGATACTTCAGAGGGAACTTCAGCTTGGCGGCAAGAGCCTCGATCCGGGTTCGCAACTCGCCCTCGCGAAGAGGGGACAACTTGTTGAACAATGGCTGGATTACCGTGGGGTAAACGATAACCATGATCATTTGGAATGAGATCCTGCACAACATTAACCATCGAAAACGAAAATTGGGAGGAACACTCACAAGAAGCCCATCAACCAAGGAACAAAGCGGTCTCCAGCCCACTTGAACACATAGAGGAAAGCCGCCAAGAAAGGTGCACCGATCACAAAACCAATAGCCCAACCTTTCAGCAGGTCAGCGAAAAATAATTCAGGAGTGGTCTTGTTGAATCCATGTTTCTCTTCCAAGAAGAATGTTTGGTAGATCGAAAAGGGTATGCTGGGAATTGAGGATACGAAGAACACAACGCATACGAATGCGATTGATTGAAGAATCTGCAACAAAGGAAATAAGGAGACCGCGCGGTTGAGGATCAACTGAAGAGTGCAAACCTCATACTCGGAGCTGTATCCCAGTTTCGTGACGATTTGACCTCCGCAATCCCAGGCCCAAGCGAAAAGACCGTAATGAAGCATCAAGGAGTCAACAGCTTGCTTGTACAACCCAGATACAAGGGCGAATTTTGCTTTGTCTTTTCCATATACTTGAGACTTGTGAAAATCTTCCTCACTGAAGTGTTCAGCCAGCACAGGAGGAGGGGCTGTTTTAGAGTACAGCGGGTATTGGCGAAGCCTTCAGAAAGGAAGTAGGTACCGTTAGCGGCCGAGCAGCGATACTCTTTCACAATTTACATCAAGAAGTCGTAGAAAATGCGTACACCAGGTATGATTCAAACAGGCAGACACCCCATGAAAAGAGCTGAACGTAGTATTTCCAGTCTATTGGCTCGACAGCGACGAATGCGAGTTGTTGTTGTACAAGAGCGAGTTGCTGATGCAAGAAATCCATGACGAGTCTAGGCGAGTTCAGACCAAAACCAGAGAAAAAGTTCTGCAGCAGACAGCTGCGCTACTGCTTTCTACGAATTCTTGAAAAGAGAGGAATCGAGGTTGGTGAACAACGATGAAGCCAAGACGTGTCAACAAAAACAAGCGTCTAATCTGCTGATTAGATAGGCGCCTTGAGTTTAAGCTTCTCAACCAGCACCCACCGCCATGTCTCTACCTCGGAAACGCAAATACCATACTACTCGTTCTGAAAAGTACCAAAGGGATACTTCTGACAATCATGATACGAGTGCCTCACTGTATATTCAAGCATACGAGGCGGACATCGTGAAAGGAGCTGCTGCTACTCAAGCGCAATCCCTGGAATTCCGTGGCGCACCTGGTTCTAGTCTAATCCAGTGGCTGCCGTACGGCGCGACTGCAGAAGAAGAAGAAAACAGAGGGGCCGTATGGGTTGACAGGTACGCATGGTTCTTGAATGACCTGCCAATAATATGCAACCTATTTCGTGAGATGTCGCTCTGAGACTTGAGCATGTCACGCCAATTGAGTATTGAACCAATGTCTGAGCAATGTCCCCCTTTCTTTCTGCATGAGGATCTTTTAGCTGACGTAGTTTGATATAGATACGATGCCCGTCTACTACTTCATGAAGCGCCGTCGATTGAGCATAGTACATCCTCAGTCGATAGACTGTCGCCTACAGGATGGTCGGACCTTCCTTCCGATGCGGAGGATACGTTTTTCTTCTCACCAGAGGAAGCAGAGGATTATCATCGAGAGAAGCGTCGTCGACTGATCGAGAGGTCTCGAGAAGATCGGCTGAGAGCTATCCGAGCTGAACATGAAGAGGAAGAATCCGAAGCGCAGGAGAAAGATCTTTGGGGTGATAGTGACGAAGAGGTGCCGTAGAGTTTTGTTCATTCCTTGCCTTCTTTACTAACGTGATGGTGTGGACAGCCTGATGAAACCCAGAAAGAGCTCATGCGCAGAACTGCGTCACATGTTCTCTCGTCACCCAACCCTGCCCAACTTGAAATGCGAATTCTGGCCAACCATGGTGCGGATATTCGGTTTGCATTCTTGCGAGGTCGATGGTCTCGATCATGGAACGCAACCAAGGCAAAGGTGAGATTGGCTCTGAACAAGGATATAGTCCAGCCGATGAGTGGCGCTTTGGGCGGGTTATCTGGTTACGGTGGGAGCGACGAAGACTCAGGAGATGAAGCAGAGACTAGTGCGGCAATTCCTGAAGCTGTGGTTGCGGTTGATGGTCAGATGGATGCACCGAACGACGATCAGGCCGACGATGCAGCCGTAAAGGAAGCGAGAAGAGCCAAGGCTAAGGAATGGTCTCTGAAACGGAGAGCTCTGAAGGAAGGCAAGGAAGAACCGGAGAAGTCATAACGAACAAGTATACCTTGTCTCCGTCGGATCGGCCCCAACCTCGAGTTTGCTACACTTACATTTCGAGCTCTATCTACTAGCACTTGTCATAAATTATACACATTTCGACAGTCTCGTATCCAGTAAACCTACTACTTCTCGCCTATTTTCTACTTCTTCCTTCTTTTCTTTCACTTACTACGCATGTTTAAGATGCAGTTTCCTTTTATATCATCACGCACACTTCCAGTTTCGGTCTTTCGGGAAGGGAAGTTAACGACAGAGTTGTTTTATTCGACACAGCCGACTCATGAATCCTGTCTTGTGTATTCAGGAACTGCTCACTCTCATCTTCCGATGGACTAATGATCCAGATTCGCAACAGTACCGATCGACACTGGCCAAATTAGCCGTTGTTTGTAAAACATTCCATGATCCTGCTCTAGACGAGCTGTGGCACACGCAGACAGACCTGTTGCCGACGTTACTGGTTCTACATGGTGGCGCTATTCAGAGCAGAGATGCTGAAAAAACTGAAGATGGAGATCAAGACCAACCTGCCCGGGTTCTGGTATGTATAATGCTCGTCTTATGCGGACCTGACTGACATGTTTTCTCTAATCAGTATCAGGCCAGACCTCTTTCCACGGAGGACATTCAGAGACTGCGCAAGTATTCACTGAGGGTACGAGTACTTGAGATGCGCGGGAACTTGGACAATCCCGTACTGCACTCGATCGACCAGAGCGTCGTGGAAGCGTTAGCGGTGGCAGCAAATCCTCTTTTCCCCAACCTCCGAGAGTTCGCTTGGTATCCTTGGAGCCGATATCGGGGGAAAAAATCTTTTGAGCCTTTGTTCCCGTTACTTTTGGCTCCAAGAGTCGAATCCGTGGAACTTCGGTATGACGAGCAAGTGGTAGAGGAGAAAATGCTCAAGCAATTGTCGGCGACATGCTCTCGTTTGACAAGCTTTGTGATACATAGTGATACTTCCGACGAGCTCTCCAGAGGACTGCGCGAGTCCCTTGCCAATATGAAGTACCTGGAGGAACTCAATGTTTTCCACCATCTACTCGATTGGTTTGTATGGTGCACCTGCGCCTCGATGCCCAAGCTTCACACCTTGGTGGTTGAACTCGACCCAGACGATGACAGCCCCGACCCCATCCTATGGACTCACATGCCGCAGCGATCTCTCCCAATACAAATGCTTGTCCTCAATACGGACGACATACAGAAGGCTGCGGACTTTCTAACTGGAGCGACGTTCCCCGATTTGCGCGAAATTTCGATCGACTTATTCGGCTCTACCGGGCCTCCACGCGAACGAAAAGTGACTAGACTATTTAAAGCCATCGTAGATTCTTGTCCGGCCGATAAGCTAGACATGATTTTCATAAACGACAACGGACAGGATCCTCTCTGGACGATTCCCGAAGGAAGAAATCGTTCCGATTACGAGATCCGCCCTCCGCTAGTTCGCCCTCTGTTCCGTTTCACCAATCTACGGAGATTATGGCTGCGAGGGCGTTGGTACTGGGATTTGGATGATGCCTTGGTGTTGGAGATGTGCAAAGCTTTCCCTCAACTGTTTGCGCTCATCTTGGATCCCGGTCACCGATGGTCTCTAAAACGTCGCATAACTCTTCAAGGAACATTGATGTTCATAGAACATGCTCCAAAACTCCGATTTTTTGGTGCGACGCTTGACGCGACGGATGTGCCAGACGCGTACAGTAAGAAGACAGTGCGACCAGGGGGCGGGAAAGTTCAATCGGCCATGGAAGGCATGATCCTGAATTGTTCCAACATTGACTCTGCCGTCAATACAGCCGTGTTCTTGTCAGACGTATTCCCCAACTTGTTTGGGGTAGATGGCGGACCGTCTTATGAAGCACACTTCGATATAGGGACTGAGTGGAATCTTGCCTATCCAGATCGCTGGAACGATGTTTCAAAGATGGTCCGAGCATTATCGTTCGTTCGCCAGGAGGAGCGGCGGTGGTTGAAAGCTGAGGACATCAATGGTGAGTCTTTGCACATCCTGCGATCAAGTAAAGCGTTGACCGCCAAACAGATCCAACTCGAAGGGCGGAGACCTCTCTAGCGAGGTTACAAGCTTAATACAGTAGTGCTGGAATTAGCCCAATTTGATGTCACAATTTAAATTTCTATTTTTCTTCATAGACAGAATTGTGTATCATAAGAAGAGCCTTTTGCCATGTCAGTGCTGCATTGATTCCATTAATATCAGTCTAAGTGTTCTATCACACTACTAGCAATGTGTAGAGTAATTGTTCTAGCAAGCAGATAGAGTCAACTCAAAGAAGTATTCACCTATACAAGCTCTCAACGGAATATCTTAGCTAGGTTTCTTTAGAATCTCTATCTAGCTTTTGATATAATAGTACAAGCCTTATTCAATTTGCTTCTGATTCAGTGGGTGGATATTGCATTGAAAAGTGAGAAAAGAGTATAAAAAATGGCCTATTTTTTATATCTTCATTTGTTAGCTCAGTATAAAAACAATCTGGTTGTTTGAAGTATAATTTCACTAAAAATCAAGATAGAAATATAGGCCATTTTTATCTTCTCTTTTCACTTTTTCAATGCAAAATAACCCAGTTCATATTTAATGTAATATGCATTTTTGATAGTAAAAAAAACTAATAGTGAGACTGTGTCTGTTTTATTTGTAAGATATAATCTACACTTCACCAATTCTATCTATTTTACAAATATCAGAATACTCATTACCAATGTACAAAATGTCTTTCTCTGCTAGTCTAGGAAATAGCTGAAACCAGTTAATATCTTGATCTAGCTGATGGATAGACAAGCTAACAAGTTTGAGACTAGCTACATTCATAGCCAATAAGCTTGATTCAAGCTGTTGGCAGTCTTCTTTATTACTAGATGGATAATGGAGATCTACAGTTACTGGCATCTTTGAATGCACAGATGAAAGTGATGCTAAAATAGATTGAAGTCCTTGTGTGTGTACATTTAGACTTAGATATTGTAAGCATGAATTATATTGGAAATTTATAGCTATCAAAGTAGTCAGAAACAAATTAGCAAATAAAGACATGTAATAATCCTCACCTTCAGTATTAGCAGGCAAGTCAATGTAGCATTTTGATAATGATGATTTAGAGCTTGACAGAATTTGATTGATTGCCAATACATGCTCAGTTGTAAATTTTGCTGTATAAGATGATGATATTCTAAGAGATTCAACACTAGAGGTATTGCCACTCTTAAATAGCCACTGCAATAATAGTGAATGTAAGACATCTAGTTGTAGTGATTTCAAGCTAGATCTGAACCACTTTTTATCTGCATTACTTGTGGCAGTGCTTGAAATTGTAGAAGATATATAAATTATCCAAAGTGTTAGATGCTGCAACTTAGAACATGAATGTAACACTCTCTGAAACTGTTTAATTGAAAGTGTGGCATCACCTAGAGTCAAAGTATGTATTGGCAGAAGAGCCAGACCTCTGAAGAAGTCTATATGAATCCAAGCAAAATCAAGACCCCATATAACAAGATGGGTGATATTATTGAATCTGATAGGAAAGAGTGGTATGGACCAGCCCTTTTTATCAATCTTATTCTTGATTTCTGGAAAATCAATTCTAAGGCTCTTCAAATAGCCAGAGTATGTCTTATGATGATGTGCATATGTTTTCCATAGCTGACTAGCTTGTTGAGCTATCTCAATATCCAGCCTAATATGTCTGTAGAGAAAGGGCAATGCATGTAAATGCCAGGCATGGCAAGTGAGACAACATGCAGCTAAAGTACTCTGCTATATATGCACAAAGCATGTCAAAAATTTGTATCTTCAATATTAGAAATATATGTTCAACTCACTCTTCCAATCAAATCCTCAGAAAAAACACCAAATGCATGAACCCAGTATATGACTTCAAATTGTATCTCCAAAGGCAGCAATGGAAGCTGTTTGACTTTTCTACTCTTTGCTCTATTTCTTGCCTTTATTCTCCTGACTCTCTTTTTTTCCTTTAGTCTCTGTTGTCTTCTGCTTCGCATGGTCAAATTTCACTGAAGGTAGCTCAGAATACTGGGGTAAGTGGGTGGTTGAAAGGGGAAGGGATGCCGGGCCAATTCACCCCACCCCACTTTATATATAGCTTATTGATGACCCTAGGATGCCGATATGCATACATCACATGCACTGCTATGCATTCACAGCCCTGGAACAATCAAATCAAAGAGGCACAGTTTTAGGGTTCAGTCAAGCGCAGAAGGGAATCATCAGAGTAGCGAACGAGAATGGCACGAAGATGCAGTGTGTTGACAAAGACCCAGAAGAAGGGCAAACATACAACGCGAAGCCGATTGAAGGCAATGGCGGTATATTTAGGACAGCCGTCACGATATCTATAGTCCTCGACGATGAGATCAACAGCAAGAGGAATGCATTTTTTTGTTTGCCATCCACTACTCTGGAGTCTGGAGCCCGGAGAGTGCGGCAGAATACTACGACCAGCTGTCAGAGCCAGCTCCTAATGGAATGCGCATGCCGTCCTCATGCAAGAGAAGTGCAGTCGAGGCGCCGACGAACCCATACACCCCAGCTGATCGGACTCCTGCGTGGAACATGCGGCCCTATCCTGTATCAGAGAACTCAACTACAGATAGTGAATGGATATTCGTAAAACAGGGATGAGAGAGAAAGAGGCAGTGAGGGTGAGGATGACCGTGTGTTGAGCATCGACTTACCAGCGGCCTAAGATCCCTTCACCCTCCACCTATCGCCAAATCCGAGCCGTCACCTTCCCACCGTTTCAGCCTCATCTGTACAACCCTGCAATACATGCCTTTGTCGCCTATAGTATCACTCGTGTTGTCCATAAGCTAAGGCATGGTGGTGAGTGTCGAATTGGATGGCCGTAGACGAATGCTTCGATGTTCGAATTGAATGGACGTACAACAGAAGGAATACAGAAACGATATGAAAACATTCTTTTGGGATAGACACGAAGCGTGAGGATGCAGTCATTGGATCAGAGTCACTGAGAAGTGTGAGAGATCCTTGAGCGAGGATCAGCCGCGGAACATTGTCGATAGCGAATGAGGTCGAATGTCTTACTATAAGGACCAGCCGGACAGTGGTAGTAGACGAGAGGCCACTAGAATTCCGCATGAAGAGAAACGAGAGAGCGTCGTGTGAGAGACAAGCATATAGTGTGACTCGAAGAGTTGCGGAGTCAACGATGATACTCGGATACTCAGTGTTAAAGAAGAAATACTCACCTAGCCTGGTCCGAAAGCACCCCCGCTGCTAGCTAGAGCAGTCAAAATCGGGACTATTATTGTCCCAAGGTAGGCCACACGCATCCCTCTTTCGATCGTACCCAAGCAGAGGGGATAGGATACTCTTGAGAAGGATCAGATCGTGGCCAGCGAGCGATAGACAGTCTGAGAAGCTCTGGAAAGACAATGCAGCGGCATTGGAGTCGATGGAGGTGTGCATGAAGGCAAATCACGGCAAACCTGAACTTGTAGGCAGAGTCCATGCAGACAGGACGACATCTTGGCAACATGTCAATGCATCTGTCCGACGACAGATTTAAACTCTGCAGGGTGAGTTGACCAATCAGCGCCCAGAAACGTAAGCAACCATCAAAAGTCTGCCTGGGGAACAGACAATAAAGACAAGGTGCCAAGACGTTCGCCACTCTGCATCGCATCTGTACTAACTACTGAAGGTTTCTTGCATGCCGTGAATCCGGTGAATAACTAACCGAGAGTCACCGATCATTCCCGCACCGTCTGTGGCCGCCACTCCCGGTTTGTATTCGGAGTCAATTCGACCATTTTCCTCCAACGAATATTAAGTACAGTACGTGGTGAGCGAGGTAGCCTTTCATTGCGCCGTCGAACTACTTTCTTGCGAGCATACTCTTACTAGTATGAATGCAACAGTCACCTATCTGGTATGGTTCACCTTTGAGGAGGTGTGTTCGAACTTACTGATCTTGTCTCAGTGCCTCCTTCTGTAAGCAAGTTGGGGATGCACGACAACTTTGCAGTGGTACTCGAGACTGTACATGTAATAAGTTACCCCCACAGAGTGCTTCGAGTGTCATGGAGAGGCGAAACTTTACCTCAACAGGAAGTCGTTCCAGATATTCTGTCTTGGCTCGCGAGTACGTTACAGCCGTTGTTTTCCTTTCTGTATCTGCATCCGCATCCGTCTTTCTTAGGATATACGTCCACAGGCGACAAGGTCTTAGCTCAACTATCCGAGGCTCGAGCTGGATCATTATACCCCAACTCTCCACTTTTTCACGTCGAGGGTCTGGTATGGAGCGGCAACACGCACGTCCAGCCATGTTCCTCATTTCTTGTGATTCTTATTAATGGTGGGCACTTCGTCTGTTCTACCATTATCGTTGACTGCAAGACTACAATATACGTACAGTGTGATTCTAAGCGGATGATGTCTAGGCGAATCGAGTCAGTTCTAAGGAGCTTGGGCTTGAATCAGAACACCTAGGGCGCAGATAACTTTCCGGAGACGATCACATGCGCTATAGTCACTTCGTCGAAAGCTGACTTAGGTATAATGGTAACGTCATTGTCAAGGTTAATCACCGGCATAAAGGAGCATCTTCAACCACTGCTCCAGTTTCCAGGGTTTAGTTCATCGTATCCTTCCTCAAGGTACGCACCTGCAGCTGACGACTCAAGACCATGGTCAAGTCATACGGCCTTACTCACGATTCAGCTTCCCTTCAATAGAATCAATTGCACCGTGAAGCACGGTCATTCTGAGTGCATTGTGACGTTTCCCCCGGGCCCATATGACGCATCTGTTTTGGTATGACTGCGTCTTCCCATGACGCTGCCCTTTCCGGCCGCCTCTGACCACTCCACCCTATAGTGTTCATCCTACTGTCAAAGGCTGCACCGCGTATGGCGCCCTGAAACGCAACTGCAACGCTTCGGGCTATGCCTGGTACGCCTACGCGGCTCGCTAGTGTGTGAACCAATTGGTTTGACCTCATTTCTTGACTGACAGCTGAGGCCTGGAATCTGGAGAACTGGACGCGACATCACATCGTCATTGTCGTCACCACCTGGGAAACATCACCTTCACCAAATTTGACTGTCTTCGTATCGTCCAATCAGCAATCCCCGCTGCAGTTTCTTTTGGTTTCTTGTCCATCTCAGGCAGCGCATTCTTGACGAGCGATTCAACACCTTTTCATTCCATATTTATTTGAGCAATGCGGCTTGAACGAGGTCTTGAACTACGTACGGCCTTCTTTTGCCGCAACCGGTGTATACGATGTGCTGGCCCAGACTAGTCGCTGGTAATGTAAAGTATGACGTTCAGCGACGATCGATCATCCCCCACTCGGATGCACCGCATTTGTTACTGAGTGGATTCGCGGTATAGTATCTAATATCTTCATGGTCTATGATACTGGCTAAATCTCGGCCTTTCAGGACTGTTACCTATGATGTACCGTGGTGGACACATCCCCGGTCGATGTCTAAGCGGCAGGACTGAAAACGATCATGGTGGCTGCTAGCCAGATTCGCGCATTCAATCGACATCAATTGAAACATTTTAGGGGTAAGTTCGGTGATCTGTGTCTTTTCCCGTACTTCCCGGCTGACCCAAACCAGGCCCTGATGGTGGCCTACATTCTAGACTTTGAGGAGCAAGACTCCTGTCTTGTCATTCAACCCGGCTCATGATTTTAGTAGTGCGTGCACGTTCGATCACGTCACCGATCGTGTTTGCAGTGCCCTCGACGATGTTGTTGTGCATGTGGCTGTTGCCAAGAACGAGAAAGGGCGGTCATACCTACGGCGAGCTGGAAGACTGACTGGCGGCGGCGGAAATGTCACTAACACGATGGTCCTAGTTCTCCGAGACTCCTATATACAGCCAGTGGACCTTCAGTTACTCTATTCATTGAGTTTAAGGTTTACCTATAGGTAGGCCATGGAGTACGGGCGCCCACGAAGAAACCGGCCTCCTAGCACATTGTGTCTACTTGTTGATTCCCCAAACGAGTCAAATATCCGTAAAGAGTCAACTCCAGACAGGACCAATCGGCGAACAGAACCCGTCTCAAACTTACCCTCGATGTCAGTTTTTCAAATGCTATACTTAGTACTGAGGTATGCTTTGATTGTAGGTGTATAGCACGCTCGAACGTGACAGCACCAAACCACAAATAGCAAGATGCAGCGGGAGGTGGTCCCCTCTTCATGCACTGCTTGACACCTAGACAAGTCCGAAAGTAGGTTCCAATCGGTAGGTTCATCCCGCCATGTACACGTCTTCGCCGAAGACATGGTCTCGGTGCCACCTAGCATTTATTTTGGGGACTTCACCGTTTGGATATAAAAACCCTACCTCGTCGCTCTCATCCCCCAACGAAGTGAACACACTCCCGTTCCAGCTTTCTTCCAACACACGCACCCACACTCTCGTCTCAAAAGAATTAACTACTTCGTCCTTACTCACGATGCAGTTGAAGTTCGCAATCCTGACCGCACTGGTTTCGGCAGCCGTTGCTGGTGCTATTCCCGCCCCCGAGCCTGAGGCTCATCCCCCCAACCGTCCTGAAAAACCACAGCCGCCTTCCAAGCATCACCCTTATCCTCCGCCGCCTCATAAGCCTCCTCCCCACAAACCACCTCCTCCAAAGCCGCCTCCCCATAAGCCTCCTACTCAACCCCATCCTCCGCCTCCTCACAAACCTCCTCCTCATAAGCCGCCTCCTGAGAAACCTCCTCCTCACAAGCCTCCTCCCAAACCGTCCCAACATCCTCATCCTCCCAAGCCGAGTCCTCCTCATAAGCCGCCTCCTGAAAAACCTCCTCCTGAGAAACCTCCTCCCAAACCGTCCCAACATCCTCATCCTCCCAAGCCGAGTCCTTCTCACAAGCCCCCTCCACACAAACCTCCTCCCCATAAGCCGCCTCCTCATAAGCCACCTACTCATCCTCAACCCCCTCACAAGCCACCCCCACATAAGCCTCCTCCCCATAAGCCGCCTCCTCACAAGCCGCCTCCCCATAAGCCTCCCACTCGTCCCCATCTTCCTCACAAGCCCCCTCCTCATAAGCCGCGTCCGCCTCACAAGCCACCCCCTCATAAGCCCCCTCCCCACAAGCCGCCTACTCATCCTCATCCCCCTCACAAGCCTCCCCCGCATAAACCCCCTCCCCACAAGCCGCCTCCCCAAAAGCCTCCTCCGCACAAGCCCCCACCCCACAAATGCCTCAATGACGTTGACTAAGGGCTAAACGTCGCCATGTCTCAAAGGGCAAAGGTATGTCTCCATACCGATACCGATTTTCTGTGACTCGAGATTGACACGACCTTCTTCAGGAAGAACATGGCTTCTCTGACCGCAAAAAAAAATGTTTCGCGTTCCGTTTTGTGTCTCGCTGTTCTTTTCTCCGAATGATTTTAGTTCTGACTTTTGACTCTGTACTTGTGCCGTTTTCGTCTGTGTCCGGATCCGAACTTGGACTGGGGTACGGTTTGTTTGGTTAGCTACTTAAAAATACTTTTGTAACTTTCTTCATCGAACTGGTTCCGTACTGTGCTATGTACTATGAATTGTAACCCTGATTTATATAATCCTTTGCCCGCTATTCCCGCTGCCGTTCATGGTTCTGCTGTTCACTTCATACGAGCATCCGCCGCCTTCGCAACGCTTGATCTAGAACCTCATGCCCTGTTGGGTCTAAACACTTAGACAAGCGAAAATAAATTTAATGGACCTCCCTAATATTAGAGAAAAGACGAAATCTCTACGGCAAGAATCTAAGAACTAATAGGCCGGAAGATTTTATCTCAACACGAAGTCCGCACATGGTCGTCACCCCACCCCACTCCGTCGAGAGACTCTTACGGAGCCACAAGTCCAGAAAGGGTTCCGTTGTCGACAGCCGCATCGTGAGCCCTGGCGAGGAAGCCGTACTCAGGCAGGTACCTGTGTTGGATAAATGAGGACGGCAATCAGGAACTGGCTGATAACGGGAAGTAGTATACTTACGTGTCGAAGAAAGGAAGCATCTCCGTGGCACCGGGCGTACTACGCCAGTCCCTCATGAGCTCAAGGGCAACTGCGAACATAGACAGAATCTGAACACCAGCAGCACGCATATGGTCGTTAGCCTCGTTGGCCGTCTTCACGTCAAAGGTACCGGACGCGTCGCTATTAGCGAAGACAGTGTAGCCTTCTTCTACGAGAGACAATGCCAAGAAAGCCGTGCAAACCTATATGGTCAGAAATAATTCAGTCTATATTAAGAATAAACTCGATGAAAATACTAACGTCAGTTGTGATACCAGCAAGGATAACCTGCTTCTTTCCGGTAGCCTTGACAGCAGCCTTGAAATCAGGGTTGTCCCAAGCGTTGACTTCTCCGTTACGCTTGATGAACGGGGCATCGGGATGTATGGCAATGATTTCCTGAGGCAAAGGACCATTGGGACCTGGACAATAAGAAACTCGGTAATTAATCAGCGGTGACAAAGAGAAATCACTGTATACCTGTCTCCGCACTGCTAGTCAGGATAGTCGGCAAGTTGAATATCTTGGCCAGGGCCGCGTGAGCCAGAATGCTGCTCTTGAAGGCAACGGGATGTTGGTCGCGACCGAGCTGGAAGAGACCCTCTTGATGGTCGACCACAAGCAAGACCGAGTTGTTTTTGTCGATCCTCTCGTACTTGAATGCGGATACTACATCAAGACAGCGTCAGGTTAATGAAGCCCGTGGATCAAACTGACTAGTACGCACCAGTCGAGCTAAGCCCAACGAGTAGGGTGGCCAGAGCAACGAAAGAAAAGCGGAAAAACATCATGAATTAGCTGAGGAGTGTTTTTACGAGTGGTACTCTGAAAAATGCTCTAGAGCGAGGGGAAATTGAGTGGTCGAGGACCGATTCAACGCCTTTATTCGCTCAAGATTTTATACCTTTTGCATAGGCGACACGGACGCACAGAATCGCCTCTCACAAAGCGAACGCCCGCCTCTGTCAGCAATCGGAGACCTTAGCGACATCGTTCAAGGAAAGCTCAGTACGTTTCAGGAAACAACTCACTAAACGACATTCACGAAATAGGCAACAGCGCTGGTTCTGCGGAAAAGGGAGCACCATAACGGGCAAGTCACTAGGATTCATTGATGTCAATAAGCGCCAGAGAGCAAGTTCAGCTCTGTCAGCGACAACAGTCGCCGTGCGGACACCGGAAGTCTCTAATTCTGCATGGCAGCAGTCATCTGAAGGCTCGTCCTCCTTAGTAAAAGCACACTTGATGGGAATCTTGCGGTATTGGCGGGTCTCTCGTAGATACCTAAATCTGGACTTACTGGGAAGGACCATGCTATCGGTAACACAACCTTTGAGCGGTTGAATTCTGATTCACTCCTTCTAGATGTGTGACAGGGATATCTCCTTATTTCTGCCGATAGTCTCCTCGGACAGAGAGGAGGTCATGCGCACGGTGGTGACAGCGCACACGCTTGCTCATCCTAAGTCCATACATAGACGTTGATCATTCGCCGGTGGACGACCCTGCGAATAGGAAAACGTATACGGGCTGTACCTGGAAGATACTTGGAAGCAGAAGCTTTGGACAACCGTACTTGTTCCTCGCAAACATGAGGTCGTAGACCAGAATGGCGTCACGTCTCCCATGAATGTCACTTCAAAGTTTGTTTTCGTTGACCGCCCAGTGTTCTCATATTTCTCTATTCGTTCTTCCGCACCATTTATAGCACAGATTACGCTGCTGCGAATTGCTCAATGCTCGTTCCTTTATCTCGCAGCCTTACTCAGCTATCCCGGCCCGCTCAAAGACAAGAAGTTCTCCTGAGCAGTATCATACCGCATATATAATGCGGTTCATTGAACAGTTGGCTCAACACCAATCTACAAGCCTACAGTCTTCTCTATATCCACTGCTCTACACCCACAATGAGACACATGGTCACCCAATATCGTCTTCCGGACACCCTGGCTAAATGGCCCTATCGTCGTCGATTGAACCCTCATTACCTTCCTGTCAAAGCTAAAGCATCAGCCTGGCTTGAGAGTTTCAACGCCTTGAGCCCGAAAGCTCAAAATTCGTTCAATCGTTGTGATTTCAGTGAGTATCGGCTCGGTTCTACGATTTTTCCGAGTCGGAAGAGTACTAATACTGTCGATAGACCTCTTTGCAGCTCTTGCTTACCCGACGTTTGACGAAGGTGACGATATTTCCTTCGATTCATGCACGACCAGCCTTATAAGGCGAATGCTTAGATCGATTAAGAACTGCGTGCGATCTCATGAACCTGTTGTTCCTCTACGATGAATATTCCGATCGGGAGGGAGTTGATGGCATGAAACGGCTCTCTGCCGAGATCATGTACGCTCTCCGAAACCCTCATGAACCCCGCAAAGATGGCAAGTACATTGTGGGCGAGATCTTTAGACAGTAAGTTTCCTTCATTCCGGCCCAATTATCTACTATCATGTCTCATAAACCATGGAACTACGTAGGTTTTGGGAACGTGCCATCCAGACCGGTAACCCAAACGCCCACCGCCGTTTTGTCCAAGCTTTCGACCACCACACAGCAGCCATGGTCGAAGAAGCTCATGACCGTAGTAAGCAGCGTATTCGCAACATCGAAGGTTACCTCAAGATTCGTCGGGGGACGATCGGTGCACGCCCAGTCTTCCGTCTGATCGAGTTCGACATGAACATACCTTCTGAAGTTCTGGACCACCCTATTCTGCTTGAGCTCGTAGCTGCTGCTACAGACATGCTCAGCATCGGAAATGTATGTTTTTCATTTAATTTTGAATTCGCCGCCAACGGTTATACCGGTAACTCTGACTTCTTAGGACATCTATTCGTATAATGTTGAACAAGCTCGCGGAGACGATACTCAGAACCTCGTCACCATTGTCATGCACGAGAAGAACATTGACCTTCCTTCCTCTCTAGCATGGATCAAAGAATTCCACGATTCACTCGTCTCCACGTTCCTCACCAAGTCGAAAGGAATTCCTTCTTTCGGAGTTGCTATCGATGCCGAGGTCGCGCAATATGTGGAGGCCCTGGGGAATTGGGTCCGGGCTAATGATTGTTGGTGCTTCGAAAGTCAGAGGTATTTCGGGACGAAGGGTTTGCAGATTCAGAAGCAGAGATTGGTTACTTTGTTGCCGAAGGTGAATCAGGCCAACGTTTGAAGAGAGAGACTACTTAGACAGAACAGCAGGTAGCTTGATAGTTTTAGCGCGACTATGAATGTTCTCATGTATACAACGCAGGGCTTGCTGTATTACTCCCAGCCCATTTATTTATATAGCGCTGCACCATGATGTGCCCGATCCTTGGCGAATACCTCACAGGAATTAAGGAACAGGAGAGACGGGCGAAAGGTGGGAATTAGCGGATGAAAGGGGCCAGGAAGATGCTTGCGAAGTCTCCACAATACAATGCATGATTATGTGAGACGAGGCCATGCCGTGGGAGGTCTGAATCTTCACTGATACATATATGCGACTGAGGGCTGCCTAAGAGTCTTTGTAAGAGAACTTCAGAAGCGCTATCCTTAGAAAGGGGGTACGCAATCACCGAGTATATCCACCGAGTTTAAACCAAGCCCATGAGGTCTTGAGTCGAATGAGTGCGAAGCAACGACGCACCGATTCTGGAGACAGACGTGGTTAATCTGAAAACGATAGCAACCTACCATGAAGGCCCTGAACATTGCGCATACATTTCCGGTCAGAGCATCGGCCATTCAGCAATAACAGAACTTCCCTGCACACGCTAGAATAAAAGCTACAATAGAGCGAATATACATACAATACATCAACAACTAGAGCACAAGTACACTCTATTGCGCCTGCTCTGCATACACCTATCGATAGCATTGATAATGTCAGTAAAAAAAGCCGCTAGCGACAGAAGCTAACTTGGACGTACCTTGATGGTCTTGTCCGCACCACCCGTGATCAGACGTGTTCCCGTCATATCGAATGTCGAACAGAAAACGCCCGCTTCTGCCTCGAGGGAACCCGGCTGTGGGATATCATCCATATGTTGGAACGCGGTACCAGTGTCGTAATCCCATAACGTCAAAGTCCCATTGTCACCTGGCAGGTGAGAAAGTCGGTTAGTCTTGAGTGACCGGCAGAAACTCAGTTTGTCAGGTACGTACCGCCAGAGAAGAAAACTCCCTCCGAGTTCACGGAGAGTGTATTGATGATGGCGTTGTGTCCACTAAAGTTGAACACGAACGTTCCTTCGGGACATTTCCACTTCTTGATATTGTTGCCACCTGCTGATGCTGAAGCGAAAGAGTATTCCGTTGGGTGGATTGCGAGAGCGCGAACTGATTTCTTGTGGTGAGTCAAAGTCACCATGGTTTTGCCCGCTGCCAAGTCCCACAGTCTAACAACAAGTGAGTACTGAGAATATGACGATACACTGCGTGGAAGCGTACCGAACTGTGGAATCCATGGATCCGGTAATGACCTGAGGATCTGATTCTTGGCACTTCACGTCCGCTACGGTCGCTGTATGACCAGAGAGCACATGAATCTGCGCTTTCGTTCGCATGTCCCACACTCTTGCTGAAGCGTCCCGCCCCGAGGTAACGAGAATGTCAAGGGTTGGGTGGAGAGACAGTGCGTAGACACCTGATAAATGACCATGATAATGTCGGATAACCTTATTTGCTTCAAGATCCCAACATTTCACCATCTAGTTTGGGAATTAGCACCTCATTTCTCAGTAGGAATTCAACTTAGATGGCGTACCTTATCCTCACCACACGAGAACAAATACGGGTGCCGCGATGACACGGCTAGTCCACGCACAGTGGATATATGTCCCGTCAACGACAACTTCAGCTCTCCTGACGCCAGATCCCAAATTTTGATTACACGGTCTCCTGCACCTGTCGCGAACCATTGATTTCCTGGCTCCACAGCAACACTCCGTACCCAACCCAAGTGTCCAGAGATAACACGCATGAGTTTCCATGGTGGATGGAATGTAGGTTTGATTGTTCGCGTAGTTTTGTGCAGCTGGAGGGCTTTTGAGAGATTACTTGATGAGGTGAACGTGGATGGCTGGGGTGTTGGAGTGTTGTCGATAGTAGCAATTATCTTACTGGCGTCCGATGATGCTGCAGAATATCATGAAAAAACCAACGAAGGATTTACTAGGAATTCAACGCACGACCAGCTGTAATCATCTTCCTCTGTTCTTTTGGTCTTGACGGCCCTACAGGGCCCTGCTGGGCGAGTAATGGAGCGGGCAGCTCTTTGTAATCCGCGTATTCATCTTGAATCTTTACAGACAACCGTATGCGTGCACTGATATACCTGTAAGTTGCTTCCATTCAAGAGTATGTATTCAGAAAGCTCACCTTTTCTCCTCATCCTTCAGGTTATCATCTATGCTTGACGCGAAGACAGCATGCGTCCTCTTGCCGCTGACTTTCAGTAATGGATTGAGGGGAGGAAGGGACGCTTGAGCCATACTCTCTTAGCAAATAGAGGGTATAAGAGCTAAAGAACTAAGTGTAGGGACTGTAGTGAATCTGAGAATGGAGAGGAGGAGTACGGAGTCGAAAGATGGGCGCTCGCCATGCTCAACGGCGAGCTCTAAGCAGAAATAAGCGCCGATTTGGAATACTATAGACGCTGGTGGGTATGCAACCGACTCCGTGTTACGATCACTTTCATTTCGGATCTACGAACACACCTTTCCCTCTCGTTATTCATTTGTAACCACTTATTAAAACCTGCCCAAACACATTCATTGATCCATGCTCGAACCTGACCGATACCATAAGTATATACGAACACATTGATACCACATGTATTTAGATAATAGTTGTATATATACACCAGACGAACTTCGGATTAACTCCAAGTTTCGAATGGTTTTCACCTGCTCATTTCTAGTTTGATTTGAGTCCTATCATAATTCGAAACTTGCCCCTTCGCACTCTCTCGACAGGCATTGCCTCGTCCTCCACCCACACTTCACCTCACTCAAAGTCCGTTGTACTCGACGGCAACCACCTCATTCCTCATCCCACTCTGCTTTACTCTCACTCGCTCAAGACCTCATTCGGAGGGATCCGAATTCCACATTCCTAGTTACTTTTCTATCACACTCCACTCCTCCACCTGGGTAATCATGTGACTACAACTGTAGATTGCGACCCTTGTATTCCCTTTGTACATAAACCATTACTCTCACCTGGTAGTCCGCTCTTGAAGCAACCAGGAAGTAGGCGGTGCTGCAACCTTCTTGACAGAGGGGCCGTTGAAAAAATCTACCAGAATTTACCCTGCTCAGACCTAAACGACTGAGTGTACGGCAGGAGGTTTCAAACCTCGCTGGTATTTCTTGATCCTCTCGCACGTCGAAAGACAACTACCGCAGAGATCAATTTCTCTTTTTGCGCCTTCTAAGGCCAAACCATTTTACATAGCTACTACATCTACCTACCTCATGTGTCCGGATCGGCAATTGGCCGGAACACTTTGAAGGAGTACCTTTACCTCAGATCTATACTTGTCTAAGTACCAGAACAGGGTCGTGTGCCCGGTACAAGACACTATTGTTCATACATCATGTCTTCATTCGAATTCCCTGACTCTGTACCCATCTACCAATTCTACGAACACCGATCTCAACCTCCTCTTCTACCTCCATCACATTCATCTTTCACACACTCCACATCACCATCATCACCAATGGGTTCTGCCGCAACCGGAACTGGTGACCTTGAAACAAACCCACCACAACCACCACTACTCCGAGTTGTCAAAGGACTTGGAAGAGGGAAACAAATGGACCTACCGGTCACTGTGATCATCCTGGAAACAGAAAGAATCCATGATACAGTAGCATTAATCGACACCGGTAGTACCGGATCATGCATAAATTATAATTTCGTCAAAATACACGGAATTGAAACCTCTAAATTTGATCAACCGATCCAAGTCTATAACACCGATAACAGCGAGAATTCTCAGGGACCGATCACAGAATATGTCCAACTCACACTTCGAATCGGTGATCACCAAGAGAAGATCATGCTTCTAGTTACCGATCTGGGGAAGTCAGACATATTCCTCGGATATGAATGGATCGAATACCATAATCCATCAATAGACTTCAAATTGCAACTTGTTGACTTTAACCGATGCCCACACACGTGCATCACTATAAGACAACAAGAGATCGAAGAAAGAGATACCGTATATTTACTCAATACCAATGCTTGGTATAAAGAAAGAGGAGAATATATTCAGCGAATGCGCGTAACAGCCATGGACATAGCAATTGAACAAAGTAAACAAAAAAAGAAAAAGACCTTCGAAGAAATGGTTCCCGAACAGTATCGTGAATTCACAGATGTATTCACTGAGGATACTTTCGACGTCCTTCCAGAAAGGAAACCATGGGACCATGCAATAGAACTGTTACCAGATTCATCACCGTATGCAGGCAAGGTGTATTCCATGACTGTTGAAGAACAAAAAATCCTAGACGGTTTTCTTGAAGAAAACCTAAAGACGGGAAGAATCCGACCATCAAAGTCTCCCTGGGGAGCACCTTTCTTCTTTGTCAAAAAGAAAGATGGCAAATTGCGACCGGTACAGGATTACCGAAAACTCAACGATATGACCAAAAAAAATAAATATCCATTACCATTGATCTCAGAGCTTATTGATAAGCTCAAAGGTGCTAAATATTTCACGAAACTGGATATTCGCTGGGGATATAACAATATTCGCATGAAAGAAGGAGACGAAGAGAAAGCTGCATTCATCACAAATAGAGGACTATACGAACCAACCGTCATGTTCTTTGGATTGACGAACAGTCCTGCTACATTTCAAATGATGATGAATGACATTTTCCGTAATCTTATTCTCAAAGGAAAAGTAATCATATATCTTGACGATATACTCATATTTTCTGAATCTCTGGAGGAACATCGCCGTATTGTGAAAGAAGTCCTTAAAATATTACGAGAAAATAAATTAACCTGCAAACCAGAAAAATGCGAGTTTGAAACTCAAGAAACAGAATATCTCGGACATATTATTTCGCAAGAAACTGTAAAGATGGATCCTGCCAAAGTAGATGGAGTTACGCAATGGCCAGCACCAAAAGCCAAAAAGGAATTACAGTCATTCCTTGGATTCGCTAATTTCTATCGACGATTCATCAAAGACTTTTCCAAAATTGCCACTCCCTTGAATAAATTAACCGGACAAGTAGAATGGACCTGGGGTCCAGAACAGCAGGAAGCTTTCGAACTTCTAAAGAAAACCATTACCACAGCACCAGTATTAGGTATTCCGAACAATGAAGATCAGTTCAAAGTAGAATGCGACGCGTCGAAATATGCTATTGGAGCAGAACTTGCACAGAAGCAAGATGGACAATGGCGAACTATCGCTTTCTTATCAAAAAGCCTTTCACCGGCTGAAAGAAACTATGAGATCTACGATCGAGAAATGCTAGCCATCATGATCTCATTAGAAGAATGGCATCACTTCTTGATGGGAGCTGCACAAAAATTTGAAATTCATTCCGATCACAAGAACCTTGGCTATTTCAAAAAACCCCAGAAGTTAAATCATCGCCAGGCGCGATGGATCCAAGAATTACAACAATATGACTTCAATTTGACTCACAAACCCGGAAACACAATGACGAAGGGAGATCCTTTATCGCGACAGACCCATCACGATATTGGAGATAGTTATAATGAAAACATTATGTTGTTAAAACCAGAATGGTTCCGAGCCAATGAAATCCTCGGATCATCAGCTTTACGGGAGAAAATCATAAAAAACACTGATAAATATGAAAACAATGTACGATTAAAACTATTGACAAAAGATGCCGACTTCAATGAGACCGAGGACGGTCTTATCTGGAGAAGGGGGAAGATTGTTATGCCTTTTGACAAGGAACTCAGAGGAGAAATTATTCATTCGCATCATGACTCAATTAGTGCCGGTCACCCTGGACAAGCAAAAACACAAGAACTAATCTATCGATCATACTGGTGGCCTTCGATAAAAAAAGATGTAAAAACATATGTAAAAGGCTGCGAGACTTGTCAAAAAACCAAGATTAACCATCAACCGAAGAATGCTCCATTGCACCCAAATGCAATTCCGGAACACAACTGGGAATATCAATCTGTAGACATGATTACACATTTACCAGAATCGCAAGGGCATGATGCGATCATAGTAGTTGTGGACATGAAATCAAAAGACTACATTGAAATACCAACCACAGAGCAATTGACGTCAGAAGGATGGGCTAATCTTTACATAAAAAATGTATATCCGCTGCACGGATTACCAAAAAAGATGACATCAGATCGTGGACCGCAATTCGTATCCAGCTTCATAAAAGATCTATATAAGAAACTAGGAATGCAGGGAAATCCTAGTACGGCATATCACCCCCAAATAGATGGACAAACAGAGCGAATCAATCAGGAAATTGAAAACTATCTACGAATCTTTATCAATCATCGACAGACTGATTGGCCAGAATGGTTGCCACTGGCAACATTTGCATATTGAAATAGAGTCCACTCTGCGACTGGATTTTCACCATTCTATATGAATCATGGATGAGAAGCCTACACTGGTGTAGAAACCAAAAAGAAAATTCGTAATGAAACTGCAGAGCAGTTTGTAGCACGAATGAAGAAAATCCAAGAAGAAGCATCAGCATCCTTAACGTTAGCACAGGATGTTATGAAAAGACAATATGATAAACATAAAGGTGAAGCCATAAATTATAAAGATGGAGATTTGGTGTGGCTTGAAGCTACACATATACGAACGGACAGATCAAATCGAAAACTAGATGATAAAAGATACGGACCATTCCCAATTATCAAGAAAATTGGAGCTAGCGCATACAAGCTCAAATTACCAAAATCGTGGAAAGGTGTACATCCTGTATTCAATGAAACTTTATTGTTGCCATATCACGCACCAGAATTCCCTAATCAGAAAACACACAAAAACATTCCAATAATTATCGATATCTTAGAAGACAAAGCTGAATCCGTATTAGACTCCAAGATGGCACGTGGAGGCCTTCAATATCTAATCAAGTGGGCTGGAAAACCACGTTCTGAGAACACATGGGAACCTCGTCATAAAATTATTAAAAACATAGACAAAAAGATAATTGACAAATTCCATAAAGATCATCCCGATGCGCCAAAAGCACCCACGAGAATATTGTTAAAGGCACAAATTATGGAACAGTCATTTCCTAGAGAAGCGACACAAGAAGAATGGGATTATTGGGATCAGAAAGTACAGAGATGGGCAGAACGTCGTAAAAAAGAAAAAGCAATGATATCTGTGGACCCAGATTCGATTAAATTATTCGAAAATCGAAGAAAAGCACAAATCATATCTAATCAGCATTACCCGAATGCCGGCGAGTTATGGATCATCAATGAGCAGACGCTCAAACTGACACACGTGGCAATCACATCTGCGCCTACGAAAGTCAAACTCGAATGGCAATACCCCATTCTTTCTTTCTACCAACTCGTCAAACCAATAACAATCCCAAGTATGGACTCCCCTATTTTAGAACAATCATTCACTCAACCAATGAAAGCTCTTTGGTAGAAATGGACAAAGACGGAACCATCATCCTTAGCATCTTTGGTGGCATAATCCTATGCACTATTGGAGTGATACTCTGGGTTGTATGCCTACGAGAACGGGAGAGAGAAAACTCGGAAGAATGGATCATCATGGTATGATTGAACAATTCCATATCTATCATAAATTAATCGTGAGGACACGATTCTAGAGGAGGGGGTAATGTTACGATCACTTTCATTTCGGATCTACGAACACACCTTTCCCTCTCGTTATTCATTTGTAACCACTTATTAAAACCTGCCCAAACACATTCATTGATCCATGCTCGAACCTGACCGATACCATAAGTATATACGAACACATTGATACCACATGTATTTAGATAATAGTTGTATATATACACCAGACGAACTTCGGATTAACTCCAAGTTTCGAATGGTTTTCACCTGCTCATTTCTAGTTTGATTTGAGTCCTATCACTCCGAGTCGTTCTGACCGCTGCAAAGATATATATATTCTGAAGCACGACGTGCTATTTCTCTGTCTATCTTGTCTCAGAAAGGCTATTCTTGTGCTTTATCAGCTTTTATTTATACTCTGGTCGACTTGCATCGGTTTCAGCTTGCTCTTTTGGAGCTGTCAGAAGTATTGTCTAAGAATGTCCTACCGTGACTGATTCGGCACTTCACAGTATTTTACGAGTCTTTTCCTCTCTGAGAAAGCTCACAGCTAGCTATGTCATCTTCAGGGTCTACATAAAAAATCCGCAAGGTCCTCTTTAATCTAGGTCGATGGCTTGGATTCGACAAACGTCGAATGTGCATCCTGGAGGACAACCTCTCCCGACTGTCTCTAAGGATTGCAGAGGTAATATCATTTGAGACTCCTGCATCAGTTGTTCCCGAAGATCGCCCTTTCCGGGGTTCTTACATACTTACAATCTTGCACTAACACTCGTTCATCTTGTTGTCATGCCTGCTCATAACGTATTACGAGCTTCTCATCCTCTTCATCCTCTGAATGCTGATGCCATTACAGATTCTTTTGTGGAGGAGGTTTTCAAGATTTTATGTTCTCTTCGGATCCTAAACGCGATGGCAGGCCAGGGTACGATGGATAGCGTTACATCGTATGAGAGCTATCTCGACCCATAAAACTCTCGTTCAACGACTGGGAAGAGGTGTGAGCTCACACCTTTTTAGTCACCTCTACATGGGCAGGCCGCACGGGAGGAAAGACATGTGGGAGTCTGTGGAAAGAACAGACCTTAGTTCGCACCCAGAATCCTTCCAACAATTGCAGTCTTGAATTGTCCTATTTTGATTAAGAAGACTGCATATTCGTGTGTGACAGTCTATACTTTTGACTTCCAGATACATCTCAGTCTCTCAGAATTGCGGATAAATGTATGATATGCCAGTTAAAGAGTCCTCTTTGCATAGGGCCACACCATTTTTCCTTCTATATAATTCAGCCTGAAAAGCCAATAGCGGTAATTCACAACCCCGAGTAGCCCTCCCATGAAAGGTGATCTTGGTTTCTAAGTTGGTATAGCATCTTTCGGCTGATGATTTTGTACGTAACTTCTCGGCAAACTCAACGAAGATCTAGCTCGAACTGACACGTTGACATGACCACGCCTTCATCTCAGTCAGTCACCATTGTCTCAAGGTGAGTATCAGTATTGACATTGGATCAATATTTACTTCATCTCAGAGTTAGATGTCCAGTGCCGGCATGAATGTCAATCAGCCAGTCTTATCGTTTGACGTCCTAAGCGGCATTTTGGCATTTTCGTGCTCACGGAATGACCTCCTTGCAATGATGCAGGTCTGTCATACCCTGTATCGCGCCGGAATTCGGATCCTATTGGCAGAAGGTGTAGATCACTTCTCCTCTTCTACGCAACTTGCGTCGTTTTGTCTCTTCATGACGGTTGACCTCCCGTCTCGCTGCTCAATGATTCGCAAACTACATATCCACGCGGGCAGTCTCTGGGAGGACGAATTCGTTCCGAGTCGCGAAGATGTACAGACATTCGCGTCTATCCTACGACATGCGACTCGGCTGAACGAATTAACTCTGTTTGGCGGCGAGCAACTCGTCGAGAAAGCACCAGAGGTTGCTGCCGCTATATCCTCCCTTGCAAGTCTTCGAGTTTTAACCGTGGGGTCCGAAGATGATTCTGAGTGTGAAGGAATAATCAGCGCCTTGGAAAACATGCAATCGCCTATCAAATCACTGACCGTATGCCTCGATCCAAATGGCAGCGACTGTGGCCCAGTTCCGTTCATACGAGCGCTTCAAGCTAATCTCGAAACCCTCACGATCAATTGGGCTTTATGGATGTCAGAGAGGCTGGCTTCAGAGACTATCCTGTGTCCTGAGGTCAAATCTATCTCCATATATGATTGGGAACAAGAGGATATCAACATCGGAACGTTGATGAAGACCTTCCCAAACCTCCGCTCTTTGACCATTGATTCGGAGGTAGGTGAAGGGCACGATTCATATCACCCACTGGACGGGGATGATGATCGTCACCGAATGAATCTACAAAAGGATCAGTCACAGGGCTGGCCTTTTCTCAAAGCCGTTTGCGGGGGCATTTGCTCACTTTATTCACTCGGCCTAGCCCGTCCAGTCAACCATCTCACGTTGTCGGCGATGGGTTTGAGTCCACACTACGTCGACTATTTATCCGACATCATCTTGAACTGCAAGCCAAAACGTGTTACCATACCCATTCCGGAAGCAGAGCTGGAGCGGGCCTCGCGATCTTTTCGCGACCGGTCAATCGACAATGCGTCATTTCTGTCGTACCTGGACCTATTGATCAAAGTGGATAAAGCCTTGTCTTCGGACCAGATAGAGCAAATGTTGGTCAGTTGCTCATTAGCCTGTCTAATGTTTCGTAAATTCCGATACTGATGAGTATTTTAGGACCATATCGCTCTTGTCATTCATCCCTTCAGCCCTGAAGAGGTCACCATACGATTGCAGACACAGAATGGCGCGGCCAGTTTGGCGACTAGGTCGTACTTTGCAAGCGAGGAGCAGCAGACTGTCATTCAAAAGATCGGACAGAAATGCGTTGCGCCTTGCAAAGTTGCATTGTCGATAACGTCGGATTTTAAAGGACCTGGAAGCGGCGAACCATCGTTTCAAATTGCAGAGGTTGCAGGTCCTCATGTAGCTTGAGATGTTCGAAGGAGATATTACATTGTCAGAAGTTTGCCTTTCACCCGTTCAGGCATGGTTTTATTGGAGGGGAGAGTATATGACCCACACAATTTCCGAGTCATTTGGTAGATTCGCATTTCTGAGCCAGTTGCGTAACTTCATTTCCTGATGCATACCGTCACTACAAAGATTCCGCTAGCGGGCAAGTGGAATGTAAAGTTGGCTTGTGTTGACATAAAACAGGAGGGTGTTAGGATAATCTGAAGACATAGCCTACTATTCATCGACGGTTTGCGATGCGATAGCACTGGACATAGGTGAAAGTTGGGCTAAGCGCCGATAATGAAGCATTGTTAGACGTTAGACGCCCGATACGATACTACTGTACGTGCGCTTTCGTAGTATGTACTGTACCGCCCACTGGTAACGCTATGTTACGACGAGCACGTTTGTGATAGTATCTTTGAACACGCTTAGGAGGTGTTACAAACAGAGCTCGAATCATGACAGAGGGTGTGTCCTTTCAATCGTACGACAAACGGAAGTATCAACGCCAACTTCGAGGATGGTTGAGTTACGCCTTCGCAAGGTAAGTACGTCCGTTGAGTATTCGTCGAACTGAAATCGAGTTCTCGCGTGTAGTGAAGTCTTTGTAATCGTGTCCTTGACTCTGTTTCTTCCCATATGCTTGGAACAATTCGCCAGGTAAGTTTCTAACTTACAGTCGAGAACTAGCTGAGCTTATATAAAATCTATAGAGACAATGGCTACCTCCTTCCTGACAGGACCGTTCCCTGTTCCACAGTCCAACCATTAGATGCCTCTGAAGACAGAAGATGTGTTGTGAAACTAGGCTGGTTGTGGATAGACACAGCAAGTTTCAGGTGAGTGTGAAGGATGGAATCTACATACGTGATTTCAATGTTCAAGCATATATCAAAAGTCTATACGTCAACTCTCTCTCCGTGGCTTTGCAGGCACTTACCGTTATATCCATGGGCGGTATTGCAGACCATCGTGTGCAACCTTTCCCTTCTCAGCCCTCTTCTATGTACTGAGCTTTGCTTAGCACCGCATCGAAAACGCATCTTGCTGTTCTTCGCCTTCTTCGGCGCTATTTCCGCAATCCTCTTTCTCATTCTATCCTCCAGCTCGCCATTATGGCCTCTTTCAGCCTTGCTTGCCATATGTGCAAACGTAGGCTTTGGCGCTTCGGTAGTGGCTATGAATGCGTATCTACCAACACTTGCTCAGGAATCCGAAGAAGTCTCACAGAAGCGAGAAGCGTTGCACTCTTTAGCCGCCTCTCGACCCTCAATTGATTCTCAACCTAGACCTGCAGCTCTGGAGTCAGACAATGTTGATCAACCACTGCTTTCTCATCACGCCACCGAACATGTTGGAACTGACGACTCCGAACGAGCGAAGTTACATTCAGAATATCACGCTGTTCTGTCAGCAGCAACCTCGCGAATATCTTCTTTAGGTATCGCACTTGGCTATGGAGCTGGTATCATCCTCCTCCTCGCGACTCTCATTCCTGTGACGAAACTGGGAGGCTCCACGTTCTCGCTACGTCTCGCTATAGGTCTTAGTGGGATCTGGTGGGGGTTATTCTCACTTCCGTCTGCTCTTTGGCTGCCCGGCTCCTCCTCTAGTGAGCCTGTAGAGGAATGCGACGAGTCTATTACGTTTCATGCATCAGGCGACTGGAGCATGGGGCGGGAGATTATCAACGCATGGAAACGCCTAGGTGGTATGCTCCGCTGGCGCGAAATCAAGAAACTCAGAAACACATTCGAGTATCTTGCAGCCTGGTTCCTCCTATCGGATGGATTCACCACCATAACTTCCACTGCAGTTCTCTTTGGAAAGACTACACTCCACATGCCTGCTTCATCCCTGATTCTGATAGGCGTTATCACACCCACCTCTGGGATCATCGGTTCCCTCGTGTGGCCTATGATCCAAAGACGGTTGGGGTGGTCGAACATTAGAGTGCTGGTCACTTTGGTGGGTATGGCATCGGTCATACCTGCGTACGGATGTCTCGGCTTCTTGAGTTTCTTCCAGCATAGTGTCAAGTTTGGCGGCCTGACGACTCCAGGAGAGATGTACGCTTTGGCTGTTTACTTCGTCAGTCATCTTTCCTTCTTTGTCAAGGGAAATGAATTGAAATCGTATACGTGCTGATGGTTTGATCTGCGATAGGGATCTGTGTATGGTGCCTTCCAAGGGTATGCAAGAGCTTTCTATTCAGAGCTCATACCTCCAGGCGAAGAAGCACGTTGGTACGTCATCGCTTTTTGTGCAGGTCTCTTTCTTCTTTCATCTCCGTGTTTTATCGCTTCTTGGCTTATCACCCCGGATCCGACTGTGGCATCTTCTGACGCATTTCTTCCGTATGTGTAGGTATGGACTGTTCTCGATTACAGACAAGTCTAGTTCATTCGTCGGACCATTAGTTGTTGGCTTGATAGCAGATACTACCGGGAACATTCGATATGCGTTCTTCTTTCTTGTCTTTATGGTTTGGAGTGCCGTACCGATATTGTTGAGTATTAATGTTGAGAAGGGACGGAAGGACGCCAGGGAATACGTGTATCGCGGAGGAAGGTAGTATTTCTACCGGTGAGTAGATCACCCTCAGCCATTGGCACCTGGCGCTGTTTAATCAATCCACTTTCTACAGGGACTAGATTTCATGCAGGTATCTCACTCTTTGTAACATATTTAAGCATGGCGCTCAGTTGTTCTTGCTCTTCTCCCTCACACCGACGAATCAACTACTAAGAGTCCGTCTTGCGAATTGCTAAGCTCCTCGTTATCATTGTCCTGATCCCTTTGCTACTACTGCGCAGTGCTAGACAAGCATTCAAGGACCTTCTCGCTCGTCTTGAAACGCCATCCTGGCTCATTCCTACCTTTGAGGGAGATTGCCACGGAACTGTCATTTTCTCATGATATTTCTCGCGATTGTCCTGTGCTCTGCGATGCGGACATGCTGACCTCCGGAGACAAGAATTCACCGGACAAGAAGCAAATTCTTCGGCTACTGTTGACAGGTCAGTGCTCTTGGCTATACCGTCGGTTTTGCCCAGTACAAACTGTGAGTACCATGTAAGATATTCTGTCTCGATCTGGCTAGTATTAATGTGTACCCATGTCAATTGATGTTCCTCGCATAGGCAAATCGACTGACGCGAATCTTACCAGTAAACTCGTTACTCCATACCACTAGACCAACCAAAGAACGCAGCTAAAGTGAATGTCGAAGTACCCTCATCGATAAGACACGTCTTGCGCAGCAGGCGTTCGTATGGCTCTGGCCCCTGATCGTCATTTCAATTGTGTTCAGGCTCACAGGGCCAGGTTGTCCAGGCTCACAGTCTGCGGACAACCACGTTTTTCACCCTCGACGCAGTGCTACTGCACGGTTGGACAACCTACAATATACCATAGAAAACAAGGCGAAAGTGGCTTGGGTGCCTGGGTGGCGGATGTTTACGACTTCGGCATTTGTAATATCGGCACATATGCAAGACGCCTTTACTCCAAGAGAGGATGTTTCCATTCATTTCCTAGGGGTATGTACTACATCTGTCCAAAACAGAGTTAGGCTCCGCCGTGCGGCATGAGCTCATCATGGGTCCAGTTTCCTTGGAACGACAGCCCCATGCCGTGTGATATCACCTGGATCCACCCTTGATCGAACCTAGTAGTATATAAACCCTCAGCATCCCACCATTCCACTCACAACAGCACACCATGTCTATCGAAGAAGGTCACAAATACAGACTCGTCAACGCCAAGAGTGGTACCACTCTTGATCTCTCTGGGGGCGACAACAAGTCCCTTATTGGATACGACTGGCACGGCGGAGAGAACCAGAAGGTACGCTGTTGTTACTGCGACATACGGCTCCGCGACTTACATGATTGCAGTGGATCCTTGAACGACAGGGTTCTGGCTGGACTTTTAAGAACGCTGCCTCTGGGCTCTACTTCTCCGTCGAGGGCAATGCCGAAGACGGGTCTCCAGTCACTGCCTCGGAAAACCCTACTCAATGGGACATCTGGCCCGACGAGGAGGACGGCTCGGTTTATCGGTGAGTCTTGTGTTCATGTATACATCGGGATACATGTCTGATTCAATGTACAGGATTTTCCTGCCCAACACTCGTTTCAACATTGATCTCGCTGATCATGGTAATCCTACCCCAGGAACTGTGAGTCCATCCAGCCAGATAGCATGACCACTTACTGACATATCAATAGCTTGTGACGCTGTGGAACAAGTGGCACCCCGGTGTCAACCAGTGCTGGCGTTTCGAGCAGGCTGATTGAACGCTGATGTTCGGGAAAGGACGATTGATTCTGAAAGGATGCACATGTACAATAGCTTGATGCAGGGTTGATGCACAAAATGAATACTGTATCGTTGAACAACCTGATCTCGCGTCTGTAATTAAGATAAGATTGTTCATCACTAAATCGCTTCATTTCGGGCGACGTCACCGAATGACTCGAACGTTCTGGTGAGAGTGTATAAGTACCGGGTTTGTTGCATATGTTACTAGCCTCACCATGTCTGACCCATACGACGTGAATTTCTGCTTCCCAGTACGAGAACTCCAAAATGATAAAGTGAAATTGACGCCATTCATAGTGAGTAAATTGCTGCGGAATTATCATACCACGAAACTCTTCAAGCCGTCACTACATGCAGAATCCTGGTTCACTGCAAGTCGGGACCATCCCGAACTGTATGACTGGGTGCCCTTCGGTCCATTTGACGCAAAGGAACACTGGGTCAAAACCGTGATCGAAGAAAGAATTCAACCAGATCCCGGCACACTGTTGTTCGCTGTCTTTGATAAGGTTAAAGCACCACCCGAATCGTCAGACTTTCCCTTGGCAGGACACATCGGATTATTGAATACATCGGTGGAAAACCTGATGACCGAAGTTGCCTTCGTCTTCACAATTCCCGCGTACCGGAAGTCGTATGTGACATCCAATTCCATAGGGTTGTTGCTACACTGGTGTTTAGACCTTCCAGCGGACGGTGGTTTAGGGCTGAGAAGGGTACAGTGGCAATGTAACGAATTGAACGTCGCGTCGAGACGGGCGGCAGAGAGGATGGGATTCAAGTTCGAGGGCGTGGAGAGATGGCAAAGATCGTTGCCGTCAGGAAAGCAAGGGCCAACGGTGACAAGAGATGATCCGAAGAAGCAATATCCTGGGAGGCATACTGTGAGGCTAGCTTTATGCTGGGATGGTTGGGATGAGGCTAGAGAGCTTGTCAGGAAGCAGATGAACCGCATCTAATCAGAATAGCAATATGATTCAGGTAGTATATCCATCTACCAGTATGATATAAAGTGAATACAGGTCTACTTCGTCTTGTCGTTCCAACTGTTGTCAACGTCATTAGCACTGAAACACTAGAGGAAACAGAGGTATAAGGATACTCACATATCTAAGAACAACTTCCAGAGAACCGAAAACATCAAGCCCTGAAGACCGTTTGCCAATATCCTCGTCTTCAATCCACGACCGAATAAACCTTTCAAACCATCAGTAGCAATCACCGCTTCAGCAGCTTCAAAGTATCCGATTCGTGTCTCGTTCACTTGTCTGTATGTCTTCACCACTCGTAACGAGTTGGAGATCGTGTCAGAGATGACAGATGCGCAGAAACCAATGAATGCTTGGCGAACGAACTTCTCAACAATAGTCGTAGGTTGAGGTAGGTTAACATCGAGGATATTATATGTAGCGAACCACTGAAGGGAATGTGAGAATGAGAACCCGCACTACAAAACTTGCATAGTGACCTACAGGGTAGTGACCGACGAACGTCGCTGCTGCAGTTGCGACGGCACCGTACCACAAAGTGCCAATGCCGTACGTCCTAACCTGTGCAAAGACAGATACAGTATTTACAAACGTCCTATTATGCAAGGCAAGGACGCATTTACCCTAGTTTTCAAAATCGGCCATCCAGCCTTGCCCTGCGTCTGCAGAGTAGTCTTCACGGTATCGATTGGAGTCAAGATCATTCGGAAACCAGCAGCAGCCAGCGAAGCGAAGATAGTCTTGATCAATGCGGGGAGCTTCTTCATATATGAGTTCGACTGAAGCAAGGCAAGAATTCCTGCATTGGCGGCGGTATCACCAAAGCGAGCAACAGGCCCTTGGATAAGGGCAGCTGTAAGACCCTGGTAGTACCGAGTCCAGCCACCATCTGCGTGAAGCGTCTTGATGGCAGTCGTCATATGTGTCCCATAGCGATACTGATAGTTCATAACAGTACGAATGGGCATGAGGGTCAGGACCTGCAGTATCATGGCTTTGCGAAGGGTAGTCAGCTAAAGCAAGTCTAAAGAAAGCGAGCATGAATATTCACCTGCAGCCCCACTGAGCCCACCGCCCAAAGCACTCATCAGAGCTTTCTTCAGATCGAACTGGAGGTGGGTGAGCTCCCTGTTCGCATCCGGCTTGCCAGTAATCGCATACGCACGTCGACATCGTCGGCATCTATGAATCCCTTGATGAAGATGGCGAGCAAGAAAAGCCCAACAACCGTTGCAACAGTATACCATCCAATGGACCACCAACTTCGCTTCTTCTCTGGCGGGGACCCAGCGGAAGCAACTCCTGTCCCTTCGGTATTCTCATCGACCAGAGTGGGGTCATCGGCAGCCTTGGTCAAAAGTGGCTGTCGTTCACGATCAACCGCATCGGACACCGACATGGTGAAGGTGGTGGTAGTGGTTGAAGTAGAGATATGGCGACATGGCAATGAGAGGATTGCGGTACACTGTTGCCCTGATTGCTGAGTGAGAACGCTAGCGTGGGTCAAACTACACACGTTTGCGGAATCTAATCTTATCATTCATGTCTGACGAGAGTGTGCTGACATCCTATGTATGTACACAGAAATGTCAACAGTGAAGCTGGAAGTTGGAAGATATAAGTTGTACAATGTACGCTAAAAGGATCGGAGAGGAATGAAAGAGAAGGGTTGCAAAAATAGTATGAGCGTAGAGAGAAAGAATATGAATATGCAAGATAATGAAAGGGCACCGGAACGAAACGATAGGGAACGATCGTTATCACACAAGACGAACATGTCTCTAGGAGAACTTCCATCTGTAAGGAAGGAAGGATCAGGCATGCGGATACTCGAACAGGACTATAAAAACGTACCTATTGTTACAAACGGTACAACTGTAGGACAGTATGTGAGTTTCCAACATAAGAGGTAATACAAGAGAAAGCAGAACGTACGTCACAAAGGTCTGCGAAAGAGTATTTCCTGTGAGAAATACTGTACTGACACAAAAACAACTCAAGACTTACCGTCATAGGTTCATCAGCACTTCTAGTTTGGGCTTGACGATAGCGACATTTTCGCTGGAACGATCCCGTCAGTCTTTACATGCGATCAAAGGGTTATAACGATGCATACTTGTTTGCATCGTCCGCATTGGAAGGCGTCTGTCTCTGCTTGAACTTCTTCAGCGCCGAGCGTCCTGAACAAGTTCTCCTCCGCGATTCGCTTGTCTGCTGCCTTTCGCTCCTCGGATGCCATTTCCTAGATACAGTGGATAAGTTTCGGGTGCGACGTTGTGTACTGACGTTACCTACTTGACTAGTCATTTTGCAGAACTTCTGGACTAGCAGTTCCCCAGAAACGATACTCTCACGTAGACTCGGATTGTTCTTATCTTTGAGGTTAACGTAGAGCGATCGGATCTTGCTCTTATAAGCACCAGTGACACCTCCGAATTCTGAGAGCACGGTGCTTTCGATACCCTTTGCTTTCAGAAGAATTTGGTCCACAGCTTTACAGGTCGATACATGAGACGCGGTAAGAGATTGAGATAATTGTCACGTACGTGAGTTTGAATCAGATGCAAGGGCATCGTATATCAACTCTGCACATTTGTTCCTGGTCGTATCACCAACCAATATACTGACTCCATCTGTTTTGGCAGATCGAAGTTCTGATTTAGAGCTGCTCGCCGACATGGACGGTGTAGCTGGCGTAGACGGTGTAACAGAGGATGTGGAGGCTATAGATGACTTTCGAATAGCTGAAAGGAGGTGAACAAATAAATTGAGAGACAATAACAATCCAGACCACGGACCTTGTGACTTTGTACTTATGGTCGTAGACTTCCCGTCCTTCTGTTTCTCCCTTTCTACCTCATTCTTCCACTTCTTGACGATCTCCTTGGCTAATTCCGATATCGTCTTTGACGAATTTGTCCGGAGTTTCCCAACTGCAAGACCAGCCTTACTCTCCTACAGAATACAGGAGACGCCACGAAGGCGCCAAACGTCAGAACGATCGAGTTGAGGCAGAGAACGTGATGCTTACCCTCAGAATGGCCTCGGTAATCCTCGGCTGCTGTTTGAGAGTATTCAAAATATTGACGGTCTCCTAGAAACGCCATAATAGCGCGAGAAAGGGCATGTGGGTCAGTAAAGGACGAAATTGGTCGGGGAGTAACAGGGACGCCATAGGGAATTCACTCGTACCTCATCTGTCGATGCCTGTTGCAGCGATTTCACCAGGGTTTTCAACTCTGACGTCGCAGACATAGCTTGTTTCAGCTCTAGCCTCTCCAACTATCTACGCTTTACAGACGTATCGACCTCTTCCTGCTGCTCACAAGACAACGACGATGGTGAACGCTAGAGACAAGGCCCTGGCCTAACCGTAAACATCCTGCTTATAGTATGCGATCGGCAGTTGCCGAGCTGTAGTAGAACTTAACTTTCTGCTTCTCTGCTGTGAGGAAATAGTTCGGCTTGTAATGTATAAGAAGTGCATGTTTCTCCACAGTAGCTGTATTTCTATCCATAACTTGCAGCGATGAAATAACTCATCGCTCAGAAATCGAGTGATTCATGAAAGGAGGCGGCAACTGCCGAGGTGTTCAGACGCGTTTCCACGTGAGCGTGTCGTTCGCGTTCGCTCGCCCTTTTGACGATCTTTTATCTTTCTTTCACTCCTTACACTACTTACTAACAAGTTCACGATATGGGCGAAGACGGCGAGGATGTCAAACCCAAGCTTAACATTGTAGTTGATTTTGAGGGACAAAGTCAGCATATTCACCGTTTCTCCGCGTTGAACTCGTGTAACTAACTCATGCAGGCTGTACCATTCTCGTGAAGCATAACACGCCTTTCAAAAAGATTTTCGACGCCGCCGAGGTGAGAGAAATTGCTCCATAATTATGAAGCCGTCTGATGGTGTCTGAACAGAAACGTTTTGGGAAGGAACCAGGTGCCACTAGTTTCCCTCGCGCTTGAGCTCAGTTGATTGACGCATGCGACACAGGGACGTTTAAGTTCACTTATGAGGGTAAACGTATCCAGGCCACCGAGACGCCATTAGATGTGAGTGTTGCAGCAAAATCATCTGATATGCACACCGCCTTAGACAAACTCTACAGCACGAAATGCAGGATGGGGAAGTGATAGATGCTCATCTTCAGCAGGTGAGTTATTTTCTTCGATTGCAATTCCTCCGTCAACATACTGAAAGCACCTAGCTCGGAGGATCACTGTAAAATATCATATAATAAGGAGTAATTTTATCTCAAGCCCTGTATACCACTGTATTCCCCTGCTTTCCACATATTCAAGGTTTTTTCGCGTCTTGCCACGAAGAGCTCTTATAACATGCATCAACTGGTGAACCGTGGCTCTGAAGGTGAGCTAAGCTCTTGAGATATAGTCATCGTTAACGCCGCTCCCATGATCTGCACAGAATTACGAAGTGTATCTCAATATGTTTCTCGCTATTGCTTGATGCATCAAGTCGTGTTGCGTTGTCGGCTGACACTGCTTGATTAATGGCGTTTACGCGGCCCACTGATGTGGACTTCGTTGGCATTTCCATGTCATCTTGACAGAATCTTCCAAAGGTCAGGGACCTTAATCCTGAAAACGTCTTGATAAGAACCCGCAGTGAGATTGTTCACTGGCAGCCCGGCTTAGCTACGGTGACTGTGCGTATCAATTTACACGTGAGTCGCTTATTTTTATTCTTCCTGACAGAAGTGACCAATGGTGTAGCTTGATGGCTGGGATTCGACAACCTGTTGCTTGATTCGATACGGTCAATGTGGCTGAACCTTCGGACCTTCACATATCGTATGACGCTCAGAAATGTATAAAGCCAACTCAGTTGCACGTTTTTATCTACAGCGATTTGCGACGTCTTCACACCTCGCATCCATATTTTCTGCAGATCATTCACACTCAACATGTCTTTTACTTACAACCGTATCGACAAGGACAAAGCCATGCTTCTGGTTGTTGACCACCAGGAGGGTCTATTCCAACTTGCACGGGACCAGAACCCCACCGTGATGAAACAGCATATCCTCGCTCACGCAGAGCTTGCTAAGGTCTTTGGTCTTCCTACAATCTTGACCACAAGTGCTGAGACGGGTATGAGTTCCACCTCCAGATACTTTCAGATTCAACGCTGATCTAGACGAATATATGTAGGACCCAATGGCCCTCTTCCGGCGGAAGTCATCGCTTTGCATCCCGAAGCACCATTCATTAAGCGTAATGGCGAAGTCAACGCCTGGGATAATCCAGACTTCAAAGCGGCTGTTGAAGCCATCGCCCAGACGGGTCGCAACCAAGTAATACTTGCTGGAATTACCACTGACGTACGAGATCCTTATCAAATGCGTAGACATCTGATCGACCCGCTCTCCACTGCAGGTTTGCACTGCCTTCCTCGCGTTGTCCTTGCGGGAGGCTGGATTCTCCGTGTTCGCCAATAGCGACGCGTCCGGCACTTTCAATGCCAAAACAGCTAGTGAGGCAAACGATAGGATGCGTGCTGCAGGGGTGCAAGTTCTCTCGTTGTTCGCGGTTGCCTGCGAACTTATGAGGGACTGGAGGAACACGCCTGGAGCTACCCAGCTTCTTCCTTTCTTTGATAAGTAGGTCATTTAAATTGTATGAGATCTTCCGCTGATGCGTTTATAGGTACCTACCGGAATATGGATTCCTCGCCAGAGCCCATGATGCAGCGATCCAGAATGGCACCCAGTCTGGATTGTAATGGCTGTCCTGAAGAATAGGAACATTTCTTTGTTGCTCGGTTGATCCGCCAATCCTCTTGTCAACACCTCCCTTCGTCGCTCGTGGTGTAATTCACGTGTACTCGCTGAAAATCCATTAGATCTTCCTTGTTCAGACCTTGTGTATGCCACGTGGGTCGGAGTAGTACTCCATCGCCGCATTGCATGCATGCTGTAGAAAGGTGCCTCCAAGCCTAGTGAGATATAAGTCGACCAGTAGTGTCTCACGGCCCAACTTACCATTGACTGTCACTATGGGTGCTACCTCAAGTTCTTTGCCTCCTGATAACAATGACATTCATGAACCTGTCCCACTCACGTCCGAATCATCGTTTGAAGATACATATATCTCTCCTGGGGGGTTCGAGACTCCGAAGTCTGAAATGTCAGACACAGAGATTGTACCGCATGTCAAGCAGGAAACGCTCGACGAGAAACCGACGCACACCCAAGAGGAGCATGAGGTTTCCAGGGACCCACTCGCCGTCGTTACAATAACGAATGTCAAGAACGGGGCAGCCATAGATATATCCGGTGGGGATGGGAAGAGCATCATCGGGTTCCCATTACATGGCGGTGAAAACCAGCAGGTGTGTTATTTCTTCAAGTCCATGGAGATATTTCTCAAACAACGTTGCAGTGGAGGATAGATAAAATGGGTGAAGGACACGCTATTGTCAATCCTCATTCCGGCCAGTACCTCCATCTAACGTTTGAGAATGATGGTATCCGTTCGTCGGCGAGTTGTTTCCCATTGACCTGGAGACTTCAGAAGCTTGGGGAAGTCGATCATATATACCAGTGAGTAGACACTGCGACACTTGAGACATAGCTCACTTACCGTCCTCAACTTTGTCAGGGTGCTTTGGCATAGCGGAGAGTTAGCTTTACACCTAGAAAATGGGACTCCGGGTACCAGGGTCTGTACCGCCCTGGGCCATGAATGCATGATGACTGATTTCCATGTTCCAGGTTCAACTCAGGCCGACGAATCCCGAAGATGAAAGCCAAGTGTGGAAATTGACACCTTGTGGCTCCATTGTTGGAGATGAATCCAAGAAACTCCACCAGTCACTATCTCCGCAAATTGTTGACACTGTTATAACTTTGGATGGCGGTTCCAAGACAATTCGAACCACCACGACTATAACAACGGTCACCACTGTCACTGAGGCGCCTTGTGTGAAGTGCCTGTAATTATCAGAAAGACCTTGTAATTTAATATCGCTCCGAGAACTACGAAGTACTTTGGGATACACTTAGAGGTTTCAGAGTGTGAACTCGGCTTGGATAATTTCAAAAGACTGAGCATGTTCGGGTTGAGATTATACCCGTTGAAGACTTCGTGAGTGGTGGTTGCATACTGCACCAGGTAGTACGAAGGAAAGGTAACCAGACGGTAATAATTACTGCACTGTTTTATTCATCATAATGGACGATAGAGTCCACATAAACAACCTGGATAGTATATATTGATATTCTTCTACAAGATTTCAGTGACTAAAACACATAAAAAAGAAAGATTCGTGAAATATATATACTACTACCGAATTAACGGCGAAGAGAGTAATATTGATCCGGATGAATGACAATGTGTGCTCCTTCAATGGATGTCGAGCTCCGATTATACGCTTAGAATACAATACTTCGTTTGTGGAGACGAGGCTGTCATTTCATTAGTATTTACCTAGTTAACAGGAAACGTACTCACATGATATACAAAACAATTTGAGTCTTCACTGACCATTGCCCCTCCAGAGTTGACGTTGTCATAATTTCCGGGTAAACGCACCGTTCCCCAGCGATATGGTAGCGAAGTGGTGACGGGATCTGAAAACATCTGCGAGGGGTCATCCAATATACCGGCTTCGTGCATCAGCTTCATTGTTCTCGCCCCGGTCACATACTCTTCATTCATTAAAGCCTTCCGAAAGGTCACCTGATTGAAATCGGCTACAAACACATATGGATTCCCTGAGATGTATGTAATGCTCGTAGTCTCTAAAGCTATCAGGTCAAAAACGATCAAGAAAATGACAGTTTTAAGCCAGCGTACTGCACGTCACGGTGCTCCACAAGTATGAGCAGATCCTGGGCGGGATCAAAAGCATAGTCACGAAGAGGGATATGAACGTGGTTCAACGACCATCTTCGTTCATCAATGTTACGTGCGCGCGATTAAAGCTGTACAAAGACCAGGGATCTTCACTCGCCTGTGATAGTATGTTTCCGCGTATATCCCAAACGCGATCAGACTCCATATCCACGATCACCATAGGATCGAAGCGCAACTGGTCCCAAGCAGCCTGGTATTCATTCAGAATGAGTAGACGACCATGCACAGACGCTTAGTCGAAGGCCCATCTTGCTGCCCATTCAGGCTTGATTCAGGCCCAGCCGTATCTCGTACTGGAGACGTGCATCGTCACGGTTCCGTGTGATGATATCAAGGAGTTTGCATGCCTGTATCTTGAACATTGATCACTTAGATTGTATAACATCTTAAAAGCCGAGAACCTGACCAGTCTGTATTTCCTTCTAACTGGGCGCGCGGAAGATTTGGATAAGAAGTTCGATCGGTAGATGTGAGGTCCTGTCATCGTCCCTGCCGGCAGAGCTCAAAACACCGTGTATTCCTGAAAAGGCAGTTTTGATGGCGACTAACTTAAGTTGTTACCTGAAACTGGCGGCCAATTTCGGTCGTCAAGCAACAAAATTAAAAGTTCCTCGATTTCGGTAACTTCCTGTCTTTCCACATGCAGTGACATTGCTGTGTTCATAGAGTTGACTTCGGACCACGTATTCACTTCTCTCTCTCTCGAGAAGCGGATATAACCAGTATTCTTCAACCTCTAACTGTATCGCAAAATAAACGCTCACTACACAAGGCCTAGTGGTGTACCTCCCTCCTTTGCTGTTCCAAACAGCTCGCCTTGCATCAATGCATGAGGAAGATCCTATGTCGGCAAACGATACTGTAGTGGAATCGATACCTTTACACGCTCCGCAACCGGCATGTCCGTCAGTCAGCCCCATACCTGCGGTCTACATTGAAATGGCTGGAACTCCTAGTCCCAGCTCAACCTCTTCTCGTCTCCCTCAAGATACCTCTCTACTCTCTCCACCTGAACATCGTCGGTTTGTGTCCAAACCTCGCCCGGAGAAACCCCGCAGACCTTCATCCGCGCCACCTACTGTCATTAGCTTTGACGGCCAGATCTGCTCGTTTAACGGGTATCCGAGCGACCCCCCTCAACGTGACAGGCGTAGCTCCTTTGCTCAGGACATTCGACCGGGTGATCTGGTTCGCCCTTCACCATTACTTTGTAAGTCGTATCCTTAAATTATTTATTAGACAAGCATATTCTAAATGTCTGTCCCAGTTCGACCCACCACCTTTTGGCGGAGGCATCCTCAGTCCGGCGTCCGCGGTGCTTCATATTCTCCTTCGGCGCACGTCATCCGTCGTTCAACCTTCATTGCCGCAGGACTTTCTTTTGACAAACCGGTCGCAGATATCTCTGCTTTCGGTGTAGAGTCGCGTGTTGGCATTGTCTTCCTTCCATCAGACATCAGCCTTTAAACACAATGCTCCGCTCATTGCTAATTTCTCTTCTCTCTATCTCATCGGTTCTCGGCGATACTGCAGATACTACAGCGCAGTTGAGAAGGCTAGATGCCCGTGAAATAGATATTATCCCTACCGATTTCGACTGGTATCCAACTACTCCCACTTCCACGTTTCCTCTGGCCGAGGCGACCTCAGTAGTCGCTATACCATCCATGGCTGCTGCTGTTACAGGTGGAGGGACAGATGCAACGCAAGATATGCCAGATCTTAGCCCCATCCTTCCTACACCTCCATTCGACGATCCAAATGCCTCCACGACATCTTCATTAATTCGAATTACTGCTCTGCCTCCAGCAGCAACTTCAACCCGACGAGACTTACGTCCCGTCAGAAAGTCTTTCAATACACTCTACCTTGCTCCGCTGTTTGCAGTGCTAGGTGTAGCATTGGGCGCCATATGTGCCTGGATATTTCTTCATTGTCGTTCTCGAAGACACGGTGGTCGACGTTACTCCAATTCATTTGAACCAGGTCCGGAATATCGTATGCCCTCTTCTCAAGGAGAGACGCGTCATGCACCTGTCCGGCCATACCGTCCTCCCGAAGCTACGCCTACCGCCCGACATGCTAGGCGCGCCTCCAGGGCGTCGGTAGCCGCGGAACGTGGGATCGTGAATGAATCCGCTGGTGGGTGGTTCACGCGGATGCTGTCCTTACGCAGGACTGCTACTACTCATACAAACACCGCTTCCGCTCACGACACAGAACTTTCCTTAATACACGCAACGCAGGGTAACGAGTCATATTCCCATTATGACGAGTATGATCCATTTCTCGAGGTCCCATCTGCCACAAGAGGGACATCTGAAGGATCAAGTACACTAGCCAACGCTGCACCAATGAGATCCCGCTCGCTGCTCACCACGTCTTTCCTTTCTCCCGGCTCTCTTGGGGATGAGGACAGTTGGGAAGAAGTCCCATATGATACATTACGTCATAAATCAATTCGTCGCGGTATTCTTGACAGGTTGAAGAATGGCACAATGTATAGAAATGGCCATAAACGGGAAGATTCCGATCATCTTGTCGAAGCATTACGGGCTTCTGGTGGCCCATATTCCCCTTTAGCTCATGACTCTCCGACCAGAGATCGAACCCGAGCGAGCAGTACAACTGCGGTCCCGGTGGAGATCTCCCAAGAGAGAAGTGGTCCGGGTTTTAGGATTGTTGAGGATACTGAAGCAGGACTTGGATCTTACGAGAATGCAGGTTGGAAATGGTCGTTACCTTGGACATCGTCTCAAAATAGGCTACCAACAGAAGACAAATTCACAGCGTTACCTTCTAGGAGAAGTATTGCGGAGAAGCGGAAGAGTCCTTCACCTTCGCCCGTCAAATCACGCTCTAGACCATCGGGTGTTGTAGCTGTCTCTGCGAGCGCAGCGCGTCCCACAGGAGCTCCGCGAATCGATACATCTGTTTTACCTTCAAGTCCACCATTGCTCGTGTCATCTCCACTAGAGACTGCACTCTTCTTTGGTCCCATTACATCCAACATCGGAGCCGGTAGTCCAACGAAGAGTCCCGGCAGAAGCAGATCTCGCAAGAAGTCCACAGTTACCTCAAAGGCTAAGAAACGGAATGAATCGCATGTTCCAGATGAACCATCTTTGCTTCCCTTCCCTTCGAATGGCACGGACTCGCCGTATCGTCATCGTCTAACCAAGCAATCACTACCTCCAAGGGACATGACCCCCGTTGCATCGCCGGTTACAGCAGCGCACTTGATGTCACACTCACCACCCTTCAATGCGAAACAAACTCGAAGTCCAGATGAACAGTTTGCTATGCAACATGGTGCACTAGACAGGGTCGATGCCATACTTGCAAGAAGTTGGAGTGAACGCGAACTTAGAGGGGAGGAACGGCCAAGTAGCCCTACTATGTTCGGAGCCTTGACGGTCCCGGAACATTCACCACTTGGTCGTAATTGGGATCAAGAAATCCACGCGATGGGCGGAATTGAAGAACGGTTGGGCAAGTCCCGGCCGTAAATCTCTGGGAACATTCGGATTCATTATGGGGTTTGGTTTGTACTTTGGGTATCGCGTCGAATTCGCATTCTTCCATACGTCATCTTCTTGTGTTTCACACTAGTCTTCGGTGTATCGCTCAAGGAGTTCAGTACACACGAGGCTGCGAAGCTCTCGACAGGATGCACGAATGACTACACTTTGGGTGTCAAACAATGAGCTTCTCAGCCAAGACTAATATGTAGTCGTTGGCTGGCAAGTGCTAAATTATCTCTGTACCGATTGGTGCCTACATTCTAGTTTGACATGACGAGCCGTTTATGAAATGACAATCCATCCGTTGCGTAATTTGCTGTGTTTTTTCCGTTCAGTAGCGAGCACTCTCATTCGCGGCACTGCAGCGCTAGAATAGGCTATGCAGTGTCGAATATGGTGGTAAGTTATCTGCGGAATGCATTCGTCGGACCTCCCCGTCGAATCCTTCTGACTCATTTACAGCTACATTCAGAACGATAGGCCCCTCCAAAAAAATCATTCAGTCGCTTGCGCTACGCGAAGCAATGCCGGTTCGACGGCAGACCCGCCTGACGCTCTGGCATTCTGTCACTCCCCGTCACGCCGTATTTCTTCCATGCAAGCCTCGCGGCCACTGTTCAGACACTGCCGTCTTGTACAACGCTTCCGTAGTAATAGCACCTCAGATACTCCCATCTGTACCTCTTCGTTGTGCTCCCTGGCACTTGCCTGAGGATGAAGCAATACAAGGAGATCGCTTGCAGCATGGTCCTTGAGCATAGTCTCAAGTACAAGATGGTCAGTATATATACCGGCATAAGCGTGCATGCAATAAAGTGCTTAATGAAGAACCACCGCGAAACGGGAGAGGTTGAAAGGCCTCCAATCTGTAGCGGCCATCTGTGTCTTCTTGACGCACTTGAGGTGAACATAGGTAGCCTGACTCTTGCCATTATCTACAGTACTGTACTCGAAGTAATCGCGGGGCCTCTGCGTGCACCTAGAGCTGGCAGTGTAAGTCCCGTGTTCAGGCTATTGTGGCTCCGCCACGCCGTTACTCAATGCTCAGCTGACTGCGCCTCTTTCGTAGTGCTGACATCATTCAGCAGATACTTTTTTTTTTTTTTTTTGTTTTCCCGATTTATTGTCCCCGAGGGCTGCGCCCTATGTTAGACAATACAAGACAAGTAAACTACGTGATAAGGAAATATTAGCCTAAGAGACAACCTGAAATATAAGTGAGCAACGGCTCAGAGAGAGAATGAAGAAATAACGAAAAGAGACATTATACAGTGGATAAGCTGGGTAACTACGCGCAGGACGAGGATGTTATGGACACTGCGCCAGTGTTCTGCAACTGTGGCCATTGAAGGCAAGACCCCGGAGTAAAACCTGCCACACTAATTCAATTTTTGCTACGGTCAGGTGTCGAGGTTGGTCCACCTTCCAACGACATAACTCTGCCGGTTCTGGGAAACAGCTTTCCAGTGAGGCCACCAAGTATGCTATATACGCCAATGAGAGAGATAAGAGAAGTGAACGCCGATAGAGCAGGAATGCAGAACTGGAAGGAAAAGGTAACGGGAGTGGGTATCTGATCTGAATGGGAGGTACGACATTCCTTGTTAGGTGATCATTCTCTCATAATGGATCGTAAATCTCCGTAGGTATCTGCGAAGCAGGCAGTAGCATGTATGAAGGTGAAGAGCAGTTTTACCACTTTGGGGTTGGACAAAAGGGTGGAGATTGAGGTGGCTGCTTGTCCGACAGAGCAATGCAGTGCATCGCGATACTGCTCGAAGGTGGGGCACAGGAGGAGGAAGTGGTGTACTGTTTCTTGTGCAGCATTGCACGAGGGGCAGCACAGGTTATCCATTATACTGATGGTGTGGAGGTGTCGCTGGAGAGGGGCATGACCTGAACGAAGTTGAAAGAGGAGGCTGGCATTCTTTCGAGGCAGGGATTCAACCATTTTCCCAAAAGCTTTCGAGGGGAGGGTTGGGTCAATACAGCTGATCTTGTCGTAGCGCAGAGATTTTGTCCAAGCAACCAATGTGCTCTTCGTGATGCTTTCTGCTTGATGTTGCTTCAATTTTGATGCACTGGTAAAGAGCTTGCAAAGCAACTTGGGAAGTGTACTGTTGTGCACCCGAATCTGCTGTGCTGCCTCTTTTGCCCTCCAGTCGGTAGCTTCATTTCCTCTGATGCCGACGTGGCCAGGAACCCATCTAATAGTTAGCCTAAGTGAGCAGTGCTTCTCCTTTATCTTCTGGTACAGCGCGTGGAACCGATTCACAAGGTAGTCCCCTGGACCCGATCTTCTCATCCCTACTGCTTGTATGGCCGCCTGATTATCCACCCCAATGGAGCAGTAGCTTGCAGACTGCTCTTTTCGTATCAGTTCAAGGGCAAGTATCAAATCTACCAGCTCCGCCTCGAAGACAGTGTGTTTTGCAGAAGGGCCTAGATATGTACATTTTGAGCAAGGGGACTGAAAGCTTCCCTGTCTTGTACAGAAGTGCTGCCGCACTGACTCCTCCTTCAAAATTGGAACCATCAGTATAAACCCGTATACCATCCCTCACCTGCCACTCTTTCTCCTATTTCTGGGCATCCTCCTTCATCTTTGCAATAGAAATGTTGAACGCTGGTTGCCAGCCGGGTTGAAACCTTGGTAACAAAATCTTCTCTATATCAGCAGGGTGTAAATTATAAGCTCGAAACAGGTTGTAGAGAGGGGTACAGTGAGAATGAAGGTTTGGAAAGCACCCTGCATGTTTGACATGGGAGTGCAGTGGGTGTGTGAGAGGAAGCGTGCAAAGGCAGACTGCCGCCCATTGGCAGGTCTTGTCAATAAGAAGGCGAAAGGGGGGAACATTCACATGGACTTCCATGATGTCCGTTGCTGTGGTTTTCATGGCACCTGTCATCATTAGAAGAGCTTGTCAATGGACTGTGGCAAGTTTGCGAATGGCGCCCATGGAACCACTGTCAGTCAGAAAAATGTGTTTCCTGCAAAGAAGTTTTCGGATGAGACATTACACCAGGTCTTCTCTGTTGTTCATTTAGGGTGAGGGAGGGTTTTTCTTGTAGTCTTACTAGAGAAGAAGACTTAACTAGTTATACCACAAGAGGATGTGTGATGAACCAGGTATAGTGAATACTTAAGCTTTGAAGCCTTTTGAATTTACTAAGCAAAGAGGAGGTAAGGATGTGATAGGATTGATAGATGTTACAAAAGTACACACAAGAGTACTATAAGCAATAATAAAAGGTAAGATAAAAGAGACACTTTCACTTTCACTTTTAGACTTTAGAATTTCAGATAGTAAGAAGCTTTTAGAATCTATAGGGCACTTGGAAACTTTGAACTAACTGGACTTGTCCTCAAAGGGGTATATTTATACATAAAGCATAATAAGGCTGTGCACTACTTGAAACAGACTGAGAGTATTATGAAATATACTGAGACTAAAATAAAACAAATAGACTGAAGGTGAAACATAGAAGCTTACCTGTTGAAATATGAACTTGGCACTAGAACTCTTACTGAAACTTTAGTTCATATTCTAGAATGACCTATACCCTTCTAGACCTTTTCTAAAAGTTTCTATAAAGTTCTATGCTTATTAACTGTGCTCGGCACTTATTGATCCAGTATAAACTAAACTTGGCACTTACTGAACAAGTGTTTTGAAATCATGTAATCAATCTTGATCATATATCACATGTTCTTCAATGTATTTTGAGCTTGTCAGTATCTAGATCAGTTAGCAGGCTCATATGTGCTTGCACTATCTTGTTTGAGCCATCTATCTTATCTAGATGCACAGTTAAGGAGATTGCTGATAGTTGAAGGTTTGATCAACTGAGGTTCAAAAAGCAGGGTTGAGTGCCACACTCTTCTTTTCTTCAAAGACCGCTTTCTTCTTCCTGAAGTACATACTCGCCAGTATTGCCACAAGCCAGGTAAATCTGCTAGTCATTCTATTTAGACCTTTTGAACATATTTCTATATCTGTAGGATCCTTTGAAGACGAGTTTGATGCTTGCACGATACTTTGTGCAGTCTTTATTTCTTCAGAAGTTGGATTACGTCCTAAACCTTTTGACAATATGAGCTCAGTATATGCTTTCAGATCATTCGGACTCTTCTCAATCCATTAAAAGGTGTTTTCCTTGTAGGTTGAAGAAATGGAGGCTTTGGAGCCTCCTCCTTCAAGTACGAAGGTTTTCCTTGAAATCTTCAGTATTATTTGTGGAGTCATGGTCTTCTGCGGTGGAGTGTTCCTTATAACGAGGTTTATTATTAAGCATGAAGATCACTCTAGGAGTTCAGGAGAAGGGCCTTCATCTTTGTAGAGTGTACTTCATTCTTACTTGCTGATGCGAATAATTCAACATTGTCACATCTCACATTGTTTAGTCCTCACCTTGTCACTATGAAGTGACATTACTTGAAATGAGAATAAACAATGGTGTCTCGAGTGTCCTGTCACTCTTTTGGTCTTTCTAAGCATGCATGGACTTTGCCGATGTTGAAGATCCAGTTAAGTGCCTACCACTGACGTGGCACTGCCAGGTGATGATACTTGTCTTTAGAAGCTGTCTCTTTCCAACAGATTCAAGTTTCAGATTCACCCACCTTGAGATTAGGTAAGTCTTACTCCTTCTAGTCCAATTTGGTCATATTCACATTTGACTTTCAGATTCTGAGACTGCCTCATGGCTGCCACAATGTGTGTCACATTGCACGCATATTCAGAATATTAGCCCAATGTCTTTTCTAACCTGATGCTTCTTTAGGATCATCCTGGAGTCTTCTTCAGCTGCTTCCACTCCTTCAGCTTATTCAAAGATCCCTAAGTGAGTGGTAATTGGCATCAGTCTCTTTGTCAGAGGCATGGTCTTGGCCATGATCATTATGTGATTGCGGTACACATCCTTTCCTCTTCAACGCAATTTCAGAGATGCATGCAACAATACTCCAGCTCCTGTAGCAATGGTTTCTTTATCATCTGTCCACTTTAATATAGTCACAGTCCCTTCCACTCCTTCATCTTCATCACCCACTCCTTTGGATTCTTTAGCCAATATAGCTCAGACTTCCTTATCATCGAGACATTCCTCACATTCCTTACCTCCCATTCTTCATGCTTCCTCTTCATCTTTAGGAGACTTGAGGCATACATTATCAGTTTAAACTGAAGTTGGACTTTGATGTTCAGGAGATCTTTATTGTACTCATTGTTGTTATTAGGATATCCTATTTCTTGTCATAACTGCAGTGTGTTCTTCTTCTTGGACTTTCATATTCAGTGTTGAATATCA